AACCAAACCCTACACCTCATTTTAGACACTATTAACAACTGGCTCTTATTTACTTTAAAATCTAATGTAATTAATCGGAATCCCGAACCTTGTAACTGGGATCCATTATGCGTCAGCACTAATAAAAAGGGGTCTAATAAGTGTTTCTGTCAGGTTCATAGACATTACGAGACTAATCAATGCTTTTCTGCAAAGCTGCAATTGTCAGAGTTGTCCGTCTAAGAAATTTTTATCGGCTAACTAAGTGCTATTACACGATCGAGACAATGCACTAACAATTAGGGTATCACTGTTGGTAGACTTTCTTGACCCTTCCTTCAGCAGCATCCTTAATAAACTCCTCTAGACTTCTACCCTGGAGGGAGGGGTATAAGTCCTTTGCAAGAACATACCCAAGGTAAACGGCGTTCTCCGGCGTGTTATCGCCTCGCACGCCCCAAGACATCCAGTACTCGTAGATACTTCGCATTTGGTTCTGTTCTGTGGATCCTCTGAAAGGTGCTAGCATTTCTTCGAGCTGTTCCTTTGACAACTGCAATGGTTCAATAATGGTTGACGAGGTTTCAGGTCGATAGACTTACAGTAGTAGGCTCTGGCTTCTCACCAAGCACCTTCTCCACCAATTTGTGGACTTCATTCTGCGTCTTGGTCTCTGTGTAGGCCAGTACTCTCTTGTTAATAGTTCTCGGGTCGCCCACTATGGCAGCGACGTATTTTCCGATGTCTCGAACATCTGTGAGCGCAGAAGGGATATCACCGCCGGCGATAATATTGTTGTTGGGGAAGACGAGGCTTTCGTCCAGCTTGCCGGACGGGACTCGGGGCAGAGTGATCTGGTACCACCAACCCACATCTATTACGGTGTAGGGGAGATAGATACGCTGGATGTGATCAAGGACTGCCTCTTTCTACAGTGATAGTCAGGTATGTGGTCTCATGATGAGGAGTCAACGTACTCTATCGCGAGCATCCATTATACCGCGAGGTGCAATGGTGGCAAAGAAGCAGGGCACATATCGCTTCACACCAGCTCTTTTGGCTGCATTTGACAATGGAATTTCATCATCAAGCGATTGAAAGTGAATGGCCGAGATGACTGTGTCAATCCCAGTGAGCGCAGCGACCAGCTCGTCATGACTTCCACCAAGATCAATTGGCGCAATCTTGATGTCTCTTTCTTTCAAGCTGATAGTCGCTGGCTTTTCAACTGAGCTTGGTCGCACCAAAGCTGTAATTTCCTGTTGTCTGTCAGCGCAGTCAATCATGCGGGAAGAGTGTAGGGGCGGACAAATTGGGTTTCGGATCCGAGAAGGCCATTGACAATCGAACCTCCAGTTTCTCCAGTGGCACCAACGATCGCGATCTTTGTTGTCATTTTGTTTTTAGTTTATGATATGTGTTTGTTTGATGGAAGTGATCTGCAAGTTGAAGGTATTTAACATATTCGCTACCAAACTCCGCAAGGGCCGGTCCACCCAGTTTGGTCGCTGCGGAGTTAAGGCAGATAAAGCCCGACTCCGTGCTCTCCAGGTGAATTAATTACATTGCAGGTACAAGGAATACAATTTGAATTGCCCCGATAGTATAAGTCAAGTTTCAAGCCTGGAGTTTTCTTATTTTCAGTGGAAGCATGTAAGTCATTTATTTAGGCATTGAGAGTAAACTCCGCAAAACTCCGCAGCAAAACCAGTTGACGTACTTGTTTTGACTTAGGTGTTCATGGCCTTTAACTCTGGCTTGGCTGACTGAACCTCCACGTAACTGAACGACCCACTCCATCCGACAAATCCGTTTTTTAAACTGTGAAAGGAATGGTTCCACCGTTTTACGGATTCAGTCAGGAACAGTAAGCAGCCCAACAGTGGCGAGGCAACAGTGCGGAATTGACAGACAGATTGCAATGATCCACCCCCGCATTCATCACGATCTTGCCCGGTTTATTTCCAAGCTTATCAGACTTTGGTCGGAAAACACATGACTTGAAGCCACCAAACTCGGGACTGGCTGCAGTCGCCATAGAGTTTTCGACGCTTCATTCATGATATGCACAGCTTGCATACCCATTTCCACAAAGGGAAAAGATGAGCCTTGAATTGAAGAATAAAAAATCGATGACACTCAATCATTTCACACGGATTCCCAAACCGAAGCGAGGGTTGCACATCTCTCGGGTTCTAGACTCGACGCGGCTGAAGCTTCTCGGGTTCTGAAGCCGAGGGGTCCCAGTACCGAGAGGACCATGCGGGGTTACACTGACACCCACCAATTGACTTTGCGCATGCTCTTTATCTGTCCCGAAGCGGTCCAGAAGCCGATCAGGTGCCTGAGTCTAAACCCAATAGAGCGGAGACGCGATATCGTTTGGCACTGCGTTACTGGTGATGTCTGCTTGACGGAAGATACGGCTTCGGTCTGCGATACCGCTACTCGGCGTGATGACCAATCACCGAACGACAATTAACATTGCTATCTCTCCATATCTCTGGCTGAAGGGGTCGGGTGATCAGCGTCACAAGACCTGTTCAAGCGTGCGTGCACTATCAGAACTCCCGAAGACCAGCCTCACTATGACAAAAGTATGCATCCGATACGTTGTCATCGTGAGGGGTTCGACCCGGAACATCGGGGTCGTTATCTTCTAGCCCGGGTTCCATCAGGCACACGATTCTCTATAAGAAAGTGCTATGCCTGTCTTGTCGAGCTACTCTGTCAAGTAAAATAAACATAACCAATTTCATCAAACCTTATCTCCATAAAGCCCACCACAAAATGTCAACTGCGAATAAGCTCAAGGTGAACGTCGAGAGCGACAACTTCACCGAAACAAGCCACCGAAGTCCCGTCCGTGCTCTCCCTTCGACATGGTACAACTCTCCCGAGATGTACGAACTAGAGAAGCGTGCCATCTTCTCCAAGAAGTGGCTGCTTACTACCCATCAGAACCGGTTTCCCAAGGCGGGCGACTGGATGAAGTTTAACACTACTGGCTACGAGTTCGTCATTGCCCGTGATCGAAAGGGAAACCTCAACGCCTTCCATAACATCTGCCGTCATCGCGCTTTTCCTGTCGTTCAAGGCGGACAGCAAGGCAACTCATCCATCTTTGCATGCAAGTACCATGGTTGGTCTTATGGACTGAGTGGCAACCTCGCCAAGGCACCCAATTATGATCAGCTCGAGAACTTTGACAAGAGCAAGAACGGCCTTTTCAAGATCCATCTAAAGGTCGATGCGTATGGCTTTGTTTGGGTCAACCTCGACAGTTCTGAGAACCCGGAACCTTGGACTCGCTACTTCGACGGTATTGATCAGCAAGAACGGCTTCAGAAGGTCAACTGGGATGACTACACCCTCGATAATGAATATAGCATGGAGGGTGAATACAACTGGAAGATCTTGGCCGACAACTTCAACGAATGCTATCACTGTCCCACGACCCATCCCGATCTTCCTACTCTTGCAGATCTCGGCAAGACAAAGTGCGACACCGGCGAAGGATGGATCAAACACTCGAGCATCCAGACTGAGGAGCAGAAGAAGAGCGGGATGCAACTCGCAAGCACATACTTCTACCCCAGTGCTTCAGTGGTAGTCTTGTAAGTATCTGATCTCTTCCGATCTTGGGTGCCTCTGACACCATGCAGGCCTCACTTTATGATGATTCAGCGTTTCATGCCACTTGGCCCTACCTCCTCTTCCATGCACTATCAAATCTTCCGCAACAAGAACTCATCCGAAGAGGACTTCCATAATATCGCTGATCTGTATGCACGCGTTGTCTCGGAAGACAAGGACTTGTGTATTGGCGCCCAGAAGAATCTCAACGCAGGTATCTTTGTGAGTGGGGAGTTGCATCCACGATTGGAACATGGCCCACTATCATTCCAAGAGTCTCACCGACAGGCGATTCACGAGCATGCCAAACTTGAGAGGGAAGCAGGCAAGCAGATCTGGCCTGCAAGACAGAAGTTGCCATCTGACGAAGCTGCTGAGGCTAACAAGGAAGACGAAGCCTTGTGTTCGAGCTTGTCTTGTGGTGGCATTCAGGAGGTGTTGGCTTGGTGATTTAAGACTTAGTGGGAGTATTAAAATGAGACCGGAGAAAGAGATAGATTAGATGTTTATGTCAGGTACTTAGTAAGAATGCAAATGATTTTAAACATTTGTTGAATTGAGTACTAACCTGTCAGTAACGCGCCATGACTTGGCGGTTGACTTGTATTTCTGTTAGTAAAATAGTGCCAGTACCGTGAGTCGCATTGTCTCGGTTATAACTGTAATTTCTTTTATTTCCGTATATCCGTCTTAAACCTCCTACTATCTCCAGAATTTTCTAGATTTCAAGACGTTGAATATCCACTCTTGCAAGCACTGACTAAAAGTACATCACAAGTTGTATCGTTTGTATATCCGGCCTAGCGCTCTCCTTGAGCAATTTTTCATATTATAAAAGAGTGCTGTTGTCATGCACTTTTCATTCTTCATAATGACGCAGAGACCTCATACCTGTTACTTAAATTCTCCACCTCTCTCTTCTCTTGAACGACAATCATGAGGTTTGAACAGGCCCTTTATGTTGCTGCGTCGCTTGTCGGCAATGTAGCTGGTGTTGCCGCTAGTAACAAGCTCTTCTCCGGTGCCACTATTATTGCTTGGGATGAATCTGAGCCAGAGCCTCGGGTCATTCGCGATGGCTATTTATTAGTCGAGGGCGATCGGATCGCAAGCATCACCACTTCCAAGCCATCTAGACTTCCCAGAAATACCGAGGTCATCGATGCTACCGACCAGATCATAAGCCCCGGCTTCATTGATACACATCGCCATGGTTGGCAGACAGCTTTCAAGACACTTGGATCCAATACTACCCTGGCTCAATACTTTGGACGTTACGGAGAATTCGCAGCTGCACCCCATTTCAATGCCGAAGACGTTTACTGGGGACAGCTAGCAGGACTCCTGGAGGCCCTGAACGCCGGAGTGACAACTTCGCTGGACCATGCTCATCATACTTGGTCGAATGAAACAGCTTATGCGGGTCTCAATGCCTCAGTGGAGAGTGGTGCTCGTGTGTTTTGGGCTTATGCTTTCCATGATGTTCCGGCCTTGAACTACGCAGTCAAGGATCAGATTCCTAACTTCGTTGACATCGCTGAGAGTGGCCTTCTGCAAGACAGCAATGTTGAGATAGGAATCGCGTATGATTCGTTCGGCCCGAATCCTCCAGATGTTGCAAAGGAGGTAGCAAACCTGGCGCGAGAATTTAATGTCTCGGTTGTCACAACCCACTCTCTTGCTGGACCCTTTGGAGTCTCCAACCTTCCCGAGGATGTTCACTCCTTTGACCTACTCAACACATCGATACCAGTCATCTTTTCTCACGGCAGCTTCCTCACGGCCACTGGCGCCAACCTTCTTCGTCAGACAAACCAATATCTCTCCATCACTCCGGAGTCGGAGATGCACTACGGACATACGCATCCACACTCTTACTACATCCAGGATCAGGCTGCGCTCGGCGTCGACACCCATTTCACCTACTCAACCGACATTTTAACCCAAGCCCGAATCTGGTTGCAAAGCGTCCGCTATTTCTTCTTTGACAAGGTACTCTCTGGATGGGAGGTGCCCAAGAATAACCCAATGAGTGTTGTTCAGGCTTTTTCGCTTGCAACTCGAGCCGGGGGTCTCGCACTTCGCCGTCCAGAACTTGGAGTCATCCGTGAAGGAGCAAAGGCAGACCTGATTGTTTGGAATGCAGCCGAATCGCCCTCACTGCTGGGGTGGACAGACCCCATTGCTGCAATTATGCTGCATGCCAGCGTTGGCGATATCTTGCATGTCATGGTGAATGGGGACTTTGTGAAGCGGGACAGAAAGCTAGCTATTGCTAACTATTCAACCATCAGACGAAGCTTTCTTGAGAGTGCTAGACGGATAAAGAATATTTACCGAGACTTTGACTACCCAAGTCTCAAAGGTGAGTTCAATGGAGGGGGCTTTTACTATAGAGAGGCAAGGGTTGCAGACACTGAGAGAGGTATGGGTAATGGGTATGGAGGGCTATATCTAGTGGGATAGGTAGTCTGAGGGTACCGGCAAAAGTTAATCTTATGAAATTGGCTTCACAATATTCATTTAGCTGCTCAAAATGATCAAGGTTCCATTCGGGCTTAAGGGGGAAAGGTATAGAAAGGCATTTCGGAACATGGAGACAAAAGCATACTGTCAGTCCCGCACGTAATGAGTACTTGGGTATTACATTCTGGTTCTAAATGGTAGTCAATTGAATAAAGTGGTGAGCCCAATCAATGCTCGTGCGTCTGTCACACCGGAACCCCATATTCCGCAAGGCGAAAAATCGGAATATGGAGAGGTCGCAGCCTTTCGGAAAACCCGCGTTCGGGCGGATTACCCCACGGGGATAACTAGCACGAATACAGCTAGCTCAACGGGACATGGAGCTACAGTTCCTCGACCATGTTTGTTATTCCATTTAAACGAAATAAGTTATTTAGTCCTCTGGTATCCCTTATAACAATGGTAAATATAACCTACCTTTTACAGCCACATCTATGACAAACGCGCCGACTCTTACTCTTTGCTTTACATAACTAAGACTCATTATGCTCCAAACACTTCCCATGCTTAGCCGGGAGCTGACCATAGCTTTGGCTGTACTCACCTTGCTCCTGGTCCTAGTCCAAAAAGCAATATCAAGGCGCTGGGCAACCAAGGGACTTCTTCCTCTTCCGCCTTCACCCCCTACCACCAACATTATCGCTGGCCATCTTCCAACCGTTCTGAAAGCAGCCAAGGAACACCGCCAGCATCTTCTGTTCCAAAAGTGGGCCGAGGAATACGGCGAGGTGTTTTTCGTCAAGTTCGGTACTTTCCAGGAGTACTTCATCAATAGCGACCAAGCCGTCAGGGCAATCTTCGACAAGGCTGCGGCCCAAACATCCGAACGACCGCGTTGGATTGTCAGCAACGAGCAGATATGCAACAGACTTAACCTTCTCCTTGTTAGCTCGAGTGAAAAGGCATGGAAAAGTCAGCGGAAAGCCACAACCTTTGGACTAACTAATTTGAATCTTGCTGATGCTGGTCTTCCATTCCTCCATTTCGAAACATTGAAGTTCCTAAATGACATTGCACAAGATCCCAACAAAGGTGCCGATCCGCAATCCCTATGGTCGAGCATTGGCCGCTACACATATAGCACATTCTCGTCGCAGATCTTTGGCCTTGATGTCCCTGAAGACAACAGTCCTGTTATCGACTACATATTCGAAACGGGCCTAGCCCAGATCCTTGGTATACTCCCTGGCTACTATTTAGTTGACACTTTCAACATTCTGGATAAGCTGCCACTATTTCTTAAACCTTGGGAAAGAAACGCAAAGGCCAGGCACAAGCGTGACTATGAGTGGTGTTGTGACAAGCTTAAGGTAAGATCCGCCTCGGTAGCCCGCAGGTCATGAAGTCTACGACTGACACGATCACCCAGAGGATAAAGTCACAGATTGATGCTGGAGAGGCTCCGCCTTATATGACTTTCATGAGAAGGGTCATCGAAGACCCAAACCATCTGGGACTTGACAGCCTCGAGGATGCCTCATACCTAGGCATGATGTTAATCATCGGGGCTTCGGATACGGTAAGCTTTACCGTACCTCGATTTCTCCATGCTGTAATACTGACAAGAAGGCAGAGCCGGATTTCAACTTGGTCATTCCTTGAGGCTATGTTAACGTTTCCAGATGTCTGCAACAAAGCGAGAAAAGTAATTGGTAAGTCTGTTGAGGCGTTTCAATGGCACTCGCGTACAAAATGCCATAGGGTACTGATGTGAACAGATTCGGCTGTTGGAGACAGAGTCCCGGTTTTCGAGGATCTGGACAGTATGCCATACATCCGTCAAGTCATGAAGGAATCATGGAGATGGCGTCCACCTGTCGCCCTGGGCCATCCCCATACCACGACTCGAGACATAATTTATAAGGATTACCGCATACCAAAGGGAGCGAGAATACATTTGAATGCTTGGTAAGCTCTCGTGTTAGTTTTGATGAGCTTACATGCTAACGCAAACTAGGGCAATTCATCGGGACTCTACACGCTATAGAGACCCCGAAAACTTCATCCCTGAGCGTTTTGAGGGTGACACAAGATCAGTGAGACATTACAAAGGCTGCGAGATGTTCAATAGCATGCTGACTAAATATCAGAGCCAAGAGAGTGCTGCATCCCCTGACGTTTCCAAAAGAGATCACTTTGCCTTCGGAGCTGGACGTCGTATCTGTAAGTCATTCGTAACGATCCATGTAACTCAGCCTCTTAATGAATCTGCCCTGCTATAGGTCCTGGCTACCATATTGCGGATAGGAGCTTTGCTGTCAGTGTTATGCGCATTCTTTGGGCTTTCGACATCAATTTGAAGCCAGGAACAAAGCTTCCTCTTGACCCCCAAAGCTTTCCAGGCGATATGCCAGGTAACCCTGGACTCGAAATGCCGGTCGTATTGACTGTCAGGAGCCCAGAAAGGCTTGAAACTATACAGAAAGAGTTTGAGGCAGCTATGCGGAACCGGGAGAGTATGGAGCCATTAGCTGGGTAACATGTTCATATGGATGTATCGAATATAGATCTTACCGCTACCTTGTGTATCTGCCACCATTACAACTTCCCAGCCAGTATTACTTACAACTCACAAATTACTGAATCCTCCGTGATTCGGCATAAGACTGTTTCAGGAATGGCCCTGTTCTCCAAGCTTGAGGCCAGGCAATCCTTTCCTCTAGCAACCTCGCAGTCTCATTTATCAGCCGCGCCAAGGCACCTCGATGTTCCAGACGACCAACCCCGCTCAAATACAGGCGTTTCTTCTCGTTTCCAGCAGCCCAGTACTTGGCATCTTGACTTGAAGCGTCCAGCCGTAGGGTTGGGAATTCATCACCAACATCGAATTCTTTACTATGCTCGACCAAAGCCCATATCGAGATAGCGCTATAAAAGAATGCCGGTGCCTCGTGATGGGCATTGGTACGGCTTAAGCGAATCTGAGACCAGATGCGACATGCATGTATCAAAGCCTCTCGTGCACTGCGGGGATTGGACATCCATCTCTTCAGTTTATCAACAACCATCGAATGCTGGGTTTTGGTGACTCTCCAGCGTCCAAAGGCAATAATCTCTCTAGTCGGGAAGTATGTCAGGAGTGAAACCATGTGAATACTAGTCGCGGCAGCTCGAGCAAGAGCTGTTGGTGGCAAAGTCTCGACATGTCGATGCAGTATATCCAGATATAAATGGGCATGACGAAGCCAAGAGAGGTCATTAAGAATACCCATGACCAGAAGAAGCGAGTTAAACGCATCAAGCTGGCCAGGGACCTCACGATAGCGGTAAAGGCCCAGGAGCACCTGTCGGAGAGATAATAATTCTTGAGAATATGAATCTGAAGTTGTTGTTAGCTCCAGGCCATTTGTCAAGTATGCTTGCAGCCCAAACCCTCTTTGAAACTATTCTTCCATGTCTCGGTGCTAGACATGCCCCAGACATTTCCATCGACCGGCATGGGAGACTGAAGAAAGTCTATTGGAATCGTGGATGAAAAGGCGAAGAAGCCAACTTGCTGGCTATCTACAAGCTAGGCTCAGTCAGTTTATTATCATTTCAGCCTTGCTGAAGGATAAAGAAATCAGAAGCAAGATACTTACCCAAGCGCAATAAAACAAACGAATTTCTAACTCGGCCCTGATCCATGCTTGCCAGCCTTGAGATACCGCATTTTCACCAACTGATGACTTTGCTGAGTTGTGTGAGAATGAAGCTATTTTGCGACATTGCGTTGCAAGCTGCGCCATTGCCTCCTGGGCACATTCTGCCAATCTCAAGTCCCCGCCGTACATCATGCCAATCTGATTGAGGACAGAAGCCTGAGCAACACAGATACTGGGTACAGAAGTCTGACTTCGTTCCAGCTATTTACGTAAGGTTTGTCAATATCGTTTATATTAAACAAGACGAGTCCAGTAATTAGAAACGACGCACTGACCTGGATGCGAATAGCTCGCCGTAGAAATTCCTGGATGACGAGGTAGACCTCCCTTGACTGTAATGTTTTCGAAAACAGGCACCCGATCGCTGAAACGGCAAGACTCAGTAGCCAGTTGTCTTTACTGGGCGAGAATGTTGCCTTATGGAGTAAAGGGAAAACAGGGTGATACTCTTCAAAGTAAACTTGCATATAGATCTGCATATGCTGTTGAGATGGCAAATGTTTGTTCGTAAAGGGGGTACAATATGCATTGTCGCTATTGAGTTGTTCAAAGGTGGAGACCATGACTTGGTAAGCTTCATCGTTTATATAGGGTACATGCCCATAGTCTTCTGCCCTCCATGGCTCAAGGTCGCCATCATCTCTGACAGAGGTATGCGAAGTGGTTTCGGGCGATGTCTGGCTGCTTTGGGCTTGAGAACCTTGGATGGCTAAGGGCTGAGTAAAGTTAGGGGTCGGGGTTTCGTATTCGAGTTGATATACCATGGGCTCATTATCCACGGGAGGCGGTACTGTATGGACCTCTGCTTGGTCGAGTGGTTCGATTGGACTCTGGAAAAAGAATGCCATGGGATGAGGTAGTTCAAGCAAGGAGTTATCAAGCATGGAGTGCATGGAACTGTCCCAATGAAAGTCTATACCAAGCGGCGACCAGCCTTGGAAGTCCAATCCATCAGTCCCAAGTGTCAGATTATTGACGGAGACTTCATCAGGAAAGTTTTCTTGCCCTGTGCCTGAATGCATCTCTATAGCATTGTTGCCCACGTCTGTTGATAGTGAAGGAGCCCCGTTGATCGCTTCAGACGCACTATTATGAACACTTAGTGCTGAATTAACTGGCAAAGGATATGGATGGCTCTGGGCTGCGGGGAGAGTGCTATGTGCGTGGTCGTCCCTCTCCCTGAAGGAAGGAGACTGGGGGCTGGCACCACAGGTTATGTTCTGTCCCTTCTGCTGCAAAGGGCGATAGACGCAATCGAGATTTTTGAGAGAACACCTTCCACATGGCGAATGGCCGTCGCAACGTTGTTTGGATCGGGCGCAGGAAACACAAGCCTTGGTTACATAGGCCACCCTCCGAGGCCTACGAGTCGTCCTTGCAGGATCATGGGTAAGCAAATGTTGATTCAGAGTATCCCTAGCTTTAAGTCAACATAACTATAGCCGAGAGCTAACACATGTTTCCCTTTAACTCACTTTCGTGTAAAGGTACTGTTGCAATCCTGGCAACGGTAAGGACGAATGTCTAGGTGCCGTCGTTGGTGCCGTCGAAGATGCTCGTCTCTGGCAAAAGTGGCACCGCAGTCACTACAAGAGTGGGTCATTGCAGGGAGTGATGACTGGCTACAGATTCGTAAGGGACAGTATTGTAAAGATTGGAGTCAACTGCTTAGCCCATGGGTATACCGTATATGGCTTTTTTATCGAGAAATGGACGGGGAGTTACGGGATAATAAAAATGCGGGGTTGGGTCTACTTCAAATTTTGCGGGGTTGCTATACGTACCATAGCACGGCAAAGATACCGGTAGACAATCTCTTAGGTACCTAGTTACGTCGTAGCAATAAGGAACTAGTCCCAATAAGAACAGATATCCTTCTTTTTCCACATCTATTTATAAAGTCTTAGCTCGACTGCGCGTTTGTCAATAACTGTCGCCAAGACGGCAAACCCCTTGTTTCCTCCCACTCCGGATGGGCTTGTAAGTGGTATCGAGTCGCTTAATACCATGTTCTAAGTGGCCGATTGGTGATGGCCCTCATATTTATAGGCAAGTAACATCCGTCACATGTTACACTGCACCTGGGGTATATCGAATCAGATCATGAACTTGAGGGTAAGCCCCGTAGCTCTGCGCACAATTAAAAGACGGATTGATCTAGGTCGGAGCGCAGCTTTCTTCTTCACTTTTGCTCGTGCCCAACTCTTGTCTACTACTGCGCTGCTGCAAATGTCTCAAAAGAGCCCCAAGAGCGGTTCGCCGCGTTCTCCAAGGTCTCCTCACAGCCAAGGGCCTGTGGCAGCTGCTGTACAGGCGCTAGAAGTCGACGACCTTGCTGAGGGGGAGGAAGATGACCCAGGTCTTGGCGAAGACTCCGAAAGCTCGACGGCCTCCATCACCTCGAGCATTCTCCACTACCGCACCATCAATGGTAGGACCTATCACAGCGAGAGAGGGAATGCCGCCTATTGGTATTATCAGTCGTTTTGTGGCCGAAGGCAAGGCTGATATTGTGCCAGGGGCTCTAACGATGAACGGCAAAGTGAAGCCATGGACATTGCGTAAGATCTAAATCCTTTGCGGAGATGTGTCAACTAATACGTCTAGGCATCACATGTTTACTCTTTCGCAAGACGGTGAGCTGTACTTTGCTCCCCTCGGTGATAAAATTCAAGTAAGTCGTTTGGTCTCTCAGAACAATAAGCTCTAGGCTAAAGCCATCCGTTACTACCAGAGGGTACTTGACATTGGATGCGGAACAGGTACGTGAATGCTTGTAGCAAAGTCATCTGGAGTTACCATGCTGATTTCAAAAAACTCTCATAGGCATATGGGCCATGTCAGTAACCGAGAGATCTCGAGCCTCTGTCCCTGCTGACCTGAAAGTGATTTTGCCGACAAGCATCCAGGGTGCGAAGTAATTGGGACGGACATTTCTCCCATTCAGCCTTCATGGGTACCACCTAATGTCAAGTTGTAAGTTGCGACCCGTTCGCTAAATTATGCCATCGTCTCATCTATCTATAGCGAGATCGAGGACTTTAACCAAGATTGGACCTTTCCTTCAGAGTCTTTCGATTACGTCCACCTACGCTATTTAGTTGGATGCGTGCCCAACTGGGACTATCTATTTGAACAGGCCTTTAAGGTTCTTAAGCCAGGTGGCTGGGTAGAGTCCTTTGAAGCTTCCGCTATCATCGAGAGTGATGACGATAGTGTGAAGCCCGACTCGGCATTGGCACAGTGGGGACCTATCTTTATCAAGGCCTCTAAAACGATTGGAAATACGTTCACCGTCGTGGGAGACGATCTTCAGAGACCCGGCATTGAGAAAGCAGGATTTGCAGATGTCAAGCAATGGGACTCAAAGGTTAGCCATTCTTCCGTGATTGATAAGGATACGCTGACAAGTCCCACCTTCAGTTACCTTTGAACCCTTTCCCCAAAGATCCCAAGCTTAAACAAATCGGTCAGTTTGGTGAGCTGTTCAGTACTCAGGACACTGAAGGGCTTGTGTTGTTCGTTGCCAACACACTAGGATGGACTCCCGAGGAGGTCCATGTATATATCGCCAAGTTCCGACGAGAGATCAGAGACAGGAGGAATCACCCATATATCCGCCTGAGAACTGTGTGGGCTAGGAAGCCAGAGTAAATATGAGGTTGCTTCTTAATTCCTGTTGCCGGCTTGAGTACCTGATCGCTATGGAATTAAATTACACAGATCTATGAACATTCGGATTCTCGAAACGCTGCATACAATTGAGGATTCAAGTATGACGTGAAGGCCAGATCATCGCCTTGACATGCGACAGCGAAGTAGGTCTGGACCCCAGTGGCTTGGTCGAGCTGACCTGGCGGTGCCAACATATCCAATGCACGAAGATATGATTGCGAGTAAACCCCATACCCATTCCCATGCTCTTCAAGATACCCTATAAGTCCCACTGCAGCTTGAAGGTCGTTATCAGCGTAGTGTCGAACTGGTATATATGCCTTGACGTCTGGAATCGAAGATTTTGGTGCAACGTCAAAGTTAAATACTGCCCCGGATGTCAGATGATCCACCTTAGGTAGCTCATCTCCAGGTAACGCGTCATGGTTGAGGCCGAGTGCACGTTTCCACAAATCGAAAAACTTCTCTAGAGACTTATCCATGCCTATGCGAAGTCCCCCAACTGTCATAACATCTCGGGCAAAGCGGAAAGAGGTTTGGTCGGACCTTGCGTATATCTTGAGCCGTGAAGCACCGGGTTCGACAAGGTCTATTGCCAGCATGAACGGGCGGAGCTGTCTTCCATCATCGTCGCTGGAGAGATATGCGTCCACGTGATGCAAAGCCTCGATATTTTGACATCCTGAGGTTTCAATCGCATGTTTTATCTGGTGCCAAGCGCTAGCATCTTGTGTCTCAACTGGTATAAAGTATACTTTGACCGACAAGCGACCGTGCAGCAATTCCAAGGCTGCAAATATTGTTGAGCCCTTTGTCGAAATTCCAGAAGTGGATGTTGTGAGATACTCAGGACCCAGCAGCTCGTGCGAGAAATGTTCAAACCAGGTTAGATCAAGTTCAGGAATGTTTCTGGCGAGGTTGTAAACTAAATTCCGAGTCGGGATTTGATTGAATGGATCTTGCTTGGTTCCAGCTAAGGGACTGACAAGCTCAATGGCGTATCTGATGTCAGGCTTCTTGTTTCCAGAATTCCATTTCCAACTGTACTCAATGGGAGAGTGGTCATCGGTCATGAAGCTGTTCCAGGGTGCCATGCTAGACCGTGGTCTAGGCCCCATTTCTGGAACGACCCACCGGTATAACAGCAGTAGAGCTTTGTACTGCTCATTCAAGTCGTAGTCCGCTTCTGCGAGGAGGGTGTGGAGTTGTAGGCCGAGAGTCTTCCACCACCATTCTTTGTCTCCCGACAAAGGGGGGAGCCATTTGTCCAAAGTCTTCCATGCGGATTGAGTTGCCGGACCAGCTTGCAGTAGCATTTGGACGTGTTCAGTGTGTATCATAATGCGAACTAATGATTTTGTTGATAGGAGTAAAGCATAAGCTTACAGCCCAAGGGCTCGATGTGTCCTTATATTGTCACTCTTGTCAGTGAGGCAGCGTTGTCACTGCAATGAAAGGGATCTATACCTAATACACACTTCGAGGTTTCACTAGACACAGACAGTGAAACAGCCAGCCTGAAATCGAGATCCATGAATCCTCTCACTGACTCAGCAGCTATGAGGGATAACGCGTCATGTGAATCAAATATCGCGTGGCCGACTAGCGTAGGTTGCTGAATGCGACTTTCGCCTGCTAGGTATTGCCTTTTTCACCAAGAGGCATACGATCGTGGCTTTCGTAGGTGAATTTTCAAGCTTCAGTGCAGCTTCCTTGTTTCTCAGTGACAAAACAGCATATCTGTTGAGTTTAAGTAAATTCAATGGATTTATGAGTTATTTTACTCAAGAGTGATGCTAAATGGTTGCATTTTGCTTTGTAAGCAAATTGAAATGTTCCATGTAACATCGTTCACGTGTTTTACTAGAGACAGATACATCAGAGAGAACTCAGGTTTGCTTGGCATTGGGAACCCCGGATTCGAAGAGATAGACCTCTTCAGAGGCATCATCCATCATCACGCAAGGAAGTCAACGGGATACAGCGTTGAAATGCATGGCAGATGAGCCGCTTGTGTTGACGGCGCTATTTAATGTCACCTAGCAAATCAATACATGTATGCGAGTTAAACGACTGGAATCTCATAAACCAGGAATTTTCAGACAAACATAGACAAAAGTGTTTAACTTTTATAATACGCTATTTAACGCGCAGTATACTGGGGAACGGCCTGTTGGATCGAAGCAGATAGATTATCTTTCTACTTGTGTTATAAGGTTTAAGGGTATCTAGGGTAGTGAGCACTTTGAAATAGCGGAATGGGACTACGGAATTGCCCCGTGTGTCTACCCCTCTTTCTTGCAATACCCTTGATTTTCAACCTTAAGCTGAAAGTTAACGCTAACCTAAGAAGGAAGTGATTGGCTGATTCTCGCAAGCCCACCAATAAGCCCAAGTTGATAATCCATTTTATGGATATACGCGCCTGCAAGTACAAGCCTGTATAAGAATACTGGCCACCGGATCTTAGAAAGGCAATCAAGTCGGCGCCAGCTGCCTGCCAAGAAGGGCTACCTTTTCTTGTCTCTTTTATTTTTTCCCTCATTCTGTTGATATCTTCTGAAACTCACAATATGATTGAATCATCTTCGTCGTTTATTGAATCATCGATACCTTTGTATCACAATGCGGTCAAATCCGTCATCTTCAAATGCGCGGAATTACTTATGGGTATCTTTGTCTTCAAGCTTTTCTCGCTCGTTGCGGCCCGATCAGGACAGTTCACATCATACCTTATGTTCACGGAGGATTATATCCAGCGAACACTCTACATCTCATCTCGTTGCTTATCGCGAGCGGGACTAGTTGTTATTGCTTTTAGCCTACTCAACATTGTCTTTTCACTTTATGGCACTCTTCTCTGGGCACTAGACTCGCCAGGCTACATATTCAAAGCGACAAATGCGACAGTTGCTGATTACGACTTCCAGAGAAATAGCAATCCTCCCTATATCATTCAACTCGCTGTCAACAGGAGTCAACTTGGGAGTATCACACAGAAACTCCCTCAAGTCGTTGGCTCCGAGCTTTTTAATCCTGGTCTGAACTACACTTTGACCGGAAAAGTCACTAATGGCCACGAGACTCCCGAGGTTATCCCACCAACACGACAAGATGGTGTCGGTGCCCGTATCTGGTTAGACAGTGATGGATTTTCAGTTTCCCCAGACACTCTTTCAATGTACCCTTCAGTAGGGAAGATTGGTAACGCCACCTTTGACACGAAATGTGTGAGATTTGATGGAGGCTCTGCTGTCTGGAATTGCACTTTCGACAACGGTTTCGCAATCGAGTATGTAGAGACCGTAACAGGCATGCCTGAGGTGCATTGGAGTGATGCTACTGATCTCGATACAAGATATATTCTCCCTGAGAGATTGGACAATATCTGGGTCTCGGTTGGAAAAGGTGGTGGTTCAGCCTTGATGACACAAGTCTTTACTGTCACTAAGGGAAAGAGGCGGCATACTTTCTCTCAGGCCACTTTGAAGGTTACCATGATAACAAGCCCTGGTGACCCATTTGCCAGAGGGGAAGTCACTGACCTAGTCCGACGCACCTGGAGCTCCAATGAGACAGAACAAAAAAATCCCCTTATTGGCAACATCGTCGATGGCATGATAAATGCACAAAACAATGACCTCAGTTATCTTTTCGGCGCAAACGCAGTCGGTAATGACAACAGGTCGGCTCTTCAAAGCGAGTGGGGCTTTTACACACCACAGAATAACAACAATAGCCAGTACTCCATTGTCAGCATCACCACCACAAACATGACTCTCATTCGATCTGAAGAACTTGACAAGGCACCTGAACCTTTTGAGACATGCGAACGATCGAACTTTCAGAATGAGGCGTTTGGTGGGAAGGTGACCAAGACTGATTGCGCGGCGTCAAAGCCTGCAGTTGGAGAACAAGTCTTTTATGGCCAGGTTGACACTGCTGCTATGATGATCATACGAGGGTTGGGTGCCCCTCGGTCTAATCTCAGCGCCGAGTCCCTCGACAACCATGTCTTGAACTGGATATGGGACAACTCTGAAACAATCGAGTCGTTGATGATTGCTAGAGGGTACAGTGTCAGCGTCGACCCATCACTTGTACAGATAAGCGTTGACAAATTGATGGTGGCCATGTCTCGCTTGCAGCTGGCGCTTAGCTGTCTAGCTCTGTTCCTGGCCATTGTAATGTGGCTGGGTCTCATGGTCGCAACTGATGCACACTGGACCGGAACCCTCTTAGCAAACTTGATACACACAATATCGGAGCCAAACAAGGTGAAACCAGGCTACATCACACGGGTACCAAATCTGAGCCTGGTACCTATTGGCCAGAAACGTGTTTTAGCTGTGGATGGCAGGGTTGTAACAGTCGCTGACCCAGCCCCTATCGCCATGCAGCCTGTAAGAAGCCCAGGACATTACACAATTGAAACAAAAGGAGACGCAAATACCGGAACTTATTCAGTGGCTTACCAAGACCCCAGAGCTGGAAGGCAGGCACTCTTATCTGAGTATCAACAAGGATATGTCAATGAGCGGTGATATTCAATAGTTAAATAGCAGCCTAACTGCTCGCAATTGTACTTAGATAACTGTTTAATTGATTTACCGGGGAAGATTGATATGTAAATCAGTGAGTCAGTCTATTAGACGCTGAGTCTTAGAGTAAGTTATAGTAAATACCTGCGGTTTTATATATTAGGGCTTAGAGGTCGGTGCTTTGTGCTTCTCTATAGCAAGACTAGTAACGCAGGGGCCTCAGGCGAGCCAGCACATGACCAACATGCCATGCTTATTGGTAGTAGTCCCTTAGCTCCCTTCCTCTGACGTGGACGAATTACCAGCGGTGAAGCTTACTTTCGATAATTGTAGCGTATAAACTTATCTTTAAATTGAAATTCTATAGCTAAAGCTGTCAGTGTGCCAGGCCTCTAGTCCTGCGAAGTGAAACGTGGTGTTATAAAGCGATGCATATTAATCACACTAGTGATATCCTTTATCTTATACTAGTTATTTCTAATAAGTAAGATTTCTTATTTAAATGCCTGGCCCTACTAGGCTAGGAGATTGACCAATACATCAGCTTTATCAGTCACATATTTATTAATATACACAGTCATTCTAAAACTGCAATGCTAGAGCAATATAGGATCAAGGGATGGCCAGAGTGAAAGCCATAGATCCAGATATTTATGGCAATCTGAATGGCTATATATAAGCGCTGTATTTTAGGTACTATGTTCCAGTTAAGACTGGTAGCTAAGAGCCAGCCCAGAACGATTACTCTTAGTGCGACCTAATGTGTGTTGACTGCAGACCAACAGCATAAAAACATAGGCGGCAATGATATGATTCTGATATTTGCAGGGGTGGATTGTTAATAAAACAGAGGACAAGTCCCTGTAGTAGCGAGAATAACTTGATATTCTGTTTAGAAAATGTAAGCTCTTTTTTTACTGTCTTAAGACTTTATTTTCTTAGAATACTAACCTTTCCTCTTCTACAGATACTATCACCAAAGCCACTGTAACTTAACTTTTATTACAATGAGAACTACAAATATCTTTATCACACTCATTATGCTTGTTAGCGTTGCAGCACCAGCACCAATTCCTGAGAAGCAGCTTGCTGATATGGATCTCATAAAGCGGGAGCCGGGCAGAGTCAGTAATGCGATATGGACTATTGCGTCTATGGAAGAGTTGAAGAAGAAGATCATAAAGAAAAAGCAGGATGAAGCAAAGTCTAATATTTAAGTGTCTTTTATAGCCTATCTAACAGGTGTACTAAAGCATTAAGTCGTTGTATGGAGTTCTCTACTAGAGTTTAAGCTCGGCCGACTGTTTGCAGGTCTTTTAGTTTAGTTTTAAAATTGTGAACAGTTGCTGCGAATTGACATTGGGATAATTATTTACCATTTCTGATCCTTAAAACAGGTTAGTGGCTTCTTGATAAACATCAGTTGGGCAGCAAGGGCTGCTCTGAATAAACGCCAGAGGTGATACTATGCATTGAGCCATTTTGGGGAAACGAGGGACTGTTTCCTCTTCGACTATGAGCTTGGGTGCAAAAGCAAGATCATTTGGAGATCTGGCAGATCTTCTTTGTAGCATATGGCAGCAGAAGTGGCTGATAGTTCTCGCTAGAGGTTTCACTATAGAGTCCATTGCTGGCCTGGTGAATTCTCTGCAAAACTTTGAGGTGGCCGTCGTACATTGGACCACCGCTCCAAATAATCCCGTTCAGCACCAATCGAAGCATCGACATCCCAAACAGCCACCGAGCTATCAATGCCAAAGGTGGCGAGATAATTGCGCTGTGAAGCACAATGATGTTGGTCAGACCTCGACGATCTATCCGTGGAAATGCTCTGCATAACCCTGCTTTTACCGGATTTGCTGATGAACCCTTGGATGAACACGTCTGCTTCATGCTCGTTTCCGTAACTCGGCAGATGAGTTCAGCAGCCAGCCTGTTTTTCAACTCGGCCTCGATACTATAGCTTTTGTTCATGGCTGAGCAGTGGTGTCGGACCGCCTTGGGGAAATTGAATGCCTTGTAAAAGTCTTCCTCCAGCCGAATGAGAGCTTAAGGAGCCTCAAACGCACGGTTAATGTAGCTGACACGGATGTTGTAGACAACGTGGACATACGTACGTCGACCTAAGATGTATCCGAATTGTTGAAACCCTCGTAAACGCAACAATGCAATAGTCCCAAGAGTATGAGCCGTCCAGCTATTGATGTCGCCTTTGCCAGTGGAGACGATTGATTCGAAGAGACCCAACGTAAGCACAGCTGCTAGAGTGGCATTGAGTATTGCCGTGGCTGGGCCAGCAGGGCTAGCATTGGTTTGGCCCAGCGCTGTTGAGAACTCTTTGAATGCATGATATGGAGTCTCTTGGCTCCGATGACGTCTGACTAGGGCAGTCATCAACGCAGCTCATATTGTGTAGGCCAGAGCGTCCTGTGCAGAGTTTTGCAAGATAGCCTCGGCGTATAGCTGAGTTGGGTAGCTGGTTAAACAGTGCTATCTATATGAGAGTATGAGATATTATATAGCCCTATCAGTAGTTGGGACACTGATGGACAGACTTGGAGAGCCCTGAGAATTGGGCGGTGACGGCGTGGAACGTTCCGCAGTATGATTGGCCTTTAAAGGCTAAAGAATACTTTAGATAATTACTACTTATCTAACAGGTTATACAACTCGGACATGTCGCTGCATCCCCGCATCCCCGCATTACCTTATCTTCCTTCCTGTTTGAGTATGCAATCCCTCGAGACATGCAGGATCGTTGGGGTTGAGGCACCACCCGAGTTGTAAAACAGAGAATGGGTGGGTTGATGTCGAGGGTCTTCACGTTAGTCGGGCAACCGGGACTTGGCTGAGTGAGAATAGAAGTTGTTTACCATTCAATACGTACAGATACTGCGATACTAACAGCGTGCCGGCTTGGTATATAAGCCCCAAAAGCGACCGTACTCAATGTTCGAACAGTCACAACATTTCATTCTCATTCAGTCTTCTTCGTTCTTACTTATCACCAAGTCATGGCTTACAATCATGGTCTCGGGGTCTTTTCCCCAGCCCTGTACAAAGCTCTTCAAGCTGGCCTTTGTTTTCGTTCTGGCCTATTTTGTTCAAGCCGATGACTTCCGCCCTATCTATCACTTCGTCCCAGACAAAAACTGAAAGAATGAGCCGAATGGTCTGATCAAGATTGGATCCAAGTGGCATCTATTTTTCCAGCACAATTCCAATGGTAACTTTTGGGGCAACTTGAGCTGGGGCCACACGACTAGCACAAACTTGGTCGACTGGACTCATCTCCCTGTTGCCATCTCAAGCACTAATGGTATACAGGCTTTCACTGGCACCTCCTTCTTGTTAGAAGCTAACACTTCTGGGCTGGGAACCTTTAGTGACCCACCATATCTCGCGTTTTATACTGGATACTTTCCCAGTAGCGGCGTGCAAGACCAGCGGCTTGCGTAAAGCTCAGATCAAGGAGATACCTGGACCAAGTACAATGGGAACCCCATTATCTCGCAAGAGCAAGAGAACCCCCACGATACTACGGGGGGATTGGAAATACGTGACCCGAAAGTGTTCTTCCACAAGGACTCGGAAGCCTAGGTCATGGTCCTTTCCCATGGAGGACAAAACAAGCTGTCACTTTGGACTTCCCCAGATGCCAAGGCCTGGACATGGAAGACAGACCTGAAGGCTGGCGACATACCCGGGCTTGCAAGTAATGTTAAAGGTTGGGAGGGTCTGACTTCTTTGAACGTACCGTCAAGGGCACTTCCGACACCAGATGGGTCCTGTTGATCACTCCAGCCAAGGTTTCACCAGCCGGCGGCAACAAAGCCTTTGCAGTCACTGGATCATTCGACGGCACCACATTCTCCGCTGATGCAGTTGACTCAACTGACACGTGGCTCGACTTCGGACGTGATTGGGACGGCAGAATGTGCCTTCTTCTGATGGGCGCGAAATCCTTGCCTCGGTCATGAACAGTTATGGAGTTGACCCACCAACCAACACTTGGAAGGGGATGCTGTGGTTCCCGCGTACCTTCGAGCTACAGAATATCAACAACAAGCTTCGATTTGTAAAGGAAACCGTGAAAGAGATTGAATCAGCCAGTACTTCACTCGTCAAGTTAACCCTAACGAAACACTCGGACCTGGTTCCACACTTCTATCAGACACTCGTGGAACAGCTCTGGACATTCAGCTCTCCTTGATTCCCTCCCCTGGGTCTGTTGTATCTCTGGCAGTCAGGAAGGGAGGCTCGCAGCAGACTATTATCAACTATGATCAGTCCAAGTCGGCTGTCAGTGTTGATCGTAATCAGGGTGGAAATACATCTTTCAACCCGAACGCAGGTGGCCGAATGCAGGTGGTATTCACACAGCTAACCTGTCGGCTGATCCTGACGGTACTGTTCATGTGCGTGTATTGGCTGACACGTGCTCCGTTGAAGTCTGGGAGGCCTGGGTTAGGTTATTATCTCTGACCTCATTTTTCCCAGTGAAGGCTCGGATGGTGTGGCTCTCTTTACAAGCGGTGGAAGTGTAGTGGTGAAGTCAGCAGAGGATCGCTCCCTTGCTTGACTCCTGAAGTCAGATGATGATCATGTTGCTTGAGTGATGCTCTCCTCTTTTCTTATCTTCTTTTCTATCCCTCCTTTCATTCTCTGATCGTTCTTTTAGGTCTCATTATTTGTCTGCTCGGAGTGGGCAGTGATCAGTGGACCGGGTCGCGTTGTCCTTCCTTCTTACTGTGGCGACTCTATCATCATTGTTGACAAACACGCATTAGGGAGATTTCGTCTTATGCGGGCCTAGACGTTTGATCCTATCGGTTCAATATTGCAATAGTGTCAATCTCAGAAACCTTCAGCACCCCACAAGCTCAAGAGATCCCTTTAAGCTACCTAGTTAGCCATCAGGTCAGGCTAGTAACGCCTAACTAGTCATGCTATAAGCCCTATAGAGTTGGGTATAATATTGAAAACATGTCTGTATGGAATGGGGCAGAGGAACCTTTCAAGAAAAAGAGGGCGGATTATGGAGAGACGGCAACACTCGGAGCAGCTTTTGGGTGAGATTCATCCACGACCAAGACCCAAATCCCCGTCTAGGTTCTCTCTACCGGAATAAGCTCTCAGTCACAAGTCACAACTCCAAGTAACACTTCTAGCCTCCAACTTCCCAAACCCGGCTAGGATAACAGAATGTAGTTACGGACATCATGTAGCCCTTAGGTACTGCTAAGAATAAAATAATAATAACAAACTTCATTCTTAGTGCTTCCTCATGTCAAACCACTTGCCACCTACTAAGGGTATAGCGCTTTTATCCAATTTCCCTGTTGGTGTCCTTTTAATATCCTGTACAATCTCTATCACGCTTGGCACCTGAAATCGAGCTACACGCGCAACCGACCATTGCCAAAGCTCCTTCTCTGTTACTGTGCTTCCTGGATGGAGCTGCACAGCTAACTTGAGGTCGTCCTCTGTGCCCGGACCCAGCTGTGATGGCACGCCATATGCTGCTGCGACGACGTCTGGGTGACAAAAGAACTCATCCTCCACTTCTTTGGCGTTGACATTTTCGCCGCGTCGGCGCACAACATCTTTGTCTCGGCCGACAAAGTACATATTGCCATGTTCGTCTACCTTGGCTAGGTCGCCCGTGTGTAGCCAGAGATTTCTAAATGCTGAAGCTGTATATGCAGGATCGCCAAAGTACTCTTTCAGCATAGCGTTGGGATGGTCGCTGCGGATCAGAAGATGGCCGGGAGTGTTGGCTGGAACCTCGTCACCCCACTCGTTGATGATACGTATTTGGTATCCTGTACGCACACGCCCACAGGATCCTTGCGGAGAAGGAACCCCAGGTACTTGGAAAACAGGAACGCCGGACTCGACACTTCCGTATAAAGTGATTAATGAATGGCCAAACCTCTGCTCATACTCTTGCGCGAAGTTCGGCAGAGGTACACCCCAAGTAAGACGAACGTTGTGGTCACGGTCTCTCTCATTGGGATGTTGCTTGTACGTGATTGCCAACGTAGCTCCCATGTAATTATAGACAGTGGCCTCTGTGGCTCGGATCTCGTCCCAGAACTTGCTGGCACTGAATCGAACAGATAATGCAGCAACGGCGCCGAGCAAGAGGGCGGGTACCATGGTCAATGCTGTGGCATCCAAATGGAACAAGGGGAAAGGGCAGTAAAGTACATCACTATCACGCAGTTCGCAGCTTTCGATCAATGCCTTGCCCTGGAGAAGAAAGTACTCATGTGAGAGAACGCATGCCTTAGACTTCCCAGTGGTGCCGCTGGTATACAGCAAAGCTGATGTTGTTGCGGGAGTGACGATTACTGGCTCGGTAACAGGTGGAGCCAAGCTCATCAAATTGGACAAGCTCTGAGGACCAGTCCCATCCGAACTGTTAACAAAGACGGAAGCATTGTCAACCACATGAGTCTGTTGGAATTCAGGCAACAGTGCTTCATCGGCGATGGCCAACTTGGGCTGAGCGGATGTGATCACACCTTTGAGCGTGACAGACTTGAGCTCAGGATTGATTGGTACCCAAATCGCTCCCAGTCGATTAACGGCCATCCATGAATACGCCATTTCCACGCTGTTTCTCATCATGACCAGAACTCTATCGTCTGGGGTAATCCCAACCTTTCTCAGTCCACCAGCGAGAGCCCCGACCGCTGTATCGAACTGTTGGAAAGTGACCTCTTGACCTCCAAAGCGAAAGAATGGTCTTTTCGGGTAATTGACGGCAGAAACAGATAGTGCCGCATTAAGGTCTCGAATATCGCCCTTTGCAACATCTTTGGCATCATGACCTAGCCGTGCTGTAGGGACCTTCCGAGCCGCAAAGTTGGCATAGCCCAACGCTGCATCACTCTGGGCGAAGCAGTGACTGGCCACGCTCACCTCATCCTTCAAGCATGATTCCATGTTATCGAAAAGCGTCCTCTCTAGAGATGCTTTGGAGGATGCCAGTGAGACGCTCGGAAGCTCGGAGAGTTGCCTAGCAAGCTCTAATGCGCGCACTTTAGGATCATGGCTGATCTCTGTCAGGAGACCAAGCTTGAGGGCTTCATCAGCATCCACCCAGCGGCCAGTTAGGAGCAATTCCTTAGCTTTCAACAGTCCCACCATATGGGGCAAGCGAAGGGTGATGCCTCCAGTAACAGCGTGGCCTAGTGAGATTTCTGGAAAGCGAAACTTGGCTCCGGGCCCACCGATGACGAAGTCTGCTGCTAGCGCAATCTCTGCACCGCCGCCGATGGCGAAGCCCTGGACGGCAGCAATAACGATGGACTGAGAGGATGATGTAAGACGAGTAATGTCTTGCAGCTGGTCAAACGCCTGCTTCAGCTCCTCGGCCGAGCCTGTTTTTGGTGCCAGAGACTGCTTGAGGTCTTCGCCGGCACAGAATGACCGGTCACCTTGTCCCTCGAGAATGATGACGCGGGCACTGACATTGGCTCGGAGTGCTTCGACAAAAGAAGAGAGTAAAGGAGCATTCAAGGCGTTCAACGACTTTGGCCGGTTCAGAGTGATTCTTACAACCGAGGGGATAGGGTGCTCGACAAGCACCACTGGGTCAGACTCGCGGTTGTCCATATTGTATATGAAAGTCAAGTATCCAATTGAAGAAAGGGATCAGATAATAAATAATAATACAAATTCAAAGTGCCAGGCGACAGTTAATAGTTGAGAGGACATGTTTCCCACTTCATGTTCTTATATACTAAGGTACCTTAAAGTCAGGAGCCGATTTCGGACTTGCAGATAAGAAATTATATATCCTTCTATATTTATTTGGGAAACTTATTCCGATCTAGATGCCCCGTAAAGAGAAAAATACAGCATGCTATAGCGAGTTGGTGTCTAAGGATAGTAACAAGTAGCTACATGACTCTGATAGCAGCGCGGTCTGCTACTACCTCCCGCGCTATACTTATTCAGGAGTTGCAAGAAACGCATACCGAGCATTTCCCCACCTGATTGCATTAGTGTAAAACCAAGGTTACGTGCCAGTTGGGTAGCGGGTTGTTATCGCTAAAATACCCAGGCGATGCTGTTACAAGAACGTGAACTGGTTTAATGTCTAGTATGAGCCGTTTTTTGTTGACTTATCTTTTTATGTTGAGTCGATCTCCGAAAGCAATCTAGGGCTAATGACGAGGATAATTAAGTTGGGCATACCGCCGAGCCCTGTGTCCTTTCTTTTATGTCGTTTTTCTATCCTTCTTTCTGTGTTTCACTATCTCGTGTTCTTTACTTCTTTTACTAGGCACCCCTACAGGACCCAAGTCTCTACAACAATGGCTACCCAAGAACAATCAACTGCGACTAGTGGTTTTCAAACAATTCAAGATCTGTCCCAGCATCTCGCCTCTATAGCTGCTTCTCATCCAGCTACCGTCGAGCTTCAGCAAAAGATCGGCGTTGAAGTGACTCGCTCAGTATTGACTGTACGAGAAGAATGCATTCAAAATAACCCGACCTCAACAACTTTGGCTGGTCTCGATGCCATCTCGCCATCTCCATTCGTATACAAGGATGATACAGCTGGGCATGTCCTAGCATTCTATCATCTTGGACACAAGCTGTCTGGCCATTCTGGCCTCGTCCACGGCGGCATAGCAGCCGTGTTACTGGACGAATGCATGGGGAGAGCGAGTTTTCCCCGGCTGACTGGCAAGATCTCGGTTACGGCAAATCTCAATTTGAACTACAAGAGTCCGATAAAGGTAGATAGTATGATCCTGATCCGGGCCGAGGTTACGGCTGTCCAGGGGCGGAAAGCGTGGGTTCGGGGCGTTATTGAGAATACAGAGGACGGTGCAGTATTCGTCGAGGCCACGGGGCTTTTTATCGAGCCAAAATGGGCAGCATCGCTGGGAAAGTTGCTTTAGGCGAAGTGAGTTTGGGGTAGTATACATCAACGTCCAAGCGGTAAACGAGCTTCCCTATGGGCATGCTTCCATAGGGAGCAATATGCTAGTATAGATCATCAAATAAGCAAACTATCGCATCCAAGCTCATGCATGATCTGTTTCCAATCCAAGGTAACCTTTCCAGGATCCAGACCACTTTGCTGGCTGATGACCTTCCGTCTCCGCCATATTTCATGAAGGACGACTTTTATCGAAGTTCGACTTCCTATACCCACCGACGTTGCCCAATCGAGCCACTCCTGTGCTGTCGACAAGTCTTCCTCCGTGTACGCCTCGGCTGCGGCGACGAAGGCTGGCCATGCTGAAAAGTTGCCTGAACTGTTGGTAAGAAAGTCTGACACGTGACTCAGGGTGTTGTGAACGTGTTGTTGAATGGCGTGTGGAGGTACGTCAAGTAATGTCCGGTAGGAATAAATATACGTTGCGGATATGAATGCTTTCGCTTGATGTTTGGCCTCTAGAGGGCTATCGGGAATGAGGCCTGTGCCATTTTGGACTGAATTGAGATGTGAAAGGACTTCGTGAAGAAGTTCGTTTGTCGTTGTCTGAGCTCTGTCGCCAGGTGCTATGTGCCTGAAGTGCGTTATTTTGGCAATACATTCTAATATGCAGCGTGGCGCCCCGATAGTGAAGATGAAATCAGGTGTGGACAACATCCCTAGAGGATCCGGGTTTCCAGCGTTTGATGACTGATAATTCGCGTCGAGATTGGAGCGACTGTGCCATGTAGAGGACCCGGCTATAATTTCTATCACGCCGAGGCTTTCTAGAGAAGAGCGAGCCAAATCTGACAATATCCAAGAAGAGGCCTCGTTGTCTAGCTGAAGAAGGGTCCTTGCTCCTCGTAGGTGGTGTTTCCAATCTGTGGAGTGACCACGGTAGGCCTGGAGAGTGGTCGGGGAAGATGACGCTTATAAAGGTGCCAAAGGTAAAAGCCCGGCCTTGATGACATACCTCAGCAAATATCAAGCTCATGATGGAAGCTAGCATGGCCGATGAGTCGATCTTGTTATGTCCCAAATCATGTTTTAGGTGCGACAGTGCTGCATTGTAGTACTGTAACGCAATGTTGAACATATTGGCATCGTTTCCAAGCAAATGAGCGATATTGAATGCTGAATGGGCTAATATTGCCCGGTGCAGAACCTTTTGGCCTGATAACGCAAGTTTAAAGCGGCAGTGGCCCAGTAGCATTGCCACGGATTGTGAGGATGTTCGTATGGGAGCATTAGGCTGGCTACGTGGTTGACGTAGTGATGAAATAAGAAACGCTCGTCTTGAAACGGACTCGTGATTGAGTCAGGACTAGGCGGTTGCAGCCCTCCTAAATGAGTTGTATTGAAGGAACGTACTGGCGGTTTAAGACAATCAGGACCCGAGGAGAACACGGAGAAGGGATTGTGACATCTAGGCGTCCAAGATGATAGTCTATGGTTGGAATGGGCACCGGTACATGAAGGGTCCTGATCGCAAGAGAATATCAGTAGGTCTAAAAGCTCGCTAGATAAAGTCTTAAACCCTGCCCATGTTCATTCTATTGCGTTTTTAGCGGAAACAGAGTTACCCGGGATGTTGATGAGTAAAATCTAGAGAGGAACAATGATAAAGGAATAATGATAACCCCGAGACATTGAATTACATACCGCTTCGCAAGATACGCCGCCCATCTGTTTGAATGGGGTCGTTTTGATTCTTTTCTGTCCATACCAGCTTGTATTCGTAGCCAGAGCATTGGATGCCCATACGTCGACAGTTAAGACACCAGGGACGTTCCTCATCACACTGAATAAGTTAGCCCGCGCGGACTGTTGAATTGGTGCGATTTATCAGCAGTTTCATACCTTCACTTTACGTAACCGGCATTTCCAGCAACCCTACATGACAACGTAAGCTGTTTAGACCTTGTGAGCTCTCATGCATACATACGGTAAACGTCCGATGGCGGCGCCGTGCACCCTGCGTTGGTGGCATATGTGGATGGCTTAGGTGAGTCTGCTATAAACTCCTTAAGATTGGGCGTTTTAGTTGCAGGCAGTCTGGGCTTGGTAAGAAACGCAGCGAAAGTTGGTGATGTTTGTAATGATGTAGATTGTCCCCTCAGGTGAACGCTCGCTAGTAGTGGTCCTACTAGCTGCTCGGATTATTGCAAATTCCAATAACCCACTTTTTGTACTTTGCTCAATACGTAGATAGGCCGCTCAATCAGATTGACAGTCAAGTAGGCACCCCAACAGGTTGTATATAAATTAATGCGATATTGGGCAATCATATTGTTAGCAGAGATTGCGTTGTTTTTCAAAGGCCTTTTAGAGACTTAGTACATGCTCTTTTGGCCTTCATGCTGCAGTTTCAGGCTTGGCCTTTAGTGTAAGTGTTTATTGAATAGAATTGACAGGTTAGGGACACTCTCTTTACTTCGACTTTAAGATCAGTGCAACATGGAGTTACCCCCATGAGTAATTGAGTGTCTGAGAACCTAGAAAGGGTATAAGAGTTTAGCGGTGTTTAGCTGTCAGGAACCCGCATCACGCTACATAAAGCAATCGCTTACACGTGGTTACCAGAGAGGCAAGGAGGGATATGATAGTTATTACCTCGCAGTGGACCTCTATGCAAGTCATCATTCAGTTTGGAACAATAACCGAATGTTCTGTGCCGTTGCTCCACGGATGATCCCCTCGGTGAGTCGGTGAGTGAAACATTCCGTCCAAGCCAGCGTCACATCGAGCGCCTCGGAATTGTTTGAGACAATGGATAGCGAAATTGGTGTTATGATCCGCAAATAGTACCTAAACTACATGGCACGAGGCCATGTCATGACAAGAGTTTGAGAAACTCGGTGAGTTCTTGCATCCGGCTGCCCGTCATCCCGCGTGCATTGATCATCGAAGTTTGGTAATCGTACCACTTCAATTGGCTGTGATTGAATCTTCAAGACTCGAAAGGTAATGGATGACCTACAAGGGTTGATGCCGGTTGTAATCTCATTAAAGTGCCTCATCACTTGCGGAGAGCTATTTCTGGGGATACAAACAGTGAGATTTCCTCAGTGGGGAATGGAGTAAGTCGTTGTACCACTGAACTAACGTATCTGTGTAGAATTCCAGCGGTTGACTGTTAGTGCCAATGTCGTGCTTTGATCAAATGCTGACTAAAGGTGAACCATCGTGAAAGATCGGAACTGAATCATCTGATGACTCCGGGATATTCTCGCGGCACTCAGCAACCCCAATTTCTTGGGCACCTTCATTCTCCAAGGCAGTGCAATATTTACATTAACAGGGAATAATACCAAGCCAGGTAAGACGGCAACTTGTAGCAGGACAATGGACGTCAACGAGACTCCTTGAGACAAGATCTCAGGCGCTTTGACGCGTTGAAACATCCCGAGATGCGGCAGATACAAACAAAGCCTCAGCACGGCACAAGCAAGCAAAAATCTGACACGATCTCAATTGAATCTTTGTACTCTTTGCAATTATTGGCAGCGTTGGAGAAGCCAAATTGAATCAGCAGATGTTCGACACCCAAGGCATGGAGAAAGCAGCCCATTTACTCCACAATCCACGCCACTTGCGCCCCCGCGTGGTACGAATCTGACAAGCCCTGAGACTGGGGTCGGTGGGCTGACCTGATGAATCTACTATACGGAACTCACCGGTGATATAGCAAGATATTGAGACAGCTGAGAATAGGGATGGAGGGAATTGATATAAGATAATGTCCAATTCATCTTGTTCAAGCCATCATCATCACACAATTCTCTTCAGTAAAGACAAGCATCTCATCTCCGCTCATATCACACGCTGTGGTATCTATCATAAACAATCACACTTCAATTCTTTAACGAAGATTCATCATGACGACCAACTCATTCGGCGGAGCCCTCCCTCGCTTTGACTTCCCGTCACAACCAGCCCCAGCTGTATCCCGTATGGCGCGCATCCACAAAGCCCTCCCAGTTGTATTAGTCGCAGCAACAGTGGCTGGTAAGGCCTCTACATAGCGCGTCGCCAAGATACACTAACAATTGGTAGCTGTAGCACTCAAGACTACCCAAGAGGCCAGAGAGTCTCACACCTCCGTTCCCGCCATGTTGTTCGGCCGCGCTCCAGCTCAAGGCCTGGTACCTCGAAGACAAGGCATTATTGACAAGCAAACCATTGACTCGGGCGCAAAGCCGAACAAATAACAGGCTTCAGATTTAAATGGAATTTATCTGTCAAACGAATGAATAGGATGCAAGTCTGGGACATTATATTAACGAGAGCTGGGCTGGACCCCGTATATCATTTAATCAATATGAGCACTATTAACACGCTTCTTGAAATTCGCAACATTATTAAGCTGCCAAAATGAGATCAAGGTGAGGAGCATTGACCACTTCTAGAACGTTTGTCAGTACTTGCTGTTATCTGCAGTGCGCTAGAAAGCCTGGTAAGGGGGTTTTTCCACACACGCATGTGATTATGTGTCGTGACAGCTGCCAGATTTGGCACCACCGAGGCGCGGTCTTCCACAACTGGCAAGTTTTCGACCGTTCCTACAGATGGCGCTTCAATCACGCGGGGATCTAAGGATAAGCTCTTCCTTTAAATGAGAATAAGCGAGCTCAAAACCTTATCGCGTTTCATCACAAGCCTTTAGTCTTTTAGCCCATGTGGTGGCTTGCTTCTAGAACTTGCTCAGCGAATAATGCCCACCCAGAATGAGTCACGACAAGATGGACTCCAGCCCACTAGCTCAATCCTCTCTAGTGAAAGCTGGGGTAGAATCTGGGGTAACGCGATACATACATAGCGTAAATCTTATGTGGTCTGACACTGATTCAGCGCCCTGATGTCATTTGCAGCTGAAAGATTAATCCTTGTTCCTCCACACCATCACCAGAGCTTCCCCTGAGTTATCGACAGCACTATTGAACGCCCATCAGCATGTGTGAGTGGTTTTCTAATACCCCGACCCTGCTTTGATAACGTTTTAAAACGAACAGTTCTCCCGGGCTCGCTTCCCCTCCATCCACAGTGGATCAGATCGACAACTAAGCATGGCTTTATCCTCGACAGTCGAGAAGGACATTGCTATTGCATGCATTTGCTCCGCTCTTATCCTGTCACGATGCGCCTATCGTATCTACCATCGGTACAGAGGCAATGGGGGTTCCCATCGAATCTGGCACGCCGACGACATTTACATGGCCCTTGCTCTGCTGCCTCTCACCTCGCGCACCGTCTGCATCGCCCTATCATTTACCTTGAACCCCTCCAGCTCACGCCTGCCTGTAACCAAGGAGGAGGCGGCAGCTCAGAACACAACTGTCGAGAAGCTTGAACATGATCGGACTGTTGGAATTTCACTACTGATTGGCACTCGGTCGAGTTACACTCTGATGTATGACTCCTTGTCTGGACGTCTGTTTAACATACTAAGACCTCTAGTCTTTGGATCTTGAAAGCTGCCTTACTTTCCTTTTACTCTCGCTTCGTTCAGGTGACAAGCTGGGGCAAGGTGGCAGTCAGGCTGCTATGGTTTCTCTTGCTTGTTTCTCTTATTGTTGTTATCGTAGCGATATTGGCAGAATGTCGCCCGATGTCTCTGTATGAGTCCCATGTCTCTCCGGCCGTTCATTGTTAATCGTGTCAGGATGTGGAAGCTTGCTTCTAAGGAGAATCGTACGTCTCTATTTTCTTGTTGCTTTGCGATAGTGACCCTGATTCTACCAATGAGACTGACACATTACAGAACCTGTGTGTCAGAAAGGCATTGTTTACTTCTTCGCTCTAGCCGCAGGCAATATCAGCACGGACATTGCACTACTCATACTGCCTTTTCCGACCCTCTCAATGGCGAGATTGAATACGAGAACGTAAACGAACCTCGCAGTTCTCGATGAACATTGCGCTGACAATCGACAGTAAGATCCAACTCGGAATCTTGTTCAGTATCGGCATTCTAGTCATTACGATTACAATTGTGCGAGTGCCTCTTATCCTCGGCGATGCCATGTCTCAAAAGGCTCGGTCCACAGTAAGTGTTGCAGGCTGGAGCTCACTCATACCAATAAGGAGTCTGACTTCAATTAGTGGGCAACTATAGAGATTCTCTGCGGTTGCATTGTGGCCAACACGCCTTTCTTTTATGGGATCTTGAGAGAGCTTGGGCAACACAAGGGTACACAGCCTTCAGCTTCCGATCCGAGTAGATCGGAAGGTCCATTCTATCTGCAGAGCAAAGGAGCAGATCACCGCTGTTATGAGCTACAGCCTGCGAACAGTGATGCTGCTCATAGTGATGCCGCAAACAGTGATGGGAACAATAATTCACAGGAACTAATCATCGTACCATAATAATAAATCTTCTTAATTACCATTGCCAATAAGACAGAGGAGCATCTCACGACGAAAAAACTTAATCTAGTTTACCCACATGGGATGAAACAGACAAATCAGCTCTATCTTAACTGACACTCCAATTACCATGTTAGCTCGCCAGCTGTCTATAGCTCGGGGTACCGCCGTTTAGAAAGTCCAAGTACTGCAGGCACTCCAAGTCATCAACAAACTCTCTCTTCCGCTTGTCCACGACGAGGACCTCTTCGTGCGCGCGCCACAATTCATGCTCCAAATTCGGTGCTACCAGGCTGTAAATGACACAAGCCGTAACCTGTCCTGGAACGTTTACGGTAGTCAACTTGGAGTTGATGCTTAGACTCCTGCAGTATCTTGTTCTCATAGTGGCAGAGCTTCAATCGTAAACCGCCTTGTTTGACTTTGTTCATCCGTTCAGCACTACATGTTCTCACGAAGCGTGATTGTGAACCTCGATATGTCCCATGTTCATCTATGCCTCCACTACTACCCGCTCAACAGAGCTCCACTAGTACTGAATTTCTGTGTATTGATCCTTCTAATGTCTTTCACTATCAGTATCCGCCACTGTGGAAGGGTCGATGCCTTAGTCTGGACTGAAATTCACGCCGCTCTCGCCAATTTTACGCCTTGGTCTCTATCATGCAATGGCAGTGGTACCTTCCACTGGACAAGGCATATCCAATAGGATCGCGCGTGGTGCCAGAATAAGTATTCTCTTCGTTAAGTTGCCAGGTTCCGACAACAAATGAAGTTTGCCACTGCGAAGCAAACTAGCAAAGCCTGCCACTGTCATAGGGCTCCTTGGCCATGCGACATACTTCGGCAGCACCTGGTCAGTCACATCTCAACTTTAGACAACTCTTCAAACCCAGAACGCAACAGAATCTCGATCTTTACCATCAAAAGTTCTTGACCGACACCAGCATCACGATATCAACAACTCACAAGTAAACACAGCAATCCCTCAACATGACCATGACAGATGACACTCAGTCTCGTGTTAAGTCACTCGAGGAAGAAGTGGCCGAACTGCGACGTATGGTATCATCTCTCTCTCTCCAGACATTCAACCGATATGAGGCCCAGAACGCTTCCAAGGGACTCTCCGATGACGCACATACCAACAGCAACGCCGTGAGCACCCCTGCACCTTCAAAATTGTCTCTGATCTACGGAAGAGGAGATATGCGATCCTACCTCTCGACTCCCGATCCCAGATTCAAAGAGGACGAATGGCTCTACAACAAACCTCCGGGCTGGGGCTGGTAAAAGGGGTTTCTTCTCTGGGCCAAACAAGGTACTGAGTGGGCTTTTCCCCGCTACGTATTCTCTTATCTACAGCACGAGAATGCCGGACAATGCTCTGTCGGAGATGGTTGCGATCATTGGCAAGAGGGAAACGACCCTCCCACAGGAACTGTGATCTTGGAAGTTCTTTGTGCTGAGGTCAGCACATTCGAGGAGTGCCTCAGTCTTGGATCAACCCAGTGCCCTGACTTTGAGCCAATCCACAGAATGCCGACCGTTTTCTTCAATAAGATGCGGCCCAACTTCGAGGTGCTGGAAACCGTGAATGGTATCGATAACGAGAGATTCGCAGTCCTGATGTTTCGACTCATCAATGATCAAGTCGGCCAAAACCATTGGATGGATAAGTTTGGGAGACTCATTGATTTCGGCGCCTTGGATTGAACAGCCGTAGATGGTCTTGGGGTTGGAGAACGGGGATCTTGAGGCAGGTTGGTGTGTATGTACACTCAGTGACCTTATGGGATTCGTGGACTACGGTAGCATGTCATTCAGTTGTGGATTTGGTTTTGATGGGGTTCCCATCTTTGTGAGTTGACTAGGTGGTTCCTGACTTGGCCACATTGGCCTTTGGAATGCGGAGACTGTTATATTCTGGATGTTCGAGGACACGCACTTCTTAGAGAGACGGCGCAGTAGTTCTTCAATGGTAGTACCATATCTCGTCAATAAAACATACTTTATAGAGCCTTCTGCTTTATCATAAACTCTGAAAAGAAGCCATCAAGCGAATCATAATCATCAAGCTCTCCCACATACGACACATACTGATCAGGCCGCAAGATGACTACACATCCCTGGTCAGGCTTGATACCAAATGTCTCATATAGCTTTCCATGTCCCTCATGATAAGACTCATCATCCACAAAGATCTTGTTGTAATCCCAACCGTCAACCTCGTGATACGGTCGTAGAACCTCTGGGAAGTCAAAGATCTCGTGGTCCTGACGTTTCGAGGCGTGCACCGTGATCACTTCAATGACGGAATCGTATCGAGCTGAGGCCGGTGTGAAGCGCTTCAGGAACGAGGACTCAGCTGACAACTTGTCGCACAGTGACTTCAGTCGTTTGTTCTGGTTGTCGAGATCGATATCTCCGGGGAAGACCAGAACTCTCCATGATCCATTGCTTCGGAGAAGTTCTTGCAGATGCCAGGGTCTAGCATCAGACTGGCTGAGAACCTTGACGCTGGGCATGCGCATGCCGAGCTTGATCTCTGGGGCCAAACTCTGCCTCTTGGCAGCGATGTCCTTCAGACTAGAATCATCAGAAGTAGGTTTGGCGACAATGTTGCTTTGACCATAGTCCACGGCTGGAGTCCGTTAGCTATGAGCGTCAAGTCTATCGAATGAACTTACCAATTCCACTGGCGAACAAATTGCCCTTCTCAAACGCTTCACGGAACTCATCCATACTGATTCCCTCTTCGTCCATGATATCCTTTGCCGGGCGGCCAGAAAAGAGGCGAGAGAACTTGTGATCGAAGTCAATGAGAGCTTTAGCAATGCCCTTTCTCTCAGTCTCGTAAGTCTTGAGTATCGATCGGCTAGCAAGGCCCTTGACAACATTGGCGACCTTCCAGCCGAGATTGAAAGCTGAGATTGTTAGCTCGGTCAAGAAAATTGTTTTGAGGTGAACGACTCACAATCTTGCATGCTGACATTCATACCCTGACCAGCTTTGGGGCTATTGGAAATTGTCAGATATTTGCGTCATCCTTGAGATCGGAGAACAAACCTGTGAGTGTGAACAGCATCACCAGCGAGGAAGACCCGGTCGTGCGCCGAGAAGTTAGATCCGACACGTTGTCCGATCTGATAAGCCGTCCACCAATCCAACTTGCGATACGTCAATTTGTAAGGAGCCAGAATCTTCTGAGCGGACTTAAGAATGACATCAGGGGTGATCCATGACCTGTCAGCTCGTGAATCCTGCTCCCCAATCTTCGCCGTTGTCGTAAGCTGGATATACAGTCTGACCAACTTGTTCTCTCTCGGAATGACCATGACACTACCCGAACTCGCTGAGTGAATCGCACAGCGTTGTCTGATATCAGGGAAATCCGTAATGGGCACAATATCAAGAACACCCCAGATGTAGTCCGTTGATTCACCCTCAAGCTTGAATCCGAGCTCCTTTCGGACCCATGAGTGAGCGCCATCGGCACCAAGCATGTACTTCGCCTTTACCACCTCGACAGTATCGGCCTTATCGTTCAGTTCAGCAGCTTTGAGCATGTCGGCTGTATCATCTGGCGAAAGGTTGCTGCGGAACAGACCGTCCTGAACCGTAGTCCCATTGGCAGATGTTGATGTCTGCTTTGGCTGAGCCTCCTCCTCACTGAGATGTCGAAGGCTGACAGTGATGGGGTATGCATCTGGGTCTTCAACAACCTTGGGATCGATCTCCAGGCTTGTTGGCATGACACCCCGCTCAACTGAGATTTTTCCCTCGCTAAAGTCGTTGATAGCGTCGAGGAAGAATCTCTCAATGCGACCCTGATGAAGAACAACCTGTTGAAAGCGACTGATGCCAGGAATGGTGTCGGCAATCCTTGAGCTTCGACGAAGAACACCCTTCTCATCAGGGTTCCAAAGAGAGATTTCGAGCATGTGATTAGATTCAATCCAAGCTCGGTGCGCAAAGCCGAAGGAGTCGAAGATCTCAAGTGTTCGGCATTGAAGACCGTCTGCTTGACCATTGAAGACCTACAAACTTGTCAGTTAAGCCTACAATAAGAGACGATTGAGCTCACCTTTGTTCCTCTCTTGTCGACGATGCGTGTTTTGATGCCGCATTTGGCGAGCCATGTTGCCATCATGAGACCGGCAGGTCCGGCTCCAACGATGAGAACGTCGACATGGTCCGTCTTTGCACCAACAGTCATTTTCGTACAGATTTCGTATTTTCTCGCAAGGAGCGGAGTGTCTGATAGTGCGGTAGTGGTATCGTCAATCTGCCAAGATGCACTCGCAGGATCTTATACTCATTGATGATTTGAAGAGGGTCAAGTGATGCAAGGGCGAACCGACAAGTTGGTAGATCCGAATCGGAAGACGGGTGCTTACGTGCCTTGACAGATGAGATCGGAACAGTTACGAATGGCCCTCGAGTGAATGGTCAGGCCATATGTACAGAAGCCACATTATCTAACACTTCGTCGGCCTTGATAGGTCGAGGCTTGTGTCGGAATGACCATCTCGAATTGACGGCAGATTTCCGTCAAGACCTTAGCCCAACTTGGCTCTAGCTTGCGGGGTAAAGATGGGGACCAGTTGTGAGTAGCGAATAGCATCGAGGATTATCGCTAGCCACTTGCTGATAAGCTTATCCGTTTTCAATAGAGGAGCAGTCATCAAGTCAAGTTGTCAGTCCCGATCTACGTCCGGGGGAAAGGAGCAAAACTATCGGAAGAAGAATAATCTGGGGTATGGTCAATCGAAGCCTCGTATGCAAGTGCGGGTCTCCAGTTTCGGATGTTGGTTGATCATGCAGTTTGACATTTCCGAAATTCTCTTCGGATTCAGGGTAGTCCCCATCCGAGATGGAGGTTTAAAATGATCTTTCGGATACTCGATCGCAGACACATGGTGTACAAAAATATCAGTATAAATGGCGGAGGCATTCTTTGCATTGTGTTCTCAGCGCTGGAGCGTTGATGCATTAAAAATGTTTCACAAAGGCATGAGTAATCTCACCAAGTCAACTAACTCTCCCTCGACAGGGATTCTGAGTGGATACTGGATACTTCAATGAAATATGTAATTTCCAACGCAACTCAACATTAGAACTGGTCTTATTCCTTACCCAAAGACTCCCATTGCTCCAATCTAGTCAACCATTCGTTGGCTTCGCCTACCAGCTCCCCATCATCTTCATCCGAACTACGCTCCAAGTCCTTCACCAGCGCTTGAACATGTTCTCGCATCGGCATCCAGCTCTTACCAACAGGCACACAGTCATATACAAAGTCAATCAGGAAGTGCTGATATTCCGTATCCTTCTCTTCATTTGCCTTGGCCAGAAATTCCGCTGCAACAGCAGCCGCAGTCTCAGGAAATCGAGCGAGCTGGTCTCGACATGGCGTGAAAGCCGGATTGTTCGCGTCAACAAGCCACCCAAACAGCTCAGGCATGTACGGCCTCATCTCTTCAGCAGTGTGAACACGCTCTGTAAGCGTGCGATCGCTGACCATGTCGAATTTGTCCTTGCTGACCCAAACTGCTTTGGGATCTGCGGCAAAGCGCTCAAGAAGACCGGCGTTCTGAATGAGAATAGACGTCTGGGCGTGATGGGATGAGCGATGCGCAAATTCTGAGATGTCAAATGCGGCGAGTGCAGCCAAAGCTGGTCGATAAAGCTGGAGCTTTTCGAGGGAGAGCTTGAAAAGGACAGAGTACAAGGCTTTCTGATGCACCCTCAATGTATCGTAATCTTCATCCTCGATAGCAGAAGTGAGAGCAGTCGAGACGGCTTCGACGGTACCAGGCTCTGATGCACGGGACCTGATAATGTCGATATCCTCACTTCCATCCTCGAAAAGCGTCTCTCGGTCTGACCAGAGCATTGTCGGCACCTTTTCAGCAAAGGCCTTTTCGCCCAGGGCGGTCAATTGTTCGCGGTTCATAGTGATCAAATGCCGACGTGCAAATGAAGAGTCAGCCTTTGGTGGAATGAGAATTGCGAATTGAGGTCTCGCGCGGTTGGCAATTATGAATCGCCTTACAGCTTGATGTGTTGATCGCGCAAGCATCACCAGAAGGAGTCAAGAATAATTCAGCAAGCGTCGCTGGCAACAGAAGAAGGGAATGACTCAGGATAAATAATCCAAGCCTTCAAATTGGCCCAAAGGCCGATGTCATCAGCAAAGAGTGACGCATGAATAATGTTACCAGATCTGGTGTTCGTGTCACTGAGCTGAATCTTAGTCGAGGCGCTAATGGCCTTCGCCAGCGACTGACCCTGGAGCTTCACTGTCATCATCCCCTGGCATCCTTGAAAATGCGCCTGAGCTAGTTGCTTCGCCACCGCCAAACGGGCTCAGCCTTATCAGTCACGAAAGCCGGGGGTCCAGCCAAATGTAAAAGCTGCGCTCAGCAATCACGAAGTGCAGACAGGCGACTCTATTCGGCATCTTCACATTGATCATTGTCAGTACACATAAACAAGAAACATGTCAGTTGTATCGCCATCTAGATTATGGAAAGGACGGTCTAAAACAGCTTATAACCTGGCATGATATGGGCATCCCAGTTATCCTCAAACTCATACCCCATATGCTCACCAGCTCTCCTCACAAGTCGCTTCGCTGGACAATCACTAACAGTCGTTGATGTGGAAGTAGTCGTCGTAGGAAGAGTAGTCGTGAACGCAGTGATCCCAGCCTCTGAGCAAGCCGCGTAGTATTCCTCGGGAGAGTCGCAGTAGGTAGCATAGACAGGAACCTCAGTTGGCTGGATGGTAGTGGCTGTAGGCTCTCCCTCTGCACGGGCTGCAAGGGTATTCATCGCAGGCCGCCAGGTCGGGAAGGCTGTCGGAATGCGGAACGCGACTTCGCGCTTGAATACGGTTGAAGTCCTGTAAATGTCAGTCTACGATCGAAAAAAGCAGGAAAGAAGTCTTACTCGGGGTATGGGCTGACAGTGACTGTGTTCAGTCTCGAACAGTCAGCCAGACGGCTCTCTCGTGGAGGCTCGCCGTTCAAACCATCAATGCCGACAAAACAGGCATCGGAAGAAGTGGTCGGTTGAACAGCATCGGACGAGGCAGTCATCTCTGCTGTGGTGGTCGTCTCAGCACTGGACGTTTCGACTCCGACGATCTGTCCATTCTGACATTGTTCCTCTGCATCACCATGTTAGCAAGATAAAACGCAGAGGCTACGTGTCCTGCATACCCTTGTACGCCGTGAGAGTCACAGTTTCACAGCCAACAGGTTCTGACCCAAAGGTGATGTACACCTGTCCATCAGACTCGGTCTGACAGAACCCAGCCTCGCCGAACGACGAATCCGTCCATGTAAGACGACCACTGGCGATTGAGAATGTCGTCGTCACTGAATCAGCTGGTGGTTCGCCCTGAGCAGCAAGCTCCTGAAAGCCACGGCCGGAATAGTAAATAGGCACTCCATCCTCCAAGAGCTTTCCCTCGTCGAGGCGAAAGACCGAAGCAAAGGTGCATTCAGTCGGACTGTTGCTGCCCACGAATGTAGCATCTCGCTTCCATAGACGACGTTGAGGGTTAACCTGGAAGATGATAGCCTCGCCAGCGGGTACGGATGCGCTCGTTGTAGTGGTAGCTGCCTCCATAGTAGTCGTGACTTGATCAGAAGTAGTAGGCTCGCTGGTCGATTCACTGGCGGAGAGCGTGCTGAACGAAGCCCCACCAGGCTTACAAGGCCCAGCCGCAGCATAAGCCGTTAGCACAGCAAAAACCAGACTCTTAGCGATCATGGCTGCAATAGTCTATGGATGCAGAAAGTCAAAGCAGAAACCACCAAAATCGCAAACGTGCGACTTAAGAGATAAATATGGCAATCTACTCCGTAAATCGTACTTCATTTTAAAAGCACTTTTTAGCGCTGACCGGCCAGCCGTTGTGCCGTATTTAGTCAGGGGTTTTAAGAAACTATTGATGCTAGGTGCTTTGGCGCTGAAAACTATTGAACTGCCTAGAGCCAAGTCGGAATTTATTTACTGAGGTCCCCGCCAATCGGGCGCTGAAAAGGAAATTTGATGGCACCAATCGGGCAAACTGTCCTATTGGTCGGATCCCAAGCGAGTGTACTTGTCTTGTATCACATTGTAGCGTGGCTCCCACTTTGACCTGTTATGCAATGAGTACCCTCCACATTGAGAGTGACGGAGCTGGCTGTAAGCGACGTCCTACATCAAGAACAGGAACATGATGCGAAGAAGAATTACGAGGAACCGTCAATCTTATCTTATCGAGTGCGATTTTCCGGTCAGCATGTTCATGATGGAGAATAAAGACCCGTTGCAAGTGACTGAGGCTCGATATCTTGTGAGGTAAAAGGTAGACCCTGGTTTAGAAAGCCAGCCTCGAATCAGTATCATACAATTCACAGCATCCTGTTCCTTTTCAACAGCACATCGCTCTCAGGCGCATATGGATGAATACGATTGACGAAAGACCCGTCCTCAATTAATCTATTCAATGTTCTCTGCCAATTACCGGCCATCTCTCTGAAGCGACTTGGGATAGCTCAGGCATTGCAAGGTCGCACAGAAATCGGGTTATAACAACCAGTTACAAACGCGTCACCTGCAGGAAAAAATACCATCCAACTCTTTGCCCAAGGCCAGTCCGTCGCCCTCGATGAGCCGCTCACGCAAAGTGACCAGGCATCCCCGCTTCCGCGATTTTGACGCCCTGGAAGCTTTGAGAAGACGCGGCCTTGAATGCGCTATCAATCTTCTCGTTGCGGGTGAATGAAACATCGATGGTGTTGTCAAGGACGGTTGGACCTCCTTGGATGTAAGAGTGGGTAGTGAACACTGCCGTGAGACTGCACTCCTCGCATTAATCCTTCGCGTCTTGTGATCGACTATCTGAGAGACTCTAGTCTCTGTAAAGAGTTCTAGACACTCATGGTCGAATATCACAACAGCCATACTGAAGACAACTTACAAACATTGGACGCCTGTTTTCAACCGCGAGGAGGTTCATATCGAGAACATAACACGTTACAACAGCGTCTTTGAATCGATCATTGACTTCATGGGCCCTGACTGAACAACTTGCATTGTGTCAGCACATCTCCTAGCATCCTTCACCGTACTCATCACAATGGAGAGTGGTTTGAACATTATTACCATCGTTTAGAGATGATCTTGTGACAACGAGCGAGGAACAACGAGCCGCTAGAATGGGGGAGTATCATGATGCCGAGTTTCCACTGCGTGCGGTCTTTGCCGAGGTGCCGTTTAATCTCGTCGATAAGCTTTTGGGGCAAGTACTGCCGAGCGGTATTCGGCCGAAAGCTTCAATACAAAACCTCGTGTTTGCGAGACTCTCACGGAGCAAACACAGCAGGTGTTCCATTTTCCTAAAGCCGAAAAGGTCAATTCACGCCAAAACAACATCCCATTGTCATCAGCTTGTTCTCCGCCTCTGTTGGGTGTACAACACACCAGTCACTTTGTGCATGCCCCGCCTCCTCTATCATGAACCAACTGATGATTCAATATATCTCTCAAAAATACAAGCTCACTTCGGCACCTGTTCGGGCATATGTCGCTGCCGAGAAAGCGGGCAGAAGCTTCAGGATAATAAACCCTAAACACAAGAACATCCAAGACAAGCCATGCTGGAAGCTCGGCGGTTTTGGTATGTGTTATGCATCCCAATCAGGCCAACTGCTCGGCGCTAACAATGATGGCGAGTACATCAAGGCACTGGAGGAGTCAAGCTTTGCGTATCTGATGTCCGTGTCGGCATTTCTCACCAAGAGTATCCGCCACAAACAGAAAACGGGGGGCGTTGACCTTCTGGCATTGCAAAAGTCAATTTGCGGAGAAACAACTCAGCCGCTCGGGATGATTCGGGAAAACGTCAGGTTGAGCTGTGGCTTGAAACGGAACAACAACAACAAACAACAACAACAACAACCTCCTGTCGTTTTCTGTGGGTTGCAATGGAATCAAGAGAGAGAGATCAACCTTGATGGAATATTTATCGCAGTCAACACGACTCAACAGAAGAGGCCCTCAACAGAAAAACAGCTCATCGCATGCCGTGCAAATTGATACCATTCATATTTAGTTATATTGGCAACTCAGCTTCCAGGATGGAGGAGGTGAAATGATCTGCAACCCTGGATCAACATCAGTCTACAGTTGAGCCCATGTTTGCCAATTTCTTTGTCGTTGGAAACGCGTTCTACTGTATGAATGATCAGACTGAGGCAGACACATGCTAATCATTAGTGGCAACGAGACGTTCAAGTCCTTGCTGCAAAATGATCCTGAGCACTTGGTTTTCTTGACAACCAAACACAACGCAAAGATTGACCGACATCAAAGATACGCGAACATGCAACAGGGAGGCACCTCGATCGAGAGTCACATGGGAGTTTGACCAGATCAGAGTTTCCGAGAATTGATAACAATAACAGTAATGCCACAGATCGTGACTGATGTCGGCTTTTCTTTTTAACGTTGCCTGCCGATAACGACGTGAAGGTTGCGGCCCGAAACGAATTGAGGGATAAATACAAAGCGCCCTTAAAGTTTCTCCTACAAATGCTGATAAGGAACTTGTATAAAATGACCGATCCTTCCCTTGGTGAGTTCGAGATCTAATGTTACATTTAAACCCCTTTTCTAACCATTATCCTAAGACATTTATTCCTTCAAGAAGCATCAGCAGGGTCTGTTCCAATCGGTAAGTACTATCAAGCATCTGGATAGTCAAGCCTTATTCGCAGACTAACCTCACTCACAGGAGCAGATTCGCGCCTTCTTCAGAGTCAAAGATGTGGTTACTTTTTACATTCTATCTAGTTCTGTCTGTTGCCTCTGCGGCAAGAGTCAGTCTTTCTTTCACTTTAGACCAAGGAAAAAACATGTCTTCCCTCGTTATATATCGCAGAAATGGGGGCGTTCTTATGGGGAGATGTGGTAGGAGAATCAACAGCAGAGTGCCTATTGACTTTTCTCAAGTTACCGTTAACAATTACGGCGCCTTACCACCATATGGGAACTATGACATAAACAGCACTTATATCATGCCAATTACAAGCGGAAACTTCACAATGGGGAACGATACCTACGCGATTCATCCTAATCCTATATTTTCAGGAGGCCCTTCATGCAAGACAGATGTTGACTCTGTCAACCAGCGCATTTTAGTTTACTGCACAATGTTGTATTGGGATTATACAGACATCATCTCCGACATGAAGACAGTAGACACCCATTGCTTTGGCCCTTGGCCCCCACTGAGGGGGCAATTTGACTCGGACTATTACAAGAGCGACCCAATGCCAAAAATTGGTCGTCGTTGTGGTAAGAAGGAGAAGAAGAAGAAGGAAGGGGAACAAATAGCGCCTCTGTACGCTGACGGAGCTGGTTAGTATAATGATTTAATTAACTGGACTTGACGTAGCTAACATTTATATCAAGGATGGCCTCACCAGAGGTACTTGTACCAGCAGATCTCAGTAAGCTTGCCTCTTAAAGCCTTATTCTCTACCCGCACTCTTGATACTAACTAATTACAGGACGTTGTGCATTGTGGCAGAAACCATACCTGTTGTGTTAGCAGTGATAGGTCGCAGACTGCAACCTGGTCGGCCCAATTCCTGCAGGCCATGGGCACGAATATCAATGTTGCGAATGTTATTCATGTCTGCAATCAAATAACCTTGGGTTGGTCTATTGCGATGGCTTGGACTGAAGGGAATTCATATACTTGCCATGGCAACCCAGGTGATCAAGTCTGCATTTGGTACAGGGTTGCCCATACTGCATGTAAGTCACACGCTTATCTAGACGCTATAAGCAAAATGCTAATGGATAATATAGTTGTGATTCGAGAGCCCGGTAAGGGGGTTGTTAATACCTGTGACATCCATGGTAAGCAAAATATGGTAGTTGCCCCTCATAACGGAAATGAGGGTGGTGGGGTTATCTGCAAATACAATGATGAATGCAGATCGATGGGTGAAAGATTCTGGGACTGCTACGGTAGGCAAGATGAACATCTTAGGTGGTGTCCACCTCCTGGATATCCACCTAAGTTGGATCGAAGTAAACGTCGTCCACAGCAGTGTCCAGAGTCAGACGCAATATATAACGCCAAGTTAGAGAGAATGAGAGAGACAATAGCAGCTAAAGGTATACCGGCATGGAAGGATCAGCAACGGGAGAGCAAGGAGCTTGAAGATAGATTAGAGATAGAAGATGAGGAGAAGTGGGGAACTCTAAGAGAACAAGAGAAAATGGAAGAAGAGAGGCTAAGGAGGGAAGCAGAAGCATTAGAGAGGAAGAGAAAGAAGAAAGCAGAGAAAGATTTAATGGAAGATACAGAAGACAAAGAAGATAAAGAAGACAAAGAAGAAGATACTATACAAGTACCAGGAAGCATAGATTTTTAAATCTAGTTATACTATTTATTATTAAAGTTTAAACAAATAGCCTTCCCAGCATAACGACCTCATAACACTAACACTTGCTGTAATACCACTTTCAATAGCTCCATCAATAAAACCCCTCCATCCATTAGCCCAGTCAGCACTGGCGAAAAAGACTCTGCCATGAGGCGTCTGAAGCTCCTTGAGCCAACGACTCATAACTGGGCCAGGTCCCCAGCAGCTCCAGGTCCCTTTCGCGAGATCATCGTTCATCCAGTCGTGGGTGAGATAGGCTTCAACATCCGCATCAGGTTTAATGTATTCCTTAAAGCTTGCAATGATGTCTCCGCTAGCTCGCGGATCTGCGAGATGCCCGCCATAGCCAAAGCCAATGCAATATGTACCATTGTTCTTGTTAGTGTTGCCATTGTGGTCAGAGAATGCAAAACACCAGGGGGAATTTCCGTAGCCACTTGCCATAGCGAACCAGCCGGGCTCGGTTTGCTTCAACTTGAAGTGAATCTTGGCACCTTGGTTGATATGACCTGCCTTGACAGCTTCTTGGCGGAGTGGCGAGAGAGGAGGATTGAACGCGATATCCGACAAGCAGTTCCTGGATAATTGTCAGCTTCCAGTTGCAGCTATACGGAAGTTGGGCGTACTCACAACGGGATAGTCGAGATCAGGTATTTGGCTTCGATACGTCGACCATTCTTTGCAGTCAACGTAACCCCGTTGCTTTTCTGGTCGATTTTCTCAACCACAGTATTGAACAGTAAATGTCCCCTATACTCAGACAGTATTGCCAGTGCCAAAGATGTCATACCGCCATTTCCAAGCTTACAGAGCCCAGCACGCTCGAAAACACCAGCCATTGAATGTCCACCAAGTGCATACCATCGCAGCACTTCAACAAAGCCACATTGAGAACCTGGCACAGAGCCAAAAGAGCTGATCATGGCATCAAACATGTCCTTCTCGAACTGGGGAATGTCCAACTGATCGAGGCGGTCTTTGGCGGAGAGATGCTCATATTTCTTCCACAGCGCAGGTTCGCGCAATGGATCGTGGGGATATGGCATTAAATCGTAACTGGTCAAGCCGTCAATGGCGAAGAAAGCATCAGCTACTTTCTGGACTACTTGGTTTGTCTCTTTCGTATCAAGCTTGTTTGGGCCAGCAAAGCTTGCAGTATAAGCCGTGTACTTGGCGTCTGCTGTTCCTGATGAGGTCTTGAGGTTGCTTTGAAAATTGTAGCGGTGAATCTCTGAATAAACGTGTGGTTGACCCCTAGAATCACTGCATCTGAGCTATGTATCAGCCGCCACATAAAGGACTTACCAATGAACCCATGTTCCTCCCATCTCAAACTCCTCACCCAAAGTTTTGGCAGTCCATGTTCTTCCGCCGATGCGATCGCGGCCTTCGACAAGAAGAACCTTACCGGTGGTAAGACCGATATTCCGAGCAGCGATAAGTCCAGCAAAGCCAGTTCCAATTACAACAACATCATACTTGTCAAGGAGTGCCGACTCGGGTGTACCGTTGATAACAGAGTCTGTTTCAAGGCCAGTTGTGAGGCCGTTGGGGGTCCAGAGATAACCTTCTTTTGAAGTCGGCATAATGACTAGTGCGATGCTGATGACAAGAGAATTTTGTGATGATATGCTCAGGTTCATTGATAGAAACATGGCCATCTTAAATGCACTGGAGGTCTCATGGGCACATTTCCTGATTGGGACAAAATGTACGAGGTTGCTGATAAGATGGCCAAAGTGGTCATTCCGACGTTCCGAGGCTGAGCAACCTCGCACTTTACATCCATTTTAGTACTAGACTGAAACATGTCAGCGACGGAAACAACGCTTCTGACGATGTAGACCCCAGACTTTACATGCAATTCAGAACATGGCATTTACTTGACGGAAGATACAATACTAAAGGACCAATTAACCGAGTCCATTTGTAAATAATCACAGGCCAACATAACCACTTTTCATAAGATAGTGAACCCTTCTGTTACCAGTGGTAATCTCCAAGTTTAACCGGGTCATCCAAACATTGTTTCCAGCCTCTTCTCTGACATGATGTCTATCCAGTGACAGCTCGGCATCGCTGAGCTCACATTATCAACCATCGGTAAGATGTCCATACGCGCCCAAACCTCCTCTAGTATAAGCATGGCGTTTCCAATTGGCCCCAAACGAACAGCCGCATACATCTTGTGAATCCGCTGTCGAACAAATGTCCGCAGACGAAGTGTTTCCAATCTCTTCGATCCTAGACCTTCTCCTTTTGCACAGACAGGCCCCAGTACACTACCAGCAATCAGTAGTGATAGGAGCTGTATCGATATTGTCCCTGAGTCATCCGGAATCTTTTCCAATGTTTCCAATATGCTAAATGCCAGTCCCATGACTAGGCGTGTCCCGTCATCGCCATGAGGCAGATCAATAACACCGTCTGGCATCTCCTCTCTCCCTGTTGTCTCTGGGAATGCAGAATAGAGCTCTAATAGGGCAGCCATACGATAACAGCGAGAAATAGCCAGCAAGTGATCAGGCGTTGTGCATGGATCTCCGATGTTGTCAATAAGACCAACAAAGGGCAGGCGATACTCCACAATCTCGCGCTCAAGACTAGTTGCCTTGGCAAGTAACTCAGCGTACAGGGCCTTCCGATGACTCTCTCCAGACTCAAAAACCCGCAAGCTCTTCAAAGCCTGGTTGTTCCGCACCAGTGTCAGTGTATTTGCAAGGAACACAAAGATGGGCGTTGCAATGCCAGTCCATGGACAAGGCTGAATAAGTGCTGGGGGATGGGGATCACAAAAGATGTTGAGATGTGATAAGCCTTCGTACTGCTGGTCGAAGAGCGCTGAGCTCATAGCTTCCCAATATACCATAGATGAGACCACGAATGTTTGTGTTCTTGTCATTTGTCTTCTGTTGTCCATGTCTGTGAGTTTGTTGAATACTACCCATGATTTGAATAGTTGTCGTGACCCATGAAGATGCGGCAGACCAGTTGCAGAGACATCATGCCAAGCCTAGTGAGTCAACATGCGAGTCTTGATCAGCTGAAAGGGGCATATATACTTACCGCAGTCATTCCCAGGAATATAATGCTCAAGAGTAAGTCATCGGAAACATTCAGAATCCTCTCCCGAGATACCAAGGCTGTAGGTCGGTTATCATGTACCGCGCATTCCTTGCTTATCGGAAGTTCGGACAATGTCTGCGACAGATGTGACATTGCCTCAGTCTGGAACTCCAATGGAACATGGCTGCTGTTTTTGTCGCCTTGGTACAAATGAGCTGCTGACATGCTGAGCACGCAACTGAAGAGTAGGGGTGAGTCGGCCATCATTCTGGCAACTTCTGATCGGAACGGGTTATTCGCCGAGTCGAAGGATGAGTTGAAATGGCAAACTGTCGTAAAGTAGTGATCCAGGATGAGTGATGTCTGTGGAGTTGGTGTGTAGGACATCAGGCAAAAAGAGTCATCATATAAGGCATCGAGCGCAAGAGGGCATTGTTCATCCACTTGGACATCGTCGCACAATGTCGAAGGTTGATCTGAATTCGACATCGATGGTGGTTGTATTTCTAACATGTCCTCCAAGTGCTCCCTGGCATCAGATAAAGTCGAACGAGAACCTTGCGTGAAAGAACGAGGTGCTCGTACTTCGGAGTCGTTGTCGTTCTGAGTCTTGCCGCTTCCAGGGCCTGATTTCAGCTGCATAGAGCTTGATAGATTATTGGCACCTGATTCAACCCAATGAAAGGAGTTTCCGGCAGTCGGTGATGAAATAACCATGTGTCTCTCATACTTGACTGACCATTTCACAGGCTTATAATAGCCGGGACATTCGACGCCAATTTTCGCGCACCTCTTACATCCCGGAAGCTGTTCATCGCACTTCACTTTCTTTTCTCAAAAGTTAGTATTTCGATGGACTTCTCGTTTTGACAAGGCCGCGACTTACGCGTCTCTTGCAGTTAGAACAGCCAGCTAGACACGCCTGTTAGTTGAGTCTTTCACATCTCTGAGATACACTAACTTCGTGTTTTCACCTTCTTAGCACGGCGTCTATGTGACTCGTCCGACATGGTCACAGCCGGAGCCCGCTGCATTTACAGAGTGATGATCCCGGCAGATGTTCTCTCTCAATTGAGCGCCCAGACACGCTACCCCGCATTCCGGTATTCCGGAGAGGAGGTTCCACCAGGATAACGCTTCCTGCACATGCTTGATCGGGCAAAGTTAACCGTAGCATAAATACGGTGATCAGATGCCTGAGGTGTTATCGGGGATCCGCACTAGCTAGCTAGCCAAGTAAACACGGTAACCAGCAGCAACAGATAGAAAAATGCCCAGTCCGATAAGAGAAAGCAGATAAGCTATTTTTAGGAGTAGATAAGATAAGCGAAACAGTTCCGCTCATCAGCGGAATCAAATGTCAATAAGGCTGAGGACGCGGAATGAGCTCCGCCCATGTACTTGGAAGGACTGTAAATAAGAATTCTCAACGCAGTAATTCCATTAAGCAAATAAGTGCCTGGCTCTCAAAGCTCCTATAGTACTGAGTCAGTCATTAACACAATAAGAATGCCAGAAGATCCATCCCATCAATAACTCAAACAGTGCAGCAACCGGCGTGTTTTGTGACAAGAGGGATATGAAAGCTGGGATAAATATCTCAGCCCGGCATCTCGGCATTCTCGCTGTGGGCCTGTAATATAAACAGAACAACATGACAGGCTCGCGTTCTGTATCTGGCCAAGTCTAGGCTAAATGAAAGCTTTGTTCTCTATCCATTTCAGCCAATACCCTCTGTCGTAAGGCGGAATGCGGATAGCTCGGGATATGCCAACAGACCCCTGTATAGAGCTGAAAGAGACTTGCAAAAGTATATTATGGACACCATAAGTTTCATTAGACAAGTAATGTTTTGGCATCCTTTGCACAGTAACTTTCCTTTGGCAAGCCACGACCGAGTACCATGAAAGCATACGGCTTTTTTCTTGTCAGCTTGGCTGCTTTATCCGCTACAGCTGATGTCACACTCACAAGCTCAGGCTGTGCCGACGCATCAGGGTTCGAAAAGTGCCAGGCCTCTACGAACAAGAAGACGAGCAGCTGCATCGCACAAGCTCGTCACGACAACAGCCAGGTAGAACTCCTCGCATGCGGCTGCCAGGATTATGTCGACAACTTCAACTGCTACGCGGCTTTCTGTTGGAACAAGGTCTGGGAATGCGAGTACCAGCAGTACATGGTTTCGTACTTCATGAACTGCGCTACTGCCAAGCAACCTGTTCCCTACTTTCCCGCCCCCAAGGATGCGCAAGGCGCTTGCTCTTGTAACGTTGGGCAAGTCTATCTCAACATCCAGGATGCGATTCAACAGACGGCGACGTGTTCCAACAGTGCCGATTCAGGCGATGCGGGAAACAATTTACAACAGATTGAGGGCTGCAACTGTTGTGAGATCAGTGGAGCTCTGTCGAGGTATGTCACACTGCATGAACCATTGGGACAACAACACTAACATGCGATAGTATCGTCGAGATCTGCCCGAAGACGGATCCCAACCTTATCGGCCTAAAACAAATATCCACCCTCGAGTCCGAGCTAAACGTTGACTACAAATCTTGCGGGTCATACATGGAGACGTACGATTGTTCGTCCCAACTCTCATACTCTTTGGATGGTGTTAGCACATACTACAAACCCGATGATCCCCTCAAGACTGGTACCGCCACCTTGAGCAACGACCCAGGCTCCGTCACGGCACCGGCCAGCGGAAAGGTCTTTTCGTACACAAACGGGGGCGATGGCACTGTCTATACTATCACTGCTGCCGGTGTTGGCAAAGACAATTCTGGTAGTAAGGGGAGCTCTGATAGCGATGGTAGTTCCGGTGCAAGCGACGACTCATCGACCGCCACTGGCACCACAACTGGGGACAGCAGCAAAGCTACTGAGACCGCTAAGAAGAATGGGGCAGATAATTTGGCTACTGGACGGGTCTTGGAAATGGGAGCGATACTGGTCTTGAGTCTTGCTACAATTTATTAGCCTTGCAGTTGGTGGAAATGACTTATCATTTTGGCAAGCAACAGGTACATGCATGGTAGGGGGGATCATACAGAGCGCCTACAGAGATAGTTAATGGCTAGCAAGATATGGTAACGGTGGGCGGATTTAAGCCACTACCTATCTAGAATTCACAGTAGAACGAATGAAACTACGTACATAAGAAGTAACATCGCTAGTCTTCAGTACTACAAGCATCTGGCTCTATAACACCCCCCATTGATACCTGCTTAAGAATGAGTCAGAGTCTGAAACTATTCTAGACCTACTTGAGCTCTCCCTACTTGTATGTAGGGGCATAAGAGAATGACGTTATATTGCCAATATATTAATGCATCTGCAGCCGCTTTGACAGTATATGATCTCATTCTGGACGGTAAGGATATTCCAATAAACAGAATTGGGCCTAGACAGTAAGACTGTCTATAATAGTGCAGCTGAGTTGAGTCAACTGTATTGCTACTGGGCAATTCAGCCAATCGCAGTAGCATAAGCCCTCCCTACCTAAACAACCTCTACTCGGGATCTTCGCGACCCGAGCTGTTGTCTTAGATCATAAGCCTCGGTGTCCTATTCGGGACGGATCGTCAATTAGGTCCCGACCGCCCTATTAAGAGCGTCAAGTGGTCCACTCCGATAAGAAGCCTCGATACAACAGGCTCAGTGCAGCAATACTCAACGGCGGCATCGGACTCATCTCCGCAAGACTGGAACATTGCCCTTGCTTCCTTAGCACGGCCTTTCTACTGGATGCGACATACCTAGTGGATATATAACGGAAGCTCTCATCACCTGAGAATCTCTCTTACTACATCACATCACACAACTATCAGTATCGATCCAAGCTTTCTTTCCAACAAACCAACCATGGGTCAGCAATCCTTTATCCGCAACTCTATCCCCTTGCCCCGACGTCGATCACGTCCAGCGACGCCAACTGCAGGCTGAGATGGTCATGGAACTCATGGAGGTCGACAAAGAACAGGCGAAGGAAACACTGCGTCTCTGGAAGGAGATGTCGGAGGTTTTCGTCCAGATTAGATACATGAAGTTTACTGTCCTGGAAGATTATCTCAAGTTCCGTGTTTTCGACGCCGGATGCCCGTACGTACGAAACCCCATATTGCATTGATCCCATTACTGACACACCTGTGCTAGCTGGACCATATGTCTCCTCTGTTTTTCTATGGACTTCAAACTCTCACCTGAAGAAGACAAGAGGACAGCCAACATCACCTCAGCCGCCTATTACAGCTGGGTCCTTGTCAATGACTACTTCTCCTGGGAGAAGGAGTGGAGCAACTACCAGTCTAACGGAGCCACTGGCGTGATCGCCAACTCCATCTTCATGTTCATGAAGTAGCACTCAATCGAGAAGGAAGAGGGAAAGAAGATGCTCCGCAAGGAGATTATGTCACGCGAGGACAAGCACTGCAGCTTGAAGGACGAGTTCCTTGCCAAAGGTGCTGCTACCGAGAAGACACGACAGTGGCTGGAACTACTCGACCTCGTGACGGCGGGCAACTTTGCTTGGAGCATGCGACAGCACGATATCGAGCTGGCACCCCGGATGTGTATCCGGCTTTGTGGAAACATTGTGCTGCTGGGTTTGTTGTTGTTGGCGACACTGTTGAGGCGCCTTAGGGGGCAAGAAAATACCGAACCTTAATGTAAGGTAATAAAATAAACTTAGTAAAGAGCACCCTAAGCTTAGGCTAAATTTACCTAATATTTTCATCGCTTAGGGTCAAGGTCCCGAGTTTTCTTTCCTTCAACCGGCCGGAGCCGCCTATTGTCCCATGTGCGAATAACTGAGAGTAAGAGCGATCCCTAAGACATTCATCAAGATCTGCCACTATCCAATATCAGTACACTTTTTCTGTTCTTTATAAAGATAAATCAACCCAAATGTGCTAGCCGCGCAGGCAGTATCATCCTTCTGGCCTTCCTATCCCTCTGCGCCCTTCCCAGTTTCCTTACACTTATCCTAACTATAGCCGCTGCCGGCGAATACTGGGCCGCGCAAGATGAGGGCCCTGATCCCCAAACTGAGACCTCTCCCACTCCACATGATCACGATGACCCATAGCCTTTTCCTTGGCCAAGGGATTTCCCAGGTCAGCTTTAACCTCGCCGCTGGTGAAACGGAATATGCTAAGAAGACAGCTCTTGGATTGGAGGATTCGGTTACCGAGACGCTCTCGATGTACGAGAGTAAGGTCGGTGAGAAGAACTGGCTCTTGAGGTTGGCACAGAAGAAGTTGAAGATTGAACATTAGAGGCTGCGCGTTGCTATTGGGCCGAAGACCTTGAACCCTAGTTAAGCGATAAAAATATTAGGTAAAATTTAGCCTAAACTTAGGGTACTCTTTGCTAAGTTTATTGTAATTTGCAGTTGAGATTTGTGGCTGTGAGCTTCTTCCGGCAGAGAGAACCTAGTTTATTGCAATACCCTACTGGTATATTGAGGTTCGGTATTTTCTTATTTATTACTGTATAGATACTAGGTTCTAGTGAATTCTTCCATGTTGGTAATCGTGACCTGCGAAGCTCACAGCCACAAGTCTCAACTGCAAATAACAGAGACTGACAGCGACAAACACCACGTCATTACTATCAGGCAGCAGGTTACAACTACCAATATAGAGGAATTCACTTATTTAGATGCCAGAGACTGATATGTAGCTTAATTAACTTCTTGAATGACCTTTATATATCGGAGGTAATCATCATCAGATAGACTATAAAGCCTAGCTCAGGAAGTTATATTGAGTAGCTGGTATACTGCCCGAATTGACTTTGTAGGGGTTTTACTTTAGTTTATTAGATCCTATAGTTAATGGTGCACATCATTCGCCTCGCGTGTTACCATTAGTATAGATGCTTTTATGTAGATTGGTAACAAACTAACAATATCTTAACAAGCTTTCGGTAAAGAGCCTAAGCTATAATATATGCGATAGTATCATTCTCCTCCCATTCACTGAGACACGTTATAAAGAAAGGTTCAGGGTCTGAAATGTGTTGCAAACCTCCTCCAAAAAATACTGTACCCTCTCCTCCTCAAACAAATGTGCCCTCGCAATAATCGTGACCTTCAAGCTGATCCCATCAGGCTCAACCTCTCCCGCTATCGCCAAGTCATACAGCGGCTCATCCTTCCTCAGTTCAACATGCTTCGACAAGACCCCCATCTCAACACGTTGCTGGTCCACTTCACTCTCGGGATGATACTCAAAGTTATGGTATGTGACACAGCATGCGAAATTCGTGGTGGAGTCAGGCCAGTCTGTGCAGTTGCGCTTGATGTCCTCAAAGCCGAGGGTCTCGAATGGCAAGCTTCGCAAGTATTGATCTTGCATGTCGCGAAGCATCTGGTGATGATTCTCGTCTGTACCTATGTGTGCGCGAACGGGAACGGCATTTGTGCAAGGGCCGATGATGTCCTGGAAATTGACCGGTAATCCTTGACGTCCTGAGACAATGCGCCCGAAGACAACATCGCTAGACCCGGACTCTTTCGAGAGCACCAAAGCACAAGCACAGTTGAACACCGTCGCCTGCGTAGCGATGCTGCTGCGGATGGCTTGGCTTGGAACGTCGACGATCTTTGACAAATGCAAAGCCTTCGATGGTAATATTTCCGGACGACAAGCCGCGTTGCTCGTATCGCTCAAGACAGTCATGGGAGAGTCTCCGATCACATCACGCCAGAACTCAAAACCCTTCTCTTGGCTATTGGCAGTATATTCCATGTACCGCCTGAACTGCGTTGGCGGAAGCAGCGACATGCCATTGAACAGGATGTGAAGGTTACGCACGATGGGTTCTAGACTCAAGCCATCATACAAAGCGTGCGATAACCTTAGTAGTACCCGTACTGAAGATGACTGCTTGAGAATAGCGATGCGAATCAACGACTCTCCAAGACGAATGGGGTCCTGCGCATGCTCATCTAAGAAATCGTTGGTGACAGTGTTGACGTTCTGGTTAGTGACAATCGTCTCAATTGGCACGTCGAGATGCTTCAGAACCACTTGGTAGAGCTGACCCGAAGCTAGCAGAAAGATAGTTCTGAACATTTCAATGTGCTGAACTAGGGAGTGGCAAGCCTTGACGAGGGTAGCTGGGTCTGAGTCGACTGGGAAGTCAATGTAGAAAGGCGTGAGAGGCCGCGGGGAACCAGTCCCGGGACTGAAGAGGAAGGACTTTTGCATCTGTGTACACTGGTACATGTCCTGGATTGACTCGAATGCAACGCCGAGCTGGGAGCAAATCTCTCGCTGGATGAAGTCTTGTGGATCCTCCAGTGGGAGAAGCTCGAACGGGTTGTACTCATCGACTTGAACCTCGTCATCACCCGTCCCCGAAGCAGCCGACTCTAGCTTCTTGGAAAGCTGGAACAGAACCGGGTAGTCGAAAATATCCTTGACCACTATCGTAGTATCCAACCGACGACCAAGTCTCATGGCCAGCTTTGTCGCCATCATCGAGTGTCCTCCAAGGTCAAAGAAGTTATCCGTGATACCGACTTCAATACCCAGAAGCTTAGAAGCCTCATCACACAAGATAATCTCAGTCTCGGTCCGAGGGGCGACACGGGCAGACCAGCCTTGCTTGTCTTGACCATTAGTCAACGTGGTTCGTGAAGCAAGGCCTTCACGAATGACGACGGCGAGATGCGCGAAGACGGGGTTGTCAAAGACGTCTTTGACAGTGGCACGAACGTTGAAACGCTGTTCAACTCGCGAGATGAGCTTCGTAGCCAAGAGGGAATGCCCACCGAGTTTGAAGAAGTCATCAGAGATGTCAACCTTCATACCAAACGTCGCAGTCGCCTCATCACAGAGTATAGCCTCAATGTCGCTGATAGGCACCGCTTGTGCAGGCAGTGCAGTCTGCTGCTTGGGTATAATTCGAGCCTGGCGCGCAAGCTCTTTCCTATCGACTTTGCCATTGGGGTTGAGAGGCATTTGATCCAGGACCACGATGTTGGAGGGGACCATGTACGATGGAAGTAGAGACTGCAGTCGCTCGCGGACTTGGAGAGCGGCGCGACGACGCTGCAAACCCTGGAGCGGACGATTGGCAAGGGTGGCTGAGCCTCGGAGGTGATTGTCGGTCGGGAACTTGATCAGCGTGCGACGATTCGAAAGCGACGGGAAGTGGTGGAAGACGGCATCGAGGGCACCGCTTTGAGACCACTGACGTGCTGCGCTGACCTCTAAGCGGAACCCAGAGTCCTCAGCTAGTTGGTGAAGGTCGGGAACAGAAAGAGATGCACGGCTCTCAGCATCAGAGCGAACAGCTGAGATCCAAACAGCACCATCCAGATTGGACTCTTCCTCTGCCTCGAGGGACTCAACGATCTGTCGCTCAAAGAGGGTCTTGCCGAAGGGAATGTTGCTGATGGCCACGGTTGATGAGCCCTTGGAACTCCGCAGAAAGTGCAAGAGAGAAGTGCGATTCATTCGTGATGCGCCAAAATCAACCCAAGCGCCCTTCTCAATCGTATGCACAGGCACTGAGTCGCTATCGCGTATGTGTACCACAGCCGCATATCTATACGCACTAAGTTCATTCGTAGCATGCATATTCTTTGGTAGAATCTCAACATGGTGGACCAAGTGGGGGAAGCGATCCTGTAGTGTCGTGAAGAACGATGGCTCAACAAGCAACTCCTCCTCACGCTCCTCCAACTCCGCCATCTTCTGCCTAACAGCTTCCTTGGTCGCGTTGTCACCTAGAGTCCTGACAGCTCTGCCAGCGAGGAAGTGCTTGTTGGTAGCGTTCGTTCGCATGTCGCCAAAGAACAAGCGCTTCACACCGGGGAGGTGGATCAGGGTGTCCGCTACTTGGGACAAGTACTCTGGTGAAGGGAAATATTGCGCGACCGAGTTGATCACCACGAGATCTGGGTGAAGATCGCTCAATTGGCTAATGTCCTGAGCTGTGCCGACGTGGACCTCGGCCTTGCCTGCGAGAGATGGGACGGACTTGATGACGCTGTTGGTGAATGCAGCAGCTGACTTGGATGGTTCAAGGCCTCTGTAACTCTGAAGACCATCGCCGAGGTTGAACAGGATCATACCGCTACCTGTTCCAACCTCAAGGACATGACCTGGAGCCCGGCCATCACGAAGCGTCTTGATAGTGTCATCAAGCCACTCCTGCATCTCCACCTTGTCAATCTCACTCCCATCATACATGGAAGTCCAGCCCTTGAAGTCTTTTCCAATGGTAGACGGATCAATGTCTCCGATGTTGGCATACATCTCAGTCTCGAAATGGTCCTGCCATCCTTCAACCTGATTATCGTTCGCATCACCCTCCAACGAATGATCGTGATTAACGACGACGAAGCCAACCAAGTCGGCCTTCCCACCATCATCCTTCTGCACGACAACAGCAGCGTCACGCACAGAGGCGTGAGTGAGCATGGCAGCTTCCACCTCAGCTGACTCAATACGATTGCCACGGATCTTGAACTGCGTGTCCATGCGACCGAAGAACTCGATCAGGCCATCGCCTACTCGGTAGCGCACGCGATCGCCTGTTCTATAAGCTCTCACACGCTGGCCATCGACTTCAATGTAAATGAAGCGGTTCTTGTCGAGGGATGGGTCGAAGTACCCTCGCGCAAGACCATCGCCAGTGACGACGAGCTCTCCCATGACGCCGACGCCAACAAGCTGCTGGTTCAGATCGGTAACGTATGCTCCGGAGTTGTTGACAGCCCGTCCAATGGGAACACCATTGATGAACGAGTCGTCAACAGCGATAGGATACCTCGTGCTCATGATACCATTCTCGGTGGGTCCATACCCATTGTAGCACTGTCCCCTCACAAGACTCTGCGCCTCAATCGCATCCTGACCATCAAAGCGGTCTCCAGCAGCCATGAGAAAGTCAAGACCCCTCAAAGCATCACGCGCATCAGTGAGATACAGCTTCAGCAGCGCAGGTGCCATGCAAGCAGCGTTGATCTGCTCCTTGATGAACACGTCTTGAAGCGCCTTGACGTCAAGAGTAGTCATGTAGTCAATGCAGACCAACATTCCGCCGTTGAGGAGGGTGAAGAATATCTCGTAGGTGGCGCCGTCAAAGGCAATGTTGAACATGTGGGCTGAGCGTGGTTGGGTTGGGAAGTCGGGGATGATGTTGCTTGTCATGAGACGTACGATAACGCGGTGCTCTACCATGACGCCCTTGGGCCGGCCTGTAGATCCAGAGGTGAAGAGGACATAGGCGAGACTTGTTGCGGTAGGGTTCGACATGCCAATATGGGTATGGCCATTGAGGTCGCTTGTATCGCCTTGCTCTACGGCATCAGCGACACGGACAAACTCCAAGTCGGGCACCTCCAGCTCGGGAACAGGCACGCTTGAGCCTAGAAGTACTATTGTAGGACCCGGAAGACCAGACAAAATGTCGTTGAGCCGAGCAGAAGGAGACTTGACGTCAAATGGGAGATAGGCCAAGTTCGCCTTGAGAATGCCGACGATCGCAACAATCGCTTCGCAAGAACGCGGCGCCAACACTCCGACCAGAGTCTCAACCGGCATACCTCGTCGACGAAGCCATGCCGCAAGCAGATCAGTCTGATGGTCCAGCTCTGCATAGGTAAGTCGCTTCGAGGAGTCCACGACTGCGAGAGAGTCGGGATAAGCAGCGACTTGCGTACGGAAGATATCCACTAAGCTTGCGTCCCTCGGATACTCAACCTTCTTGATCCTGAGTAAATCCAAGCGCCGAAGCTCCTCGATCCCATCCGTAAGAGGAATCACTGAGATCGGAACCTTGGGCTTCTCAAGACCATTCCGCAGAATCTGGAAAAACACACTGACCACATTCTCAACAGTCTCAGGCTTAAACAAATCCGTCGCAAAGTTACAACTGCCCTTGAGACCATCAGCCTCTTGAAACAAATGAAACTCAATGTCGAATCGCGTATACGCCTTGCTCGGCACAGCCTCCGACTCAAGACCCTGAAGCTCAAACCGCCCAAGATCCTTCTGCGAGTGAACCGCAAAAATGAGCTGTGCAAGCGGTGTTCGCGAAAGGTCTCGTGAGCCGGGTAGCATGGTTGACACGACGCGCTCAAAGGGTACATCTTCGTTCTCAAATGCCGCGGTGGTAGTAGCGCGGACTTGATGGACTAAAGAGCTGAAGGTGTCTTCGTCGTTGACGGTGATGCGCATGCACTGCGTGTTGACGAAGAAGCCGATGATGTTCTCTAGTTCCCAGCGATTGCGATTGGCGATGGGTGTGCCGATGACAGAGTCGTCAACGCCTGTGAGACGATAGTGTGCTGCGCGGAAAGCAGCGAGGAGCACCGCGAATGAAGTGGTGTTGTTGTCATTACAGAACTCACGTAGGTTCTGGTACAGTTCCCCATCGATAGAGACTGGTACGACACCAGCTTCACCGGAGAGCAGAGCAGGCCGGGGGAAGTCAGTAGGCAACTTGGCCGGCGAACAATCAGCGAGCTGTTTCTTCCAGTAGTCGAGCTGCTTCTCATGTTCGAGAGCTTGAGCTTCTTGCTTCTGCCACATGGCAAAGTCGCTGTACTGGATGGGGAGAGGGTTCATAGCTGAGATAGGATCGCGGCCTTGAAGAGCTGCAGCGTAGAGTTGGCTGAGGTCGTGGCGGAGAACGTCGATTGACCAGCCATCGGAGACGATATGGTGCATGACGATGGAAAGGACGTAGTCAGTGTCGCTGAGGCGGATGAGGAGCGCTCTCCAGCCTGCTTCCGAGGTGAGATCGAATGGCGTGGTTTGCTCTTGTTCCAGCAGTTGGAGATAGTCACCGTCTGTTGCATCCACAATTCTCAACTCTTTAGAGAGGGTCTGGTGAATAATCTGTACACCTGCGCCGTCGTGGTCTTCAAAGGTAGTTCGCAGGGTCTCGTGGCGCTGTTCCAAGGCCCTCAGAGCACGACTCAAAGCATCAATGTCTACCAATCCTCGCATGCGGACAGCGTACGGGATCAAGTACCACAAGGCACCGACCTCCAGCTGATCCAAGAACCAGAGTCGACCTTGAGAGTAGGACTGCTCAACAGGTCCATCGCGAGTGATCGCTGGGATGAGCGCGTACGGCACAACGCTACCGTTGACGATAGCCTCAAGGCCAGCGAGCGTAGGGTTATGATAGATATCAGAGACTTTGAGCTCAATACCAGCTGACCGAGCCATGTTGACCATCTTGATGGCAGTGATGGAGTGGCCGCCCAGCTCAAAGAAAGTTGACCCAATGTTGGAAGCGCTGGGTTCGAGACCTAGGCATTGACACCAAACCTCCTCAAGCTTGGATTGGCTACTGTTTGCTCGACAGCTCAATTGAGATGGTCGTGGGCTTGTTCCCTGGAGCTGCTGGACCAACATGTCGCGACCAATAGAGCGAAGCTTCCTGCGATCGACCTTGCCAGTCGCAGTGCGAGGAAGATGCAGCATGCTGATGTAGGACGATGGGATGGAATGACGTGGAAGGACTTGCTCCAGCTTTGCACTCATGTCCTTGGTCGCAGCAAGATCAAGAATCGTGCAATCTCCTGCAGCCTCGGTTTCCTGAGAGGCGATCAAGAATGCAACGAGAACAGTGCTCGTAGGCGAGTCCGATGTCTTGACAGCTTCAACAACAATTGACATGTCGTCAGGCAATTGGTGTCGGAGATGAGTCTCCACTGCTCCGAGTTCAACACGCTGTCCTCTGATCTTGACCTGCGAGTCCATGCGACCGAGACAAACAACAGTGCCATCAGATGCATAACGCGCAAGATCACCAGTTCGATAGAACTTCAATCCATCAGGTAGATGTTTAGAAGGATACCATGCTGGAACTGTTGAGAAGAAAGGCGACTTCTCTATTGGTGGAGGAATGATGTAGTCGCGCGCAATGCCTGGACTCTCAATCACAAGTTCACCAATGGCGCCAATAGGGACCAGACGATCGGGGTCGCGCGGATCAATGATCCAAGAGTGCGCGCCGACTGAGCGACCGATGTTATTTGGATCAGCGCCGGAAGAACTAATGCTCCCAACGAAGCAGATCGAAGAACTCTCGCTCTGTCCGTAGCCATCCAAGAGCTGAACACGAGGGGCCCAAATGGCATTGACAGACGGCGACATCTGCTCACCAACAAGCACCAGAGTCTGCAGCCCAGGGACATCATCAGGCTGAAACGTTCCCATATAAGACGGAGTAGCCATCATCCAATTGACGTTGGCCCGATTGACGAAAGCAGGAACATTGTTCATGCGGTCATCATCAGAGGGAATGCACACGCAGCCGCCGTGAATCAACGTCGTCATGATCTCAAGAAGACACGCGCCGAATGCGTGAGATCCGAATTGAAGAGCGCGCGTGTCGCCGTTGATACCGAGTGCGGAACCGAATTTGAGAGCGCAGGATGAAAAGGCGCGATGCTCGATCATGATGCCCTTTGGATCGCCTGTGCTACCGGATGTGAAGATAACATAGGCCAAGTCCTCTGGAAGAACCTCAGCGAGGACAAGATCTGGATAAAAGGTGCAAGTGCAAATGAGTGATTGAACAAGCTCCTCATCAACAACAATGCATCGTCCGACGATTTCTTGCACTTTACTACTGTAAAGCTTGGAAGTAAGCGCGACTGTCGCGCCCGTCTGCCCAACGACCTGCGCTACTCTAGCAGGTGGATCATTTGGATCAATAAGTGTAAAGGCATGGCCGGCCTTCATGACAGCTAGCATTGAGGCGACGACCCATTTTGACTTCTGAAAGTAAATGGGGAGTATTGCGTGCTCTTGGTCTGGCATGCTGAACTTGATGAGCGCTGCTAAACGAGATGTGATGTTGTCGAGTTCAGAGTAGGTCCATTCACCGTCCCAAGCGCAGATTGCGGGATTGGCAGGGAAGAGAGAAGCTGTTTTGAGCATCTCTTTGTGGATGAGTGTCGGTTGGGAGGGGATTGGGTGTGAGTTCCAGCTCTGGATCTCAGCTTGATCTTCTTGTGTGATCATGTTGAGTTCTCCTATACACAGCTGCTTATCTGATGAGTCTCGTAGGACCTGGATCAAGTGACCTAGTTGTCCCAAGAGACGAGTCATTTGCAGAGAGTCGATAAGGCTCTTGTCATACCTGGCAATGATGGATACTCCATCACTGGCCATCTGACAGTGGAGTAACAGAGCACGATTGGTGCAGGGCATAAAGAGCTCAGACTCTCCAGTCTTCCGATGAATCTCGCAATCTGCAGCGTGCGTAGTGTCGCTCTCAGTAACTAGCAGGACGGTCTGAAACCCGCAAGCAGCAGAGCCGTCCTCTCCAGAGGAAGCGATGCTGCGAAGACCGACATCTGCAAACTGACGGATGGCATCATCGTTCGCATTGACTGCGGTCATAATGTCTGACAGAGACCGGTCAGAAGCGCAGTGTACGCGGAAAGGGACGACAGTCCGTGTCGGGCCATCAGCCAGGAGCTGCCGTTGCTCTGTCACTACACCAAACAGGGCCTCTTGCGACTGTGTGTAGCGCGACAAAAGAATCGCAAGTGCTGTTCGGCAGACAACTGTACCGGGACAAGTTGACGTTGGCAAAGTTGTGAAAGTCATGCGGTGCTCTGACTTTGCATTGGGGCAGGGAACAGTAAGGGGGGATGTCAAGTGCGGAAACGCCGAAGCATTCAGATCACTCAAGTACTCCTTCCAAAACTGAGTCGCAGGATGAATGCCATCAGTCTCTGGAGTCTTCGACCCATCAGTGGGAGTCAACGATACACCATCGTCCTCAGGGTCAGAGGAGTCAGGCGTATAGGGTCTGTTGGACAGTTCGCCCTGCCCATGCTTGTAAGCTTTCAGAACTCGTCCGAGAATCCGTTCTTGAAACTTTCTATCCACAAGAGCATGACTAAAAGTCCATATGAGGAGCTTTTTCTTTGCCATTGGATCATCCAGAAGAACAAATCTGTTGCAGCGAGGTCCAGAAGCCGCAGCTACTGCTTCATCCTCCACAACAGCATCTTTCTGGTCAGCAGATGTGCAAAACATCCATGAGAAGACGAAGCTATCTCTCAAGGCAACCTGATACGAATCTCCATTCTTAGAAGTGAAGACACAAGTCCTCAGAGGAGGAGTCCGGTTGATGGTATCTTTCCAAGAAGCAGCCAACTTTGGGATATCGATGTCATTGCTGATCTCATAAGCAACATGGCCAATGGAGCGGTTTTTGTCAATCCCAACACAGTCAATGACATCTTGTTGAAACGCCGTGCTGGGGAGAATACTCTCGATTCTATCTCGGCCTAAGCCAAAAGAACGAGTGACTTCCTCGACAAGAGTGTCGGTGTGACTTGAATCATCACTGGGCAGCAACAAAGGCATGACTGCTTGTGTAGAGCCACTCTTGGTGTTAAGTGATGTCATGTTGAATGTAAGAGAAATGTTTGAAGTTGAAGGATCGTCCGAGTGTGTAACATGGGGGCATGGATAGGCAATAAGAATCTCCCACAAAAGTCACAGCTCGTTCGAGATGATAGGACAGAATACTTCAATATCCCTCGGTGAACCAATTCTCCTTGCCGTCAACTTTTCTGTATATACCTCACCTGCAGGAATGCAACGCACCATGCAGCAATTCTCGTGTTGGCACCATATCTCAACCATTATTACGTGCTCCTTACCAAAGAGGCACATCACCGCAAGCATGATCATGCCATGTCTAAGACTCTCGGTGCTTCCATCACAAGGTCTCATCAAAAGATCCTACGAGGCATATTCTGTCTCCCTCAGCCGCACCCGCTGTCATTTCTCGACGGCATCAAAACCTGCAACTAAACTGCATACTTGACCTGCTGATCCTTCATATGATCCAGATCCTGATCCTGCAATTGGGCGGTTGCACTAATTGGCTACCACGGGCTATCCTGCAGGGAGATTGATAATCGGTGTTTGTGGCGCTGACCTGCATAAGTAGGTCTTACTCCCCGGTGAATCCTAAATCCTACGGGAGGGGTTGGGGGAGACAGGCCAATCAGTCTGTGATTGCAATCTGCATGTTGAATCGTCCCGTGTCTCGGTAGCACGCGGGTTACGAATCTATGCGAGCCGGACAGTTGCCGGTAGTGGGCAATTGCCGGATGTAGCTTACCTAGCTGTTGAGAGCGTGATACCTCGTTGGAAGGTGAGCCAGCCAAGGGCCAAAATCTTATTTGCTATTTCCAGTATTGAGGATAGCGAGTTAATTACAAACGGATTGACAAAAATAGTAACAGTAGTCTAAAATAAATTCCACGCATCTTTCGAGTAGGATGCGCGATGCAAGCGTCAGCTATCAGGTCTGTCAACCCAAGTAATACTCCCAGAAACACAGTTCATGCAGCATACCAACTACTCACATAGTGCCCAGCACAGGTATCTTGGGATCATCCTTGACATCCTGTATACCAAATTCCCTCCTATCTCTCTCTGCCACACTGTCAGACTGTGAACACACTACCTACTTACACATTAAGCCCTTCACCAGCTTCCACTCCCCCCAAGGAATTTTGAAAAGGCACAATCATTTGCAGGCACCATGGCATCCCAAGAGCACCCAAATTGGCTGAAGGCCCTCCTCGCCGACGCAAAGCCGCCCCCAAAGCTATTCGCATGGTCTCCCGCCAATATCCAGCCAAAGCTCGATGAGGGTATTGACATGGGAAGCTCCAGCAGCGATGAAGAATCCGACAATGCCTCCTGTGCCAGTCCTTCAGCAGACTCTGACCAGCGTATTTACATCATTGGCCCTGGCAATATTGGTCGACTGTACGCAACTCACATGGCTCGTCATCCCAATGCACTTCCCATCACGCTCGTCGTACATCGAAAGGAACTGCTTTCTCAGTGGGCAGCATGTGAAGGTGTCGGTCTCGCTGACCTAACCAGCGGCAAACTCTTCCTCAACAAACGCTTCACTGTTGAATGGTGGACCGAAACGAGACCTCACAACGGTCCAGTCAAGGAAGTTGCAGACGGGAAGAAGCTTCACAATGTCTTCATCTCTACAAAGGCAGAGGCTGGACTATCTGAAGCAGACCGTATTCGCCGGTACCTTGGTCGATGCAGCTCAGTTGTCTTTGCGCAGAACGGCGTCTGCAAGCTCTGGCCTCCCCACGGTCCTTTATACATCTCACATCGATACCCGAGCGGTGACACTCCTACATTCTCCGCGTGTGTCGTGAGTCATGGGGTTGCATCAGCAGGTCCTTTCTTGAGCATCCATGCGGCTCCAGCTGACGCATACATCGGACCTGTGTTTTGGGCATCTGATCGCGACTCGCTGCGGAGGCAACCATTAGAGGACTTCTTTATCCGGCATATTGCCTCGACGCCGCTTGTGAACACAAAGAAGGTGTCATCCGGGGAGATTTGGCTCCTTCAGTTGGAGAAGTTGGTCATGAATGCGGCGATCAATCCACTTACGGCTTTACTGCGCTGCAAGACCGGAGAACTGTTCACATCCTATGACTCTGATGATCCTTTGGCAAGGGTGATTGACAAGCTCCTCTGGCAAGCAAGCGCTGTTATCCAAGGGCTTGTTGATCACGACACGAGTGGCAGTGTTATCACGTCCTACGCTGAACAGACATCACGACTTGGGACTAGCTCCAGCGTCCCCAAGATCCGAAAGAAGTTGATGGAAAGGTTTTCACAGCCAGTCTTGAGAGCAAAGCTTTATGCATTTGGTCTCAAGATATTTGAGCATCGCAGTTCTATGCTACAGGATATAGAAGCTGGAAGGAAGACTGAGATACGAGACTTCAATGGTTGGATTGTAGACATGGCTTGCTTTCTAGGGACGGATCTGGATGTTAGCGTGCACAGAGGCTTAATTGAGTTAGTTGAGCAGTGTGAGAGCTTGGATAAGGTGGAGTTAGGTAGAGCATTGCTGTAATACAGGGTAGATCAAGCCTAGACTACCTTACTTTAAAGATCTTGACATTATTACTTAACTTAATTTCCGCTGGCTAGATTAATTATAACATTCTATCTAGTATTTTATTAAGCTATTTGTTACCTTATTACATTGATCTTCTAGCTAAGTTCTTTATAATAATTATAGCTCCAAGCTTTAAACCTCGTGCTTACGGCTCCCAATAACCAAACATCAAATGGCAATGGGTGCTTTTGGCTGGTATTGGTTCATATCCCGGCTTACCCAAAGCAGACAGCTGTACGAATCCTTACCTCACATGAGCCTGAGACAACCTCGTATTCCCAATCGGGCATTATACGAGCGGCAATCGACATGTCATCGGCAACTCAAATTTCGCATATCACATCATACTCATATGCTAATCTGCGACATGTCTCAGACAAAAGATGGGCCGTCAAATCTGCCGCCAGGGATAGCTACGGAGTGAATACTCCGATTGGACTGTCAGTGCAGACTCTCACCAAGACAGTGGCCCACTGCCGGCGGAAGCGCTCCGAGCCGTAGTTCAACTTTGAGTAATTCTCCGCTGAGCAGCCGTAGCTGGCCTCAACTGTCAACGCCACTTCATACCTATCTACCCCCCCCTAGCCCCCACGAAAAAAGAACCAAGAGATTTCTAGACATATGATCTCATGTAAGAAAACGCTATTGTGCTCCCCGCTGAGACAAGCGCCCGGCAAGTCTCTTTCCCGAGATTCTTTCCTTTGTTCCATGCAGTCATCACACCACGCCCAGAAGAATCCCACTCCCTTTCCTGCGCCGTGCTGACGCATGAGAAATCCCTCCAGTATGTCTGAGTTGCAGCGGGTCCTCGGACTCTGGATGCAATCCGACGGGAAAATACGCGTGTCCGCACACCCGATCGAGGAACGGTATTTGTTGTTTCCCCATTTGCTTTGGGGGTAAGGATGCAGTGTTGTTGAATGAGAAGAGAGGCTTGACGCTTGCAAACCGTTCCTCTGTCAATCATTTACTATGGCAAAACGAACAGCGGAGAATTCGGCAACGGTTGGGGAGGCTGAGGAGAAGCATCCTGAGATGGGTGTTGATGGACGCCCTGAGAGAGAGCCTACATTTCAGGATTATATGGTATGGCAGCCACAACATCACCATATCGAAGCAAATACTTGCAACCTATACTGATATAATCTCTTGTCATGTAGAGAGTCTTCAAGTATGCCTCCAAATGGGACCTTCTGGCATACACCGTTGGTGTAATCGCCTCGATCGGCGTCGGCATAACCTTGCCTCTTTTAAACATCGTTTTCGGTAAGTGGAAAACAAAGCCAAAGCCAAACATCGAGGCTTCATGCTAATGGGTCCGCCAAAATGTAGGTCAATTCGCTAGCAAGTTCTCTGACTATGCTGGCACCGAAACACTGCCCGGCGATGAGTTCCGCTCGAAACTTAGCGACCTTTGGTGAGTTTGACCTGCGTTACGAAAACTAATTTTCGCTTGATGGTCGCTAATACCCGTCGCGATAGTCTGTACTTGCTTGGTCTCTTCCTCAGTCGCCTTGTGTTAGGTTACGTCAACAACGTGAGTTCTTTGTCTCAGTAAATCTTCTCGTCGGCTCACCAATTCTCAGTTCGCATTTCGAATGACCGGTGTGAGAATCACCTCCGCCATTCGCCAGGATTACTTCACGGCGTTGTTTTCGCAAAGCGTGCATGTACTGGACTCTATGCCACCTGGATATGCGACCACGATCATCACAACCACCGGAAACACGCTGCAACTCGGCATCTCCGAGAAGTTGGGTGTTTTCGTGGAGTACAATGCCACCATGATCGCTTCAATCATCGTCGCGTTCATCTACAGTTGGCAGCTTTCCCTAGTAACGTTCACTGCAGTTGTCTTCATCACATTCAGTGTCAGCTTGGTGCTTCCTTACATCACCAAGGGCCAGACAAACCAGACTAAAGTATGCACCGATTCTTAAATCCTGCGAGATTTTGCTGACGAAAGGATTAGTCCGAGGCTCTGGCGATGTCTGTAGCTAGCGAAGCCATGAGCGGTATCCGAATGATCGTGGCCTATGGTGCCGAGTCACGAATTGGCAGCAAATATGGCAGATTCGTTGACGAAGCAAAGAAGCATGCTCAATTCGCTGGTCCATTCATTGCCCTCCAATACGGCCTGGTATTCTTCAGCAGTTATGCTGCTTTTGGCCTTGCATTCTGGTATGGAACAAGACTCTTGCTCGACGATAAGATCAATCAGCTCGGGGCTATTATCGTCGTCTTGTTCTCTGTCATGATGATCGTGACGGCGATGGAACGCGTCTCTACGCCTCTTCTAGCGGTTAGCAAAGCGACAGTTGCAGCTTGCGAGTTCTTCACCGTCATTGATGCACCCCGACCTGAGCCTGGTCATCTCACCGACCCAGATGTGTCTGCGACAGCGGATATACTCTTGGAGGACGTCACTTTCGCTTACCCTAGTCGACCACACGTCAAGATCCTCGATAGCCTCAATCTGCGAATCGAAACAGGCAAGGTCACCGCGATCGTCGGTCCCTCTGGCTCAGGCAAGAGTACAATCGTCGGTCTTGTCGAGCGATGGTACAGCCTCAAAGACCAGTACGTCATCTCCAAGCCAGTCGAGAAGCCGGTGGATAAAAAGAAGGACGGTGACAAAGAGGAGGACGAGCAAGAATTACAAGAACTCTCGTTCACAGGAGACGAAACAGGTCCGCCTGTTGAACTTCGTGGCCGAATCTCTACAAGCGACCACTCTCTTGATGACATCAACGTCAAGTGGTGGCGATCGCAGATTGGACTTGTCCAGCAAGAGCCGTTCCTCTTCAATGACACTATCTACAGCAACGTGCTTAACGGCCTCATCGGGACAAAGTGGGAGAATGAGCCTGACGAAAAGAAGAGGGAGATGGTACATGAAGCATGCAAGGAGGCATTCGCAGATGAGTTCATCGAGAAGCTTCCAGAGGTACGTTAGATCACCATTGACAACCCAGTTAGCCCACTTGCTTCAAGCAAAATACTAACATATTCCCCTCAATACAGGGCTACAATACCGCCGTCGGCGAAGTCGGCATCAAGCTATCTGGCGGTCAACGCCAACGCATCGCCATCGCCCGCGCCATCATCCGCCGTCCCGCGATCCTGATCCTCGACGAAGCCACAAGCGCAATCGACGTCCGCGGCGAACGAATCGTACAAGCAGCACTCGACCGAGCCTCCAAGAACAGAACAACAATTGTTATTGCACATCGTCTTTCCACTATCAAGAAAGCTGATAGGATTGTTGTCCTGCGACAGGGTCAGGTTATTCAGTCTGGCACTCATGAGAGTCTCTTAACTGATGAGGCTGGTCTCTATTATAACCTTGTCAATGCCCAAGCACTGTCACTTGGGGAACAGATGGATGATCATGATGTCCTTGTTAAGGAGCATCGACCATCCTCTGTTCATGAAAAGGCACATACCGAGTCCACCATTGAAGACAAACCTCAAGACAAGACCCCCAAAAACAAAGGCCTCATCTCCAGCTTCGGCCGCTTCTTCTACGAGACAAAGTCCAACTGGTGGACAATGGCTCTAACCCTCTTCTTCTCCGCCTGCGCCGGCGCCGCCGTCCCCTTCCAAGCCTGGCTCTTCGCCAAAGTCATCATCGTCTTCGGCTACCTCCCCGACGAGTCCAAGGTCAGAAGCGAAAGTTCATTCTGGTCGCTCATGTGGACCGTCCTCGCTATTTCCGCTGGTCTAGCCTACTGCGCTACTTTCTTCCTGTCAACGCGCACAGCAAGCACTGTTCGTGCCAAGTATCAGAAGCAGTACTTCTTGTCTATCTTGCATCAGAAGGTTGCCTTCTTTGATCATGATGATCATTCGCAGGGGACTATGGCGGCGAGGAGCGCTGAGGATCCAAGACAGCTCGAGGAGCTGTTGGGGTCTAATATGGCAAGTGTGTTTATTGCCCTGTGGACTCTGATGGGTACTATTGCTATCGCACTAGCGTTTGCATGGAAGCTCGCACTCGTGTCGCTATGCGTCGTCGTCCCCATACTCCTCGCTGCTGGGTATTGGCGAATGCGGTATGAGATCAAGTTCGAAGAGATGAACAACGCCGTGTTCGTCGACAGCTCCAAGTTCGCCTCTGAAGCGATCGGTGCATTCCGCACAGTGGCATCTTTCACTCTTGAAGGCGCTATCTGCGATCAGTTCCGCACTCTCAACAGCAACCATGTCAAGGATGCCTTCAAAAAGGCTCGTTGGGTGAGCTTACTGTATGCTTTCTCCGACAGCGCGACTATCGGATGCCAGGCTATAGTACTCTACTACGGTGGTCGTCTTCTCCTTAGCGGCGAGTATGATCTAGAGAGCTTCTTCGTGTGCTTCATGTCTGTGCTGAACGCAGGCGAGACTACAGGTCGTGCGCTCAGCTTTGGACCCAATGTCGCGCAAGTCCGTGCAGCTGCCAATCGTATCCTTGGACTGAGGGATAGTCAGGTCAAGGACGGTCCTGAAGCGACTGGCGCACATTTCATTTCTCATGGCGATGGTATGAAGATTGAACTGGACAACATTCACTTCAAGTATCCTACTCGTGACGTGCCTGTATTCAAGGGTCTCAGTCTTACGATTGAGAAGGGCCAGTTCGCTGCTCTTGTTGGTGCGTCGGGCAGCGGAAAGAGTAGCATTGTCTCTCTTCTCGAAAGGTACGTAAATTCTTCTTCATATGTTTGTGGAAAATGCTAACATGATGCTACTCAAAGATTCTACGACCCTGATCACGGTCGCATCCTCTGTAATGGTCAAGACATCGCTGCCAACAATGTCTACACATACCGCCGACATCTCTCTTTGGTTGCTCAAGAGTCAAGTCTGTTCCAAGGTACGCCACACACATCACACTATCATCAAACAACACAGCTGATGATCTCACAGGTACACTACGTGAGAACATCCTTCTTGGCGTCGAAGATACAGTCGACGACGCAACTGTCCATCGCGTATGTCAAGAAGCGTCTATCCACGAGTTTATCATGTCCCTTCCAGAAGGCTACCAAACCCAAGTAGGTTCACGTGGGGTGACCCTTTCAGGCGGCCAGAGACAGCGCGTCGCTATTGCCCGGGCTTTGATGCGAAACCCTGATATATTGCTCCTTGATGAGGCGACAAGTTCTCTCGACTCAGAGAGTGAGAAGTTGGTCCAAGAGGCGTTTGAGAGGGCTGGCAAAGGTCGTACTATGGTCGTCGTTGCTCATCGTCTTGCGACGGTGCAAAATGCCGATGTCATCTTTGTTCTTGGTGAGGGCAAGTTGATTGAGAAGGGGAGCCATCGCGAGTTATTGGCTGCTCGCGGTGTTTACTGGCAGATGGTAAGTCCTTTCATGCCCTGGAGTTACGGTGCCTTGGTTGAGCTGAGTGCTGACTTTAACCAGTGTCAAAGCCAGGCTTTAGACAAGTGACGTTAGATGTCCCCTTGACATTTGGTGATGTCGCTGTTGCACGAACTTACCTTATTTATCCTTACTGTACAATAATTTATCACAACGTGGCGATATCTACATGATTCCAACATGGATCAAGCGTGGATGTCAGCCACTGTCTCAACTTCGTCATCAAAGAGCCCGTTCCACGTCACATCATGCCTCGTGTCCCGTGTACTCCGCAGAAGAGGTATTGAACAGAATCCCGTTTCTCTTTCAAATTAATCGTATGTGTGCTATCCACGTAAAGACCAACAAGTTTATTTATCTCACTGCCTGAATGTATTGTAAAGTCCATACGCCCTCTAAGACCCCCAAACATATGAATCGCCGGCTGATACAGTTACTGCATCCGGTATCACAGTGTTCGTAGCGATATCAGTTGCTACAACTGTATCGTACTCGGTGACAGTGACATAACCCATGTTGGTAACAAACACACTATTATATGCAGTCGCAGATGCAGTGTTGTAATTCGTTGTGTAAACAGTGTTACGGTTGGTCACGCCGACAGTGTTGTAGTTGGTGACAACAATAGTTTTGTAGTTCGTCACCGTGAGTGTAACTGGCTTGGTCATCGTGGCACTCTTACGCTGTGTTACCGACTTGGTATTGCGATTTGTTACTGCCAAGGTCTTGAAGTCTGTTGCTGTTCTGGTTACTTGATTCCACACAGTCGTAACTTGCTTCTTGGTAATATAGCTTGTTGTGTACTCTTTTGCCATGTTAGCGAGAGTCTTGGGATCCTTAGCAGTGACAGTTTGTGTTGTTGCAGCAGCCGGTTTGTTGCTGATGTGACACGAACAAGCACTGCTAACGACGAGAGGATTCTTGAGTGGTAGGTAAGAAGGAACCTGTTTGACGGGCACAGCTCGCTTTGCGGGCTTGAAAAGAGTTAGCAGAGATTTAGGGATTGAAGGTATGTGAACAGAGATTAGAGGGGGAAAAAACATACCTTGGTCTGTGCCGGGCATCCAATATCATAGAATTGGTATGAACTACTAGGGTTTTTATTCGTATTGATTTCCCTAACAACCATTAGTTCCATAAGCAGGACAAACAGGGCCAGGAACTACAAAACGGGCTATATGGAGTGCCATTCTCGGGTTTACTTACGCTGGTTGGTTGTAGCATGCGCATGCACCAGGGCCATACCCGAAGCTCACAGCACCCTGAATTGTTTCGCAATACGACTTGCACAAGTCCCAGCTACCAAAAGAGCCTGAGCCAACCGAATAGCTTCCATGTCCGTAACCAGGGATAGCGCAGTGGTATTCTGGAGGGTGGCAGTCAGTATCAAATCATGGTAGTTTGTGGTTTTGAGAGTATGTTACCATTGCCAACTGAAGTTGTGGGTGCTGCTCCTCTGTTTTATGTTATTGTTTGCTCTCGCAGAATTGTTTTGTAAAAAACTTACGTGACACTGGAATGGTTGTTAGCTTCGTATGTGGCATATCGGAGATAGTACTTACGTGACAGTGACAGTGGTTGGGACACTCACGGTGATATCTTGTGTATCAATGTCTGTAACGTCCATGGTAGAAGTCAGGTCAATTGTCTGCGTGATGGTCTTGGTGATTTGTTGAGTCACCACATCCGTCGCTTGCGCTGTGCTAGTCTTAGTCACTTGAGTAGTATCCGTGTCAGTCGAAACGTCTGTCATGGTGTTGGTAATTATCTTGGTCGCAAAGTCGGTAACAGTAGATGTCTGTGTCTCTGTGATGACCGTCGAGATGGTTTGCATCACTTTGGTTCGAACAATGTGATACACATTAATGCGAACTTTTTGGATCTGAACTAATACCGCTGTCTTGGTCATCATCTTGGTCATGTCTGTAGTGACCAGAGGAGTAGCTGTTACAGTCTTGGTGCTTTGGAGGTAGGTTGAGCAGAAAGCGGATCCGTCTGCCTTGTTGCTCCTCAGGGCCACGATATCTTTGTCGTCGGGCTGGCAGATAGCTAGAGAAAATAAGTACTTGCTATCTAAACCTTTTACTCTTGCAAACTTGGCCAACACATACCAGGCGCTCTCTTGTCAAAGGCCAAGTCCTGGATCTGACCATTGATATCGTATTTGGGCCACTGAGCACTAGTCGGTATAGCACTAACGGCACTGACGAGCAGCGCTAGTGTTATCTTGAGCGCAACCATTTTGGTGTATTGGTTCAGTATCAAGGCAGAGAATTACACTCACTACAACTGCTGAATTGAATGCCAGAGAGGTATTATATACCACATGGTTGAGAGATGAGAGCAAGAAGTATTAGCTTGTCTAACTAATACCGGCTTTTCAACACACAATCGATCCTCCCAGGCTAGATCTACTGCTAGACCTTTGCAATGTCAATGACTTACCGCATTGGGATCCTAAGATATCACTAAGAAGGTCCAGGCCCTAATATTTTTCGAATATAAATCTGGATCAATGGTAGTATTATAAGTGCTAGGTAATATTCATTTAGTTTTCTAGTTCTGTGCTACAGTCGTTGCGAGATTTTCTGCATTCCAGCAAACGATGAAATTCCGCTTTGGGCGAGAACGAATGAAGACAAGCTTCAGGCTATCGTAACGCTACTACAGATACTAACCACAATGCGCGTACAACAGTTGCGGCTCTTCAAAGAGCTAGTTAGCCGATCTTCCGGCCAATGGTGAAGGAACGGTCTCGCCTCTCGACAAGACCATATTTAGTCCTTCGATAAAAATTAGCTTTGCTACCTTACCAAGCATTAACCAAAACCGTTCGACACGTGCTCAACGTGGGATACAAGTTCAAACTCTAACGATCCTAAAAGATTCCCGAGGAGTCTTTAGCCAAGCAGAATTTTAGACAGCGTGTTATTGGCTCAATGGTAGCCGACGCATGCACTGGATTGAGTTTGCATACCAGTGCGCTGGAGCATAAGCAGTTTGCAATATCGCTGAGCATGACCAGAGTGATTAGATACGAGAAGAATTAGACACATCACTGTATCCCCCACATCACTGGGCTCATTGCCTTCCTCGTCTAGTCTCCAAAGCCCTCGGGACAGACGTTTATGGATAATGATCGTGTTCCTGCATCTCTTAGCGGTGTTAGATGGCTGAGGTAAGGCTGCAGTAGCTTCGTCGGTCTTATATTATCGCTCAAGACATCATCTCTTTCTTCTCTGCCCTGTGTGTTGGACTGGTGTGTCGCGGGAATCGATTTGGCATATTACAATATGCAAGACGTGGTCTAGGCACTAGAGCTACTTGAATCTGCCCATGACCTCTCATTGACGAGATACAGGAAGCATTAATCCCATTGCACCTCGACTCAAATAGCGCGAGGGTTATGCTCCAAGACGGCCATCAGCGAAGAGAGGTAACAAGGAGAGATGGTAGGTCAACAAGGCGTTGCTATCGCGTATCGTTATGGGCATTGGCCAGATCGAGCTTGTAGAGCCTAGCGCCGAGACGTCGCAATGAATTGTCTTGGTGTTCCTCTCTCGTATGGCTTTTCGTGTCTGTAAACCACGACACCACGTCGATAATAATCCTCTACTTAGCATCAAGAATAGCTACTATGTTGAGTGATGGCGTACAGATTCTAACAGTATAGTTCTCCTTTGTAATTGAGTTCAATCGCAGCAATACTTGCAAGGCTACTGTATCCAATTGAACAGTTCCAAGGTGAAGGTTACCACCAGCGCTGACAAATTGTTAGGGCTGACAAATGACTCTACAGAGAGCCAAGCTGCCACCAACAGCCAGTAAGACGCTCCATGCTCCATGACATATTATCGACATCTGATTGGCTTTGATCTGACATGACCAGTGATTGATAAGATCGATCTGACCTTGGTTCCGCGGAACCTGACAATAAACATACCTGGTGCTTCCCGTCGCATCGCGGGTCAACATTTGCGAAGTGATTGATAAGATGCTTCATAATGAGCTCCATTGGGTTCTCGAGCCCCGCATGTATTTGTTCAGTGTAAATAGTTATATAAGTTTGCCCATCGTCTGTGTCTCAATGTTAAATTCGCATTTCATCTCACATTACCAAGCTCACACCTTGACAGCATTTCTACAACCAGTACCACTCTATATCAACTCACCTCACACATCAATAAACATAATCAACCATGGCAGCCAAGTCTCCCATCGTTCTCATCCTCGGCTCCGGCCCAAACATCGGCCAATCCGTCGCTCGCAAGTTTGCTTCCGAGGGCTTCAGAGTCGCTGTTGCTTCTCGGTCCCAGAAGGAGGCAGACAGCACTGACAAGCAGCTCAACATCAAGACTGATCTGACCAAGCCACTCGAGGTTGCTGATGCCTTCAGTAAGGTGAAGACAACCTTCGGGACCCCAAGCGTTGTTGTTTACAATGGTAAGTTCCGTCTTGAATCGAAAGCCAAGACAGGTTCTAACGCACCACAGCCAGCGCCGCAGCCTTTCCTCCCGCGGACGACCCACTGTCTGTCTCTTACACCGACTTCAGCAACAACACTGCCATCAACATTCACAGCGCCTTCATCGCAGCACAACAGGCAGTCGCTGGTTTCGCCCAGCTCCCAGATTCAGCTTCACGTACCTTCATCTACACCGGCAACATCCTCAACGTCACCATCCTTCCAAAGTTCCTCGATGCAGGCGTTGGAAAGTCTGGCGCAGCCCATATGATGTGGGCTGCTGCGGATGCGTACAAGAACAAAGGCTTCAAGTAAGTCAACGTATCAGAGGTTTTCGTATAATGAACTAACATTCTGTAGGTTCTACTATGCTGATGAACGCAAGCCTGATGGAGCGCCCAAGTATCGCGTCGATGGAGATGCACATGCTGATTTGTACTGGGCCCTGTCCCAGAGTAAGGAGCAGGGACCCTGGATGCAGACCTTTGTCAAGGGAGAGGGATATAAGAAGTTTGATACACTTTACACCCCCATTGCCTAGGCTGCTTCTGAGTCATAAATAGGGCACATAAAATAGCAAATATAGCTCGCAATTTAGACCGCTTAAACCCCATCAAGTATCTAACCCCCGCTTTGTCCCGTGAGTGCACTCAATTCACCAGCGTAAATCCAATAGCCATTATTACATCTTGCCGGAGGTGTCGTGTGAAACGACTCTGTAATCCACGGCTTCTCCGGCAGAACATACTCACCGCCCAAGGTTCGCCATATCTGCCAGTGAAAGACGCGACACTCATGTTTTTGTGCACGAACTATCTCGCGCCGCATCTCGACGTACACAATATACGGGATAGAAACGGCGAAAGGTTACCGCATGCAACCAGAGGCCCGACGCATGAAGAACTTGTCCAGAATGTCAAAGAGATATTGGTAATGCGTTTCCATGTTTTTGGACAGTCCGAGCTTCAAGGCCAGATTGAGTCTCTTGAGATTCGGAAAGTGACTGTCGAGAACCAGGAGGATTGCGTTCAGATCCCTGTCTCGTGGGAGATTCTTGCCTATACAGACGTCTGTTTCAACGAACCAGATAATTTCCAGGGATCTTATCGATGATAATCTTTGCGGGAGGATATAAGCTGTAAGATCGACAAGAAGGGTTGCACTCGAGATGTGTATGGTGTTCGTACTGTACAGGACGTCAATGCCCTCAGTATAGCTAACAGATAAATAGTGAGCATCCACAAACAAGACCCCAAAAGGGAGACTCACGCCTGTCTGCACGTTTGAAGCCATCCCATAGCGCCAATCCAACACCCATAGAGCTCTTTGCAGTTCTTACTCCACATGTCACAACACTGCGCGAGACCTACGCAACACCTATCCTTATCAACGGCTCTCACACTATAAGACTCTGTCGCGATAGCTGGATGCCAGGGCGGAGGCTTCCGATGACATGTGCAGCCTCTCCAGTGCCAAAATTTAGGTCTGCTCTTATCCAGGCCCAACCTCCATTCCTGAACCATGGCGTGGGCCTTGTTGTTACCCGGCAATGGTGGGTGGTTGTATGTAAGGTCCATGTGAATTGTGCGATCGCCAAATGCTTCAATCAGGACCTGTCTTCGGGTCTCATAAGGAAGCATCTGGAAAAAGAGTGCAGTCTGTTGTGACGGGGACATGGCCTCCATTGAAGGCGAAGGCGTTAAAATATGCGATCGCGGACTTGGGAGAGTTGGAGGCTCGGGAACGCCGTTGTGCTTCTCCCGTTTCGCAACGTACCATGTCATAAAGCGTTGCTTCATCATTCATAGCGGGCAACAATCGCCATTCGTGCTTATGTTGGTTGTAGCCTGTAGGTAAGCGCCAGGCAAAAGCGCACTGAGGCAAGTTATGACCAGGTGTTGGCGGGGCAGGATAGTGTGAAAAATGGCAAAGTACTGTGCACATGACTGCAAGCAACAGAGGTTACAGCCTTTTAGTTATATCTGCTTCGCGCCTTGTGCAAAAAAATCACAGTCGATCGACCTGGAGCCCAAAGTTTATCTAAGAATACACCAACAACGTCAGGTATCATCAGCCGCCCAAGGGTGAACCGAAACAGCTGACAATGCCATCCACTGGTTTGTTATCCAATTCATACCTGTCTTCATAATCTCCCCAAATCCAGTAGCCATTATCTGCTGTTGCATTGCTTATTTCGCCCTCATTATCCAGCACAATAGGTTCAGACGATAGATGGCGCCAAACCTGGATACCTTGGAGCTTAAAATAGTGCAGGCTATCAGTCTCAACGTCCGTCTTGAAATCCTCATATGCTGACTCTGATATCGATAACAAGAAGGGATCCCGGAAATGACCTAGCTGAGGCTCATCACTCCTTCGTTTGACAAAGGCGTCGATCGACTGGAATATGCCTGGCAGATACGCATGTCTTCTGTTGATCTTCCTTGTACGACTTGTAATCTCTTCGAGAATGGGAAGGTTGAGCCTTAACCCAAGGTGGAGGGTCAATATAGAGGGGAAATAAGTGTCAAGAATAAGAAGACTTCTTTCCAGTTCTTGTTGATTCGGGACTGCTTTGCCTTGATGCTCGTAATTGTCAAGAGATAACACAATCTCGAGTGAGGTCATCATCGAGAGCCTTTGGGGAAGGACCAGTGTGCTCAGGTTATTGAGAAGTGGCTTGCTGGATATGTGGATGATGTTTGTGCCGTACAGGATTCCGATTCCTTCCGTGTATCTGGTAAGCAGACTGGTCAGCACACAAGCGAGACAGACACATTTTTTCAGAGCAACTCACGCTTGACGACAGGTCAAAATCCACCCCATGGCTCCAATCCAGCAAGAGTCAAGCATACGGTGCTTCCTAGTCCACACTCCACAGTGGATTCCCCAACCATCACAGCATCGATCATCGCCAGGCTTTGCGTAGTGCGGGAATTTCACTGTGATGTTGTACTCAGGCGGGAGCAGGCGATGACATACACAGCCCCTCCATTGCCAATACTTAGGCTGACTCGTGTCCAAACCTAGGTTTTGTTGTGTGTATGGATAAAGATGCTCAACCCCATGGCCTCCACCACAAAATCTGTCCTTCGGGTCTATGCTTCTGTAGGAAGCAGCGTTCAGTGGCTTGCGCAATGGATGAGTTAAAACAAGGTCCATATGAACAGTTCGGTTTCCAAATGCGTGAATGAGAATCTTTCGTCTGAGTTCGAGTGGAAGTCTAAAGAAAAGAACCGTTTCTGCTAGCTTTGTGATTTGCTCTTGCGATGGTGATGGAGTCAAGGCGTACGGTCGCGGATTGGGAAGACATGTCATTTCAGGGTCCTGGGGGATACGTGGGTGTCCGTGACGTTTGGCCTCCACCCATGCTTTGAAACGCCGATGCATAATTACGGAGAAAGGCTTTGGGTGGTGTGATGTTAGTTGTCAGTGCAGAAGGGGGATAGTGGAGGGGGCCACGCTTTTTATATGCAGTTGGTGATGTCGTACTGTATGAAGGACGGAATGCACTGTGTATCACGGTGCCAGAGCAGCTTTGCTATTGAAAGGTTACAAATGCGAAAGTCTTTTGATGATACGAATGAAACATATTCAAGGTCTCCAGCCTCCACCAGCCTGGACTCTAAACTATCAAGAAGTAACTGAACTCTTGTACAAAGCTATTTACCTGCATCCACGCAAACATAGGAATCAGGCTTCAATCCAGTACATTTGCTACCCAAGGCTGGGTTCCAGCCTACCAGCTTCTCCAGTGATATACTGTTAGCTCGTCGGATAGACTTGCAGGTATCCGTCTTCGAAACAAGCCAATATTCCTTACAGTCGGAGGCTATACCCGACTGAGTTTGCATAGCTGTTGCTGGTCGAGTAGGTGTTGTCAGGGCTGCAGTTCTGGTAGTGGGAGTACCGTGCTCAGCGACACAGTACCAGGTGTTATCATAAATATCATCACATTCGTCTAGAACTGACGGATTCATCGCGATGAACTCCTCGACACTGAAAGTACCGAACATGTTCGCCAATTGGTCACATGTCTCTCCACTCGTAGTGTAGTACCAAGCGGTGCAGTTCTTGGTGCTTCCGCTTGGGACATCACTGGGGGTTGTGGTGACTGTCGGGGGCATCAGAGCCTCACTCTTGACGGCGACGCAGTACCAGTTACCCTTCCAGAGACCATCGCAGTTATCTTTCAGTACTGGGTTGTACTTGAAGAACTTCTCTTTTGAGAGGTAGTTGTATGTCTTGAGAATGTCACGGCAGCTCTCGTCCGCTTCCGCCTGGTGGAAGTTGACACAGTCCTTTGAGATAGAACCATGCGTTGGTGTTGGTGTGAAGTCGGAGTTGGCTGGAGTGAGCTTTGTAGGCTGATGAGTCGTTGGGTCCGGAGGAGGCGTGAATGGCGGTGTTGATGTTGACCACTGGAGGTTGTTCGTTGTATTGGACTTGATCCCGACGCAATACCAGTAGCCAACGAAAAGACCGGAGCAGTCGGTATGGACTTCGGAGTTCCATTTGAAGCTGTGAATACTTTGTCAGCTGGGTCTCACGGCTCGGATAATGGTTCAACTTGCAAGTCATCCTTCTTCATGAAAGCACTGTATCTATTCAGGACGTCCTGGCATCCCTCGCCTGGACGGGCTAGGTGCCATTTCTTGCATGTGACTGGTTGACCCTTCTGAGTTGCTTTGGGAGGCCAGCTCAAGTCAGTAGTTGGAGTGGTGATATTCCATGTCGAAACCGGGTGCCGCACTGAGTATGTCGTATTTACAGTGCTGGTGGTGATAGGAGACGTTGTGTGGCTCAGCTCTTCGGTAGCTGACGAAAGGTCTTTGGTAGTTGAGCGACTTGATGGCGTCGCATGCTTCGTAGTGGTAGCAGTGCCTGTTATTGGACGAGTAGTGGACGCGGTAGCCTTGCTCGTGGTGATGATCTTGGTGGAGCTGCGAATAGCTGAAGTACCGTCTATCCTGATGCAGTAGGCGGAGTTGACCCAGAAGTTGTCCAAGCAGTCTTTCGAAATGGCTGGGTTCCAAGCCATGAACTCCTGCCTGCTGATATAGTATTTCTTCGGAACACTATCACAGTCATCGCCTTTCTTGGCAGTATGCCAGGCAATACAATTCGTGGGCTGGCCCGGATAGACTGGACCACATGGCTTACTATCTTGAGCGAAGGCGACAGGCAAGGCTGCCCAGAGACAAGCCAGAGTGAAAAGAGACAGCATAATGAAGCGCGACTGAGTTCCGTTTGAATGGCTCCCATAGGAAGAGAAGAGTAATGACAATCAGGATGAAGGTGAGTTCACTGGAGGAGATTGATACTGCACATGTAAATCAGTTCATAGAAGGGATTCTCTATAGGAGGACACGGCGCTGGCCGAAACGGGGACTGCACCGTGGGACAATGACTGTGCTGTACTACCTGCAGTATTGTTTGCTAAAGTCCCAGATAATTCATCCACCCATTGTTATGTCCATCAGGGGCACCATCAAACTGCGACATGTGAAATGACTGTTGGTTGATTATATCACAAAACAGTAATGGCGTGGCGGGTGCACAAAACCACTTCATCTGTCTGTCCTCGCAATTTCCTTCATGGATGGACTCCACTGAGTTGTTTGTTGGTCCTGTTGGGCCCAAAAGAAGCATAGATATTAGGTTCCTAGTTAGGTTCCCAGTTAGACCCAATCGGATTCTTGGGACATCAAGTTTGAAACAAGGCTTGATGATCGTTTTTGCGGGGATGCGAAGGATTGGGGCGGGGCATTGCTTTCTGCACAGTCCTGGTGAACTGTCTTTAGCATCACGGGCCCAACAGAAGGCCGGAATTAAAGTTACATCTGTTGGTTGCAAGCGCACCCTTGTAAGCACGGCCTGAAAGGGCCGTTATCGCCCCTGGTTACTCCGTAGGTTGGTTCCATACAAGCAATGTCACTACAATCACCAACAGCCGTCTCAGATAAGGAATAGCCTTCCATAATCAGCCGAGTGAAGGGGCTCCCTAGGCGCCCATTGCATATTGGTGTTGATCCTTCTCCACTGATGTGTTGCCTTGGCTGGATATACTTAACATGATACCAACCAAGCATACAGTTATCAGCTGATGCCCTGTGGCTTAGTTGGCTCAAGCGTCCGAATGTTATTCATTGACAAACTGATTCACGAGGCGGACCGTGCCTATGTGATTACAGGATGAAGCATTGCGTCTCTTGGCACAACGCCGAAGTTCCGATCTCTAAGAACTGACTGTTGGCTCTTCACGACATCGAATCGGAACACGTGAAGCATTTCTGTGGCTTATGGGGCGTAATATATCATGAAACGAATGTTGGTCCCCATTACATGCAAGATGGCAGCCCACAGAAATTGACCGAGGAGTATTCGGCGCTTGCAGAGAGATGACGATCTTGGTGCGAGGGAGAGAGCTGGGAGCCCTGTTGAAGAACCGGTAGCACTGAGGTCCCCATCTAATCTCATTTCTGCGAGTTCGATGACTTTTGCGCACATTCTGTCTGGCTCTCATTGTCTCTACATTATTTTACGATTTTCCCTTCTCGACCAGACTTCGCCGAACGTAGGCTGTAACTTCGCAACATGCATACCACTTTCTGTTTCTTTCTCGCTACCCTACTAGCAAGCCTCGCCAAAGCAGGCAGTTCTCTCTGGGAGATCCCTGCAGCAAGTCACAACGGCTTTGAGGATTGTTTAGTGAAAAGGGCTATATCTATCAACCCTCAGCACAACTACCGTGACAACTCGCGTACCCGTCTTTGGCCAAACAAGAAAATAACATACGCTTTCGCCAACGATGAAGCAAAGGAGAAGCTTGAAGCACAATTTCGCAGGGCCATTGATATCTGGCAAATCCTCGGCGCAAACGGCTTCAAATATGAGGGTATCAAACCAAGAAAGTGTAGATCCCGCAGAAGTGAATGCCTGCTTATACACTACAACGACCAAGGCACATTCAGATCTAGCATCGGGTTACCAGCGGTCAACGGGCGTGAAGGCGTAGAGGGCCCTACCATGCATCTGAGTGACGTGATTGGGGTGGGAAACCTCGACACTGCCGTCAACACTGCTCACGAGATTGGTCATGTTTGGGGCCTTGGACACGAGCACCAGATCAAAGAATGGTGGGGCCAGAGTGGCTCTGATGAGACATGGATCGAGTATCTTATGGGCACCAACTTCATGACAGAGGATTATCATTGCGAGAACCTAGACGACTATGAGGCCGCAAAGGCCAAGCTTGAGAAAGCAAACGCTTCCAAAGAGGACAAGGACAAGGACACTCTCGACAGTCTTTGCAGAATAGCCTCAGTAGCAAAGGACTATGGCTTCAGCGCAATGGACTGGGTCCCTCTACCATATCTTGGTTTCACCCACGACGATGAGATTGACAAAGACTCGCTGATGATGTATCCAAGCGGTGCCGGGGGCAAAGGAAGAGTCAATATCAATGCAGAGGACGAGAAGGATCGCGACCAGCGTTTGCCTGTTCTCACTTATCCCGGTGGAGAAAGAATTCCTCTTAGAAAAAGCCCGTCAACTGGCGACATCCAAAGACTGTTGAAAATTTATGGAACTGATTTTGTCGGAGAGAGCAAGTTGCTCAATGATAAGGACAGCACAGCTCGGGGACTTTTCAACAAGATTCGTGGAAAGTCTTCCAAAAGAGCTGGAGATACTTCAGCAGGAATTTGTTAGGGAGATAAGAACACTTGGTATGACTGTACTTTAGGGAACAAATTTGTATTCTTGGCTTCGGGTGCAGACTAGGTTATTGAGTGTGACACTTTTTATTATCTAAACATTTGCTCCCTATGCAATGACACAAAATTACTGTCGTTGTTTCATTAATCCATTGGATATCAAGTATAACGGCAATTGAAATGCGATCGATGATGCACGCATAGTATACTCAAGTCATTTCCGAAGACAGATATCGTCTTGGAGATACTTGGGAGGTAGCGTGAATGGGCACTGGCGGGCGTTTTCTTTTTAAACTAATAGGCGGGAGATTGACTGATCGATAGTCAAAGATTATCATGTCTCGGCAAGATAGGCAGGAGATAATAAATATATTAACAGACTCTTCATAACAACTCCAGTTGCATCTAACATTTACAGCTCTTCGTGAAGAGAGCTTCCCTTACGAAAACAGTTCACAATCATCTCAGGTGGGGAAACCCGTGACTTCTTACGCTTGATGCCTTTCCCAAGCGCCTCAATAAGCGTACCATCATCCAAATCTATCGCCCAGACCATGGTTCTGTATCTTAAGTCAGTATCGCCTTTTCTCACGACAAGTTCTCGTGTGAAACATACCCTCCAAGACAATTCTCGTTGGCATAGTCAAGCTTCATCTTGAGCGTCTTGGCATCATCCCAAGAAACCCACTGGTTTGAGTCCCAGGTCACAATCTGCACGGCTGCCTCCTTGTCAAGCTTCATCTTTCCTCCATTCTTGATGATCTTATTGATCTCGCTTGCTGAGAGAACGCCCTTGGTGCCAGTGCATTCGCCGCCTTTGGCGCCTGAGCTAAAGTCGCACCCAGCGTCCATGCAGCTGGGGCTCTTCATCGTGAAGCCTACGTAGTGTCAGTGAAGTTCTGGTGGCTTTTGGGGAGTTACTTACTTCGACCGTAGAAGCCAAGGCCCATGACAACCCGTTCGGGATTGATGTTGTTTCTCCAGAGAAGCTCGAGGCCCTGTTGAATCTCTGTGAGATTGGTATGTGCGTGCGCGTAAGGACCGAGGGACTCGATGTTCTCATCCCAGACGCCATCTGCCGTTCTGTCAGCTGAATCTCCAAAGTCTTGAAATAGGGAGCTTACGAATGTCGTACGTCATGATGTTGAACCAATCGAGATACTTTTCCATGTTGACGATGTCGAAACCCTTGAGGTACCAATAAGAGGCGGGCTACAGTCGTCAGTTAGGGTAGTTTCATTGGTATTTAAATGGAAAGCCTACCAGTGTCAAGGTCAAGCCGTATTTGCGACCTGAAGAATTAAGTCTCTTCCGAAGCCGGGCCAAAAGGTTAACGTAATTCTCAAAGTCTTCCTCTACGCCGCCTCGATCTTCTGCGACTGGACTGTCCAAAGTATTAGTGGATTAAATCATCACAGGGTTGCAGAGGAACTCACTACTCCCAGTCAAGATCGACACCGTCAAAGTCGTATCGCTGCAGAAACGTGACAAGGGAGTCAAAGAAAGCGTCTTGCTTCTTCTCAGACTTGGCAAGATCAGAAAAAACTGTTCGATACTTCCCAGGGTCGTTCATAGCCCATCCTCCGATGGCAATCCAGACCTCAAGATCGTTTTGGTGCTGCTTCAGTGCAGAAACTCTCCCGTAGCGAGAGGCTGTTCCTGCATCCATCGGATCCAGGCGGTAAGTATCAGGGTTGATAAGGGCAAAGGCAAAGTTGATGTGCGTGTAGTATCCGAGCGAAATGTCCTCAGGCTCCATGTTACCGCAGGGCCTCTGATAGTTCCAGCCCTCATAGTACCCAATGGTCCTCTTGTCTGAAGAGTGCTTCGCTTTGTCGCACTTGGGCGAGGCAACTGTCTTGCCTTTGCAGTAGCTGGGCAGGGTGCCGCAGAAGCCGTAGTCGCTACAGCAGACGTTCAGTGGGCAGGTGGTGAAGTTGGAATATTTGAGGCCCCAGCCGCCTGGATCGCATTCCGACTTGTAGTCGCACTCTGATGTGCAGCCTTTGCCGCAGAACTTTGGACCAGTGCCACAGATTCCGACACCTTGTTTGTTCCTGAGATCATGTTAATCATCGTGGCCCTCTAGGCGATGCATATTCACCTACAATGGACCGCAGCAACCTAGCTTACAGCCTTTCGTCTTGGTGCATTTTCCGTCCGAGTCGTCCGCTTCTGGCTCGGCCATCATACGCATGGGTTTCACTAGTCCATCCTCTTGGTGCTGATTCAAGATCATCTCGCGCTGGCGACCGAGAACTTGAGCTTGTCCCGTAAAAGAGTTGAGATCCAACGCTCTGACAGACAAGGCGCAGAAAAGTCCCAAGGTGACAAGCCAACGTGGTGAACACATCTTAGAGAATGATTGGAGTCGTGAGTAAATGCAAACAAGTTCGAGATAGTGAGAGATGAAATTTACTTGAATAGATGGACGTGGGAATCCTCAAGACCCCCATCATTGCAACTCTCCTACTTCCCTCTTCATTCATCACCAGTTGTTGGTTGTTGGTTCTTACTGAAAACATCTTGGCGCTCAATCTAAATGAGCCCGCACAGCCCACTCATCAATGCAGGGGCTTGCGGGGGTTGGACGCAGCTGTTGAAGCACCATGACTAATTAATACCCCGGACCAACAACAGTATCGTCGAAACAGGGTGTGTGTGTCCCACGCTGGGTCGCGGCAGGGCAGCAAATCCTCTGTTGGCCAAACGTACACATGGGCTCGTGCATGTTTCAGCGTCGGCGCTTACCTTGTCATGTGCCGATCAGTGGTCTGTTCTAATCTATTCGGAGTGTGAGTTATTTATCGACCAACAGAGGATTGCGTCGATGAGGAAAGTGAATGTCGCACAGTATGAACACCCAGGTACACTTCTTCGGGCGGCTGCAGGTATTCTCAGTGCGACAGCGAAACGCCTTGTGAGAACTCAAGGAAGCCTCGCTCACTGAAGCGCCCGTGAAAAGAAATCATCTGTCACTTTCCCTCTTTGCAACTTCGATCATTACAAGCACCAAACTTGCCGGTTGGCCTTGTACTCGTTTGGCGCAATCATGGACTTTACTATCTTATTCTTTCTTCTCACGATCTTTTCAGCCGCGCAAGGCCATGTTCCTCATCTCAGACATTCTCGCCTTCACTCTGCTCCAAGCCCCTCTAAGCTCACCAAGAGAGCTGATGACGATCCATCAGACTTCTCCTGGGTGAAGAGATGGGCAGCCATAGGTGACAGCTATACCGCTGGAATCGGCTCTGGGCGGCCTATGGGCAGTATCTTTGACGGCGAAGAACTTGATGTCAAAGTCAAGACTCTTAACATCACATTACCCAACCTCGAGTTTAGCGGACACGGCAACTGGTATTGTTCTAGATATGACATGTCATATCCCATGATCATCAACAGAATCCTTGGCTCGCAAGTCGAGAGTTTCCAGTATGCTGCTTGCAGTGGGGATCGTGCTGGACAGATCTACCAACAAGCACAACAGATTGATGGAGATCTTGACATGGTCATGTTGACAGCCGGTGGCAACGATCTCTGCTTGGTAAGATACTCCTTTTGAATGACATGCGAATGGTAACTAATGATAAGTTTCAGTCTGGTATTATAGCCAACTGTATTATCCTTTCTGCAGGTCATGACGAAGCATGCGAAACCGTCCTCAAGATTGCTGAAGAAAATGTCGAGAACATCATCACGGACAACATGAAAGAGATTCTTTACGCCCTGAATAAGAAGGTGAAAAAAGATGGCATTGTCGTCGTCCTGGGATATGCTGAATTCTTCAGCACCGAGAATGATGACTGTGAGAACGAGTCTTGGGACATATCAGAATTTAAAGAACCTGTGCAATGGCCACAGAAGCTGACGATTGCCCGGCGCCACCGATTCAATGCACTCGTCAAGAAGATCAACAAGGCAACTGCTGATGCTGTCAATGCCATTTCGGAAGATGACGACGTCAAGTACAAAATCGGCTTTGCGGACTGGAACCCTTGGGTCACTGATGCCAGCATCGACGGACAGATGTGCTCTCCGTCTGCCAATGGAGATTACCCGAGTAAGGATCAGCCTGAAATGCAATTTATCAAGCCAAAGACGAATCCTTCACCTGGAGAGCACGATGAACTGAAGAAGCGGGGGGTTCCTGAATCCGATTACTATGATTACTCCCAGGCAGAGCTGAAAAAGAAACGAGCTGCTGACAGCATTTGGGGGTCAAAGTTCTTCAACAGCCCCAACGACTCTGCGCTGGTACGCAGAGTCCTCGGTCGTCGTGCTCCAAAGCCTCCAGGTTGTCCCTCGGACTACAGCAGAGATTGGACAATGGGTCTTGGTCTTCCCAACGATTTTGCGGAGAAGTTCCATCCCAACGAGAAGGGACACGTCACTATGGCCAGCTTCGCAATGGCTGAGGCAATGGACCTTCGGTCTTTGGTGCTTGGCATTGATCCCCCTTCGTGTGAGGTTAAGGACCAGTTCAAATGCTGGTCCGATGACAACTGGAAGATCTATGCCAGCGCTGATCGACTGGACAAGCACTATGAGGATTTCTGTAAGAACATTGAGCAGCCAGATCATGAGAAGGGTTGGGACTACTACAAAGTGTATGACGAAGACACACCTGATGAGCATGAGTTCAGAATCTCGCTTAGCAATGACGTCGCGGACTATGACGTTAATCAGTGCATCGACTCCTTCAAGAAGCTCATCCACAACTGCGACACCAATCGTCGGCTGAACTGGAAGACTGGAGGTAAATACGTCCGCGACAACGGAGCCTATACCTACGAAGTAAGCCCAACGCGCTACAACAGACCCTGGCCACCACCAGAATACGCCCAAGGAACTTGCAAAGGATGGTATCACATTTCTCATAGTTCGTACACCATCGAGGGCGGTGGGTTCTCAACGTGGGACTTTGGTCAGAAGACGATGAGGCCGAGTATGAATGGATGCTATGGACTTGGAACGACGGCTTGGAACTTTGAGTACTACGATGAACCTACTGAGGAGGGCTATGAGTGGAAGCTCACGTTCAACACGCCTGTTTTCGTGAGGTCTCGGTGTTTTAAGAATAATAAGGTTGTCAAGGGTGCTGGCGGATGGACTGATGGCTGTGGAGGAAATGACTGACTTAGATATGAATGAGTACTCGCGCTTTTAAGCAATACCAACACTTATAATAAGCCCTCAAGAGAAAATATAAGCAATACACCCTATCTTGTATTTCTTGCAGTAGGAGAGCTCCACTATACTGCACCCTATCTTGTATTCTAACTGCGTCAGGTTAAGCTAGCTGTGGTATTACCATCGGCCAGATTATTAATCAGAGCAACTTGACATAATTTCACCGCGGCTCGATTATTTAGATAGATATATTTAGCCACGTATTTGTCTGTCTTTCTTTACTATAGCTCTCCAGTCTTCATCACATACAATACGCCAGATCGGTCGCGGCGCAGCCACCATGTCATCTGAGTATCATTACTCGTTCTCCCACGTCTCCAAGACAGATTCCGTTCATGAATCCGCAATTAAATACCGCGAACTGCGTCTGAACGCGCTGAAGGCTTCTCCAGAGTCTTTCTCTTCCACATACGAAATCGAATCTCAATTCACAGAGACCCAATGGGTGGATCGCCTCCTCCAAGATGATAGAGAGAACTTTGTTTGCATCGCAACCCCTGCCAGCACTGGCTCTTCTTCCGCGGCACAGTGGGTAGGACAAGTGACTTTGAGAGGCCCAGTCAATAGAAAAGACTTCACTCTTCCCGAAGTTTCTGGTCAGCCGACACCTGGCGGGGACGACAAGGAAGATCGTTGGCAGATGCTCAGCCTGTTCATTCTACCGGAACATCAAGGACGGAAACTGGGACAAGGCCTATGCCGGGAGGTTATTAAACACTTGCAAGAAACTCAGAGAAAGGCTAGAACCGTTGTGAGATTGATGGTCAAGCCTCAAAACACCGCTACTGTTCACTTGTACGAAAAACTCGGTTTCGAAACCGTCGGAAAATGCACATTGGCTGAGGCTCTTGTCGCGAACGGAGATGGTCATCTGCTCCCCGAAGATATTTCAGACGCTAAGTACTCTACTAGAGCAGGCCTTATCATGATCTATACTCTCTCAAAAACCGCCTAGAATCGAGACAAGTTTTTGACGGAGTACTGAGTACCTAGCCAGACCTCTGGACTTCGTACCTAGTTCACGAGCATTCCGCTCCCCAAATGTGGTAATAGAAAGTATATTCATGTAACTTCACTGCTATATATAGAAAAAGCAATATCTACAGTTTCGTCTTAGTCTTGGGAGGATGCTCCTCTTCCCACTTCTTCAGCAGTGCCGTTGCCGTTTCAACCTTGCGGGTAAATCCATCATACAACTTGGCCCATCCCTCGCTTACAGTCCTGATATCAATTGGTCGACCAGTCTTCGCATTAATATACGTGATTGATCCTGTAACCTGTGCCACTACAGCCTGCTGCTGTAAAGAAAACAGAACCGTCGTGCCAATATTGTGGTTCGGTGTGAACTTTTCTTCACGATTGGCCACAATGAGCTGTCCCACGATGAGATCTGGTCTTCAATATCGTGTCGCGTATGGCTTAACTTACCGAATCTGGGTATCGAACTTGTCTCTTCAACAATATCTCATACTTGTGCACAACGGGTATGACACTCTTGCCCTTGATCATATCCTCGTATTCCTGCTTAGACAAAAACTCATCGTAGCTTTCCATGACGCGCTGCCAGCAAATACCGAAGAAATGCAGGTACTGTGAGTGCGCGACATGTCCGAACGGGTCTTGATCTTCTGCCCAGGTCACACCGCGTTCTACCATGGTCTTGGCTTCAAATCCCTGCGCTTCAAGGGCTGTCAGCGCTTTTGCGCGAAGGGCAGCGTAGGGATCATCTTGGTCGGGTAGTTGGGAGGATTTGGGAGCGCCTGCGCGGTGGTAAGGCGAAAAGTAATCTGTTGCCTTGAGAGGCGCGAAAGTCTTGTCTGATCCCGGCATGGTCGGAACAGTGTGTTATGCGTTTATTTGCTACGGATAATGGATGGTGAGGGGCAGCCAGCACTTTTATAGAGCAGTGCACTTTAAATGAAACATAAGGCTAATGTCAAAAGCAGTAATCTCCGGGTATATGTTGCTTGGTTATCATTGCATGGTTATTGAACCCAATATTCCTGTCAAGACCACTCGGAATGCCGACCCTTCTATCCGCAAACTTTCGAGCCAAGATGGCTTCGACCAATGATGGATCGCCGTTGATATCTTGGTTACATTGGATGCCCGTCCAAGGAGCGGGGAAGCGACACGTTTTGCTCCATCTGGTAGGTAACATGGCGGCCAAGCAGAAAATCATGGTCTCAATTATCAATCTATCAAAACCGGCCCCCAACAATAGATTTCATAAATTGCGGCACGTACAAAGTTAGGGGCCATCCTATAGCACGGGTCGGTATCCAAGCGTGTCAGTTACATGTGATAAACCTCTTGTCCGCCGTTGTATTTCAGGCTAATATGTTAACGAAGCCGGTTCAAGTCTGTCGCTCAAAAGGTTGCAGAATCAATCCGTCATCTTCGTTCCCCATATGAACTCAAGCGAGCCGTGATAAATTTCTAGAGAATTTACGGTACCTATCAAATAGATAGTCGTTGTTATTATATGTCTGACTAGTAGCTCGATGCCAACCGACGTCATAGATTCTGTCATTCCAGCTCTAGCCCCATTTGCTTGCGACGAACCCATCGCACCTATTTCATATTCCATAGAAATCAGCCCAGAGTTTCATTCAAATAGTATCAGTCATCAAAAATACTATTCTCCGCCCCTAATACCCATACTTCAAAGACCAAAAATGGCTGCATCACGATCAAAAGCCAAGCCCTTGATGAACACAATATCCGAAGCCCACCGCATGTCCTATCGCATCGGCCGCGGCGAACAAGGCGTCCTCACCTTCGAACCCTACAAATCCGCCATTCTCCCCCTCTGGCGCTTCCGCACAGTCCCCATCGCGCGAAAAAGCGCCGAAGACCTATGGTCCAAGTTCAATGAGTTCAAAGACCAGCGTGATTTTGTGGGGATGGATATGACGCGTAAATTCATCCAGATGGGTATGACGCGTGCAAAGCGATACGCGAACCATGCTGGGGGACGGAAATATAAGAAAGGCACGAGGGAGGAATTACCGAAGAGTGATGAGCATCCTGATAAGGATGAGAAGCTGAGGGCGAGCTTGATCTTTAGAGGGTATTGGGAGAGGTGTAAGGAGGATGAGGAATATCAGAACTTGAAGGAGGAGTTTTTAACAAAGCAGAAGGACTGGAAGGATTCTTGATAAATTCCTAGAAATTTTACTTTAGCTCTGTATAGCCTCTGGTAATGATCTGTCGGTAATGGGCGCATTTGTCTGTTATTAGTGTCCTATTTGAAGTTCTTTATAAACCCTTTCAGGTACAAGACATCACTTCATTTCTCTCAAGTCTGTAAAGAAATGCTCCCGGGAAATGTCCTCAAAATGTTCAACGTATGGTTTCTAAATGCGCCTCTGTTATTTTTACGATTTTTATAAGTTATATCTCGGAAGGAAATCGGGCAATCTTTCTATCACATAGAAACTTCCTTAATAACTAAAGTTCCGAGACTGATACATCTTTAAAATGCACTGTTGATAACTGTAGCCCAATGACCCACCAAGTGCCGCCCCGCTGCGACTCGCCTCGATTGATCAACCAACAGTCACTCACTCTAACCCCCCTCTTCTTTGTACATACTCAACACCGGCTACAAATCATGGATAAAAGTGCAAGTAGTCTTGGAAAGGCCCTCGCTGCTATCTATAGCTCCCGCCTTCAGCACCCTGATGATCAGCTATTGGAATGCTTCCTACGTGACTCTGAAGATCCTGAAGCTAGTTCCCGCTACATGCTACAGAGATGTTCCGACGAATGCTCTGACAGGGAGGAAACTTTTGATGTAGCGCCTCTCTTATGCGAATGGAAAGAGCTCTTGGGAATTGGTAAGCACCGTCTCCCTACCATGCTACAGTAGGAAGCTGACTGAAAAAGTTGCCGAGCAATTCTCCCACCAAGCAAAGCCAAATAAGAACACCGTTGCAAATCTAACAGGTAGAGATGGCCACAAATGCTGTATCACCGGGCTCGGGCAGTCACTTCTGGATCCCCTAATTGTTAAGCCAATCTTTCCCGTATTTCGGCTGTCCAAAAGGGTAAGTCTTGCCTTGTGCTCTGCGCATGGACGAGCTTTAGCTGATCACGCCTCAAGTCGCTACAGGAGCTACTTGGTGTCTTCATTAGTGCCGATATGCAAGATTGAGTCGTCAATGGCACTGCTTGTATTGATGGTGCCCTAAGCCATTGGCTTGTACGCCATTCTGCGGCAAAAGCGTTATCAGAGGGGTGCTTTCGCTTTACTTCCACGAAAGGCTCCGATGTAAGACTCGCCCCGCCCTTGTCACCTGGATCTCGGAATTTTGCTGACGCTGTTACAGTATCGCATGACGCAAGTCACAATTGGAGGCCCTACCGCTCAACCATCTGCTCTTGCCAGCATTCCCAAGGTACAATGGGGCAGCTTTACAGATCACTCGAACTCTGGCATTGAGACCCCAGATATCCGTCTGTTAGTAGCTGTATCAAGGTTTTCCAGGCCCATACGATGGACACTAGTTGCTCGAGAGATTGTGCATCGGCAGCAACTTCCGGCTACTAGCATTATAACCTTCTCGCTATACCACTACGTTACGGAGCATGTCGCCCTTGCGCTTGCTTCAGCTTTCCACTTGATACCAGTGCCTTTCCGCGTTCGAATCTACCACTCCTTGATTCAATTGGGAGTTCGTATTTACGGGCCGTCCTGCAGCTTGAGGGCTCAACAGCTCCCTTTTGGCATGTACATGAAGATTAAGAGCGTTGAAGACCACCAAGCGTTGGCAAATGAGTTTGGGGCACTTCGTCTAGTTGGGAGCCAGACCCAGATTCCGGTTCCTCGCCCGTTGGGCCTGGTATCTGACACCGAAACATCCTACATGTTGATAACGACCCTGCCGGGACAGCGCTTCGGCTCGTACGTCGATGTACTCAGCAATGATGATCTTGATATCTTCAAGCGCGATATGCAGAAGTACATGGCACAGCTACGCTCAATCTCAAGGCAGGGGGCACCAAAGCATGCTATTAGCAATGCCACTGGTGGGCCCTGTTATGACTATCGAATCGTGGCCTGTCAAGACTACGACAAGGATCGTGGTGACTTCTTCGGGCCATTCATCGACGAAGAAGAGTTCAATAGTACACTGCGGACCCCCGCTCTGCCAGATGTATTTCACTCCACGGGCCATGACATAGTGTTCACGCACTCTGACATTAATATGCGGAACGTTTTGATGCACAATGGTCGGATTTCGGGTATCGTGGACTGGGAGAACTCCGGATGGTTTCCCGATTATTGGGAGTACACTAAAGCGCATTATGTTACCAAGCTCAATAAGAGGTGGCTGGCAGTCGTTGATCGGATCTTTGAGAGCTTTGGTGATTTTAAGCTTGACTTGGCAATTGAACGTCGCTTATGGGAGTATTGCTTTTAGTCAAGTCGCAAGACTTGAGCAGAGTACTATGACCGGAGGACATGGTTCAGGGAAAGATAGAGTTAAGCAACGCAGTTCATTCGGATGCAGTTATTAATAACTAATATGCCAATAAAGTACAAGAAGAATATGTCAAAGGTCCATCCATCCAAACACATGTCTGCCATTCCTCCAGAATCTCTCATAAGTCAGAAGTCCAGCGCCACCCTCGCGCTATGCGTTTCCACACAGGTCGTATACCATGATCGTGAATCAGCACGAGTCACCCACTCAATAACCACAGCACAAACAGCTTCTGTCCTTCATCCTCTCAGAGCGAATCTAGTAGTGAGGAGCCTGGTAGGTGGGAGCCTTGTACTCAGGCTTAGGAGCAGGCTTGGGCTTCTCGGTCTTGGGCTTGGTGTACTCAGGCTTGTGAGGCTTAGGAGCGGGCTTGGGGGCCTTGTACTCAGGCTTGGGGTGAGGCTTGGGCTTCTCGTGGTGAGGCTTGGGAGCAGTGTACTCAGGCTTGTGGGGCTTGGGAGCCTTGGGCTTGGTGTACTCGGGCTTGTGAGGCTTAGGAGCAGGCTTAGGGGCCTCGTACTTGGGCTTGGTGTACTCAGGCTTGTGCGGCTTGGGGGCCTTGGGCTTGGTGTACTTGGGCTTCACGGGCTTGGGAGCCTCATAGGTAGGCTTGGGGTGAGGCTTAGGCTTAGGCTTCTCGTGGTGGGGCTTGGGAGCCTGGTACTTGGGAGTCTTGGGCTTCTCGTAGTGAGGCTTGGGGTGAGGCTTGGGCTTGGGCTTCTCGTGGTGAGGAGCAGGGTACTCAGGCTTCTTGGGGTGAGGCTTGGGCTTGGGCTTCTCATGGTGAGGCTTGGGAGCAGGATACTCGTGCTTGGGCTTCTCGTGGTGAGGCTTAGGCTTGGGCTTCTCATAGTGAGGCTTGGGGGCCTTGGGAGCCTGGTAGTTGGAGTACGAGACGTCGTAGTTGGCCTCGGCGACGGGGGCGGCGAGGATGCCAGTGGCAAGGGTGAGAAGGGTGACAGCAGAGAACTTCATGTTGGCGGTTTGGTTATTGAAGAAAAGGTAATTAAGGAAGGACTGTTGTCTTTTGCTAAAGAGCGTAGAGAAGTTGCGAGTAAAGAGTGGATGTGAGTGAGTGACTGAAGAGCAGAAAGGAAAGGAAGTTTAAGGAGAGGATATCCAGGTCTTTTATGTGTTTGTCTATTCCCACGATGAATCTACTTTTAGATGCAATGGTGACATGCTCGGCTAGCAGCCCTGTGAACACTGCACTAATCTCGGTTCACGGCTCATAGTGGAAGGTACCAGCAGCAAAACTCATCGAATAAACAAATTCACATCATCCACTACGCCAGCTGAGAAGCAATTGACGTGCTCAGGGGTCGGCGAAAGTTACGGTGATTGGAGAAGTCCGAGGTGCAGTGCATCTCGGCAGCGCGCGGTTACAAGCACTATTGGGAACTAATCCAGGGCACAAGTTCGTATGTTATGACAATGGCTTACAGGTAGGAAATTTGTCGCTGGCTACTATTGGCTGCAGTGGTTTAGCCGTCCGGGCTAGCGGTGTCTAGAACGTCTTACCCCTGAGGTTAGGCCAGGTCGGCTGATACCCACTGATTTACCGTCGTGGAGATTGCTGCTGATCGATTGGCTTGGCGATGGAACCTCAACTGAGCTAAGCTTTTCTCCGTGGATCTCATCTGGGGAATACGAGGTCAGGGGTGATTGATTGGAGAGCCTGTTACCGACCTCTGTAGCAGGTGCCGTTGAGGCGTCTGTGTTTGTTGAGGTTAATATCCAGAGTCAGCGCTAAATTCAGGTACTAGCGCCGCTGAGACTGTTCCCGTGAGTCCCGAGTAGGGCTTTCAGGGGGTTGACTCTGTACTGTTTCTGGGGGATCTAGAACCGGAGCAGTGAATTGCCTTCCTTTTTTGTTGATCGCATCACGTAAGAGTATTTGGAGTGACATGAGATCAACCTCGCAGTGGTCGATGAACATCGCTTAACCGCTGGGCTTACATCTACTGTTTAAGCATATCGAAAAGGCAAAACAATTATTGGAAATAGTTCCAAGCCTCGAGCGTCTAAACAGCGCCTGTGGCTTTTTCAGCGAAGTGTTCTTGATATTACCATACGCTATTATTGCTTCATTTCATCAATTCACGGTCGTTAAAACGGTTAAATAACCGCTGTTGTTTGCCGCTCCGCTGAGATCCGGAGAGTTGGTAAGCCACGAACAAAAGTCTGTGCAGATTGAAGCTCAGCTATCAATCTCATCTCGGGCAACATGCACATCCAAGCTCGGAAGATGACAGAAGTTTGTCAAGGTCCAGGTACGCAACTGAAAATGACAGCAAAACTCTCCGCATCGCATGATCTCAATTAGACGATTTGTAATCTACCAAACTTCAATTCCGTCCCCAGAATCTCTTCCAAGTCCGAGTCATGTAAATAAGCTTCACCAGTGAGTAAATAACGATCATTACCTCCAATGTCACCCCGCAGACTTGCCGCATCCCATTTCTCCGCCTCCTTATGTCCCGCCCGCACCTTCAACGCCTCCATCGATGTCTCACCATTGTACTTCTCTTTAAACGCAATTTTCCGTTTAATGTCCTCATCTGTTGGTGTAAAGACGTAAGGAACCTTGCCGCCTTTCACCGCCATCACAACATCGCCCTTTTCAGCCCAGGCCGGTGCAAGGATGAGTCTGCCGCTTTGGGTCTTGAACAGAGCTCGGACCGTCTGTGCTATTTGCAGGGTTCTTGCGAAGTGCGAGGCTTGGGTCTTGCGTTCTTCCGAGATGGCTTTGCGGTCTTCGGGTGACCACGGTTCATTTGGATATGCGGCGCGTAGCTTGGTGTAGTCGTCTTTTATTTTTGCCAGGATGGGTTCTCTTTTGGCGATGAATTCCTTTCGGATGGGTGTTTCGTCGGTAATTTTTGCTTTTTCTTTGTCATTTTCTTTGACGTAGTTATTTACCCAGTCGTCAAGCCATTGACAGAACCCGATCATCTTGCTGCTGGTTGGGCCTCTCCACGTTCCAGCTGTGAGCAGGTCACAGAAGACCTCAAGAGGCGGTTTTCCTGGTGATCTTGTGTTTGCAGTCATGCTGAGCACCACTCCTAGTAGATGAAATGGCGGAGCATAGTTGAAAGAATCCTTCAACGCCGCAGCTTCCTGTGCTTGCTTATTTTCCGTGTCGCTCAGCGTGATCATCAACTCCATATCGTGCGCCAAATCACCGAAGAAATTGTACATGACACAGGATTCGATGACGTCTATTTGCGCTGCCTCGAGAAACAGCGATTTGCCGTCAGCCGATACGGTCGGATTATTGGTCATCTTAGAGATGCTCTCGAGTGGTGTACTGTTTTGCCAGATGAGAGGCTTCATACCCCGCGAGTTCTCAAACCATGGGACGGGGTACCATGATGGCACATCGAGTTCAAGTTCTGACAGCTTGTCATACTTCATAGCTGAGTAGTGGATGCATGTGTCTCTTGTCATGTCGTAGAAGAATGGACTGCGGTATCGCGTTGCAAGGGAGAGGAGGTTCATCGGCTCAGGACCGGACAAAAGGCACAGCGCCACCTTCTCGAGAACTGAGGGAAATTCTATGGCGTAGTCTGCGTGCAGTGATAGCCATCGCCGTTTGCCATCTGGTGCAATTTCATCATGGTCCAGCGATGAGCTGCCGGAGCCTTGTTTCAAGCTTGGGTCCATCAATAGCGTCTCTGGCGTGATCAAAGCAAGTCCACCGTAAACCATATCCCTCGGATCTCTTGCCTCGCGATTCTTGACCAGCCTGAACCACTCTTGTAGACCAACTTTGTCGCCCTCAGAGATCGTGCGGCGCGAATTGAGCAGCGAGACAGCCTGATCAGGCATGTCGCCAACCCACGTCAATATCTGTGCAAACATATGCAGCCCACTGGTGTTCCAAGCACCCAGAATACTTCTCATCCAACCGAAAGCCACAGAAATGTCATCAGCCTCGAATTTGTAATCTCCCAAAAGGAAGATGGCTTCTTTTGCGAGGCATAGCTCCTGCAAAACCCAGAGTCGCTTAAACCATTTACGCGTGACGATGAAAAAGACGCAGAGAACTAAATGCCAAAGCGATGTTGTTCCGACTCTGGTGTAGTAAAAGTCTTTGAATTCAGCAGCCTCGGTAATTTCGGGAAGTCCGGATTTGGTCATCTCGATGAGGTTCGCTACACCTGGCGCGAAAACGTGGGGACAAGTACCCAGCCAAATAGTGACTTGGGAAGCTGAACTGTAGATCCGATTCATCATCTGGACCTGTTGGCCCAGCTCAGTAAGGTTAGACTGGTTGATACAAATAGCATCGATCCAGTAAAGCCCTGGATGTGCTTTTCTGATCTGGAGAAGAGCTTGGTATAGGTTAGATTTGACGTAGACGCCTTTGCCATCACAGAGAATCTTGTCGCGGTCGGTCGTGTTATTGACTGGCTTGGCATCTGGATCTACTGGCTCAGAGCGCGACCGAACCATGAGACGGTTGATGGTATGGTTGACTGTGTCGACGCCGCTGCTCACGGCTTTTGACAAGTTTGGAACTTTCTGAGACAGATATCTCAGTTCGTAAGGGAAGGTTGGTGGGTCTAGCTCCCATGTGTATGAGAGCGCGTGGTATTTGGGGTTGTCTACTAAGTCAACTGTGTGGAGAGAGCATTGTAGCATCTCGCTGGGGTTCCCAGGCTTGACCTCAAGAAGCCTTATACTTGAGGCTGTTGGGAGTTGGGAGTATGAAAGTCCATTTGGTCCTGCACCCTATAGATCGTGAGTTTGGCTTGGAGTATTTAGTCCATGGACTCACAGTGAAGAGCTCTTTAGAGTGACGAATGATGTCACCTCTATCCTGCCATGTCTTTTTGGCCGAGAAACCAACTTGTCGATACAACCTTGACGACCAAGACGGGGTATTATTCTCGGGCTGTCCCGCTTGTTCCGTACTCTTGGCACCCGTCTTATCAGACATTGTTTCAACGAAAAGTCTGTAATTGAAACGAAACAACGCCAAGAATGTTTCTCTCAAAAATGCCCGCGATTACCCTGTATTTAATCGGAAATAAGCAATCCTCCAGGCGGGGGCAGTGCTTGGCAGATCGCCAATCATCAGCGGACACGCTTCTGTCGCGTCCAATCATGTTAGTGATCGACAGGCTGTGCGTGATGATGGCTGGCTGAATGTCGTCGCGACTTGGGACAAATGGCGACACGATAAGATAAGGATAAGATAAGGATCAACAAGACAATGTCGCGTTTCTTACATTTCAGCTCACCGCAGCTCACATTGGAGCTTGTCTCATAGAGGGCTGGAAACATTCAAATCTTTCATAGTTATTCCATTTGCCTCTCGGATGGCTACTTATCGTGTTCGGCTGCCCAAGAGTGGGCATGTTGGTTATTGGCTGTTGGTTGCGCTACATTGGATATCATGAGGGCTTCTACGGATAATAAATGAGCAGGGAATGCTAGATACGTTTGAGGCGTAGTGGAACTTTTGATGAAACGTGACCGACGTGACCGACCAACAGAGGGTATCAACCGCGAGATAAGGCAAATGATCAAGATAACAATGGCTGGAGTGTAGTGATGTATAAATAATACTCATCCTCCCAGTCGAACTCGTTGAAACTCGAACTTGGATATTTTCTGGCAACAGAGCCGCACCAATTATCGTATCCAAGAACCAATTATTATGGCCCATCGACCCGCAGTCTATTATACAGTTGACCCTTCCACCAATCCCAGTTCATGGTCCCCGCCAGCTCCAGGCTTTGGCACAGTTATCAACAGAGTCGACGTCGTCTTCATCAACATCAACGCAGACTCCAACTTCACCATCCTTCGAACGGGCACCAACGAACATGTTCACCATGCGGTAACCCAGGTGACGAAGCGTATAGCTCGTGGCCTTTATCGAATTATCAGTATGAACGTCAGTGAATACTCATGCGTGGTGGTCATGTCTACCGAGAAGTCGAAAGAGGAGCTTCTATTCAGGAATGGGTTTCCTTGGGACAGGCCAAATGATCCTCAGCCAGATGTTGTTTTGACTTAGGTAGATGTATAGAGACAAGGAGAAAGTTACAAGATAGGTTGAAATACACTGCGACTTTTGGAATAAAATATCATTCATTCATTCTTATGCTAGCTAGTCATATCGGGGTTCCTTTCCAATAAGCCGACTCCCAAAGCGTAGAGTATCCCTTCCAGCCCTCGAACCTATTCACATCAGTCCGTTGTTGTACCATTCATGCTACAGTTGGTCAGTACTTGTTCTTACTTAAGGTTTGCCTTGAACTTACTTTATGTCTCATTGACTTGCCATCTATTTGTAGCAACGGCCATTGCTGCAGTATCTCGCCGAGTTCTGACAGCATTCCTTCTTGCAGCACTTCAGAGTTCGGCAGCAGAAGTTTCCGAGGGAGCACTTTCTTGGGAACTTGGCTGGGCAGACCTTAGCAGCAAGCTGAAGTCCTTCGCCGTGCGATGAGAGGTCGTGGCCCTTCTCACTCGCAGAAGCAAGGTCGGGAAGGCCAGCAGCAGCCTCTTTCGAAGCAACTGCAGAGACGAGAGGGGCGAGAACAAGGAGGATGGTGCTAAACTTCATGGTGAATTGAGTTTTATGCTTAATTAACTCTGCAGGATGATGAACTGTCGCTAAGCTGGGACGACATCTACTTCTTATAACCCAACACACCGCCAACCATCGACGGTCCAAAATTTCACCGTCTTAGTCTCTAAGACCCAGCTGCAAGCCACTTACAACCTTATCTAACTAACAAAGGCAGTTAATTGCTGATTCACTGTCTCACCGTGCTCACTTTAATCCCGATAGAGTCAAGCCAGGTTCCATAGGAGGGCATAAGGCTGATTCAGAGCAGCGATCATCCCCGCAATTCCAGCAGAGCTGAAAACTTAGCATGAAATGTGCCGTGATCTTACAGGGAGTTGATCACGGATTGTCGGCGATGCATGCCTTGTCGGGACTCGCGCTGGATGATCGGGCGGACTGGGACTTGTTAGGCTCGTTGTGAGTTGTTTATGCGTTGGCTGGAATGAGCATAAGATTGTCGTGGTTGAGATCGACGCGTTGATTGGCTGTGATGGAGTTGCATAACTTTATACTGGTTTATTTTTAGAACTTCCCCGCAATGCATGCCAAATCGAGACAACTCATCGTCGGTAAGTTCATCACGTCAATGGCTACTTTATTATTCTTTCATCGCCATTTACTAGGCCTTCAAGCTCATGATATCTGCTGCCAGTCCGCACGAATAGTTTCTTCTATCCGGCATAAAGCCAGGCTGCATCAATGGCCTCAGAGTGCGCTGGGTATGGATGATCTGTCTTTAGGGTAGGTTGTTTCTTTTAGAACAAGCACTTCCAGCTGGGACTTACATCGACCCAGACATTAAGATATTTGTATGGTAAATGTAGCTCAAGAGTATAAGCCCAGCTCCATGACTCGCCATTGATCAAGATGAGTATCCTCTAGATAATTGTAAGATATAACTTGTACAGAAGCAGCTGTAGATCACGACCCTCATTGATCCATAGATGTGACGGGAATCCCTTGGTGTCAAAGCCGTAGTAGACTCAGTGCAGACGACGTCATCGCATAGGCCCAATGACAGGGTCTCTGCAACCTGTTGTCTAGGCATACTGTCAGCTATTACCACGGTTCGTTAGTGTAAACGGTAATCCGATTGACACGGCACCGGATTGACGAACAGCCTGCTGCGGCGAGCTTCAGTGGCCAAGACGCTCACTTACATCATACATGGAGCACATGGTCCAGATAGACCCTGTTACTATCAGCTAGACAGCGGTGTACTATGCACATGCCACTTACGCTACCTAGAGCATGACGGTGAAGTTCAGATATAGACATATCACGGAGAAACCAATTGATGATGAATCTTTGAAATGATATAAATGGATATCGCAATGCAAAACTCTAAAATGCAAACTATTCATACATCTTCATTATTTATGCCGATTAACTCCCCAGTCTTTTTTTATTGATCCCTTGTCTCTTGAACATTAGGATCTCGCTCATAACGCCAACGCTTTCCATTCTCCTGCACATGCCACCTCGTCATGAAAGCACCCTCCTCAACCCACTGCGCCCACTCAACACCCCACTTCTTCTCCACAGAGTCCAAGAATGAGAGGTAGTCAAAGGCCTGAACAGGATCCTTTTCTAACGGGTCGACAGCGAGGTCGCTGAGGCGCCACTCGGTGTTGTCGATGAGAGGAACGCTGAGGTGACGGTCGGGATAGCGGACGTCGCGCACGTTGAGCATGGCTCGGCCGGGGTTGACGACGGTGAAGTGCCATTGCGCTTGGCCTGTTTGGTTGTTGACCATTTGCAGGGGGCGAAGGAGGGACTGGCCTTCGTAGTTACCGACAAGCGACTCGGCGGCCTTGCGGCTGACGCCTTCGAATGAGTCACTCTCGAGCATGAGATCGAGGATTGTAGGGAGGACTTGGGTGGAGTGAACGGCGTGCTTGACGTTGAAAGCGGGAAGAGATGGGTGAGAGAACACAAGCGGGACATGGTCTGATCCGACGCTGGGGTTGTAGTAAGGAGAGGCCTTGCCATTCTCAACCAGTGAGACACCGTGATCACCAAGGAACACGATGAGAGTCTCATTCGCAACACCTTGATCATCCAACATCTTGAGAACCTTGCCAATCCACTTATCATCATAGCTCTCAGCGTTGGCGTAATGAGACATCTCATCAATATCCTTGCCCGAGCCAATAGCAGTGTATGTCTCATTCTTAGGAATACCGTAAGCGTGATGACTCGTGCTAGTGATATGAGTGAGGAAGACACGACCATTGTTCTCCTTGGCATCATTAAACGCATCGCGCATGTAGTCCTCAAGAGGATCCTCCTGGAAGCCAAAGTAGTTGATATCCTCCAGATCAACACGGTGCTTAGCGTTCTCGCTGCGAAGAGAGTCTCGGTCCTGGGTGTTCTCCTCGGGATAACCGCAGGCAGCCATGAGCTTGTGGTGGTTGTCGTAGTGGATCATAGCAGTCTGGAAGAAGTATGACTTCCACTTGGCAGCCTTCTCGTCCTCGGCCTTGTTCATGGCGTCGAAGATTTGAGGGAGGCAGGGCTGGTAGATGTGACGCTTGTAGTCGAGGTTGAAGTCGGCGATGAGGGGGTTGAGACCGCAGATGGTACCGACAAGACTCTTGAGAGTGTAGGTACCGGAGGTGTAAGCATTGCTGAAATGAGCACCGCCACGCTTGGGTGTCTTGTCGTGCTTGAAGCCATCATCGTAATCGCCAGTGACATATCGGGCATTGGGCATCAAGTTCTTAAGGCGTTCTTCAACATCCTCGGGGATCTTCTTATCAGGGTAAGAATCCTGGAACTTCTCCCACATATGACCGCCCTTCTTAAAGGGGAAGACATCGTTCCTGGTACTTTCGAGCAGGAAGAGCATGACGTGCTTGACAGAGACATCCTTGAGCTTATCCTTCAACTCCTCCAACACAGGCTGGTCGAGGTTGGAGATCTTCATGGGATCCTTGGCGGCGTTGTAGTGAAGCTCGTTGGGTGTATACCAATCCTCGAAGCCAGCTAGAGGCTTGCCCTTGGGTAGCCAATCCATCTTGGGGGGCTCGCCGAGGGCTGACTTCTCATCCCACTGGTGTTGGATGCCGACTTTTTCAAACTTGGACGGAAGTTGATCGAGGAGAGGTGCGGTTGATGAGACGTCGACAAAGGGGAGGAGACCAGTGGTCCATGAGAGGAAGAGCAGGGATCGATCATCAGGACGCTCAAGCAACAAGACCAACATAACAATAGTGAAGAGAGACCAGAAGAAGTATGGCATGCCGTAGTGAATGCGCCTCACAGTTGAAGGCTGCACTCGAACACCGAAAGTGCTGACTCGTTGCGAGATTCGAGAGTACAGAGTCTGCGACTTGCCATGCTCGACAAAGTCCTCAATCCATGCCTCATCGTCAACATCGTCGTACTGGGCCTCCTCAGCAATGACAGGCTCAGGGTCGGGAAGAGGGCTGTAGATGTTTCGCTTCCTCAAGAATCGGTTTGTCGCAGTCCGCGCCATAGCCCAAGGGAAATGGATCATGTCCGCACCCCACCCAAACACTCTATAGCACACATTCTGAAGCAGCCAAGCAAGGACGATCAAGCAAGAAGCGACCAAGATAAAGGTCACGAGACCAGAAAGGAAGATGGCTCTGGATGTAGGGTCGGACACAAGGTTGAGGTTTCGCCAGTGAATCTCGGCGCCGGAGACGAGGTAAAAAGTAATGGATATTAACGACAGAGCGACATTGTATAATATTAATAAACCAGCGACGGCTGTAGTGGCGTAGTGTAGTATTTGGGTCCTGGGAGACCATTGATCGAGGAGGAGTCGGATTAAAAGAAGGACGAGAATATCTTGGACGAAGAATGTACTGAAGAAGGTGAATAATCGACCGGTAGCGACGGCGTTTCGGTGGCTGTGGATATGGGCGAGCTTGGATGCGAAGAGGGCTGAGACAGCAAAAGTAAAGATAAATGGGCGATTGGCAAGACGAGCGCCCAACCTCGTGAGCCAAGAGGGTATGCAGACCATGATGATAGACGAAAGTCTTGTAAAAAAGATAAGATAAATGAATGAGAGTATGTAGCACTGATCACGTATAATAAAAAAAATGTCACCTTAGAGCTGAAAGCCAAGCACCATGATCGCCGTTTCGTTCTAGAAGGAAAAAAAAGACAAGAGAAACTCGAGACAGGAAATCGAAAATGTGGAGAAGGCAACCGGGAGCCCGGGACTATTATAACAGATTTTCTGGCCATCATCGTCTCGTCTATGGATGAATCCTTTTTTAATTAGCTGCGGCGTCTACCCAAAAAGCCCTGACCGAGAGCGCCCCCCTTTACGTTATGCAAAATAAAAAAGAACAGCTCGCGTGCGCTGTTTCCTCTTTGCTTTGGGCCGTTGGCTCTAGGCTAGCAGCTCAATCTCGTGTTACGGATTTTCGGCACCGTCTGCTTATGCTTTGAACACACTTGATTGGCGGAGACGCGGGATTCACCTGTTTTTAGGGCGAGCCGAGGAGCCGAGTTTCAACTAAGGGAAAAAAGGGGGCAGTGTTAGGCTGCCTTTTCTAGTGTCCATTGGTCGAGGGGGGTACACGGAGGCTAAACATGCCATGGTATGATGCGCCGTAGGAGCTCGTTTAATCTCATTGTACCCGAGGTCATGCATCACGAGACCAATTTCTCTACGCTGCATAGCGGCCGGACGCTAGAAATGGAGGAGAAAAAAAAACCCTGGCTCGGTTATTCCCGAATCTGGACCTGAGAGTGAGCTGCAGCCCTAAGTCATGTCATGCCATGTCATTGCACCCTTTTTGCTGACTCTTTCGTCATAACCCGAATGGACAGTAGCATGGCAACAAGGTTTTCCCTCACATGGTTTAGGTAGGGAGTCAGTGTGCAAGCCGGTATCCGAAGTGCAAAAGTCAATGTTTTGTTCATGTTCGGTATGTAAACACAATGGGAAACGGAACAAAGCGCATTCACTCATTATCCCTCGTTTCAAAGGACATTGCATTAAACGAGCGAAATTGGTGGGGTCATCAAGGCCTGAGTCATATAACTGACTTCTGCCTACCAAAACAACAGCACAGGTCCTCCTCAGCTCAGCCTCTCTCTGCGCTGGCAAATCCTTCCCAATCCCAATCCAACGTCAGCCACTTCCTTCTCGTGTAGATCAAAAAGGTCCCCTTCCCCCTCTCGCGAAGGAAGGTGCCAAGGTGGCTAAAACCAAGGGACCGGCTACGTCGGAAATGTTGTTCTTGTCGCGGAATAGCGGCATCCCAATTTTGCAGGGGGAGCTGTTCTGGACCCCTGGGGCGAGTGGGGAAGTGTGACAGGGAAGGGTTGCAGTAGATCATCCGACTAAGATGAGTTAGGGCATTGCGGCTAAACGCCAGAATATTTGTGATTTGCTTGGGATTTTATCCCTTGATTCGGTATTGATGTCATTGGATAATTCTATACGGCTGGTAAATGTAGCAGACACGCTGTGCTGTTCATGAATGGCCATTTGGGCTGAGGTGAAACACAAGACAGTTTCTCCGGAGCGACTTTAGACTCTACCGGCCGGGTACACGGAAATGAAACGTCTCACATGTGGTTGGCTGCCCTGGATTGTTAGTCCAGGGTAGTTTATTCCTCGCGTTAACACCAAAGCAGAAAATGATCACGAGCTCCAGCTGGGAATACACTCTGAATGGCCTTCTCGTATTTGACGCTTCATGATGCCATGGGTAATCCATCATTCCGCTACTGAGCTTAGCGCATCGCGGTCCGCGTTTTGTGGATTCGGGACCCCGGAACCTCTGCACTTACCGAGCTTCGATGGTTTGACATGCGGGCTGTTGGATCCAGGGGCCGGGATTGCCTTGACGTGTTATACGAGATAAATGACATCTCATACAGATTATACATAGCCCAGCACAAGTGGTCTTATGCAGCTTCAACAAGGGAAATGGTTTCAGGCCATGCTAGACCCCGCATGACTTTTCGGTCATCGTCCAAAAGACAGTCACCATCACAGATGTTGGTTCCGAGACTGAACATTATTGTATATCGCCATCTATTTCTCCTGCACTTTAATACTAGTGCTGCACTTCACGTGGACATATGTCGTCCCAGTAATAGACATCGCCCCGATCTAACATTCGGCCAACCCCGTATTCGAGCTCCTTGTAAGATCACAGTTACGAGATCCTACCCACAGCATCGAAGCCAGGTAGCAAGTGCTTGTTTTTAACCTTATCCTCCTTGCAAAAGTTCCAATATTTCTCAGGTAGCTAGTAAATGCCAGACTTCTCACTCGCTGACGACCATGCTCTGCCCCTTTACTCCTTTAACTTCACTTCTCACTTCTATTCGTACTATGACTAGCGATTCCCTTTCCCCCTTCTAGTCAGGAACGGTAATTCCCCTAACCAGCACGCGACCACATTCTGAATATGTGATGGTTGCTAAAGCCGGCTACAGCGGGCCGTTCGGCTACTTAGCGCCCACGTATAGCATAACCGCGCTGCCATTGACAATGGATAGGGGGTTTGACAGCCATTCCTAAGGTAGGGAAAGACGCACCAGAGTTTACTCCTGATATGGTGTTCCAATACGTCTTCCGCGTCGTCCAATAGGCAGCCGCTATGAACACGATGTAAGAGCACTATTGACAACCGCTGTCCCCTTGCTTGCTCACCCTCGGTGATTACCTATTGTTGTGTTATGGAGTTCAGTCCTTGTAATCTTGCCCCCCTTCTTGGTCCCAGAGCTCTCATTCATAGTCGGCCAGTGAGTGATACGCATTAGTCGATCCCGTATTCCAGGTCAGTATCTTTTCGTGTGTGAGGCGCGTGATGTGAGCCATCAGCTGTGGGGACTATCAAGTCAATTCTCGCTGAGGACAAGGCATGCTCTGGCCAAGAGACAATCTGATATCATGCCAGTCAGGCAGTGCTATGTTTTCCGCACGGATTCTAGTTCTCATTTCCTTACGATAAGTCTCCTTTCGTTCAGAATGTTTACTCTTTTTATTGGCCTGAAAGGGCACACGAAGGCTACCACTATCGGACAGCCGATGAGACGGACCTTCATGCTACCCCCTGGTCACGGTCGAAGTGAACAATCTTCAACAAATGGCGAATGATATTTAGTCAGGTATATTTCCTCGCTTACCAACTGAATGCATCAACCTCCAGCTCAAACACGGCATCGCTTGCCCTTCCAACGCTGACGACAACTGAACGAGTAGTATCGCAGAGTCCGGGTGGACCGCAAACGACAACGCCAATCCTCTTCCAACCCGCTTCGACCTCATGCTCGAGAAGCGCCTTCACATCCAATCTCTCTCCTAACGATATGACCTTATCCGCTATCTCGCTCAGTGCTGGTTCGAGGTCCTGCAAAAGCGGCCGGGAAGACTCTTTCAGACTCCACGCCAGTTTGACATTAACGTGAGCTCGGGTCCACGATAGAATACCAGTGATGCCAATTCCACCAGCGATAAGGAGTACACGATCGCACTTGAGCACATCACGAGTGATGTTGCCGTGATAAGGGCCCTCAAGAAGAACTGGAAGGTTTAAGTGTTTTCGTAGCAGACTGGTGGTGCCCCTGTGCTTTTTGATGTAGAGGGAGATGCTGTCAGTGCCTACAACGCTCTGTGATATGGCAACTTGAGGGATCTTCTGGCTCATCTCGACATCACCCGAGTGCGATGATGCCTGCTCCGATGGAGACAATTTCTGCAATAGAGCAGTATTGGTAACGGAGAATGGGTGATTCTGCCATGGACGAAACGGTTGTAGTGTAGGGAAGTAGATGTAGGCATGGTAACCTGGGGTTGATACCCATCTGACACCTGTGATATCCAGACGGACAATTTCATCAGACAACTCACTGACATTGGCTCGACGGATACCGCTCTTGGCAACGCGTAGCACACGGAAGAGTCGATCAAAGAACCATATGGCGCAAACCATATATACCCACAGCTCGTAAACTCCAGAGAATGGCTTCCAGAAGTAGATAAGGTACCAGCAGCCGATGATGACGAAAGCGGCGAGGAGTATATGCAGTACGAGAAACACTTCATACGAAGCGCGACGAAACCAGAGAATGCTCTGCACGAGAAGGAGTACTAGACATAACGTTCCAACTATACCCCAGATCCAATAAGGCTTGTGTACATCTGTATAGTAAGTCCCAAGGCTGACGTAGGCGGCAAGAAGGGTGATAGAGTGAACGATTGCATGAAGCGCACAGAGACGAGCGACCCAGCGATGAAGTACCAGAAAAGTCGAGAAAGGCCAGTCGGTGATCCACAAGAGAATATTGTTGCGCGAAGAGAACAGCACAGTGGGTGGTAGCAGGGCAAATGATATATGGCCTGTTCGATAGCCGACGTACGCGAGTATCTCGGCTGACTTGGTGAAGCCCCAGGGATGCGGGTAAGCAAAGTTCTTGTAAGAAACAGCGCCGAGGATGATATTCAGGATCACAAACATAGCGACCCAAAGGCCTTGACCCATTGTTGGAGCGTTGCCGAGGAGGTAAGGCAGTGGACGGCTGTTGTAACCGCGAATAGAAGATGGGTAAATGAGATATGGCTTGATCTTATCTGTGGCTCTAGTAATGAAAGGGAAGTAGCCCGAAACTGAGAACAAGACTGGTGTTGCGACGCCTACAGAGATCAACACGATACTAAGACCAGATTATTAGCCAAACAGTGAGCAAAGGTATCTCGGACTTACACATAAGTGGACTGAACAGCCTCTTCCCAGTCAAAAAAGACATTAAAGTCATACTGATACTGATAATCAGCATCTGCTGTAAGCGCCGTGTAGTTCAACGTTTCGCCCGCCGTATACGTCCTCTTCGGAGACCCCGTCAAATTCGCTAGCGCAGCACCATACGTCCATTCCGCAGATACAGTCTTATCCCCGGTAGCTTGTTGTGCCCAATATGCTTCAAGCTTCGAGGCCGACACATCTTCGCACCAGGTGCTGAGACAATATGCGAGAGTGCGCAGAAAGTCACCATTGGTCGCGATGCAGGGCGCTAGTGGTGAACCACCGTGCGAGTGTTCGCTCGTGCCCGTGCTATGGTGGTCCATTGATGGGCAGTCGAGAGGTGCGCTGCCGATCACGGCGCGACAGGCGTATGCGCAGGGAGGATCGTACCATGATTGGCCATAGCCCATGAGACCTGTTTTGTAGGCATTGGTACTGCACACCAGCAACGGGAGCAGAGCTACAAGAAGAAGTCTCATCTTGCTAGCTGTAGATAGGCAGAAAATGGGAGTGCAACTAGAGCTTGAGAAAAGTACGGGAAGTGACGGTTTATGGAGGGCTGAACTGGAGTCGCATGCATGTCACCTACGCGAGGTGGCATACCGCCAATTAATCCATTGCAATTTACAAGAGTAATAAGCCATTCAATATCAGAGAGAAAAAGAAGGGTTCATGCGCAAACCGACTCACTTAGTCAAGCCATATTCAGTGCCAAGATCCAGATTGTGTTGATGCCCATGATAAGAGGGCTGAAATATGCGCAAACTTGCTCATGGCGCTGGACGAATTACGCCGTGTAGATTACATGCATTGTAACCTCAGAGTCTCATTCGGTTGTTATTATTGCAGAATTTAAGCACTACAGGCTCAATGCACAAGCTCTGGTGTACCTTGACAGCGAGCTAAGGATCTGGAGTAAAGTCAAATCGAAGCTCACATGATAGAGACTGCCCATCACGACAACGCATGTACAGATGGACTAAGGCCTGTGATTAAAGTGAAAAGGTGTCTATAGTCAGTTTGGCCATAGTTATGAAGTCTTGCTATGTGACACGTAGAAAATAAAGTTCTGCCAAGATAAACCATCCCTCATAGCTGCGCACATCACGCTATCAATCGCTCTTGTAGTGCTCGAAATGACGAGCAGGAATCTTCTTCTCAAACATGATATCGAGCTCATGGAATGTCCTGCCCTTGGTGCCTGGTACATCAAAGAAGACAGCCACCATCATCAACAGCGTCATGCCAAGGAAGACCCAACCGATATGACCACCCATGTTACCCTCATCCTTGTTGAACATGTACGGCAGAACAGTCACCCAAACAGTGCTGGTAATAGCCTGGAATCCGAAAGCGATACCTTGAGACTTGGCTCGCAGTCTAGAAGCAGACACTTCGCCAGCCACCGCGAGACTGGATCCAATGGCTGGACCGTAAGCAAGAGCAAGGAATTGCATAGAGACACCAATAGCCAGGTTGGTCTTCTCGGACTGTGGAGAAGCAGCTGCAACGCCCATGATCAGATAGATAAGAGCGCAAATGGTCATGCCGACAAACATCAATGGTCGATGTCGGAAGAGAGTCATCATGTAGATGTTGACCAACGATGACAGGATAGAAACACCAAGACCGATCTGCATAATCTTGATGATCAAACCACTGCTCAAACCAGTCTGACTGAGGAAGTACGGAGCGTTGGAGGACAAGCTCGAGCCGACAATCTGGGGCATGTACATGCAGATGAGAATGATCCTCGTACGGCGCCAGTTGCTGCCCTTGAAGCACTCCAAGAACGAAGCCTTCTCGCAGGAGATGAGTTTCTCAGCCTCGATAGTGTCTTCCATGTGACGGATGCGAGCTTCGAGATCTTCATCTTTGGAAGAGAGTTTGGCGAGGTGCTTGAGGGCAAGATCGCGCTTGTTCTTCGCGATGAGATAGTATGGGGACTCGGGGAGGAATGGGAGGCCGAGGGCGAGGATGCCGGGGAAGACCCATGCAGCGGCGAAGACGACTCGGAATGCGGATTCGTTCATGATGGTGACGCGCGCGTAGGTAGTGGAGATGGCGATGAGGAAGCCGACGTTCTGAAATATCGTTAGCGAAGTCGCTGACACTGGTACTTGAAGGGACCCACCATCATGAGAATGTTAAGAGACAACGCAATACCACGCAGAGGCAGCGGCGTAATCTCCGAAACATAAGTCTGCGTGGTCGACTGGAACGCACCAACCGCAAAACCAGAGATGATTTTGGCCCCCATGAACTGAGCAGGTGTTTCAGCCAGATAGGCCAGAGTGATACCGCAAGAAACGATTATGATGCCTGCGAGGAACACAGCACGTCGACCGAGTTTGTCTTGGACGAAGCCAGCGGTGAGAGAACCGAAGAGCTGCATGATGTTGTAGGTGGCGTTCCAGAGGGATTGCCAGTATGCTGGGATGATGAGGTTGCCGTCGACGAGGCTGGCGAACTTCATCCTGTAATTATGTTAGTGTGATGGATGAAGGTAAGGGAAGTTGGACTTACTGGAAGGCTGGGAGGGCGAGACAGACGGCCAGAGCGAGGTTCTCGTAGCCAACGAGAGTAGCTCCCACTGTTCATCAAGTTAGAACTATTCATTAACAGTTTGAGTACGTGTTAGAGACTCACGGTTGGCGTAGATTGCCCAAAGGATCGCCTTCGGGTTCTTCTTCGCACACTCCCAAGTCGTCATCTCATGATCCCTCACAGCAACAGCATCCTCAGCATGCGCAACCCCCGCCTTCTCAAGCCTCGCATCATGATCGAAATCCTGAGTAGTCATCTCGACAGGAGTAGAAAAGAAAAGAAAGAAAGTGGTGATGTTGAATAGTCCACTGTAGAGTTTGTGGATGTTGAGATGAGAATACGAAAAACCCTGGACTCGATGGCCCCTTTATCAATTTCCTCTTCCTTTGCCTTTTGGTGGTTGCGAGTGCCCTTAGTGGTACCCCAGAGATCTAGATTCTTGTCTTGTGGGGTAATCTGGGGATGGGTTCGGGTTTTCCGGGGGGCACTAGGATTCCCCCGATCTGACTCGGTCGTCGGTGTAATTTTGTGCGCTCGTGGTATCACAAACCGAATGAAACCTGCAGACTTTTTCTTGTTTGAGCTTCTATTAAGCTTAATGTCACCTCTTTCAAGCTATTGTGTGCCCCAGACAAACCTGCAGCCACATCAGAATACTTGTTCGGTGAGCAAACATGGAGAATTCACGGGAGACCCGCAGGGCACTAAAGCTCGTTATCCCAAAACGAATTTTGCGAACTTCAGGGAATGTGACATGCGGTAACGAGGTATCGTCTTTTACCTTGAGCAATGGCGACTCTGAGGGTAAGGCTGAAGTCATCTTTGACTATGGCCGATGCGAAGGCGGCTTTCCCGCCTTTACCATTGAGTCTGCATCAGCGCCCGAAGGACAGCAACAAGTCGCGTTCCAAGTCACCTACAGTGAGACTATAGAGGGGATTGACAACGAGAATGGTACAGCCACTTTCTGCTACGTATCTGCTAGTTTTAATGCTAACTCTTACAGGCGACGGCCCGTTCTTCTTATTCTCCAACGCTATGGACAGCTATCGAGTCTGCCATCATCACGCCAGCGTAACCAACGATACCCAAACCGTGAAACCTCGAGCCACTCAAGCATCCCAGAGGTTTCAAAAGATCACCTTGCTCGACTCAAATACGAGCATTGTGTTCTCCAAGGTCGGCTTCCAAGCCGTGCGTCCTGATGCTACCGTCAAAGCCAACTTCCACTGTTCTGACGAAACCATCAATCGCATCTGGAGAGATGGTGTTCGAACAGCTGACTTGTGTACCGTCGATAGAGAAGAGACTGTTCCAGCATGGGATGTTACTGACGAGGGCAACCGTGTTTACGGAAGCCATTGGGCCCCGTGTCGCCAGGGTACGAGATGGAAGGACTACAAGGTCACGTTCCAGACAAAGGTTGAGGAACACGGTGCGAGTTGGGCTGTTCGTATGATCACCAACGGACTGATATTATGCTTGGATACTAGGAGTAGAATGTTGACAGCCGTTGAGGGACTCTCGAACAAATCATCTATCTTACCTTCAATCGAAAGAGGGTCATGGCAGCTTCCTGACAGCATCGACCTCTCTGGATGGGTGAACATTGAGACGCTAGCGGTGGGAGATCGCGTTACTGTCACTATTGGAGGCAAAGAGGTTGCTACTGTTAGAGACATTTACGTCAAGGCAATGCTTGGAAACGGGCTTGTCAACACTGGTTCTGTCGCATTTGGTGGACCCCCTGGCTGGGTTGCACTCTACCGAGATCTATCAGTCGCAGATCACAACGGACAGATTCTCTACGAGAACTCGCTGTTACAGCCTGATGCTAGTCGTACGTTCGATGACTTCCAGGTTGGAACAAACAAACTCGCCTGTATTATCGACGGCGCCAAGCGAGATAGAGCTTCCTTTGGCGGCGATGCCTTTGTCACGGGCCGTTCGATCGCATACTCCACCACCGACTTCGAGGCATGGAGAGGCACCATTCAGCTCCTTCTGAGTCACCAAACTAAGGAAGGGTATCTTGGCAACCTCTGTCCCATCCAGGCCCCAGAGCATGATGGTACAGAGGACCCGCCGCACTACGGCCACTACTCGTTGACATATGCACTGCTATTGGTCGTCTCGATCAAGGACTACTGGCTACACTCGGGCGACTGGTCTCTCGTAGAGAAGTCATACCGTCAACTTCAAAGACAGATGGAGTTTACGAGGGGGTTCTTGAACTCTGATGGGTTGGTACAAGCACCGCCATATCTCTCGAGTATGTTGTTACCGCCAAATTACTTTTTGAGTACTAATAGTGAACAGTGACGTGGTTCCCTATGGGTGGCCCTGTTTTTGGTGTCTCAACCGGACTGAACCTTGCCTACTTGGATGCCCTCAACGCCATGGCATCAATGTCCAAGGACAGTGAAACTGCATCTCAATATTCCTCCCAAGCAGCCACTTTGACGGAGTCCTTAATCCGTAGACTTTGGAATGATGAGCAAGGCACCATACGACCTGCTCTATCTCTAGACCGCGATGGTGTCTTCCAAGATGTCAACGCGTATGCGGCGACTCTGGGCGTATGCCCAGACCATCCAAAATTGGTAGAAGGCATATTCCCAGCCAGTGAATCTTTACCCTCCGTATTCCGAGGTCTCGAAAAATGGGACAAGTTTGGACTTACCAGTCCCTACGCATCTGGCTTTGCACTAGAAGCTCTGCTCGCTAAGAACGAGGGCATAAAAGCAAGAGAGCTGTTATCTCAGGTATGGGGTGTCATGGCGGACCAGGATAGTCCGAACTACTCTGGGGCTCACTGGGAGGCCATGAAAACTGACGGTTCGCCTTTCAATCATGACGTATCGCTGGCTCACGGATGGTCTTCATGGCCAGTGTTTCTGCTACCACGGTACCTTGCTGGAGTATATCCTCTTGAAGCTGGCTGGAAGAGGATTGGTGTCGAGCCTGTTCTTGCAGGTTTGGAAGAGGTGGCATACTCACTCGAGACTCTGCAAGGGTCATTTTCGGTGGTAGTGCTTGTGAGCGAGAAGCAGGGACAAGGCAGCATTAAGCTGTTGGTACCTCATGGTAGTACTGCCGTAGTCAAGGCTCCGAAGGGCTGGAGCTTGGAGAATGATGGTATTATTCAAGGCTCTGGAACAGAGATATCTGTAAAGCTGTTAAAGCAAGGCCTATAGTAGTTTTACTACAGAGATAATACAATCTCCATTGGTTTTGCTGCAGATTGATCCTCCCTAAGTCGCCGCTAATATGAGAACATTTTGACCAACTCAGTATTGACTGTCTCCAGATCTCCACGTACAACCGACTATCATGACAAGCATCATCGCCCAGAAGCATCCTCTCTTGAATTAACGCGAACTAGCTCATGAAATTTCCAGCAAGCGCACGAATTGCATGGTGAAGACAACAAGCTCATGAATCCGGCTCCGCATGATTGAAAGTAGTGCTGTGGATCATGCCCGGAAAACCCGAGTATGGGGCGCACGCAGTGCCTCCCACAATCCCTTTGTGGAACAGGTCTAGACTTGGCTTCTCGGAGTGGCAAAGGTGCCAACAGAGACAGGCGCGGTCATATATACAGACTCGCAACACCACCTGAGAACACGATATACACAGTTAAGGCAATTATTCTTAGCAATCATGGATGTTCAGGCTACTCTCAAGACTCTATCTCTGCAAGAAAAGGTCAGACTACTGTCTGGTACGCCAGATGACTTTGTCTCAATTGCAGGAATCCCCGAAAAGGGCATTGCACCACTCAAAGTGAGCTTCATATCCATCACTCTCGCATCAACTACTAACAACATCATCAGACAGCTGATTCAATCAGCGGAATACGCCCCAGTGAATTCAACAGCACACTCACAACTGCATGCTTTCCCAACACAGCCTGCATAGCCTCAACATGGAACACCGAGCTCTTGGAGAAAATGGGCACTGAGCTCACTCGCCAAGCAAAGATCAAGCATGCGCAGATGATCCTTGGGCCGACGATCAATATTCAGAGAGATCCTCGCGCTGGACGCAATTTTGAGTGCTTCAGTGAAGATCCGCTACTTTCGGGATACATGGCTGCGGCTATTGTGAATGGTATCCAGAGTAAAGGCTATGGAGCTTGTGCGAAGCATTTTGTTTGTAATGACTCTGAGACTCAAAGGCGGTATTACGATGTTGAAGAGTCGCCAAATGGAAGGTCTTTGACGGAGATTTACTTGGCTGCTTGGTCGTTTCTCTTGAAGAAGTCGAACCCTGCGGGCATCATGACAGCGTGAGGACCATTGATACCGTTTATGACGTTAGTGCTAACATGGTATCAAGGTACAACAAAGTTGATGGAGCCTTTTGCTGCGACAGCGAAACTCTCATTGAAGACATTCTCCGAAAGCAATGGGGCTACAAAGGCATCGTCATGTCGGATTGGTTCGGTACTCGCTCTACCGTAGCAGCCATGAAGGCTGGCGTCGACGTTGAGATGCCCGTTCCTGTATTCAGAGGTGAAAGACTCATCAAGGCAGTGGCCGCTGGTGAGATAAGTGAAGACGTGATCGACGCTAGCGTGGCCAGACTTCTTGAGCTACGAAACCGCACGCAGGCGGCACAGAGCGAAGGATCAGAGAAGTCGGAGATCATCCAGGAGACCAACAACATTGCTCGTCAACTAGCTCAAGAAGGTATCGTTCTTCTCAAGAATGAGAACGAAACTCTCCCACTCCCAGCATCTACTGGTTTGAAGGTTGGAGTCGTTGGCGAGTACGCCATGAAGGCTGTCTTCACTGGTGGTGGTAGTGCATCATGCAACCCCCAGTATCGCCAGGTTCCACTCGATCTGCTACGCGAAGCATTACCGAATGAGCATACAGTTTCATATGCAAGTGGTGTTCGAATGCGCCGCATCATTCCTACAGTGCCCGTGGATATTGTTACGACTCATGAGGGCAAGAAGGGCGTTGAGGTGGCGTATTACAACGCCGATCAAGATGAGCCGGTTCTCACCGAGACTTTAGAAGACGCTGCTATTAACTTGATGGCCCAGGGAAAGCCAGGGCTGAAGACACCAGGCTCTCATGTGAAGATGACTACCAATCTTGTTCCTACGACTACTGGAACACACACGCTCGCACTTCGTCACTCGGGATCGTTCAACGTTGAGGTTAATGGTGTCTCTGTGCTAAAGGGCAATGCTCCGGATATTACAACAGAACAGTTCCTCTTCAACTTGATCAAACTTGAGTCTCGAGTTGAGCTACAGATGGAAGCAGGAGAGTCATACCACATCTCTGTCACAATGCAATCCAGAGAACCTGTCATTGGCGAACCTACTCCATATGGCCTCACCCTGTCCTTCGAGGAAGAATACTCCGAAGAGCATGCGATATCAGAGGCAGTCGAAGTCGCGAAGTCATCAGACATTACAATAATCTACGCCGGTCGCAGCGAGCAGTACGAGTCTGAAGGATTTGACCTTGAGGAGATTACCCTTCCTGCCAATCAAGTCGCCATGATCAAGGCTGTCGCTGCTGCTTCTAAGAAGACGGCTGTTCTCCTGCACTGTGGCAACCCAATTGACATCGGTTGCTTCGCTGATGATGTTGATGCTATTGTGAATATGCACTTCCCTGGTCAGGAGGGACCGCAGGCTATGGTTGACGTCTTGACTGGAAAGGTGAACCCCAGTGGGAGATTGACGGCGACTTGGTTCAAAACATTAGAAGACTGGCCTAGCTTTGGGAACTTCCCTGCTCAGAAAGATGAGTCTGGGGTATTTACCATCAAGTACGCGGAGGGCTTGGAGATCGGTTACCGTGCACAAGTGACTGAGCACCGAGTACAGTTCCCATTTGGTCATGGACTGTCTTACACTTCGTTCTCGTACGACCGTCTGAGCGCCAAACTGGACGCCTCGTCAAATCCTTCAGTTCTCACAGTCAGCGTAAGTGTAACCAATGCTGGCAGTGTAGCTGGTAAGGAAGTGGTGCAGGTCTACATCTGCCCTCCGAAGAACGGAGCTGAATGGAGGCCAACTCGGGAGTTGAAGGGATTCACCAAGGTTGAGCTTTCACCGGGTGAGACCAGAGAAGTGTCCGTGCAGATTGAGGTCGATAATTTCAACAGTCATTGGAATGAGGAGTCGCATGCTTGGGCGATGGACAAGGGCGAGTATAGCGTGGAGGTTGGAAGCCAACGTGCTACTCTTATTATTTAGACTAGATAGAAGTTAATAGATGTGCACCGATTAGACTAGTCCTTCCCTATATCATAATAAGGTATTAATAAGTCCACTGATGCTTCATGGTATTAATTACTTGAAGTAGGCATGATGCTTAGATGAACACGTAATTTTGATAGTATGCTTCCCCGCGGCCGAGTCAAGCAGCGTATCAACACAACGGAACGCAACAGCAATACTCAGATTAATAGGTTTAAATGAAACATGCAATTTATTCGTTACGCTGATACTCTACAGGCCTGCAACCTCGACCCCAAGGTCTTTACATACCTCCAACACCTTTGACTCTTCCCAGCCTCCAACCTCATCAGGCAACACCAATCCCGTGGCCGGAGATCCAGCATTCTGAACCAACTCCTCGATACCTCTTCCATTGGCGAAGGTCCAGACACGGACATACTTACTGCCAAAGTCCAATGTGAAAGTCTCTCCGGCGGCAATGACCACTGTTTGGCCCTCTCTCACTTCGTTCCAGGAACTATTATCTCCAGACTTGATCTTTACCCTCAGAAGACCTTCTTGAACGATGAAGCAATGATCAGTGGAGGCAAAAGTGAGCCACTTGCTTAGAGGTGACTTCGCATAGACATTTGACGACTCGATACTTGACATTGAGAATTTGCCGCCAGATTGGGATGCGAGAATGAAAGGTCTTGACATGACACCTCCAAGAAGCCATCGGGGTCCAGTATTAGCGCGCAAGAAGTAGGCCTCACCAGGGGCAGCGAGCTGATTCTCAGAGTCAAGCCACTCGCCGACCTCAGGTGGCTGGTAGTCACGCTTGAAGTGTACATCAAAACGGTCCTTGGCTGCCATCATCTTCTGCATAAGCATTGACTTGATGTCGCGATCATCAGTCTCAGGAACGAGAATGCCATTATATGTCTCGCCGACATATCTGAAGAAGTCGACCCAGTCACCTGGTGCTACTAGACCTACGGTCTCAGTATGAGGTCCGAGCAGGAGAGGGTTATGGATAACATGCTGCACCCCATTAGCCGACATCATCACCAGCTTGGCACGGTTTCGCAACTTACAGGAGGGATATAAGCAAAGTCGCCAGGACCCATGATTCTACACTTATCACCACTCCATAACTTCAAGAAACCCTTGGTGACAAGAAAGACATCATGAGCTTCCTCATGCCAGTGAAAACCAGGAGCATCAGCTAAAACAGCACCACTAGTAAAAACAGCCATGCCGCCATTAGTCTGCTTCGACGAAGCAAGGATTCTGAAAACACCCTTGCTGCCAGGAATGCTAATGCGCTCTCCTTCGAGCTGGTCGATCATGTAGCTTGTCCTCTCATTGGGAGGGGATGTATGTAGGGGAACGCTCATGGTGAATTGGGTATAGTGTAGTTTGTGATGGTGTCTGTGAGGTACTCGGAGAAAACTGCCAAGTATTGATCAATTGTTGAGCTTGTGTAGGTATGCTGGATCATTAGCAGGACCCTCTACTCTTCTACTCCTTCGACCTCCCACTTCCCGATCTCCACATCACGGTTCGGATGCGCTGGAGAACCCCGCATCGGCCCCGGATTTTCCATGTCTACCCCTCACACTCACTTCCGCCGCTGACGAAAGCTGAGTTGGAAGTGCGGATAAGCCGCAATTCCGACACTGGGCTCACGGCATCACCGGAAGGCTTATTCACAGCGGCATATCGGAACTGAGGGGGTAGCGATGTTTTCCCAGATACCCTTTATGGACATCAGACCTTTATGTACGCTTTGCCAAGTGATTGCGTTTTCAGTCTCAAAGTGACAAAAAATGAGTCCTCCAGCTTCGTTTCGAGCTGTATACAAGCGGCTAGGTGAACAAGAGATTGATGTTGATGTTTACCTGCCTTCTGTCGAGACTGAGACCACAAAATGCCCAGTCTGTAAGTCAAATTATCTAGCTGTCTCTATACCCATGCTAATTACCTTAAGTAATTAATATTCATGGAGGGGCTTTTATGCTCGGATCCTCCAAGATGGTCAATAAAGATCAGGTATCAGATTGCCTAAGCAGACGATGGATCGTGTTGGCACCAAATCATCGCCTTTGTCCCCAAGTCAATCTTTTGGAGGGCCCAATGCAGGACTGTCGAGATTTACTGGCTTGGATTCATGATGGAAATCTCGAAAAAGCTCTAGGCAAAGCCAACTCAACACTCGTACCAGATCTCGACCATGTCTTTGCATTCGGCACCTCATCCGGCGGGCACTTATCACTTTGTTTGGTGAGCTTGGCATATAGCAAATTGTGATCAGGAGCTAACGTTGAGACAGGGGTTTGGTGTTCCTCGTCCTGTTGCAGGAATCTACGACATGTATGGACCTAGCAACTTTGCCGATGACTTCTGGACGACAAAGCTCGAGAGCATGAAGCTGCCACCCGGACTCACAGACTCATTGCTCAACAAAGTATTTGACGAAGACCCAGTTCCCATCACAGGAGGAGTCTCCCTTGAAGGTCAAGCAACAGGACCTCCAGATTTCAGTGACCCCCGTCAAGCATATGCCCTGACACAACTAGCCAACGGGACTGTCCTCGATGCCATCTTCCCTGCGAAAGAGTGGAGCAAAGTCGACCCTGCTTTGAATGTTGACTCCTCGTTTCCTCCGACTTTTATAGTCCACGGCGATGCAGACACAAAAGTCCCTATTCATCTGAGTCGAAAGTTGTTTGAAGTGCTGAAGCAGAATGGTGTTGAGTGCGGGATGGTGGAGGTTCCTGGGGAGGAGCATACTTTTGCAGCCAAGATGGAAGTGGGATCTGTTACTTGGAATCTTCAGCGACAGGGATTCGACTTTCTGGAGTCTCTGATTAAGTAGAGCATGGCGACTTTACTGTTTAGCAATAGTGTTCTGTCAGTAGCTAGCGGAAGCTGAACGTATCTCAATAACATACATCCGGTCACCATAGTGAATGCGAATACTTCATGGTCAACTCAGCCTGAAGATATAGACCATGAAAGTCGATTCGTCGTAGAATGAATGCTTTGGTTCATGTTATGCATTATCTACCATTTAAAAGCCCATTGCAGCTATGATGAAACGTTACTAATATAACGAGGCACTGAATAATCTACACAGACTTGACTAGCTACTCCGTAAAAGGATCACGCTTCACTGCATCTTCAACAACCTCAAACGCATCATAACCATAAAGCCAAGGCTGAACCTGCGGACAAGTCCACCTGCTCGGGAAGGGACCCTTGAGCTCCTCAGCGCCAAGTTGAGACAAGAAAGTCTGATCGCGAGCCTCTTGAGCTGGTCCATCAGGCATATGGAATGATTCTCTCTACGAAGCGTTAGCTATAACTGTCAATTGTCTCGGGAGTGATGGACTCGTGCCTGTTTAAAGGTTTCTCTCACGATGGCTTCTCCACGTGACTTGCGTAACCGCTCATACATAGACAAGGCCTGGGGTAATTGGTGCTTCGACTTGACATGGCCGAGAAGTAGACCCAGAACTGCACCGTCTTCCACGGCGGAGTTGGCACCTTGGGCTAGATAGGGTAGCATTGGATGACAGGCATCACCACTTGAAGCAACATATTAGTAAGATATCGTACAACTTTGACATATATCGACTGCTTACACGAAGACAAAATTTGAATCATCGTTGATCCACGAATCAAGCTCTTCTCCTACAAAATGTGTCAGCTTGGAGAAACCGGATATTGGGGCGTAACTGTAACTTACTATGCATCAGCTTCCACTTGTCGACTTTATCAACCTGACTGAGAAATCTTGCCAGAATTGGATCCCAGTCGTTGAACAACTCTCGCATCTCCTCCACCGAGCCAGCCTGTCGACTGACGTCCGATGGAAGATCGTCAGGAACAAGAAGAACGACGTTATACATCTGTCCACCACGCATAGAATATCCAACAGCATGAGCACCTGGACCGATCCAGAAATGCACCGTCGGGCGCTCAACCCATTCCCGCAGCTCAGGGTCGTCAATATCCTTCGCGTCCAGTACAACGCGATATGCCAGATCTCCAGTAGGCATGGGCTTATCCTCACTACCAAGAAACTTGGACCGGCATTTAGACCAGAGTCCGTCCGCTGCGACGATCAAGTCACCAGTGTACTTAGCACCAGCCTCGGTGCTGACTTCGGGGATGCTAAAGTCAATGTCCTTCACCCTATCACCCAGCTTAAACTGAACGCCCAATTCCTTGGCCTTGTCGTAGAGCGCAAGCTGGAGGTCTACACGGTGAAGATCGATGAACGGGGCGCCGTACTTCTTGCGGATATGCTTGTGGAAATCGGGTTCTATAGCGAGCGTTCGGCCGGAGTATCGATGGACGACGAGCGACGTGGGTTCGGCAGCTGATTTCCAGAGTCTGTCGGGGAGATCCCATTTTTGGAGGATGCGTGTGCAGTTGGGGGTGACTTGTAGGCCAGCACCGACCTGAAGAGTTTATCAGCCTTTGTTTTGGCTATCATGTGTGATCGAGGGGATGTATACCTCGAGTAGTTCTTTTGCCGACTCTAAGACAGTGACACTGTGACCTGAAAGAGAAATGGAGATCGCTGCGGCAAGACCCGCAAGGCCAGCGCCGACAACAACTACTTCTAGACGAACGTCGTCACTAGCTTGACTCGGTTGCTGTTGAGAAGAGCAATTAGCTAGATCAACACGTCGAATGCTTTAATGACCTACAGAATAACTTGGCATTTTGATAGAGATATTATCGCCAACTATAGGTCTCGTGATAGAAGAGAAATTAGAAGAGGAAGCAACTAGCTTTGCCGCGATACTACATATATGGAAATGACCCTCGGAATGTGGTTGATGTAGGGTAGTTCGTACAGTAGCTCGCTCGGAACAACCGAGGTCACATTGGCCGTGTCCGGCTTTTCCGCAGCTTAAGAACCTTCAGACTAACCATGTTCAGCTTAGAGAGAAACCTTCTCAGCCAATGAGACTCCCGAAACAAGATCCAGATCACTTTCGCCCAGCACGTCGTTCGCGTTACCCCAGATTTGCCTCCAAGCTCGAGATTTCCGTTCATCTGGGGTCTCCGCACTCAGGTCTCAACGCTTCGACATTCTGGGGTCTTGTGCATAATCACTAATTGACTGATACTGATATTCACGAGATGGATGAATCAACAGACTCTCAAGCTCCTCAGCCGAACAGGCCTGCAGCGCAGCGTCCAAGGCGACCAAGAGCTGCACGCGCGTGCGATCTCTGTCGGTCCAAGAAGTACAAGTGCGATGAATCTTATCCCTGTTCATATTGCCAAAGTTAGTTGCCAATCTTCACAACCTCGATTAGAAACTGACCGTGTGAAGGCCGCAATGTTGAATGCGTGTACAAAGGCCAGGACATGTCGCGTATGCGCATGACATCAAGGTACATCAACCTACAGCATTTTAGTTTTGCTCTTGGCTCACTAATGTAACCATAGCTATGTAAGACAATTGGAAGAGCAGGTCAAAAGCCTCTCTAGCATTGTAGAGAATTATGAGAAGGCAGCGACCGATGGACCAAGCAACAGTCCCGACGGGATAGCGATGAATGCTTCTTCGTTACCCATAGCTCAGCATCCCTCGATAATGGAGGCCTTTCCTACGCCGAATAGTATTTCGTCATGGCATACCAGAGAACAAGAGGTCTCTGGCATGAACACTCACACAAGAGATGTCGAGTTCTACGGTAGTTCTTCATCCGTTGCTCTTCTGTCTCATGTTCGGCGAACTGGAGAGGAGGACAACGATGACGATGATGCGGGCGCACTTCTCTCCTCGTTGCATAATCCCCACTTTGATCCAAGTGAATCACAAGATACCCAGCGAGGGAGAAAGGGTACTGAAGAGTCTGATCAGTCACCATGGTATCTACAATGCCGCAGCTTCATAGACGGCTTCTTCTCCGCGATCCACTACATACACCCGATCCTAGACAAGACTTCGTTCGTGCATCGCTGCGAATACTTGTGGGCGGGTGAAGGACCGGAGAATAAGAGGATTACAAGTTTTGTTGCCTTATACTACAGCATCTTATCCATTGGCGCATTGGTTGGAACGAGAGAGGATGAGCTTATCGATGGAATGACGAATCTGGCCTGGAGCCGGAAGTTCTTTGATCGAGCTAAGGATTGTTGTAATAGGCTGGGCATGGTGACTGACCTAGACATGGTCCAGTGCTATTTTATTCTGGTAGGTTGCGCGTGACGCTCAGCTGAAAGCAACTAACAATTACAGGCCAAAGTCTGCCAGAACGAACTGCATCCACACTGTCAGTCTTCCATGGCCATGTCCTAGAAGTCTACTGATATTCTTAGTATCATATATGTACGTCGGCCTTGCCATAAGAACCGCTTTGGCAATGGGCATAAATCGCGAGCCCGGGCCCAATAGTAAGAAACCGCCAGCTGTACTGAGAGCAGAGACACGGACATGGTGGTATGTCAAGGCGTTCCTTGAGTTACAACTTGAAGAGATCAGTTGCTAACCTTTCTCACTAGGGGACTATACTCCTTAGAAACGTGAGTATCTTTCGACCTACAACTCTTGAGATCAGCATTCTAAAACGTGTGAAGTGAAATGTCTTTCGCCATGGGCAGACCAGATACTTTAGGAGCAGATCTGTACCATAACCGACGATTCCCCCGTATAAGTAACGGCGAGAACGAAACAGGGATGGATTCTGAGATGTCCGAACATCCTTGTTGCGCCATCATCGAGCACATGGTGCATTTCTCCAAGATCACAAGAAACATCTGCCTTAGTATTTACCTGCCTGAAACGACGATACCGATGATGGTAGCAATGGCTGGCCAAATCGAGAGGGACCTGGAGGCGTGGACACAAAAGCTTCCGGAGGCTATACGGCCGATGGGATCACCGACTCAGGTACCGTCTTTGAGAGGGGTCAGGGATGTCCAGTGGGTGAAGCGGCAGCGGCTTGTGTTGAACTTGAGTAAGTTGACCACGGCGCAATCGTCAGCAGGGCACGCTAACAAACGGGTTAGGATATCACAATCTCAGGATCCTGCTTTTTGGGTCTTTTCTCCTGAGGTCAACGGCACAGGAGAGGGCGACTATGAGTGACACAAAAACCGGCATTCAAAAGTGCCTTGAATCCGCAAAGCAAACGATTGAAACCATATATCAAACGTATCAGCACAGTGACTTCTTCCGAACATGGTACGTATCACACTACCTTACTCTCAAAGAAGGCAACCTCTAACAAGTCAAAGGTTCTACAACACGACATACACTGTTTTCGCTGCCAGCATCATACTGGTGTACATGACGCAAGACGCAGTCGAGAGCGAGATGCAACCTTTACTTCGCCTAGTCGACATGGCGATCGAGATACTTATGATCATGGATGAATGCGTTGTTGCGCTACAAGCAGCTAAGCTATTACAAGGAGCGAGAGAAAAGGCCACACAGAAGTCGTCTCAAGTTGCGGTAGCTGCAAATCCAGGGACGTCTTGGCCTGATGGGATGGTGTACTTGAATCACTACTGGGGACCACTGAATCTACTCGACGGAGAGTTGGATCAGAACCTCGATATGTCGTCGATAGACTTTGACGCTGCGAGCTTGTTTATGTCGATGCCTCATTAGCCCGATAGGAATGCTAGGTCAATTGAGTACCAAAAGGAAATCCACACCGCAAGTGAAAATGGCACTTCATAGTAGCTATGGAAGAAAGTACAAAGTAGAGCAAGGTTGGTAATGGCAACGTCAAATTGCGTGACTTGGCAATGAATGTAGATCGCCGAACAGCGCCGTCGACATTAGAAACCGTGAACATTGCTGTCCTTAGTCCACCTTCTGAACGTCTTGCCATAGAAGTAGAACACCGCACCCAAGCCGCACCACAGAACTGTAAGGCCCATATTGGTCATGAAAACAGGGATGAATCTGCTCAAGCTGTTAGTAACGGACATTAAGAAGCTAGTGCAAAGGACAGCTTACCCTGACTTGATAGTCCATGGCGTGACGAACTTGCCCATACCATATCCCCAAAGACTCTTGTTAACTGTGATAGCCACGAAGAGTGACCCAGTAACTGGCTTATAGCAATCCACTGCATAGGTACTGGCGATGCTGGGGAGAGCAGCAACCTGGATACCAGCTGATGAGTAGCCAAGGACGGCGATGACAGGCCATGGCCAGTGCCTTTCGTATCCGATCGAGGTAATAACGTTTCCGAAGATCATGATTATGATATAAGGGATCATTGCGGGAAGACGCATTTCTGGTTCTCGAATGCCGCCGTTTCTCGTGGTTGCCTTTGCCGAGACCCAGTCGCTGAAAGGACCAGCTGTGACAAGTCCGATCAAAGCGCCGACGAGGATAGAGAAGTTGAGGAAGCCTGCGCGTGTTAGCACTTACCACCTAACTGGGTGATTTGTAGAGGTTACCAATGGATTGTGAGCTCATGTTGTATGGAGGAGCAGCAAACACCTGAGACTGCGTGAGGTTAAGAATCAGGAAGTTACTGCAACTCCAGCTGACAACGAAAGACGCAAAGAGTACAATAGGATAGACGAAGAGTCTCCATGGAGTCCAAATATCGAGAAGGATGTTTTGAAGAGGTGCGGAGTTGGGCTGGAACAGTCGCCACTGCAGCTTTGAAGGCGTTCCTTTACCCAAATGCGCATCCGCAGCAGGCTCACCCTGAGCTTCACGCGTACCAGCAACCTTCTCAGCATCAGCATGAGAATGAGTCGGCTTGTCCTGAGTCGTATCAACAATCTCATTAACTCCACGCTCAGCCTCAATCGAATCGATGCGTGTCCACTTCGTCTCAGGAAAGCCAAAAATGCCGAGCACGATAGACAGTGCAGTAACAGCAACGTTGAGCCACCAGAAGTTCTGCCAACCGGTGCGATCTGCCATGGGACCAGCGATGATTGGCGCGATCATCAATGAGCCCATGTAGACAACCCAGTATAGTGCGTTCCATGTTCCGCGATCGTGGAGGAAGAAGATATCGGCGATGACGGCTGGTTGGAGGATTTCTGAGGGACCGGCACCTATTCCGTTGAGGCTGAAGGTGTTAGCTGAGGTCTTGGGGAGGCCTTTGGGTTGGTCTCTGAGGATGAACTTACACACAAGCTCCCATGAAGATACCGTAGGTAGATGCTTTGGCGCGAATGATGTGACATGCGAGGCAGATCACCTGCGAAGCGATATAGACAGGTCGACGGCCGAACGAGGTAGAGATCGGTGCCCTTAAAAAGTCAGTCATAGCACTTACACCTCAGTACTAACTTCAATACTCACCAGAAGAAGTTACTAAATCCCAGAATCAGGATAGTAACACCCGTAAACTGAATGACATCCTCAAGGGTACTATCATAAGCACGAATCAAGTCCGGAAACATGGGCGCAAGAGCTAGCGGCGCAAAGCCCTGCGTGAACGTCATGGTAGAAACGCAGAAGATGGCAGAGAACTTCCAGAAGGGCGACCAGTTCAGGGGATCGTGAGGATCTTGGGATGGTTGGGGAACGAGGACTTGGTCGGACTCTTTGGCTCGGACGTAGTGCTCTTTGCCAACGTCTGTCATGATCTCCGTTCCGGGGAGGACTTCGATGTGAAGTTCATCCTGGATGGTTTCGCGTGCCTGTTGGAGTTAGGGGATGTGTTTTGGAGTGAGATGGAAGATGGTGATTACCTCTTGGGTAGGCATTCTTGCGGTGTTGCAAAGCTTAGTATTGTACGGTTGCTTTATTCTCAATCTTTTGATGTACAATACTCGACATCCAACAACCCTCTATTTATCTAAACTCACTTCCTAGTCATTCTTCATTATCACCGCGTCAATGATTCCATCTCCAACATCTCCAAAAACCTCGGATGACTTATTTCAGCTAGCTCCCTCCTTTATTCGTATTAAGCTATGAGATCCAGCGCCCGTAATATCTCGGTACAGCTGTCGGCAAATAAACAGCAAGGATCAATGAGAGGGATCTCGTGGTAATCTAATTGCCATCGGCGGGATGAGCCCGAATGAGATGGTTTACGGGGGAGTTGGCGGGGTATTAGAGTTTGCGGAGTAGTTAGCGTCGGCAGTTAGTTACTCAGGTGAGGGCATACCATGCCATTTGGGGCATGTTGATTCTAAGCGAGGTTTACTTCTTGGATTCCATCCCACGTTCTTTACTTACCTATCTAGAAAATAATTCGCTGTTCAATCTTGTATCAACCCTTTTGTTGTTGCTTATCATAGGCACGTGCACAAGTTCATATTGCCAGTAATCTCAAAAAGCTTTAATTTATTTGTTCTGCGGTTGATGTTGCAAGACGGTCTAGACTCACATGCTAACCGTGCTATAGAAAGGGGTAGTACATTTCCAGAATAGCCTTTAAGGTTGCATCCCCAGATCGGCCATCCCACATTCTAAGATCTTAGTCTCTGTCGGATAGTCTCCATAAGCAGTGCGTAAGCAGCATCATCCAGCTCGATAGTCTCCTCTTCAGGCGCCCAACCTAGATCCTCACTGAAGTCCCCATACTGATTGCCAATATACCAGGGAGCTAATCCGCGAACGTTATACCAAGCATATTGCATCTGTGCTCTTCGCTTCTGTCTCAAGCCCTCGCCCAGCAAATAGTTTCCCATTGGCACCGCCTGCGATTTGTCACGGCGCGAATGGTAGGCTGCGATGAAGCCTCTGGTGTAGTGTTCTGGTCCAGGATCCGCAAAGAATCTGTGACGATTGTGCCCGAAATACCACTCTGGCGAGTCTTGCCTCATTTCCAACGTGACCGGTTTCATCTTCTTGTCCCAACTCTCCTTAGTTCGAAAGGGGCAAGACCATTCCCCAACCCCCATGACAAATTTCTCCAATCCCTTCATAGTTACCCTCCATTCCGACAGCACGTGATGCCATCTTCTGCTATATAAGATTGTTTCCATAGGGGCGTTCTGGTCGGGGTTAGTGCCTAGAACTGCTGTCAAATTCACATACTGCTTCGCTTGAAACAAGACACAGCACTCGTCGAGATATAACTCTTCTAGTCCGCCGCTCCTGTTTTTACTGCCCAAAGATGCGATCCAGTCTGTTTCGTCCTTATTAGTAAAGACATAACGCCCGAGAGCCAGAACCTTGAGGAATGGTAAGGCACCAATCCGGTCTAGGTCCACTCTCGGGTACTGTCCCCAGTAGTCGGTATAGAATAGGGATAAAACTTGAAGTTTCTGGACGACATTAGGTCTTAGCCACCGTATTGGAAAAGAACTGAAGAACTCGAACTTCTCGACAGAAAAGATGGTTCTGAGACACCCATGAGTTTCTCCCATGAGCAGCTTCAGATCGATGAGGGTTGGCAACCGGAGAAGTCTGTACCAAGCCTTGGACTGGAAAAGTCTGGGATCATTGTAGTCGGCGAGGTGTGAAATGGTCAGTTCTCTGATCTGTAGGGGTTCTCCTGGAAGGACTGGCGCATCGTGTGTATATTCAAACTTAGCTTTCCATTCAGGTGTAACTGCATCATAGATCTTGGTTCGATTCGCCGGTGTCCACATTCCCGTCACGCAGTGAGAAACAATGTCTAGGACCAAGTACCGGAAGTACCACCTTTAATGTATCAGCAATCTTTGTGCTTTTGAAGACCTATTAAAGCGAAGATGGAGATGTATGAGATTGTTGAAAAGGCCAAGATACGGAAGAAACTGTAGAAAGTTTTCGCAACGATGAAATCTTGAGGGGCGATCCCCTAAACCTAACACTGGATCCGGTTCTGTATCAATCGTCACCTCTTGGACAAAGGTTCGTAGTGTATCCGACAGTGCAATCTGTTGAAAATGTAAAGGCGTATCACCATCAGGCTTGAGCCTGAGGGCTCTAAATGCGTGAACTGTTGCCGCGTAACTAAGCTTTCGAGACACCAACCTGGCACGGAGCCGGTCTTTCTTGCACAAATGGCGGCAAACAGTCATCAGGATCTCAGTTGGGAGGCTTATATCCTTGCCGGCAGGACCCTCCATGGTGACGGTCGTGTCTAGGGCTTGGTGACCAAGGGCGTATGTGGTTCAAGGTGTAAGCTCCTGGATAAGCGGCAGACAGAGCTTTTGTCCTGTCCCTATTGCTGATTTGAGAAAAATATCATTGAGAAGTATGAACCTCGGGCCAGTGTAGAAAGCAAGGTGTCGTGAGATTTATCAACTCGTTAATGCTTGTTGGTGACAGGATAGAGATGATTGCTTTAGGCGCTTTGGGCGCTTGGGGTTGTTTAAGTACTATGGAATACAGTAAGCCCATGTAGGCACCTATATGTTTTTGCCAGTGTCAAACAAGAGTATTTTGTGTTTCTAATGCCTGGTTTCACAATAACACTGGGAAAGTATCACTATCCACTTCGAACATGTAGAAAGCCGGTAAGTCAGCGGAAGGGAATATCCTAGAACAAGCGACAACGCTCATTCGCACAGGGTAGCGTGGTCAAACGCACTGGTGGTGTTCACTGTAATAGCCCATTGGTAGAACATGACAGTGGTTATACTCCTGTTCTGCGGAATGCACAGTGATATGCCAACGGTAAGGGTGATCTCCAGGTCTGTTTTGATTGGCTCGGAGTTGTCCGTCACCGTCAGATAAGCTGTCCCAGCGATAACCGAGTCGCCTAGTTCTCCGTTAGCAGACTAGCACGCATATAACACATTCCCCGCGTCCCCCAAACCTCAATTTCATCAGCTGATATTGTAATGGAAGACTCTCGCCCAACTAAGCGCGCACGACAAGCTTGCGAGCCATGTCGGTTAGTCCCTTACATCCTAGAGGTAATCCCAGCGCTGACATTGGCCACAGTCGCAAAAAGTCCAAGTGTCCTGGCGAGAAGCCCGTGTGTTCATACTGCGAGCGGCTCGGCCAGATATGCGTTTATGAATCAGGCTCTGATAGCCAAGGTCAAAGAGCGCGTTCGGATAGATCGCTGGTATGTAATTCATTGATCTCTAGCTGTAATTGGCTAATATGCGATGCTTGTAGGAGCTTCGAATGGAAACCCTAGAGGAGAAATTGGACCTGTTTATCGATCGCCTTGAGTAAGTGATAAGCCCGATATCATGGCAGCCATTGCTTTAACAGACGTAATCCAGTCCTGTAATCAATGATTCACGCCGCCGCTCAGCGTCGCAGCAGGAAGGAGGACATACACCGAGGTCCATAGTCAGTCACGATGAGCTTCCATACATCGGTGAAATCGTACACCTAAGATCCGCGCCAGGGTAAGCAAGTCTTCTCATATCCCGAGAGTGTCACTGACGGACAACTACAGCACAGAATCACTCGTCGAGCCAAGTAGTGATGAACTAGCTTCACTTTATTTAACCTGGCTACATCGACAACCTCTGGTCCTATTCAACGCCGAAACGTTTGCAGAGTCACTGCCACGTAGAGAGGCAGACCTGGTATTGGCACTACGGGCATTATGCCTTCGGTTTCCTCCCAGGTTATTGAGTGAACAATATCGCCAGCGCCTTCATGCCATGGCACGAATCTCGCGGCAATCTGTGATGGATAAAGTGTTCAGTAGCCGTGTCGACTGTTCCGTGTTACAAACGCTATGTCTTTTGAGCCTTTTTGAACATGCAGGTATGTTATTAGAGGTCTGTGATGTTCTGGCTAAGGCTGACCTCGGATCTAGAAGGAAATACTGTCCAAGCAGGGCTACACCTCAGTACGGCGGTTCAGCTGCTGAGCGGCATTCCTAAGGGTAGCTTCCTCGGTGAAGCTGCCGAGTTCAACAACTGCATTCGAAGCATATTTGTGCTTCATCACCTGCATGGAAGCGTAGTCTCAAGCGTATGGCCCACTGCCATGACGCACGGCGAGGACACATCCCTGGGAACTTCACAGTGCTCAGCGTGGCTTCTTCCGCCAGAGAAGTCATCATCATGCGATATGGATCGAGGCATCATGAAGTACACAATTCCTCTTTCGCAAATATGGCGAGCAGTGAGAATCTACGCCTCGCGCCGTGTTTTCTCAGACACCTTGCCACCATGGAATCCGCGCTCCGATTATTCCCAGGTTACATATCGACACCTCGAGATTGACTGTAGTGTGCCACTGAAATATCGCTTCTCTGCTAACCAGATTGACAAGCAGACGCCTCAAACTCTGCAACAAAACAGAGGGTATTGGGGTCCTTACTTGTTCACTCAATTCGTCTATGCTTCCATTCCTGTTATCCTCAATCACCCATTTCTTTTGTCCATGAGACTACGGCACTTTCGACACACTATGCCCCAATCATTTGTCAACAGCTCTTTTGACGCTATTACCCGACATATTGGATGGATCATGTATCATCTTGATGTATTGGAGAAGTTGGACTATCGAGTGTCTGACCCGACCTTGGCCCATATTGTTGCAGTGGTTGCCACCATTCATCTGCAGCACAGTTTTGTGGAGGACTTTGCCTTGCGCGAAAAGGCTAAGGCTGGATTTGAGAAGTGTCTCGAGTTCTTGAGATGCATGGGTCTGACATGGCATGGTGTCGCAGTCATGGTAAGTACTACGAAGAGCTATGGCGAAGAGATACAGCACTGACATCCTCAAAGCATGAGAATCTGCGGAAGCTGCAGCAGAGTATACAAGTTGTGCCACTAGGCATCCAAGACCCTGGGCTGACTAGGCCAGCCCAGCAGAAGTTCTCCATCGACACGAGACTTCTCTGGGATATTCTATGTTACGAGCAAGCTGGAAGACCGGATGCGCGCGCCGATGAGTCTATCTACAGCGGTCTAGCATCAATCCACCAGGATCCGTCGAGAGGCGCTAATGATGATGGTGATGGATACGATCTGGTCGGATCAGCCGGTATCATTGGGCACAAAACCGTTCCAAAGGACACACCTCTTTATGCCCCAGGTGAGGGAGAGGTGAGCCACCCCATAAGAGGCCGTGTCCCTTCTGATGCTTCTGGGTTGCTGGGATCCCTTCAGCAGAACATTCAGGAAGGCTTTGGATCAGCCATGGAACCAGACAACATCTTTCCCGAAGTACACGACTTTGGAAGGGCCATTGATGAGTGGTTGAGTCTTGATTGGGGAAACACGATGCTGTAAAGTAGTGGAACTGACTACCAAATTCTTTTTACCATTACACTGGTCACTATGTACAAACTATCACCATTTGAGACTGTCAGACCCAGCACACGCTTCTAGCTTGTTGCAGAAGTCAATATCGCCCTGCGCATTGCCTGACTGCCCACTCTTTCGTGTAGCCGGCCAAATCTCATGTCCTTCAGACTCTTCTTGCTTATGATGTTCCATAACTAGCTTTCGTGTAGTCTCTTGAAAGAACAGAGGACCCTGATAGAAGGACTCATCAGTAACTATGAATGACTTTTGGGGTGGCTCATACCTTTTCTACGCGAGGATGGAGCTCGCCATTGACAAAGATACCAGCATTCAAGTTCTTCTGCGCTGCGTTGCAGAGATCCTTGTCTTCTTTGAGAATCTGCTTAAAGCAGTCGCTGATCTCGTTGAAATCTTCGTCAGAAGCACTGTTGGCTTTGTACACTTCGTACTCCATCTTGGTCTGTGATGCGGAAATGGGGATACAGCGCATGATGTAGAAGAAGGGGGGTCTGAACGTCAGGGTCAGATTGTAACTTGGTGGATGGATATGCTTACGAGATCGTGATAGAGGCATTTGGGTAATAGAAAGTACTGTAGATGCCCATGCCATCTTTGTCGGGCTTATCCACGTTGAAGTGCTGTATATGGCCTCCAGCTGTCTCAACCCAGTATTTTGACAGATCAGTGAGGGCATTGAGCGCGGGGTGTCCAGTAGGACAGTGATAACACTAAATGGTTGCATTAGAAGCTTAGAATATGGACTCTTGTCGCTGATACTTACCTCATTATAGTTATCTGCCAGTGTCTTCCAATTATAGTCCCCAATCATCTCCCACTGATGATCAAAGTGATAAGCTTCCATATCGAATGGCTGTAGGCGTGGTTGAGTATCGACACCGGCAAAGTCTTCGTCCCAGGCCACTGCAGGAGTAAGGCTGACGTCCATGTTGATCCAGATGAAACCGAGTTTGTCGACATGGACATGGATCGGGTAGAGGCTGTTCACAGACTTGTCGAATGTCGGAACCTCTTGGTACTTTGGAGCCTTGGCCAATTTGCCATCGAGTCCATAGGACCAGCCTCGAAATTCTCAGCGCCATTTCGTAGACACGAATTAGATCATTCACTTACCATGATATTTACAAGAAAGAATGTTGACTCTTCCTGCATCCTGTTCTACCAGTGGAAATGCCCGATGTCGACAGACATTATGATGGGCCCTAATCTCGCCTTGACGACCTTTGATCAAGAAAAAGGTGAAGCCAGCCTGGGTGATACGCAAATAATCACCCACTTCGGTGAATCTCGCCTTGTGTGATACAACAATCCACTTCTTGGAAAAGATTGCTCGTCGTTCCAGTTCATACATCGCTGAAGAACGGTACCATGAGGCAGGCAATGCTCGGGTAGTCTGAGGCTCAGCCTCTTTCGTTGTACCGAAACTGAACCAACGACTCATTGTGGCTTGCGATAATAACTGATACTATGATTCAAAAGGTCTGGCGACCAGTTGACGGAACAGGGCTTAGGCTTGGATGGTAACTAGACTATGCTGTTGTGTATGATAAGATTCGCCTATGAATGTAACCCTCTAGTCTGGCCCTTATACCCTTCTAACTATCATGCATGTGACAGTATGACACGATGCGCATTCTTGACTCCGCACTCATCAACCATCAATCGCTGTTCTTGGTGTATTCACTTGGAGCCAATAAGACGAGCGCCAATCATGATTTCTCACATCCTGTTTAGATCACGGCCCGCTTCCGTACCCACAGCATCAGACCTTGTGATACGACCCTATCTCGACGCTAGACCATTTCAACATAGCAATTCTCCGTACCCACCAAGACCCGGACCGCTTCCGGCTTGTGTGCGTCCTTGCCCTTGTGAGACTGTGCCATGATAAGCAGTAGCCTACGAAGATGGGCAGCTACAGTCAGTTTAATCCGAACTTGATATTGCGGGCTTAGTTCATCCTAAGGATTCATAATAGTAGTTTTGCACGACAATTTTTAGTTATCCACGATATTTGACCTTACTCAGTAATCATGTCCGCCGAACAACAGCAAAAGCCAAAGCAGATCCGATGCACTATCATCGGAGCAGGGTAAGTATAATTCTTGCCCGTATATAATGGCCTTGGCTAATAATTCCGATTAGTGTATCTGGTATCCTGATGGGTAAGTTCTTGGCCATTTAATACACCAATGGACTACGCTGACACGACCAAGCATACAAGCTCAAGCAACATCTCAACGACTACGTCACTTTTCAGATCTTCGAAAAGTCACCGGAACTTGGAGGAACATGGTTTGAGAACAAGTATCCCGGCTGCGCTTGTGATGTGCCGAGTCATTGCTATCAATATTCATTTGCTCCTAACCCGTCATGGTCAAAGTTGTGAGTTTTCAGCTGCCAAATTAGTGTTCATTGTTAATCGTCCAAAGTTACGCGTCTTCCGACGAGATACAGGGCTATTTAAAGGGAGTTGCTAAGCACTTCGACCTCGAGCGATACATATCCTTCAACACCAAGGTGGTTTCAGCACAATGGTCTGAGAATGACAGCACCTGGGCAGTAGAGTTGGAAGATGGGTCTCTGGTCACATCAGAAATTCTGGTCAACGCCGGCGGGATTCTCAATCACCCACAAATTCCCAGCATCGAGGGGCTGTCGAAATTTAACGGCCCGTTGTTGCATACTGCATCCTGGGATCATTCGATTGACCTCCGGGATAAACGCGTCGGCGTGATTGGTGCGGGAGCCAGTTCAATCCAGTTGGTTCCCTCGATACAGCCTGTGGTCAAGGATATGAAGGTTTTCATCCGTACACCTTCCTGGATTGCACCGCCAGTCGCCCTACCCGATCCCAACGCGACGAACTACACCTACAGCACAGAAGAGAAGGCTCTCTTCGAAACAGACAAGAACATATATCTCGATACCAGAAAGGGATTAGAGGATCAATTCAACGGGATGTTCCGCCTCTTTCTCAAGTCCAGTCCAGAGCAGGAGAGAACACGTGCCATGTTCGAGTCGCGCATGAAACAGCTCATCCCTGACCAAGATCTGCAGAAGAAGCTGATACCTCCATTTGAGGCTGGGTGTCGAAGAATCAATCCGGGAGAGGGGTTTCTGACCGCCTTGCAAAAGCCAAACGTGGAGCCCGTATTCGATTCAATTGAGAGAGTGACTCAGAATGGTATCGTGGCTGGTGACAAGGAATATCCAGTAGATGTGCTAGTTGCTGCTACAGGCTTCAACACGACCTTCAGACCTCGCTTCCCTATAATCGGTCGCAATGGTGTCAACCTTCAAGATGCATGGCAAGAACATCCTGAGTCGTATCTGGGCCTTGGTGTCGCAGGCTTCCCCAATTACCTCATATTCTTGGGACCAAACACTCCAATCTCGAATGGAAGCTTGATGGGTAAGTAACTGGGTATTGTGATCGCGATTGGTAATAGTTATGCTGACCTCTGTAGGTTCTGTGGAAGCGACTGCAGACTACTTCATTCGTCTCCTTCACAAGATGATACGCCAGCGTGTCAAGACTTTCGAAGTCCGAATCGATGCTCAAAATGACTTCAATGCTCACACGCAGAAGGTGATGCAAGACATGGTGTGGACCGGAACTTGTCGCAGTTGGTGTAAGTCACTTCCGCCTATCACCTTCGTATAACACAACTGAGCATCTTGCAGACAAGCAGGGTACAAACGGAAAGGTAACTGGACTCTGGCCCGGGAGTTCCCTTCATTACATCCAGGTACTCTCAGAAGATAGATGGGAGGATTATGAATGGACCCATGGGTTGGAGAGGTATAGTTACTGGGGTCATGGGTTGTCATGGATTGAGGAGCCTGGCCTTGATCCGTTGGGTGCCGTAAAGCAGGATATGATTGAAGCAATGACGACTTTACCAAAGAAGGACTCTGACTTGAGCTTCTACCTGTGGGAGAGCAATCCTCTGCCTGAGACCTGTTTTGCAAATGGGCGCTCAGAAGAGAGAGTCCAGAAAGGCGACAACTTGGCATGGAACAAGGTATTGCATCCCACTACTACTTCAGATGTTGATAAGCATACTACGGTAGCTTGTGTCACCGTACCAGTTTAGCGGATTGATAGACCTTCATAACGAGAACCCATAGTTCAAGCAGATTGGAGCTCAGTGCCACACTGCCAATGACCCGTAGTGAACGTTTTCTAAAAGTTTCGATAATAACATATCGGGTTCGATGGTTTCTCAGATGACCTTTCTTCATCTGTCTGGAAGGTCGGACTTAACGGTTCATTATACACGTGGGAAATGGTTATGATAGTACCAACCGCGTTCTCCTGGCAAGTGATGGTATGACTAAAGAACCCTGTCAATTACGCGTGACTTATGATATCATCAACAGATACTGTATTATCTTGCTATCTACAACTTCGCGCGAGGAGCTTGCCTCCAGAGCATAGGTAACGGTCCATCGGGTCCATATACAGGATCATCTTCAGGCATATCTACTTCGTCGATAGTATCCAGAAACACACTTGACGACTTCTTTCCCATCTCATTCCGCCACTTGGGACAACCCTATAGATTATCAGTATCTCCTCCAAGACATGATAGAGAAAACAGCATACCTTTGGATATACACCGATGTACCTGTAATCCGAAGAGCTTTCAAGGGATGAATGGGCTGTTCCGGCTGGTAGGACGACAACATCGCCTGCCTTGACGGGGACTTCTACGCCTTTTCCCTTCTGAATCTTGCCTAATAATAGTGTTGAGGAGCCCTGGAATATACCTGTGAATGGTTACAAGAGTACTTTCTACTGAGACATGACCAAGCAAGCAACTCACCGTAGCACTCATGGCTATTTGGATGGAAATGGCGGATGGCAATATGTCCCCAAGTTCCCTAATCATGACTCAACATCCGACATCAAAAAGCAGAAATAATTGCATACCCTCTTTTCCCAACGGTACGTAGTTAGGAATCTTGTTACCGTCTCTTCGGTTCTCGGCTGAGGTAGCACATCCCGATATACAAGGATCGGAAGTCGGCTGTTAGGCGCATCCTCCGTTCGGGGAACGAGGTAACACTCGACGCTTGAACTCATGATGGTAAACTTAGCCTATCGATGCACCTGACACCCAGTACTTGCCTCACCATATAAACTTGGTTGGTTTACTCCGCGTTTGCTGTTGATAGGTGGTGGCCAGGAACACGGGCCGCTTCCGGGCTTGCGGGGTTGATAGGTATCAGCTGGGCATCTTTTGGCTTGATAGCTTATCTTAGGTAGTAAGATGAGGCGGTCCGTTCTCCGGAGGCTTGTAACTTGCGATGGAATCGGAAAGGCTGGATTGATATCTTGTTAGTGTGTTGATAGGGAGAGGTGAGTCTTGCACGAATGGAAGGGTTTCGATTAGAAAGGAGTTTGTAGACAAATCACGTCTCTCCATCCAGCAGTCTCCACCAGCCTCATAGTTTCAGTTCACGTTGTTCAAAACATCTCGTCTAACTTGGTGTTCATTCGTATCCATTAGAACTCATCATGCCGACTCATAAGGACAATACAGATGCTGCGTCCGTTGGCGAGAAGCAGGATGGCAAGATGCTCGAGACATCTCTTGACCATGTCCCTAGCCATGCCAACGGTACAATCGCCACCATCGACGGCATAGACCCTGCAACTCTTCATAACGATGAAGTTATCACTCAAGCGATCCAAGCCATTGGCTTCGGCAAGTTCCAGTGGCAGCTAACCTTCTCCTGTGGTTTCGGTTTCCTAGTTGATCAGGTCAACGCCACGACTTCCATCACCAAGCCCTTGAGCTAACTCTGTCACCAGATGGTCCTTGTCTCTATCAGTCTTGTTACACCGCAAGCTGCCATGGAATTCGGTCCTCGATATGCAACTCTCCTTTCCGCGTCTTCATATGCTGGGTTACTCATCGGCGCTTTATTTCTTGGTACCCTCGCCGATAACTTTGGCCGACGATTAGTCTGGCAGGCTTCTATCTTTGGGTGCTCTATCATGACTGCCATTGCTGCTAGTTCTCCGAATTGGGCTGCTCTGAACGTCTTTATTGCTTTGATTGGCTTGTTTGCTGGTGGTAACCGTGAGTCTACAATGCCTATCAGTGTGGCCTAATATGATTGCTTACGTTAACCTCCATGTAGTGGCTATCGACTTAACACTTCTGGCGGAAGCCATTCCTCAGGAATGGTCTTTCATCTTATCAAGTCTCGCTGGGATCTGGGGCTTCGGGAACGCAGTCACGGGCCTCATTGGTAATTCCTCCTAAGCACCAGTATCACATTCGCTCACCCTTACAGCTTGGCCTCTTCTCGTCAACTTCGGATGCCCCAGCGGCTCGACCCCCGATACCTGCAGCCGCAGCGAAAACATGGGCTGGCGATACCTTTACATCACTCTCGGTGGACTCTGTCTCGTCATGTCGCTTATCCGAGCTTTCGTTCTACGATCCCTCGAGTCGCCCAGATGGCTCGTCTCTTGTGGAAAGATGCAAGAGGCTGCGGAGGTTATCAACCATATTAGCAGGATGAACAAGTCTGATTATCATGTCACTGGTGATAATTTCCTGCAGCCTGAGCAAGAGAAAGCCGATGGTGAGGTTAGGTCTTGGCGTGCGAATATTGATCGAGCTTCGAGGCTCTTCTCTGGTGCTAAGTAGATCCGGTTGATGGTTGGCCTCATCATGATCTGGGCTCTCATCGGCATCGCGTAAGTCCATGTCTTAAAAATCTTGAGCGAGTTACTAATGAGGAACAGATACCCGCTCTACACCATCTTTCTCCCTTACTACCTAGCCGCCCACGGCGCCAACTTCGGTGAAACCAGCAACTACATAACCTACCGCGACTGGACCGTCTCCTCAATCGTGGGAATTTTCGGCCCCCTCCTAAGCACTGTCCTCGTATCATCCCACTACTTCAAATCCAAGCGCTCAATGCTCCTCACCGGCATAATCTGCTCTGCATTCTCCGGAGCATTCACATCAGCTCGAACAGCAGCGGAAAACCTCGCGTTCTCATGCATGATCAACTTTTCGCTCAATGCTTTGTATGCTATTGTTTACTCGTACACCCCGCAGGTTCTTCAGGTGCAGAATCGTGGGATGGGTATGGGGTTGCTCATGGCGGTTGGGAGGATGGCGTCGCTGAGTGCGCCTTTCATTGCGACCTTTGCGGATGTTTCGACTTCGGCGCCGATTTGGGTCGCGTGTGCCTGTTTCTTGGCCATTGGGCTTATTGCAATGCTTCTTCCGGCTGATACACAACCTTATGTATCGAACAAGAGCCACAATTCTAGTGTCTGAGGACTGTTGGAAGGTAAACGTAGTATTCACGGTAAGCATTGCAGTGTTGTGTTGGAAGTCGAGCTGTATAGGCTGGGGAAGTGCCGAATTAAGCTCAGTTATTGTAATATCATAAGTCTTTTCGGCAGCCTCTTTTGACTTTGCCAACTACATATTTATGTCAACTTTAGATGACTTTGTTGATTTGTGGAAAGTGAAAAGAGAATAGTGATAAACTGGGCTTCTGGTCCGACCGCACGCTTGGTGCTCAACATGAGGTCATGCGATTGAATCGGCCTTACAAGGCAACCGTCTTTCAACCTGGAATTGCTTTTTGGGGGCTGTGCTCATTAGGGGGAAACAAGGCTCTCAGCTACGCAGGGGTACCTGAGAGAGCCTTGGCTGCGACCAACAGATAAAATAATGCCCCTCAACCCGCTTTCCATTCTTCTCCTGCGCTTCCGTCCTTTTTTCTCAACTCAGCGACTTCAATTGGACCTTCTGAGGACGGCGAAATGGACCCGCTCTCAATCGCTACGTCTGTGGTAAGTTGTTTTCTCCCATTTACGACGCTTACGATACTGATCTGATAGTAGGTAGGTCTGACAGCAACGTGTCTCTCGACTTGCAAAAAGCTTCATGACCTTGCCGGCGAATATGAAGATGTGCCAACCACCATCGCTATGATATGCTCCGAATCGACTGTGATCAGCATGGGCCTATCTGAGCTACAGTCTAAAATTTTACATCGCGACGATCTTGCACAGGCTTGGGCATCTCGGACAGACATTCTAAATGTTTTTGAGATTGCATTGACAGGTTGCATGACGGTTTTTAGCTGTTTAGAGGCCGAGACACGGAATCTCAAGCTAAAAAACCCTGGAGTTTTAGCTAAGCTCCCTGGGGTTTTTGCCAAGCTTAAGTTTATATGGAATCAGGACCGGCTTAAAGAGCTCTTGGAAGCGCTGAGAGGACAACAGACATCGATCACATTCCTCTTAAGTATTCTTGAAATGTCAGTATACTGTCGTCTCGCTTACCCTACTAATGATCCATTAGGGATACTCTTTCTAACATCCAGAAAGACATTCGCAAACATACACGCCAGATCGAGGCCACAGCAGCAGAAGCCCAATCTCTCCAATCCCGGATTCCCAGCATCAAGATTGAATCCGAATCTATATTCAATAAAGACGCCGCCAGACTCAGTCTTTTCGAAGCGACTTCAAATTTCGCGCCTTCTGAACTTGACTTCCAGTTTGATGACTTGGTCATTAATAGCAATGCGTACAGGCGAGCGTTCGCCAAAGCTCATACCGAAAATCAGAAGTCACATAAACAGGTCGAAGATGATACCGCTAATCCTGACTCTGATACACCCAATAGCATGACGTTCAGATTGGTGACTACCTCGAAAGATACACCACGTGGCATCTCACAAATAACATTATGTGATACCACTGAAGCGCCAGCCGAAGATGAAGGCTTGTATCCTGAAAGCCAAACGGGCTCACTAGACGAAGCCACCAGGGATGAGACGTATCAAACTGCTCATACGAACAGCTCTGACTTCCAAGGTCTTCTTTTCAGCCAGAACGTGTCCCAGCTTGTGTGCAACAAGTGTTCAGTCGACATTACAGGAAGGTGTGTGTCGGCCTTGGGCAATGCATGGCATCCAAACTGCTTTGTGTGTTACGTGAGTTTCACAATCCGGATCTCAGAAGTCAGAGCTGATTGAGGCCCATACAGGATTGTGGCGAACCAGTTGCTGGTCATTTCTTCCCCACAAATGAAGAGGGAAACCAGGATAAACCTCTTTGCGAGAAGGACTACGCTCGTAGACTAGAATCAAAGTGTTTCAAGTGCAACGGGGCACTAATAGGGACTTACATTACCACCTTCCGGGAATTCGCCTTAGAGCAAAGTTATCACCCTCAGCATTTATCCTGCGATGAATGCGGTACCGTCTTGAGTATGGAAAGCCACCACACGTACGAGAAAAGGGTATACTGCGAGTTACACTTTTGCCGGACCTTTGCACATTACTGTGGTGGCTGTAAATTTCCCCTTCTTCTTCCAAACTACTATCTCGAGGCGGTTGACAGGGCAGGAGTGAAGAGGAATTGGCATCCCGAATGCGTCATCATGACTCAGTACTGGGGTGTTATGATTCCAGTATCGCACACAGGCCGCAAATATCTCAGAACTATCCAGAGTGGTTCAATGCAGGACCTCATGGCCGATATTCGGGAACAGCATGTTGCTTGTCTTCAACGCATATATCAACTTGGAACACATATTCTGTCGACCTTTACGGAAAACTTTCGCCTGGCTTTGGTGTTTCGTAAAGCAGGGTACGCTGGCCACGAGTCCTTCAGATACTGGAGAATTATGTTATATGCCGTCTCGCGCCTTTTGCAAGCAACAGCCCAGCTTTCCAATGATGGTGAGTCCCTTCTCTCAGCTATGAATAATCTATAAGGCGGCTTACTGACATTCACGATGTCAGTTGCTGATGCTGAAGTCAGAACATTCTCTCGGACGTTTCACGGAGTCCTCACAGACATTGCTCTAGGATCAAATGATGAGTATTATATAGTTAGTGAGAAGATTGTGGTGGCTCTCAGATCTGTCCTTAAGGTGGCATTGAACACACTTCTAGGGATGGATCGTGTCTCGTGGGATACAACTCCCACTGAGCTCGATAACTTTTTGAAGGGACTTGATCCCGATATTCCTCTTGTGTCTAATTCTGACTACGACAGGAAGCCAACAGGTCGCGGAGTCTTTCTCAGATGCGAGGAGTGCAACGAGATTCTAATCCATGACGCCTTCGCTGAGCCTTCTGAAGTAGGTCATAAATGGCATCCCGAATGCTTCCGATGTCTCGTATGCCGGAGTTCAGGAGGAGTCGTTTCATCTCCGTCACTGCAGACCGTTGGTTCATATAAATGCCAACTGGAGTCATGTGGGTGGGAGGGTATCATTGAGTTGATACCAAGTCACGCTCTAGTTATCCATCATATCTGGCGAAGTTGGCTTCTTCTTAGAGAGCAGGAAGCTCCACCCGGACTCAGCCCTCCAACGGCCGGATTTATGGAAAGTGTGGTCTTGGGGATCATGAATAGGTCTTATCTGTCTAAGAAGAGCCTTGGGCCAACCTGATACACATCATATCTAGTAATACAACTTCGCGGTCGATGAACGTTTAGGATTCGCTGTTATACCTGCTAGACCCTAACTGATCAAGCCCAGTGGAGTGGAGACCGAACTTTCCCGAGCCTGCCAGTAAAACCGGGATTATTTCGCGTACGTGGTGGATTGTTTACATTCGTGTCATATAACAAGTTCCTCGTGTTATCACTGTTCCTTCACGACGGACAGTTCCCATACCTAAGATGAAGTGGTGTTATGTTTTCCACCTACGCAAGCACTGTGTATAAGCTTTTCCGGACAGTCAATAAAAAACGTCATTTTGCCATCGTCGGACAATTCTTTAGTATATGAAAGGCTGAATCACCGTCCAGCATAAACCACGCCCTCGTACCCCTGCAACACAATTCCACCCTCAAAAGCATCAATATTGCTTCCCAACAACCTCCTCCCCCAATCCCCCTCGACCTCGACCCTCTGCTCCTCCTCCGAGAAACTCAATAAAACAAGTGCTTTCCTCCCATCATAACTCGTCATCGTATATGCAAACACATCCTCACTATCCTTATACTCATCCAAAATATCAAAGCGTCCATAGACAAAAACATCCCTCTCCTTCTGTCGCAGCTCAAGGACCTGTCTGTAAAACGCTAACACGCTATCTTCATCCTTTTCTTGTTGTGCGACGTTCCATTCCTCGTAGTCGTCGTTGACGCGCATCCAAGGCTTGTCGCTCGTGGTGAAACCGCCGTTGGGGTTGCCGCTCCATTGCATGGGCAAGCGGCCGTTGTCTCTGGCCTTGAGGCGCATCTCTCTCATGACGTCGGACATATCAGCTCCGGTACCTCTCTTGTTGAGAACGCTGTTGTAGTAGTTCAAGCCTTCGACATCGACGTAGTCTTCGGTCTTCCAGGATTCAGGTACGTTTGCCATGCCAATCTCTTGACCTTGGAGAAGAAATAGCGTTCCGCTGAGTGTACCGAGGTAGATAGCCAACATTTTGGCAGCTTCCTTTCGGAACTCGGGCTTATCAGACCCATACCGTGATAGAGAGCGTCCAGAGTCGTGGTTATCCATGTAAACGGAGTTCCAGCCATCAAACTTGGGCATAGCTCCCTGCCACCGACTCGTAATTGTCTTCAACTTCGAAAGTCGAAAGTCATCACGCTCATATTTATGACTTGGACCAAAGTCCATATCAACAATATCTCCCGTGAACAACATGTTCAACTCATGCCTATCCTTGGCAACATAACTAGCCACACTGTCCTCATCCTTAGTGAAGCCTAGTTCTCCCACTGTCATACAATCATACTTGTCAATGACCTTCTCCCTCATCTCCTTTATATACTCGTGCATGCGTGGACCGCTGGCGAAGTACTTATCACCTGGTTGAAACTCGGCGTCTGGTCGGGTGATAGGTGCGTCGGGAAGATCAGGGTGTTTGGACATGAGATTCATCGAATCAATGCGGAAGCCATCGGCGCCTTTGTCGAGCCAGAACTTCATATCGTCGTATGTTGCCTCGCGCATGTCGTCATTGGCCCAGTTGAGATCAGGCTGCTCGGGCAGGAAGAGCGAGAGATAGTATTGCTCTGTCGTCTCATCGTATGTCCATGCGCTACCACCAAAGATGGAAGCCCAGTTATTCGGCGGTTTGCGATTACCATCAGCGTCGAACTTTGGATCACGCCAGAAATACCAGTCCCGCTTTGGTGATGTTTTCGACGAGCGTGATTCTTTGAACCATTCATGCTCATGGCTAGTATGATTCACCACGAGATCAAGTAGCACCTTGATACCCCGCTCATGACACCCAGAGATCAATGCCTCAACATCTTGAATCGTACCGTACGGACGATGAATGTCGCGATAGTCTGAGACGTCATACCCCATATCATGCTGAGGACTCTTGAAGATAGGCGACAGCCAAATAGCCGTTGCGCCTACAGAACGAATATAATCAAGCTTTGAAATGATACCAGGCAAATCGCCTAGTCCATCGCCGTCGGAGTCAAGAAAGCTAGCTGGGTAGATTTGGTAGACAACAGCTTCTTTCCACCATTGGCGATCAGGAGGGGTTGAGGCTGACATGATGGCGGGGTCTGGATTGAGTGTGAATGTTGCGATGAGGAGATTATTACACTCGTGTCTGAGGTTTCTTATACCCGATGATTACTTCCCGGTCCGACAATAATTATTCTCATGTAACATCAAAGAAAAGAGAGAATCGTGTGATGACTTCTCCACGTCGATCTCGTGCCTTTTCATTCTGGGCTGAAACTCTCAAGGGTGAATTGTGATTTGTCGATGACTTACCCTTGACCCAAGATGTGCACCAATTGCATCGGACCGACAATTTACCCAATGATCATCGTCTCCAAACGCGCGGTCCTTTTGTTCTCCAGACACGAAAGGTCCAATGGAAATTCAACCATTTCACCCATGGATCCACTATCTCGATCCGGGTTGTGAGGATGGTGACTTGCAAACTTCTTCTCGGCCGATGAGATGGGGCCATTTTTCGCTCTTGCTGTTCCCCATGGGGGCTCCATTCATCGGAGAATGTTCAACGCCTCTCCAGATATTTCTTAAGTCTAATGATCATGAAATGATATATAATCCTGAGGGCATTCCCTCCCACTGACCAGCTCATCATCACAACCTCAATCACTTTCCCCCTTCAATCCTCAAAATGACAACCAAAGTCGAAGCCATCACCACAGTGTCCGACCATGTCGAGAAGGCACCAGACTCCATCGCCATCCAAAAAGCCATCGACGCTCAAGACCTCACCCCAAAGCAACAATACCAGCGCCTCTGGACAAACCTCAAGAAGGACAAGCGCTTCGTCCTATGGTCCATCTACATCATGTCCCTAGTCTTTGGCTGGGGTTACGACGCTGGTCTCTCAGGTGTAGCCGTTGCATTCCCAGAGTTCCGCAAGGTTTATGGAGAGTACTACAGCGTTGGTGATCAATATGTCATTCCCGCGCTGTGGCAATCTCTTTGGAACGCTGCGAGTACGATTGGGCAGATCTTTGGTGCGTTTTTGGCGGGTACGTTTGCGGATTGGGTTGGGCGCAAGTATGTTCTTTGGACTGCAGTCGCTCTATCTATCTCGTCTTCGTTCGCGCTGGTCTTTGCTCCCAGTCTGCCTATCCTCTTCGTCTCCAAGCTTCTTCTTGGTCTTTCAGTTGGTCTCTCAACTGTCACGCCTCCTCTGTACGTCACAGAGAATGCACCCGCCGCTCTTCGAAGCTCTCTCAGCTCCCTGACCAACGTCATCATTGTTCTGGGTTTCTTCCTCTCCTCCATCACTGGCTGGGGCTCTTCCAAGATCAAGGGCGAATGGAGCTTCCGACTTGCTTTTGTCATGACCTTCCTCGTCCCTACTCTCTTCGCCATTTGTCTTCCTTTCCTTCCCGAATCACCTGTTTGGTACGTCAAGAAGGGTCGCGACGACGATGCGCGAAAGGCCATCTTCAAGCTTTACGGTACTTCTATCGACGTTGAGGAGAGACTCGAGTTCATCAAGTCTGAACTCGAAGTTTCTGCTGGTGAAGCCAACATGGCTAAGCAGACAAGCTGGAAGGCCATCTTTTCCAAGGAGCACCGAAGTAGAACCCTCATCGCTGTCATGGGACTTCAGTCTCAGAATTTCTCTGGTGGATACTTTGCCAGTAAGTAGCCAGTTACCGCTCCTGTTGACCTAAGTACTAACTGTCGCAGACACCTACCAGACCTACTACTTCGAACTCATCGGCCAATCCGACCCCTTCGGTCTCACAGCTATTTCCTCCACCCTCCAATTCCTCTCCAACTGCGTCGCCGTCTGCGTTTCCGACGTCCTTCCCCGTCGAAAGTCCCTCATCGGAGGCGGTACACTCCTCTGCTGCTGGTCCATCATCATCGCCGGAACATCCCTCGCAGGCACTGCCAACACAGCCGCCAACACCGCCCTCCTCGTTTTCATGATCACCTGGTCGATGCTTTACACCGGTACAGTTGGTTGCTTCGGATGGGCTATCGCTCAAGAAACTGCGGCTCAGGCTACGCGTCCCAAGACGATTGCTTTCAGTCTTGTTTGCCAGCAGCTCACTGCGCTCATGCTCTCTTCCGTGTTTCCTTACTTCATTAACCCTGATCAATTGAATTGGGGTGGAAAGGTCATGTTCTTGTTTGTTGGGGCTGAGGTCTTCATTCTGGCTACGCTGTTCTGGTTCCAGCCTGAGACCAAGAACAGGACTTATCATGACATTGACTGCTTGTATGCTGAAGGCGTTCCTCCCAGAAAGTTTTCCAAGTATGTTGTCAACGATGGAGCTGTTGTGCGAAAGCCCACTGCGGAGAAGAAGTAATTGCACTAGCAGGGTATTACGAATGTGATGGGATGAGGGTCTCCAGTGTCGTGGATGGGCGTCGGGTTTGGAGTTTGCATTTTGGTAGTTAACATGGGATAAGGAAACAAAAAGTCTGGTGGTATATGAGGATGATAGCATATTAAATGAATGTCTTTACTTATCAACTCACTCTCTCGCTGATGTCTCTTGTGCTCCATCGTAATATTATTCTCGTCTCGTCTTCATGAGCTGATTCCAGAGCAGTTAGTGCTAAATTCGGTGGACCCAGTGGCGTGTGCAGCCATGACGAAGTGCACTGTTCTCCGCATTTATATAAAACCCAATCCCCGCAAACTTCAAACCTTGTCGCAACTGCTTTCAATTAATCGAATCGAGCCATGTCAAGTCCAGCGCCGCCAAAACCTACCAAGATCCGTCAAGCATGCGATGTCTGCCATAAGAAAAAGATCCGCTGCGATGGCTGTAGGCCGTGTCACAATTGTCAAAGCTTGGATAGAAGCTGTACCTATCTGGCTGTGCCTAAGAAGACGGGACCTAAGGGACCACGATATGCGCGGAGGTCCAAGCAGCGACCGGCGACAACATTTCAGTCTTCTACCAGCCCTGAGGTCGACAAGCCCAGCATCAATTCTAACAACACGGCATCTCCACCATGTCCTAAACAGTTCTCGGAGTCGCCACAAATGACAGACACAGTTATTCGATGGTGTCTCGACGCGTACTTCAAGCATAAATACCCACTGACTCCAATTCTCCATCGCCCTTATCTCGAACAAACACCAAGATCAGCCGAGCAATATGGCTTGATCACGGCTTGCTGTGCTGTTATCGCACTGTCACCAGAAATACTACCACCCTGCCCTGTCGAGGACAATTTCACGATCCCATCAACGGACTTTTTGATAGCGGAGACTCTTCGCGCAAGAGAGTTTTGCAATCTGATCGAATATCCGTCTTTAATGCACATTCAGACATCATTCTTTCTCCATGCTGCGTTCTTTTCAATGAACAAGGATAATTCGGCATGGTATTACTTGCAGGAAGCCATCACTATGCTTCAAACATTACGCTTGCATGAGGAGGCCACCTACACTAATGATGATGCCAGCGACCCGGTGTTTGTCAAGTACGCTCAACGAATGTTTTGGGTACTCTTCATCACCGAGAGAGCATATGCATTGCAAAGGAACCGACCGATCAGATTACAAGACACATTAAAACTGCCAGACGTCGACCCACTATCTTCCGACGCAGAGATCCTACGCGGCTTTCTTGATCTTATCTCGCTATTCCGCCCTTTCGGCCAAGACTTCATCTCACAGTGGAACTCCCCAACATCATCCACTTCGACAGATTTCGCAAACCTGTTTCGATTGCAGTATCTTCTCAAACATTCACTTCCGAACCTTTCAAATCACTCTCAAGTCCAACAAGCAGATCTTCTCATATCCCGTCAATGGCTCAAGATCGTCGTCTGGAAGCTTTGCGCCTCGAAAAGAGTCCTCTCCACCGCAAATAGCGAGGATGTCATGTCGTTGCATTACCCGGCTAGTATAGCACGCGATATCGTAATGGTTTCGCAGTTGTTGCCGACCCAGGCTTTCGAGGCCAATGGTATAGGGATTGTGGAAAAGGTCTTTGATGTTGGCTGCTCGTTGGCGGATCTACTGTCGTTAGTACCGCTAGAATGTCAAGGCTCGACTATGGATGTTGGGGTTATTGATACACTGATGGAGACAGTGAAAATTGTCGGGACGAGGTTCGGTGGCAGTTATCGACATTTGGACATATTGGTTGACAAGGCGAGCGGGTGCCTTCTTATGAACGTGGATCGAAGTCTTGCTCCACCAGAACAGGACAATCCGGACAAAATCGACGAGATATAATGTAACAAAAGTCATTCATATTGAATGGCACCCTATTCGTTGTCCTTATCATCTTGAAGAGCCATCAAAACCCCATTATGCTCCATCAATTCTTCGATTGACCAGTTGACTGCACAGCTAGCTGCAAATACAAGCGGTGGGTATAGAAGGCCTTTGATGTCTGCACAGAGGTTTTATCGTTACTGTGGTCCAACTGCTCCCCATCCATTCACATCTGTCAGACTTAATTTTCTGGGCCGCAATACTCCTTATATCAGATCTATACGACCATTTCGATGATTTCAGTCGACATAAGCACTTTTCTTAAAGCCCACTTCAACTACCTCATAATAGACAAATATCTCATCTACTCCAAGCTTCGACGCACTATGCGCCTTTGAGGTGCCGACGTAAAATCAACGCTATCTCTGGACTCCGTGGATTCCATGATGGGGCCATTCGTTGCCACTCCACGACATCATAAGCACAAACACGTGCACCGCGAGCAAGGAGAAAATGTACCATGGCCACATCACGAGACGTGGCAGCCGCAAACAAGGCGGTTTCACCCCCTCGACCTCTGTAGTTGACATCGGCGCCATGGTCAAGGAGCGCTTATACCACGGATATGGAGCCCTTATTTGCTGCAACAGTGAGGAAGCTCACGTCCCATTTATCGTCTACTATCTTGGCGCCGTGTTCAAGAAGGACACGTACAGTCCTGTGTGAACGGAATCTTATCGCTTCGTAGAGGGAGGTCATACCCTGCATATCGGCACCATGGTAAAGAAGAAATCGAGCGGCCTCTTTATTATCACCTAGGATTGCCCACCTCATCTCAAGGGTGTCTTACCTTCGTATTTAGCATTAATCTATGTCCACCACCGTAGGGTCCCATAGAAAGGTAAACCGCCTCCTTCTTCCTGGAGCGCTTGGAGCCATGGCATAAATCCAATATAAGCCGCCAGACGCAGTCGACTCGACGGTGCATCCTCTTCATCAGCCCAGTTTTCCCGTACATAAGAAGTTCTCGCAAAAAACGGCCTGCTAAAGTCGAACAAGTATCCTGCATTCGATGCCAGTCTTGCATGCCGCATACAATAGACACTCGCGTACTCGAAAAGCTCGCACTCCGGGTGAGTTTCTTCAGGTTGCATATGGTCGCCTAAAATGTATTTGAGGATTTTGTTGCTTCGCTTATGGCGCAAGGAGCTATGCTCAAGAATTTGCAAACACTTATGCGCAATCTCAGCATGGCACTCCCTTGGCTCTAGACGAAAGCCCTCGGCGACAGGGTCTTCATCCGGCTGCTCTCTCAAGAGATATTCCTCGGCGGATTGATGAATAAATAATACTCGGCCATCGCTAATTTTGAGAAGTGGTTGACAGATGGCTACCATATCTGCCATACCTTCAACACTAGTTTCGATAGCGCAAGCCAACTCTTGAAGGGTCAGAGGCCGCGCTGCAATTGCAATCCACCTAAGGATCCTCGCACTGATGTGGTGGTATTTGATGTCGATGTGGCGCAGCATCCTACTGAATATCGGATGTAATCCTACTGGTATGTCCTGAACCGTCTCGATAATCTGAAGGCAAGTTCTCTTTTTAGACAGCTCATGGACGACGAAAGCAACCCATAAAAAGGCGCCCTCTGCTCTGTCGAGCAGATGTTGTTCGATCTGAGGACGGATAGCCGCAAAACCTTGTATTCTTTGTAGATGTTCCAGACTCCACGGGATGAATCTCGCGATATCATCATTGATACGTCCGTGATAATCTGGATCGAGCTTGATACCAGGGAATACTTGGCATGCTTCTGCTCCCTCAGATGTAGTCCCTGGAGTGGAGTCGCGAGACGGTTCAGAGCTTGAGGCGAGGATCCGGTTTCCGAGTATATCAACATCTCGTCCTACAAGTGCCACCTTAAGAGGTCCGTTGCGACCAATGGGTAGGGTACAGTAGTCGCGGAACTTGCTGACCAAGACATCAGAAAGCTCACACTCGTCGATCCCGTCGATAATGCAATAGACTGTAGAAAGACCAGACTGCGATAGAAGGATTTCCAATATCCTCCACTGGCATTCCAGACTGCACATGGCATTCTTTGCTTTCCCTGGTGTGTCCAAGTAACTCAGGACCTCCTGAATCCTAGATATATCGGTGCTGAAGTTGAGCAGCTGATATGATAGGCTTCGAAGAAGGTTAATGGGCTTGTTATAATATTCGTGTTGGAATCGGCAGAAATAAAATATCAAGTGACCGTCTGTGCCCTGGCACATTTTCTCAATTTGCTCCGCGAGAAAGAGTGACATGACAGTTTTGCCTGTACCCGGGCCACCATATATCCAGAAGATCGGAGACTTCTTATCGAGCCATGCTTGAAAGTCGGGGTTCTCTAGAATCCACTCGCAGGTTCCAGGGGCTCTTTGGCCCTTCGCCTCTGCGATACTGGCCCTATCGGCATCAAGATGGCTCACGAACAGAACATCCCGACACTTCTTGATGACATCCTCAAGATTGGCTAAGGATGGTAAGCAAGGATGGATGGAAGGGGTGAGAACTTTGACTTACGAGCGGCCCGTCTTGGTTGTGAAAAGCTGACGTTTCTGACATTGCCTGCGAACAGATACGATCCGTTGGTTGCCGTGATGTCATGAATGTTTTGCTGGCCCCCTGGCGAAACAATAGAGTCTCGATCCGAGCGCTCAGGCGACATGATGACTCAAATCTCATACGACTTGAAAAATTGGTAGCATAGATCCGGGGAATCCTCTCAGGGAAATGCTTTCGCGTTGCGGCTCGCCCGGGACCCGAATTTGTGCAGGTTGGCGGTCTGAAGTCGTACTGACTTACCAAGAGAACCATTAATCAATATTTTTTCATGCGTGGTGACCTGAGAATACATTCTCGTGTCTGGTGACCGTGACTGTGACGGATGGTGTCCCCAAAGCTCATGTTGGTGTTACACTGGTGCCTTCCCATGCGGCACCAACCCCTCAGAACTGGAACATCTCTCGCTTATCCTTGCACAGGATTGGGTCCGAGCCATAGTGCTTAGATGAAACTGTAGTACATAAGGAGATGGAAAGCCAACTAAATAGGCTGTAACATCCGTCTTACAGTTCTCCTCAACATGCCTGACCCCGTCAGTATTACCGCCTCCATCTTGGGTATCATCCAGGGTGCAACTTTCCTGTCGAGTACCATAGAAAACATTCGAAGCGCCCCAGAGTCCATCAAGAACATCCAACGCCAACTCCAACATCTTAAACCTATTCTTACGCAGCTTGCGTACGCCGTAGACCAAAAGCAGATCGACACCGACCAGTTTGGTGCTGAGGTCAAGTCTGCTCTTGATAACTGCTATCAGGCATGTACTGAGTTCAGCAACTCACTTGGACACTGGACAAGACACTCCAGTGAAGACGAAACATCCGTTCTGGATTATACTAAGATCGGGCTTTTGCGCCAAGGTCGAATTCGCTTGATGAAAGATCAGCTTGATCAGTGTATGAAGATACTCAACGTCACTTTGGTGACCAACAACACGTTAGTCTGACCTTCATGGCAGTGAAGCCTGGGCTGATGATTATTTACTACAGCATCCAAATGAGTCGTCAAAAAGGCATGATCAAAGAGCTTCGTGACCACAAATTATCGTCACTCGAAGCCTCCCTCAAACAAAAGATCGATAAAGTTCACAAGGACAAAATGGAAGTCGTCAAATACGAGATAGAGGCATCAGTGGCAAGCGAGACCGACGACAAAGAGTCGTTTGCTTCTGATGTAGAGCGACACAAAAATATGGTTCAAATATCGGAGAAGGTCTACAAAAAGGCTCTCGAGGCCGTCGCTATTGAACGAACACAGCAAAACATTTCTGATGTTTGTGCTACAGTAGAGAGCACTTCCCTGGCGGGCAAGTTCAACGTGGATGGGCCAGACATGACAGGGCAGGATATCACAAAGGTCCATGCCGACTAGCGAAGCTTTGCGGTAGCGGGGATGGCAAACAACTTTGACTTTATGTCCTTTGTTCCCAGAAGATAAATGATAGAGTAATAGATAGTACGGCAAAAGGGAATTGATCAGTGTTATGCGTCGAGTATTATGCCCTCCATTTTAAACATCACAGTGATCCCATGACATACCTAGCCGTCCGCGATTACAGAACCCTGCCTGTCCTCTTGCCGAATCTCTCAACAATACTCAAGCTGACAGTACATGCAGCAAAACTGTAGTCGAATCGAAAGTCCCTCCCCCTGTGTAAACTTAGCCTTCCTCACATTCGCCCACGTCCTCAATTTTACACAGTTCCAGTTTCTCTTTGAATCGAGGAGGTGGTCTTGCAGGCTGCTGATGATGAGATCTCCTCAAGGCAGTCTTGTTCAGGTCGTTGCGAGGGTGGAATTCACTGCCCCCATTGTTGGTCACGGATTCTTTGAGTTGAAACGATCGTGAATCCATAATTCTTGTGTCGTCGGATTCGGCTGTTGAGGCTTATGATATTCGAGGGTGAGGTCACACGTAGGTCCACATTTCTGAAAGGAGCGACGGAGTCAGCATGCGAGTTAGACCCAGTCATCAACGAGAAACGAGCCATACCCGTAACAGAATGAGCCGAGTCGATATTGGACTCCGTTCCTCCTTGGGGACTTGCAAGACAGACTATCGCAAGAGTTGAGTATATAAACCCCGAGCAGCCTCCTGTAATATTAGAAGCCCAACGCAATCAATCACTCTCAGTAACACCGAGCAGCTCTGGCATATTCATTTCACACAGCAGCATATAATTCGAATTTTTTAACTTCAAGATGACAACTTCCAAGCCCAAGATTCTTGTAGTCCTCACCTCTGCCGACAAGGTCCCCAAGACCGGAAAGCAGATCGGATGGTTTCTGGTAAGTGGAAGACATTCCCAGTCATGGCCTCCACATCTACAGAATATCATGCAAAGGCTTCAAATGAGCGGTGCTAATATAACCAGCCCGAGCTTGCTCATCCATTTCACATTCTTAATCCTGTGGCCGAATTAGTCTACGCGACTCCAAAAGGCGGCGAGTCTCCACTTGATCCCGTGTCGGCAGAGCTATTCAAGGATGATCCCGTATGCAAGGACTTCCTCGAGAACCACGAATCAGTATGGAAGAACACCCTCAAGCTCAGCGACGTTGCTGGTCGTTCTTCGGAGTTCGACGCAATCTTTTACCCTGGTGGACATGGCCCGATGGTAGATCTTGTCCACGACCAGCACTCAAAAGACCTCCTGCGGGACTTCCACTCGCAAGACAAGGTCATTTCAGCTGTATGCCACGGACCAGCTGCTTTCGTCAATGCGACGACCGCGTCGGGGGAGTTGATCTTGAAGGGGAAGCAGGTCACTGGTTTTGATGACGTGGGTGAAGAAATGTTCAAGTTTACAGAGGATATGGACTTTAGTCTCGAGAAGAGGTTGGGTGAGGCCAGTGGTGGAAAGTATGTCAAGGCTGAGAAGGGTCCTCTTGCAGAGAAGGTTGTTGTTGATGGGAAGATGATCACCGGCCAGAATCCAGCGTCGTCGAAGGGTGTCGCTGAGGAGATCGCCAAGGCGCTTGGAGTGTATTGAAGTGCCCAGATTGACGTAATTCTACCTTGGAATAATTTTATAGATATGTTAGAAAATCAAAGATATATCAGCTTCTCATCTAGTGTTGACATACCGCAGCAGTTGAGGAATTCTAGTGAAGGGTAAGCCCAGACTTGCATTCAAGCTTATCTCCTGCCGAACCAATCATGATCTTTATCGCAGGCGATATGAATCCACATTTAAATACCAGGATCGGCTTTAATCAGCTTGGTTTAACTCCGACGAAACGGCTTGGGCGGATATTAGTGCTGACCTGCACCTCATACTCTACCACTTCACTCCGAATAGCTTCGTCGAATTCCGAATCGCGTCGCAAGTATGTTTGGAACCTTCTCTGCTTCTAGCTCACCCGCTCCGGCGAGAAAACCCAAGCGCAGCCAGGTATCAAAGGCCTGCGACTCATGCCGACTGCATCGCGTGAAATGCGATACCGAATATCCATGTCAGAATTGCTCAAGCAAAGGTTGGCAGTGCAACAGCACGACTCGGCAGAATCCGGGATGGAATCTCTCGCGCGCGATGAGGTATAAGAACGAATGCCTCTGGCCATGTGTCAAGCTAAACCTCACGGCTGACACAACTCACAGTGAGATCGATAGACTGAGAGAACGAGTGAAAGACCTTGAGGGACAGCTCAAAGATACGAGCATCCTGACGCCACCAGATGAGCATAGTCCAGAGCTCGCATCAAGCGACTCTGCTCCAAGTTTCTCATACGCTAATAACGGAGTTCAACTCGACACTACGACAACTATCCCCTCATTAGCCCCGACCACTCAATTCTACGGACCTTCGTCCACATACTACTTCATCCATTGCATCAGCCAGCGTCTTGAAGCAACTGGCTACAGCCTGAGTAGTGGCCAAGAGCCTCACAGTTTGATACCCAACTCGGCAAGCAGATCCATGGTCAACGTCATCAATACCCCGGATGCCGAGTTAGATGTTCACCAAAGCTCGGATGATGGGGTAGCCGACCGACTGACGCATGGACTGACTGAGAAAACCCTCTCTGGGAGAGACTTATCGGCAACCCAAGAGGCCTATTTCCTCGACCTATTTTGGGACTCTTGGCATTGCTGTTACCAGCTTCTCGACGAGGGAGAGTTTAGGGCACAATACAAATCACTATGGGATGAACCAACCGGTGGATGCAGGGAGGACTCCCCTCTTGTCGATATTGTATTAGCACTTTGTATGCAATTCGGCGTCACCTCGCTGCCTCGTCAAAGTGGCTACAGGGCAGAGATCAATTCCCGCGACGCAGCTGTGGCAGGCCGTTGGCTATATCAGCGCTGTCAAACGCTCATATCGTGTGACTTGGAGAGGCCAACGCTCGAGACCTTCCAGTGTCAGCTATGGTCTGCAATCTACTTGGCGAATGCTTCTTACCAAAATATGGCACAGAACATGTTGGGTGTTACAGTACGCACAGCTTATACATTGGGACTGCACATTGAGCCAGGGAGCGATCTACCGGTCAAAGAAAGAGAAGCGCGAAAAAGAGCCTGGTGCATCATGTTCATCTTTGAAACGAGATCATGTATTCGATTAGGTCGGCCTTGGGTCACCCAAACACAGCCGGTTTCGCCATTATTGCCTACCAGCGACCGATGCCATGCTACAGTTGGCTTCGGCCAGACAAGATACACCACTGAAAGAGCTAAGCTCACCGAGATAGCTCGATCAGCCTTTGATAGTGCCTTCGATTACCGACCGAGCGGCGAAGTTGCTACCACGACTTCCAACAGCCAATCGAACCTTTATACCTCTTACATGGAGAGAATGCGGGCCTGGGCCGAATCCCTACCTCATATGCTGAAGACGGAGAGACGGAATGGTGGAAAGCCTCTCTCAACTGATCTCTCAGAGATCGAGATTGAGCCATTTGCACCAGTCTTGCTACGGAGACAGCGCTTGATGCTTGAGCTGTTCTACCATGAACTGATGCTTACACTTGGACGACATTGCATGAGCCAATCTTTGACTCGTGCTGGAAGCATACAGACCTCATATCATGAGATGGCAGACATCGCAGTTTTGCATGCTGCTGCGACGACGAAACTCCTTTATCAGGTTTACCAAGAATACGACATCTTGAATGGATGGTACGAGCCGTTCAACTGCCAATGGAATGCTGCGATAACACTTGTTGGATATCTCCTGTCATATCCCCAAGGCAGTACAACTGCTATGATCGCCCGCACGGCTCTGTCGCAAAGTATTACGGTGTTAGAGAAGATGGGCGACTTCTTTGGCACATCTTCAAGTGCCGCTGGCGTGATACGAACACTCCATCAGAAGCTGGACATTCCCGTCGAAGCTCCTATGGCGATGGACAGCAACACCATCTCAGCCGGCACGGTCCAAGACATGGACTTCAATGAACTTGGGGCTTTGGACCTATCGTTTGAAGGCATACTGGGGACTTTTGGGACGGAATCTGAGTTTGAGAGACTTGGCTTTGGTATTGATATGCAGACTTTTCTAAATAACGATGCGTAGGACCTAGAACCATTCTCAATAACCTAGGCCTCAAAGTACGAAATGTTTTCCTGCACTTTGAGCTTCCAACTCTGCACGAGATCCTGCCTCTGTCCTCTTGGTGACACCTCCACAATAGCCCGCAAGAAGTCGACTGCACCTTGCGTGTGCTCCTGAAGCGTTGAAGTGAACTGAGCATCCTCCAAAACCGTGCAGCCCTTGTCCTTGCAACGCTCCTCGAAGACTTCCATCAACTTGTACTTTTGCGCCAGGGACTCGGGTGTGTCGATTCCGTTCCAGAGGAACGAGCGTCGTGGGTTCCACGAAGGGCTTGGGACGACGCCAGCGAACTCCCAGTCGAGAATACCAGTGATCTTGCCAGTCGAAGGGTCGTACATCATGTTGGCGAAGTGCAAATCTTTGTGGGCGAGGCGCAGCTTGATGTTGTTCAGCTCCTTGGAGTGTCTCGGGAGAGCGGCTACAAATGCTTCGAGGCGGGGAATTATATCTCGCATGAAGGCCAGCTTCTCGTGGGTTTGGATGAGCCGTATGTACTTTGCGACGTGTGCTATAATGTATTCGACGTACGTCTCGTATGGCCCTCCGATGTTCAGAGTCGCCACTGTCTCCCCTTCAGGCCAAAGCGCTTGAATATCTGGGACCTGCCAGAATGTCTCGTCCACGACTGGGCCGAGCTGAACGTCGCCTCGATGATCGAAGGTCAATCCTCCGATACCATCCCATGGGTGCGCCTGGAGCTGGGTAAGGAAGTCGATCAGCTGGTCAAGGATGTCGTTGTGTTGCTTGTCGCTCAAGCTACCGTAGATGTCGCTGAGCGTGACACCTGGGATGTGAGAAAGCAAGGTGTCGAAAGCTAGTAATATAAAGCAGTAGCAAATATACTAGGATATTTAATACAGTATTTTATAAAAATAAGACTATCGTAAAACCTTCTGTTATATTATCGCNNGCGATAATATAACAGAAGGTTTCACGATGGTCACATTTTTATAAGATACTTTATTAAATATCCTAGCATATTTGCTACTGCTCTATATTACTAGCTTTCGGCACTTTAAAGCAGGTCACTTAAATTAATACAGGGTCGTGCATCGCCGGTAATGTCCTGTAATACATTAGTATATCAGCTGAGACTCAAGAGTTGTTTTTTCCTCACAGCAAGCCGGAAGTCCCGACAGCAAACCACATTGCCACTACACTTCTGCCCAAGAGTGCCATCAAGAATTCCTATAACATTCAGGCTGAGATCGACACAGTTGTCAGAGGTCTTCGGATTCGTGGACAAAAGACCCAACAGTCCGCGTTTATTGTTGTTGTTCGCATTGCCAGCCTCGTTATTGCAACACCGAACACTTGTGTCCGGCCCACAAACTGCCTGGGCTTCAGAGACCTTGAGCAGTTCGACCCGAGGCTTTCTCCGGCCTTTCAAGCTTAGAGCAGCAATAGCGGAAGTAAAGACGGTGATTATAGTCATGAAATGCATGATGACAGATGGTAGGGGGTGGAATGGTTAAAACGATCAAAACCAGGGAGATTGAGCTGCGGGCAGGTGATTGGAAGTAAGAGTTGGTGATTGACGATACAAAGTGCTATGAAGACAAGAGAAAGTTCCGATAACTTTATACTCAAGAAGAATGACCCATTTGAAAAGTTTCTTCGTGAGGCTGGCGTTGTCTGAACGGCAAGTAGTGGCTAGACCACAGCCATCTGTTCAATATCTTGTTAAGGCGAGCACAAGGCTGAAGTCGGCAACAAATAACACACTATATTCCCTCCACAGTTTAAGCTTATCCCGAACCTGCACAAAAAACAATTGCAATTGGCTAGTACCCAAGACATCCTCTTATGCAAGAGTTATTTATTTTCCCTTGACCATAGAAATTCCGCCATCAGAATCTTGGTCTTTTGAGACACGGCAGATGGTGGCTAGTGTCCTGAATCTAAAGTATGTTGATTCAACGGCCCGATTGCAAAGACATTTCAACTTAAAAGAATGCCAGTTAGAGCCGCTGTATAGCAATTCTATTACTACTGTTTATTTGGAGGAACATCGATCCCACGTACTGCCGTGACAATGGACCTGGTTACTTGATTCGTCCTCGTGTTGAGGGCTTGATTACTTTGTAAGCCACGTGAAGGTCAGGTGTACTTCCTGTTGCCGATGCGACCGATTGTAACTATGTCTCAGCTTAAGCGTTTCAAGGGAAAATTAACAACCTAAGAATATTTGACTGGTATTCGACCAACCGTGCTCACACTATTGCCTGGCCCAACCAACATATCATACTGCTCTTACAATCCTCAGCCCCTTCCATTCCCTGCAAAAGGTATTGTATTGCACGCTAGACTTCCCTTGGGAATTAAAACACCTGGAACTAACTAATCTACCATTGCGGCGTGCCTTTGGCTCGAAGAGTCGCACCGTACCTCCACAACAGGAACGGGGCCGGCCAGCCCACGACGATGAACACCAAGGCAAGCAGGCTATTTCCCCAGCCATAGTCAAGTTTCCGATACATTCCCGGGGCAAAAATGGGAAAGGCAAAACCTGCAATGCTGCGAAGAAACTGCGAGGCGGCACTTGCGGAGGCGATATACTTACCGAAGGCATCCATAACATAGGCTTGTAGAGCCTGTGTATTGAGAATGATCCCACAACCAAAGATTGCGATACCGATGTCTGGGACGATCCAAGCAGTATGCCTGTCTGCCGACCAGCCATAGAGGAACAGACCGAGAGGGATCAGGATGGCTCCAGGCAGCATTAGAGGAACACGATACTCAGGTGCCGTGTCGTCGCCAGCTTTCTTCTTGAGATATCCCCAAAGCTTATCCATGAAAATCGCGCCGCCCTGTGCTGCTATGGTGTAACCTATAACTAGGGCGAAGTAATGCAAGCCGCTCTCCCACTCTGACTGGCCGTATCGCTCAATCCACAGAGTCGCAAACGTGGAGAGAACGATATAGAGAATTCCGAAATTATAGGCCAGGAATATGGCAACGACTTGTAATATTTGTTGCGTGAAGAGGAGACGGAACGGGCGACTGAGTGCTGGGAGCAGGACTGGACGAAGACTTCGTTCCGAGTCAGTCATATGCTCTGTGAAGTAAGCCCTTCCGGTCTCCTTGCGCAAACGCGCAGCTCTTTTTTCCAGCAGAACAACCTCATAAGTCTCGTCGAACACGAATAGAGCAATGATGGCCAGGATACCATCAAAGATGGAGAGCACCCAGAAGGTCCAGCGCCAACCCACGGTCTGTGTGACCGCACCCCCGACGATGGGCCCAAGCGCCGGACCCAGCAGAGGGATAAATGTCGAGATAGCGAACGAAGTACCCCTTTCTTCCGCCCGCCACATATCCGATAGAACCGGGTTCGTCACAGCAAACTCAGCGCTTGCCCCAAGACCTGAGAGAAGACGGCTTGCAATCAACAGACCACTTGACTTGCTAAAACCCGCAACGGAGTTCCAGAGGATATAGAAGTAACTAGAAGCCATCCATGTTGGACGCCGTCCGAAGACTTCAGCTAGTGGAGAGAGAACCATAGGTCCAAAGGCAAATGCGAGAACGAATATTGACAGGAAGATCTGTGTTTCCTCCGCGTCGGTGTGTAGATCGTTGGAGATTGTCTCGAGAGCTGGGGCGAGCATTGCGCCTGACATGAGAGTGACCAGGCCGCCACCGGAGAGCAATAGAGTTATGGCCCATTTGCGCGGCCGGGACCAGTTGTAGGGATGTCCTGGGTCGCTGTCTCCATCCCAGGTTACCTAAACAGCCACAAGGGTATGATTAGCTTATGTGAAGCGTCACGGACTATGAGAAATATACCAGTAGCGGTTCCGCCTCGGACTTGCTTGGTTGGACACTGCCTGGTTCGAGTTCATTTTTATTTTGAGTGACTGGGTCGACTGGAGCTTCGTTGTTCTCCTGGGCCGTCATCACGGGAACTAAGTATGCTATGAGCAGGATAAATAGATATGATGCGACCTCGAGAGGTGGTAAAAAGATAATTTGTAACTGGGACAAAGGTTCGGTTTCTTTTCCCTTCTTCCACCGTTGTGTCCCCGGAAGGGCTCCTCGATATAAATACTTACATGTCGTTGATGGGACTTTTGTTTAGGACTTCGCAAGTAGCTCGGTCCGAGTTCAGTGTGTTGGCTCAGCATGTCTCATTGAGATGTCATAACCTTTATTATCAATCAAGCTCGGTCCGAGCCTGCTTTACAGTCCAGGGATGACTATTTGGAGAGTTCATATGACAGGGCGTTGTGCACCACTCGGCTTGGAAACTCGGCTTGGAATGCTTCGGCTTCGGCTTGAGGATTCGGGGGCTCGGATTTAAAATAAGACACTCGCACGCAGGATGGGGGACAAGCACCAAGATAGCAGTGATAAGACCTTTGACAAGGGCTCTTCGGTTTAACGGCACAGCTTGGTGCGTCATCCGTGCGGAGTAGCGTTCGTACACCGAGCCCACGCTAAACGGCGATGTGATAAGTGACGATCGAAAGCGTACACTTATACGAAAATTCTAATTTCTCTCAGGCGACCGCCAAAATCTCGATTATCTTGTATGGTTACATCCTACATCTTATTGCGGGTTTAGCTTACCCTTGTGTGCGCAATTGGGCTTTGACTCTGTGTGGCACTGCTTGGTCTATTGTACTCCGTAATCAGTTGGTACTACCATTATTGATGAAGAAAAATCTCTTCATGATTTGCTCTATAGCAGTTTAAGTTAAACGCCATGTAACCATGTTTTACCAGCCTCAGCCTCTCGAGGCTGCTGTAAGGTCTGCAACAGGGTCTGGATCGCATGCTCTGCGGGAATGAAGAAAGACAGAATAGTTGCGCAGGAAATCGACTTTGTTTTAAAATTGATGTTTACAAGAAAAGTTTCATGGCTGAATAGTCAGAGACAGCGACTCATGTGGATAAAGCAGGCAGCAAAGGCCTTGGCCTGCGAAGCTAAGCTCTCTAGGTGTTTAAGTTCAGGTATCTTCTAGCTTGCCATTCCCCAGTAACTGTAGTATGTATTGCTTCTACCATAACCCTTTGCTCCAGGCCAATCTCCCCCACGCAGCAAACTACAGGTAGGAGAGATATTGAGACAGTTACTAGATATGTATTATTTGCAGTTACGACCTACCTATGGCTTCAGTTTTATAGCCACCGCGTAAAGCGTGGCACGTCAAATGACGTTGCGTCTGTCGAGCAAGGACAAAAGTGTGCCGGTCACCCTTACGCTTTATTCTTTGCTTCCGAACCGCACAAAAGCACATTAGCTACTAAGCTTAAATATGTGTCACCTACCGAATTAATATCGCCATTAGTTCTCATTCCCGACCTTAGCACTTCCGGAGCTTCGGCGCCTCGGGCCTTCCGATGCCAAAGTAGATCCCGACCTACGTCCTACTGCGCAAGCGAAGAGATGGGTATAAACTGGTGAATTTCCAGTCTGCTCGTTTGCAGTTTCCCATCTCGAATAACCTGTATAATCACTTATTTTGTGATAACTCTCGGAAAAGCGTATAAAATGGCTGTCCCTCCAGAGCCTCCCTCCAACCAGTCATCCGCCAACATAGCAGACGAAAAAGTCGGCATTCCCAGCTATTTGTACTTCAACCCCTACCAGAAACTCGTACTCTATCGGTAATCTCGCTGACATTCATCACAGGGAGCCGGAGAAGACGTCACGAGTCGACGATACCTCATCCGACACTATCGCCGAGAGGGTAGACCATACAGTCGAACAGAACGTGGAATCGCAGCACGGCCACTACGAGACCAGACAAATAACAACCAGACAGGGCGAAGCTAAAACCTGCAAGATCGTATGCTTCAGCGCCAATGACCCGACCAACCCCAAGAACTGGTCCAAGGCCCGAAAGTGGACCGTCACTCTCACCTTGAGCTGGGTATGCTTCGCTGTTGCGTTTGCCTCGGCCGTCATAACTCCGGGCATCGTTGGTGTTGTTGAGCGCTTCGATACGTCTGATGAAGTCGCTTTGCTGACCATCACTCTCTTCGTGTACGGCTTTGGCATTGGACGTGGGTCAACCGTTCTTACTCCCCTGGTAGACAACTTTATTGACAGCGAGACAGCTCTTGTGTTTAGTCCCTTGTCGGAACTTGATGGGAGACGCATCATTTATCTACTGACGTTTGGCATGGCTGTTATCTTCATAGTCCCGTGCGCCGTGGCTCAGAATATCGAGACGTTGCTGGTGTGTCGGGCCATTGATGGCATCGCTATGAGTGTGCCCGTTGCAAATGTGAGTCTTGTCGAAGATCTGTGTCCCGCTGAATACCTCTAATTTATCACCTTGCTAGATTGGCGGTAGTCTCGCAGATATGTGGCGACCTGAAGAGCGCGGAGTTCCAATGACAGCGTTCAGTGCTGCCCCTTTCCTGGGACCGATCATGGGTATGAAGTAGCGCAGCGCTCATTGCTCCTGTTCGAACTAATCCATTTCTTTCTAGGTCCGATGATTGGCGGCTTCGTGTTCGAGAACAAAGGATGGCGCTGGCTGTACTGGCTGCAACTTATTCTCTGCGGTTTCCTTTTTGTGTGTATGGTCGTCCTTGTCCCCGAAACATATGCCCCTGTCATTCTCGAAAAGAGAGCCAAGAAGCTTCGGAAGCAGACTGGGGACGATAGTTACGTTGCGGAGCACGAACTTGCCCAGCACACGTTTGGGGAAATTGCACAGATCTATCTTGCCCGGCCTCTCAGGCTTCTGGCGACGGAGCCGATTGTCACGCTGTTCGCCATCTATGCAGCAATTCTGTATGGCCTTCTTTACATGTTCTTCGTGGCGTATGTTTATCCCTTCGATCTCTCTGTCTAGCATTGCTGATAAACTCTAGGTATCCGATTGTCTTCGAAGAGGGCAAAGGCTACTCGCCTGGCATCGCAGGGCTCATGTTTATCCCCATCTCTGGAGGCATCGTCGTCGGCCTCGTCGGCGCACCCTTTGTGAACGCACACTACAACAAACTTCGATCGCAGCACACCGGTCATCCACCGCCTGAGCTCCGATTGATTCCTATGATCTGGAGTTGCTGGTTAATCCCAATTGGTGTCTTCATTGTGAGTTTGTACCCACTCCCATCCTACTAACTGATGGATGGAATGCTCGTCTTTATACATGTCCCTTTGTGCTTCAGGTCAGGCTGACGCTCTCTTACTTCTAGTTTGCATGGACCTCTTACGATAACCTGACATGGGTTGGACCATGCCTCGCCGGTCTTCCAATCGGCATCGGATTCGTCTTTCTCTACAATTCATTCAACAACTATATTGTAGATGCATATCAGCACACAGCAGCTTCAGCGCTCGTTGCGAAGACGCTTGTTCGTTCGATTTGGGGTGGATCGACTGTTCTTTTCACTACGCAGATGTATGTCTATAGGCGCTGTGAAGAGTCATCTTCCGACCAGATACTAACTACGCGAATAGGTATCACAATCTCAATCCGAGATGGGCATCATCTTTGCTGGGCTTCCTTGCTTTAGCTTGCTGCTTCATTCCCATCGTCTTTTATAAATACGGTGCCGCCATTCGCAAGCACTCGAAATACGCCTACTCGGGGGAGTAGTCTGCAAGGAAACGCGCAAATGTTCAAGGGTAGGCTGGTTCTTCGACAAGGCCTAAAAGAACAAGCCAGGGCATTAATTGGACTTGGGTCATTAGAATGGACTAGACTACTATTGGCGGGCACGTCACTTGCCCCTACAGGCCAGCCACAGAACCTCAGTGACTGGAAGGTGACACATAACTCAACACATAGAATGTAGAATACTTTATTAGCTAGACGTAATAGATTAGACAGTCGAGAGCCCTTTATGCTCTAGACTCTATTGTATGCTTAGTTGCTGCATGCCAATCTGTTGAGTAAGGAACGCAAAGGGAATTCCTGAGACCTCGGGTGTCAATTCGCGTCGGCTGTTAGATAACCTCCGACGCTCCGGCGCTACAAGACCTGACTGACGTATCAGAGCGTTGATCCTTTCTATCAAATGTGGATCAACGGACCTACCATTTGCACTCGGAAGCTCCGAAACGCGATCAAGCCGAAGCTACCCTTGATTTCTCTCTCAACCGAAGAATCAATCATTTCTCGTCATCAGAGAACTTATCTGTGCCAAGAAGAAATACTGCCGAAAACTGAAAGCCATACGCGTCCAACAATTCTCTTTGATATGGAAATGTCCGGGGAACCGCAGGCTCCACATTCAACACGTGCATGCGCAAGCTGTAAAGCGAAGAAGCTTCGATGCCTCATGAGCAATGGCCCGCCTTGGACTTGTCAAAGGTAAGTGCGACGACACTGCGACGACTTGTTCCATGATACGTGATTCATTTCTAGTACTGACCGTCCTATTCACAAAGGTGCGTAGAGAGAGAATTGGAATGTGTAATCCCTGAATCACGTCCTCGGCGGCGCAGGAAGAAAGGTCAGAAGACCTCGTCTACTCTACCCCGTGACCAATAAGGTCCTTCTCTGACACTTCTCCCCAGTATACGAGTCAAGACTTGAACGACTCGAGCGGGAAGTTGGGAGGGTTATGTCTTTACTCCCTGGTAACGATCGAAGCTCACTTGCGTCTGCCCTTGCTGACTTGCTGATTCGGAGGAACCCCCATCTTTGGGGACTTTCTCTCCGAACTTTGAGCAATCTACTGGCCCCATGATCTACGATATCATCACCGTACAGCAGGCGGACCTTTTGGTTGCTGATTATCGTGACACCTTTGCTGCAAAGTTCCCTTATGTGATTATACCGGAGGGTGTAACGGCACTCGCCCTTATACAAACAAGCCCAATGCTCCTATTGGCTATCCTCGCAGCATCTTCGTGGAGGATGCGAGACAAGCAAGATCATCTCAATCAAGTATTTCTCAAGACACTCGGTACTAAGCTGGTCCTAGAAGGTGACCGAGATATGGACCTACTGAGGGGGTTAATGGTGTACCTTAATTGGTCAGCACGCACTCCTTGTAAATCACTCTACATCTGCATACTGAAGTGCTTCTCTTTAGGATCCACTTGCACACGACACCGAAAACCCAACAAGCCTATCGTCTTGCGTCCATTGCAGCATCAATAGCGGTCGAGTTTGGTATTACTCAGCGGCCTGGAAAGAACAAACACCAGCAGTTGAATGTCGAGACATTTAATGAAAGACCAAAGGGATTGTCGGCAGTTGATACGGAACTTTGGGACCCCGATGCTAGGCGGGCCTACTTAGGCTGCTATCAAATGACTACCTGGTTAGTAGACGAATATTGCCGAGCTCACCCTGCTGACCTAGATACAAAGGTATTCTATAATGACTCGAAAGTCAAGTCCGTTAATCTACAACGATTATCTATACACATGCGCCCAGTCTCTCGCTACCGCTAAAGAAACGCCCTCGGATCTAGACCTTGTCTTCCATCTCGAGGTTGCTCGCGAGGCAGAGAAAGCATATACCTTCTTCAACTACACCGACATCCAGCAGACTCAGTTCATGGGGGAGCAGCAGATACAGGTCTATCTGAATGCGTTCGCCGTCAAAATGCACGACTGGCGACTCCGCTTCCCATCTTCACTTACCCAAGATCGTTAGTAAAACATTGAAAACGTGCTCGGCAGTGATAATCTAGCTAACCACCCATCAGCATGTCAGCGAATCTGGCCCTGGCTTTTAGAAGCGTTCGTCCGGGAGTTGTGCCTGTCGGGGATGACGCGAAGTACCGACTTCTCCATGGCTCGGGTCCGCATTCTTATGGACGCGCTTACAAGCACAAAGGGCTATTTCGATGCATTCTTGGCCATTCCTCAGGAAAGTATTCCAAGTCTACCCTCAACACATTGGGCTCTCTTGGGGTACTCCATCCTCCTCACAGCTTCAATATCTTTGTCGATACAGACCCAAGGATGGACCATTGAATCCGCGCGCTCAATCATAAAACTGGATACATATATCGATGCCATCTCACTTCGAGTGAAAGACCTCTCCCTGGAGATGGGGTCATCGGAGCATCTACGGAACTGGTATGGCGACGCACTCGCGGGCTGGGAAGCGATCAAGATGCGTTATCTCGCCGCATGCCACGAATCACTATCGGAAACAGATTCGTACCAGCAATCAGCTCCCTCACAAGTCTCACATGGCGCAGTGGAGCAGAGTGATGGGCATGGTCCTCAGAGTGGTCTTTTAACACATCTTCAGGGAGAATCTAGTCATAGGGAAATGGCTGAGAATTCTATTAGACCCAGTACCGGACTTGACACATTTGACTTTAGTGCAGATACTGGGCTGTGGATTATACCAGATTTTAATTATTTATAGCCTGAAAGCGGCAGACTATAAGTATCAGTATTATCTTTAGGACATGCTTAATGGGTATTCGCTATTGACCAAAATAATAAGTTTTGTATACAAAGACGTTTTATCTGGTGAATATGAGCTCCTTGTTGTAACCTCAATTGCAAGTAACACATTTATCTCTCCATGTACACATCTCATGGCATGATCAGGCAGCAATATGCACCTTCAAAGTGCAAGACTGTTATGATTGGTCTTACATGCATACAGCTTTCTGCAGGAATCTACATAAAGAGTAGTAAAAGCCCCTCATTTCAGCCTCCGGTCAAATCTTCTCATCATCTTTTCAACAGAATGTCGCGCCATAATTCATCCATCGTCTATCCCAGTGTCCCTCCAGCTGAAGAAGACCCGAGGGCTCGTATCAATGTCATGATTGACATCTTCAACGCTGGGCTTTCATCTCGCGCGGGCGGCAAGCTTGATAGAGGCTTGTATCATGAGATCTTCACGGCATACAAGCTCGTCCAGGATTATAAGATCATGCATGGCAACCAGATCTCGAGACCTCTCACTGATGCGGAGAAACGAGAGGGTCTGAATGGGAGCTCGCAAATGATCACTGTTCCCTTGCAGGGTAATAAGTACCGAGAGCTGGACATGGTCTACGACGAAGACGGAACTACCTTCATCGTTGAGGCCAAAAACACTAAGACTGTTGATCACAGTCAGCTCCAGCCAAACATCCAACTGGCGCAGCAAATCAAAGGAGCCTTGGTGTACGCGATCGGCGAGAAGGATGGTCAGGAGCGAGCTCTCAATGAAGCTTACAAAAAGCTCAAAGATCAACACCAGTCGAGCAGTACTGGGACCTTCCCTCATCTCCATGTCTTACGAATTCCAGACAAAGTCTCGAACATCATGTCGGACAACAAGCCGATGAGTCTACTCTCGCTTTCATCTACGTTTCAGGTTTCTCAGTTCAACATTGCCGAGGTCACAGGGGAGTTCGATCACGAAGAACGCGGGTTTTCGCTGTTTAGATAAACTGGGGCATGATTTAGCAGCCCGCGTGTTATTCGAAGTTTGAAATGTGAGGGATAATAAGAAATACAATCATAAATTTCACCATCGTCGTCTAGATGCATACGGAAGTTCAATTATGGGAGAGGAGAACTACTCCCATGACGCTTCTTTGCCTTCTTTGGAAGCAAGTTCCACCCTGATCTCAGAGAACGACCAACTGCTTCACCAAGCTCTCTTAACTTGCTCAACAGTGTATAGGCGCTGTTTCGTTGTCCCACGAACCACGCGACGCCTATCACCAAAGCGTAGGTAAGGATAGGCATGATAATGAAGCTGTTACGAAAGGCTGCAGGCACTGGAACAATATCAGTGCCCTCTGCCGGGTTGTTCAAGAACGGCAACGCCCAGAAAGTCTTCTTTGTTAGCTGTTATACTTGGGGCCAGGGGAGATGTCGCTTACCGCTAAGAAGCTGATTGGTGTGAAAAGAACCGTCACCACGGTAAAGACATAGATTGCCTGGTTTAGCGCCATAGCTTTGGTTGATTCTCGAAGAGACGTGGCGTTGAATGGCTATGTGAAGGGGATTAGCTGGTAGCTCAAGTGTATCGCTTGATTTGAACCTACACCATCCCGAAGACTGTTGATCTCCTCTTTTTTATCCCGAACCCGATATTGGACAGTGTTGGCATGAATTTCCACGAATTCCATCGCTATATCTAAAAACCCCCTCGAATCTACCATTATTGGGCTTTTCGACATGTCTTGGAAAGTTGAGCGAGCCTCATCCAACCACTCGTCAATGATCCTGAGTATTTGAAGGGCAACAAAATAGTCCCTGGAGCGGTTAAAAGAACTATCAAACATAAGTTCCTCCACTCTTTTCACGTTGTCCAAATCTCCTAGCTGTCAAGCGTATCAGAAGGGCTTTTGCGTTTCAGTAGCAGGGGGCATCATCCGACTCACCTTGATATAGACAAGCTCATCTATAATATCGAGTGTCTTCCCCCAAGCGTCCATACATAGTTTAAAAATCCTGCAGACTTCGTGAAGATAGTGCGCAATCGGCAGTGCATCACTAGCTTCAATCCTGTAATCATAACGGTCCAATAGCTTTCCAAAGTCAAATCCCGCATCGGGTTTGTATGTATTTGGACTTGTGTCTTCATCTGTAAAGGCAAATATGCTGAAGATTTCCGGTGCCTCTTTCAGTCTTCGGAAGGTTATTCTGACTCGTTTTTCCTGTAGGCAGGTCTTTTTTAATTCTTGTTGAACTGTCACAGTTTGTCTCTTGCTAGTCCGGTAGATTGTGCCAAGATCTTTGCTTTCGAGCGTTGGGTTAAAGTAGCGGATTTGCCAATGCATAATATCTTGTGAATCATGGTCGGTTGGCGTGCCGCACTTGCTGGCAAAGTCCGTCGAAAGGATTGGTTCTGAGTGCCAGACATCCAACAAAGCAGCAATACCGCGAGGTATACTGAAGGGTTCCTCGGAGCCTAAAGCACAGGTAAGAAGGGGTTTGGAGAAGTATTGGGTTCCCTTCCGGAACGTATTAGATGCACAGTAACTGATCAAGGTTAGCTAGCATGAACTGCATAGAAAGCAACCCGGCTACCACGTAAACCTGTCTTTACTTACACAATTTTCCCTCTTATCCTAATGCTCATAGGACTATATTGATTATCAGGCTCGACAGGTATGTCCTAGATTAATTAGTGCTTATGAATTGATGACAAATGGCGAACGCACAACATGATGTCGGTCTCTGGCTTCGTCGCACCAGTCACGCCAGTATCTCTCATATCTATCATCTCCCATCTGCACAACTAGTGAGCCAGGATTATCATTACTGACTCTGCGGCCGTTGGTCTCGATTATGTATCCATTGACCCCTTTCAGGTCCGGATTCGGATTCAGGTCGTTTCCAGCGGCGGCATCATCGTTCCAACCAGGTGTTCCCATTGTTTAGGTATTTGCTCTCGTCTCAAGCCCAATATCCGCTATGTGCTTTTTTGTTCAGTGACCGTTTTGGGATGTTTGTGACATCGATTGTCCTCAGCTTCGTATCCGTACGAGCAAGTGAGCTTGAATGGCCACGGGTAAGGTAGGACTTCTCGAGTTATTTCCAAGCAGCCTTGAAAAGATGATCTGATCCACCTACAGAATTGCAATACGCGTTCGGAGGGGGGTTTTTCTCTTTATATGGGGGCGTTCTAAGCGCCAATGGAACAATCCGGCCCTCAGCTCATGCATGTTCCAAGGTAATTCAACCAATCACTTCAAATCAGGTGGGCTACCTGACATGAGCCTGGCTTGGCCTCAATTATAACTGGTACAACGCATCAGTTAGCTGCTTCTGAACGTGGCATGTCGCTTCTATTCCAGTACTGGCTCTAAAGGTTCTACAGACCCGTGCTTGTAATTCCGGGGGTCTCAAGCAAGTGATAAAATTAATTAAAATGGCATGGAAAGTTCCTATCAATTTCCTAAAGATATTATTCGGACAGTTATATCTGCAGCTCCTGCAACGCCCCAACCAACACCTTAGTAATATTCCTCGACATCTCCGATTTCTTCCCCAGACACCAAAGCGCTCTAATACAATACTCCGCCCTCCTCAAACTATCCTGAAAATCTTCACTATCATCATGCCCCAACAAATCCCCCTCATGCTGCTGGAAATCATCCGCCATGTCCAAATGAAACAAACACGCTTTCGTAAATCCCCTAATAAGAATAACAGTCCAAGGTTCCGTCAACAACGGCCCTTCACTAACTGCAAAATGGTAATCTGGAAGTTGCGCGGCATTTATACCAGCTTCTTGGAATAGGCGCGGTGTAGTTACTTGTGCGAGGTCGGCGAGTTCAATTGCGCTGGCTTTGCGGATTCGTGCTGCGACGTTGCCGCTAAGTCGCTTTTGACGGGCTTGGTCAAGGCCGTAGTTGTTCTTGTCGATGAATTCGAGGACGTCTGCGAGCATAAGGGCGCCGAGATGCCATGGGACTGCGATGCAGAAGAACCAACTTCTGATCCGTGGTGGAACTGTGTCGTAATGTCTGATGAGATCTCGGAAGAAGGCACCGTGCGTCATGTTCCAGTACCGGTATAGGAGGGTGGTTTGTTGGATGATCTCTTCAATAGCTTGAGGACACTCTCGTTTTCGCAAAGCATTCTGAAGGTATGACAAGTGTCGATAGATCAGGATCTTGACAGGTGCTGACTTGGCAACCATTTGCATAGCATCGTCATATGAGCATGGCCACCTTGTTCCGACTGTTGGCTTGGCTGCATCATCTTGGATGAAGAGTTCCATTTCCCATCGCTGACTTCCTCTTCTGCTCTTCTGAGCCGCTCGCATACTGTCTGCGAGTATTTGCTCTGCATCTTCATGTTGACAGTCTTCATCGGCCAACGCAACTGGCCGTTCATTCATTGATGAAGAGACTGTATCAAACATGACAGCGAGCCAGTAAAGTAATCCAATGGTCCGTCTGTTCTCCTCGGTTAATCGCCGAGGAGAATATTTCTTGCTAGTCTCTGTGAAGCCAGATTCACTAGCTTCAAACCTGAACTTGAGTGCGTGAATCTTCCTCGTGGCTCGCTCCAAGTAAATATGAGGACCTTCTTGCGACATGATCTCGATAATCTCCGGCATCGCATTCTCTTTGATGCCTTTACCACTTTTTCCTTTTTTGGATCCAAAGGACTTTTGTTGGTACTCGTCACTGGCCCAAGGCTTTTGTGTTAGACCAAAGATGAGTTCAGCGTATATGACACGATATGACTCGACATCAACGACGTCCTGAAGTGCCCTCTTTGCTTGCTCCCATACTGACTGCTGTAAACTTTCCTCAAACTCTTGATTCAGAGCGTCAGCTAGGTCATCCGCTTCAGTGGTAAAGTCATTCCCCCCCATGGAGAACCGTTCTTGTCGACGGTTGCCTTGCGCCCATTGGGTTGTGAAAGCCATTATGACTAGGTCTAGTACCCGAGATGCTGCTTGACTTTCGGACCTTGTCAGGTCGATCAACCTCGCCGACTGAGCGGCTCGATCTAGTTCCACAACGCGACGATACATCCTATTCGACCAAGCGGCGCCCCATTCTGGCGGAAGATTCGGTTTCTGTCTGGAAGGTCCTGGAGTTGCACCTAGCTTGGGTTCTGGTGGTGGACTAGTGCGAGCGACAACTTGCAACTTGTAAGGGCAGTTTTCTTCAGCTAGCCAGCAAGCAAGGTTGTTCTCCAGGACATCATGATATATCTGAAGGAGACTTTCGGTGATCATGTATCGGTTTGAGGTTTGCATGATAAGAGAGTCGCTGGTAAATGGCGATGGTGAGAAGTTGGGATAGCCAGACCAGTCATTCGAAGGCAAACGGGCTCTACGCTTCACCTGAATAGCCTTTTGTCCATAGGCCGGAGTTTCCGTGGATGATAATGTCTCGAGAGGCGCAGAGTTGATGTCTGAGAAGTCCAAGTCCCAGAGATTGTTGATGTCAAAGTCTTGTGAGCCTGAATAAGATGTCGCGTTGTCCAGGGCGTCGGTTGCTGCATGTGAAGTTTGCTTTGTGAGTTCAGGCAGCGATTCATCAATACCATCCTGCGCTACTGCATGCGAAGCACTGTCTGGACTAGAGAAGCTCATTGCAAGGCTTTGAGCGTCGAGGGTTGTATCCATGGAGAGAAAGGAAGGGATATCTGTGTTGGTGAAGGGGTTGTTCCAGGATAGACCTTGCCCTGGTGTAGAGTCCTGAATCATTTGCAGCATGTTCGCTGCGGTGATGTCGCAATACTTTGCGGTGAGTGAAGGAGCAGTAGTGGTAGCGGGAGACTCGTTACGCTTCCTCTTGCTCTGAGAACTATCAGAGGTACTGGTGATGCTTGACCCGGTCTCACTAACTCGAGACCTTGAACGAGTCTTTCCCCACTGTGGGTTCAGACTGCAAACTTTCTTGGTTCTGATACAGTACGAGCAGAACTTGAGTCCAGGTTCCGATCCTCCATCTAACAAAGCGACATGGTCAATGCCTGGTGGGTAGTATGCATGGCTAGAACTTACAGATTTGCGACCCAGAAGTGGGCGACGTTGCATCAGGCGAAACTGCCGGCTTCTCATTGCGAATATACCCATCGCACGCCTTCTTACTCTTCCTGCAATGCTCACAAGAGTGATTTTGCCTCCTAACTTTCGGCTCCGACATGCTGCACCAGAGACCAGACGTTTCCTACCAGGATAATAAAAGAGGGTCTAACAAGGCTAGAGTTCCAGCAGCTTGGGTGAATATAGTGCGAGAAGAGAGTCAGTGGGGAAAAGAATAGAGGAAAGAAACAAGATGAGAGAAACTGGTCCATAGATATTCAGGGCCGTTCCACCGACCTGCCCTCTTTCCCCGCACGGCGCTAGCCCGTTTACGAGTCAACGACATCGTTAGTGGAAGCCTCTGCAATTGGTGTGAGTGTTATTGGTTAGTTGGGAGGTTTAGTGGATTGGATGTTCCCCAGTCCTTGCGGGGAATGGGATGGGGGTGGATCACGCAAACAAACTGTCGGAACTGATACCGCTTGTCCGTGGACAGCATATGAGAATGATGGTGACTATACAGTGCAACTATTATCTATTCAACAAGAGGAGAATCGTAGCATTGAACTCAATTCTGATCCTCGAGGGTTGACTTGCATTACTACGCTGGCTCGAATGGTGAGACGGTCATGTAACATCTGGTAAACCTTGTCGAGTATTTACGGTATCAATTAAATGAGAAGCAAGCTTTATCCTTGGCCACTATTTACTGCCTGATGTATTCCAGCAGTTGTGTTTTATACGCTTTAAACTAATGCTAATACCTCTTTCCAATTTTGACCTTTCCATTCTTGCTCAGGATTCAGCATGCTACAAGTAAACATAATCCAGCCAGAGAGCCACCGCGTAACCACCGTGCTATCTATAAACCAACAGACCCCTAGACCTTCTCCTCCTCGGAGTGGTTGTCCTTCTTGACCTTGGTGGCTCCAGGGATTCTGGAAGAGAGATCACCAAGAGGGAGAGTATACGGGAAGTCGACCGACAGGAGGATGTGGCTCAAAAAGATGTACCAGCCCAACAGCGATACCACGAAAAGGATCGCAGCACCAGCGTGTTGATATGTGAGTGATTTAGCAGTCTCACCAGTGGCAGCAGCGAAGAACGAGGCGGACAGGCAGCCGACTGTAGTGAAAGATTGTCAGCCATAGACGCATAACAGGAGTGTCGGGGAGCTTACAGCAAGGAACCAAGATAACCAGGATAGTAAACAACACTACATTTGTGCGGATACTAGCGACGGCGAAGACGGCACAGAGAATGCCCATTGAGATTAGGAAGAACGAGAATGTCGCGTAGAACTCGCCCTCCTTCAAACCGTCCGCAACAACGCCAGTTTTGGAGTAGAGACCGTAAGCGTTATAGTCTGGGACAATGGTTGAACCAAAAGTGAACCAGAAACCGCCGAAGAGACCGAACAGGACCGAAGGGAAGGTGTTTCCTAGAATCTTTTGCTTGTTAGAAGACTGTTTTGTAGAAATCGCTCGAGGGATGAGGGGACTGTACCCATTCGCCAATGCTGCCGAGAAGCATGAGAAGACCGCCGAACCAGAAGTACGCGCCGCTATGAATTGATTAGATCAAGGATGAGTTAATAAGGACAGTAATACTTACACGTTTGCACCAGCTCCAAAGCCTCCTGAACCTCGCCATCCAAGCAACGCCATAGAAGCTGGAGTCGTGCAGAGCAAGAATCCTCCCAGCGCTAATCATCGCGTCAGTAAAACACAAATCGCCAAGTATAATCGCATCTTACCCAAAGGCGTCGGATTTCCCAGCTTCTGCCGCAAATCCCCCTTGACTCGACTATGAGGCGCCAAGTACAGCTGCTCAAACATCTCAGGAGACATCGAGATACTCCCCGTGGTATGGGCCCTCTCCAGATGATCAGCGCCCTGCTCGGTGGTGTACGTCTTGATAGGTGAGGTAGACATGTTGATCGGTGGTAAAATACTGGAGAAATGTGTGGGTAAAAACAGTGGAGTGAAGAGAGGAAGAGAGAAGATGGCACGACCCAGAATATGTACTCCAGAGGATTGTCTCCACGATGGCAATCTGGGGAAGCTGGGGTTGGAGATTAGGGCGAAGCTCCCTTGCCCCGGGGATCATGTACCTGAGACCAAGACGTGTACCTGTTATGATTCACGTTCCCGGACATAAGACATGTACATTACAGAGTAAAAAGTACTTACCGGTAGTCGGTTCCCGTGTCAAGCTTCGACAGGAGGCTCTGTCACGGAAGCCACGGAAAAGCCACGTTCTGAATCAAGTCTAGACGAGGGGACTTGTGTGAAGCTCAACAGTTTCGGCACCGGGGTGTGTCAGGGTGCGCTATGCCCACTGTAGCGAACTGCATGATCGGCTGCGGTGCTGGTCCCTGCCTGCGTGGTAGTATTGGGTAGAGATCTAATTCTAGACGCGCCGGATTTGATCCCCGTGGGGGGAGATGCAACCCCACGGGGAAAGTTTGTTGTTTACGCAGAGGCTTGGGCTTGAGTTAACGCTGGGAGAAAACCACATGGCGGTATGGAAGGGGAGGAGTTAGGTTTGTGTCAGTGCAGTGCATATGCCGTGTGAAATGCTACGTGGTATGGGCATGGATGCTGTGATACGAAATTGCCCTCCTCGTCGTCTTCTTCCTACATCTCACACTTATCCCAATCTATATCGTTGGCATCTTTTCAGCGTCTCTAGGTCAGTATCCTGCCTGTTGGTTTTGTTACTGATCTACACATTAAGGTTTCTAGCTCAAAGAATATCCCATGGAGCAAGAAATTCGAAGTAAAGTCGGAGCCGACTCCGTGAATTCAGGGACTAGCTTGATAGGGCAAGGCTCGTGCAGATCAGCATGGTGGGCAGGGTTCATGAGTCGGCTCCGCACTACAGCTGCCGACTGAGAAAACGTGCGGGGTAGAATGCGTGGACGACAAGACAGGACAAGTCTGGGGAAATACGGATACGGTCTTCTCCACTTACTGTCAACAATCGTTATTCACTGACCGTTGAAGCTTCTGGAAATGAAAGGCCGACGGCGTCACGGTATATTTGACATCGAGATCGTCAGGTTGGATGACGAGATTGCGGTTCGGGATAATGGAGATCGGGCATCACTGTCAAAAGTACCAACTGATGCAAGATTGTCGGGACATCAAATTAATCTATCGATCGGATGGCATTATACGTTGCTGATCCGCAGTGTATCACAAGGCAATTCGAGTCGGAGACATCACTGTTGGGAGAATCCGTGGATGTATTGTGTCGGCAGCGAGGATGATCAAGCGAGCAACTAACCTCCCTGATGGACCAGGTTCTCGGGACTGTAGCATCACGAGCGATAGTCGTCTTCTTATTGTGTTATTTCTTTCGAATGGTAATCACAGTCCCTTCTTCCGATGCAGGCTGGATGAGTTCGTAGTCATCCGACATCATAACACTTACCCTAGGCTGAATGAGTTGGTCTCCAAAGGGTTCCGAATTGTAGCATGTTCTCCCTCTTTGTTGTTGATGGCTCAATGGATAGAGTCTTTGTTGCCCGTCCTGGCTGAGTTCTCCCTCTTGAGTAACTAGTAAAAGTAAGAAGGAGGTGTATTACTGTCTCGGGTCACAGTACAACCCTTCTTGATGGCCAAGACCAAGCTTCATATTTGATAAGCAATATGTAAGCATCTATTACCTGTCTTAAACTCTCACAAATCTATGCTTTTGCTAAAGAGTCATAGTACAAATCAATCTGCGTCTTTGGCACATTCTTCCCTTTATGCTCAAGTATCGTTTTGACGGCCTTGACAAGAGTTTGTTCCAAACTGGTGAACCCCTCCAACTTCCCCATCTTCTTCAAAACATCAGCACTCCTCTTATTATCCACCTCTCCTGCATCCACCGCTGACTCTTTGACATCCTGCAGCAAAACCTTGCCCGGAAACCGTCGATGAAGTATCTCGAGAATCACAGTCCAAGAATATCTCCCACCGAAAGCAAGAAGTCGCTCGTTGTTAACATCGTCGAGTGTCAATGCCGCCAAGTGCAGCAGTGCTGTATCCTCGACATCGACGTACCACTGCGATGGTAGAATAGACGGCGCATCGGGATATCCTTTCACCACAGCGTCGATGACGGCGGCTGAGCTGCGGTAGCTCATATTCTCGGGGGATATGGCGATACCGAAGTTCACATTGGGGACAACCGTGTTGAAAGAAAACGATGGCTTATGCTCGCGCACCCACGCAAACGCGGCTTGTTCGCCACGGGCTTTGGCAGCTCCATACAGGATAATGCCATGCCATCTCGGGTTCCCTTGACCATCCCACGGCTCTGACGTCTGGTCAATTGCCTCGGTGTTCCATGTCGTTGCATCGATCTTGTACGGTTCGCCGGTCGTTGGAAGCGCGCACGCAGCTAGTGATGAGGTGATAACAACACTCTTGACGCTGGGGACTTTTACCGCAGATTCAAGAAGGGACAGGTTCGAATTAATGGTATCGTCTATGACTCCTTGGTTCTGCGGGTTCATGTCCATGTTCATAGCCATATGGGCCACGCCATCTACACCTTGGAGTGCCTTGTCGAAGGCACCGGGTATCGAGATGTCAGGAACCTCGACGAGCTCGAAATTGGATCCGAAGAATGTCTTCATCCAGACATTTGCTGTGATGGAGCGAACGGTACCGCGGACGCGATAGCCACGCTGGAGAAAGACTTGCACAGCGACGCTAGCTATGTAGCCATTAGCGCCTGTTATGAGGATCAGACCTCCAGGTGGGACAGAAGACATCGCGGGAGATGTTGCTGCTGCGTAAAAGCGGGTGATGGTGACTCAAAGTTGATGATAACATGTTGAACAACCATATAGCAGAGGGAATCTTATATAGAGATGTAATCATTCTTCCAAGAAGCATAGGAATAGCCTCATCAAATAGCCCGAGTCTTACATGCACTAACATTCCATCGTTATCTCGCATCCCCAAACAAGTCTAGCCCCCTTCGCATTCTCAATTAGGAAAACGAGTCTCCACTCTGACTCCCTCGTCTAATGAGAAGCAGTAAAGTCAAGCCCCCCTTCACAGACTCTTCCTCTCTCTCGTTCTCCCAAAACATATCGCACAATGACATCCCCGCGCTTTTCCAATACCATCCTCGTTCCAGGAACGAGCGGCCAATCCCCCTCAATACAGACATTCGGGGCGTTGGACCAGCCAAGGAAGAAGCGACCCCATCGGAAGAGTCGGAAGGGTTGCGATGCCTGCAAGCGCAGGAAAGTAAAGGTATGACTACCCTTGGCATTTTGTGGTAGGGTTGAGTTAACGGCGTGTAGTGTGATGAGAAAGTACCGTGTGCGAATTGTTTACACCGGAATGAGCAGTGCTTTCAACCGCGTTATATCTCTGTTGCTATTCCTGTCGTGGCTAAGACGATCGACCCGGTTCCGTGGATCAATCTCATGCATCTGGAGCTGTTTCATCACTGGGATAAAGAGACCCGGCCGACCCTTGCATTTCCGCAGATCTGGCCTATCGTCATGCAGCAAGCCTTCCATGTAAGTCTACAAGCCGAGAATGATCATACATTCACTAACTTACAATAGGAAGATTTCGTCATGTCGGCCATCCTCTGTACTTCAGCAATGCAATTGTCTTCCCTCTGTCCCCACGAGAGTAGATACAAAGATGCATCAGAGCATCTGATGGCCAAAGCCGTCCAATTGTTTCGCAAAAATTTGTCCCGCCCACTCAATAAGCAGAACTGCGAGGCTCTCATGGGAACAGCCCTCCTCGTCAACTACGTCTCATGGTTCGACCTCGACTTCCTCCACGGCCAGACCAAACTGGACCTTTCTAAAGATCAATTATTCTTCCTGACCCCCGGAATCATCGAACTCTGGTTTCGATCAATGCCCATCTTCATTGACCAGGGAAGTATCTTCGCCGACGTCGCGCGGCATTCTCCGAGGTTTCATATCGAACAAGCTCTTGTTTCTTGGGGACATGATCCAGAGCGTTTTGTTAGCTTGTTTATGGAGATCTGGGATGATCCTCGATATCAAGGGGATACTTTCCCCGCGACGAGTGATGAGCCGACATCGTGCGCATGGCGACTTCTTCTTGGGATGGAGAATCAGATACCGCATCCTTCGCCCAAGTCTCCTCCAGCAGAAGAACCGTGTGAGGAGGATACACATAACCAGTCACTCACACATCTCAAAGAAGTTATCACCGATGTCACTGATAAGTTCACTTCCCCCAATCACCCCGCTGCTTCCATGGTTCTATCCTCCCAATCCGACCGCGCAGTCTTCGAAACCCTCATCCAGCGTGTATCGCCTCTTCTATGCTGCGCATCACTCGCTCGCGACCTGATACCCTTTGACATGACTTCTATAAGCAACGACATCGAGGAGCTGTTCTTTGGAGTTCCGGTTCTTTGTTCTGGGCCGATTGCACGGTGGATTTGTGACGGAGATTCAAGGATTCTCTTGTTGCTCTGTCATTTTTACCGTGCTGCGCAAATTCTCCTGTCGAAGACGAGAAATTGGTGGGGGTATACGAGAAGTTGTGTTATGGAGCGTTTAATGATGAATGAACTGAGGTCAAGAGGGCTTCATGTCGACTTTTATTTTTGATGGTGGATCCAAAAGAGGCTGATTTGAGGTACTTATCACACTGGGAAAGAAGGGAAGAGAAAGGTTGAAGTAGCTTGAAGTTTCACTATAGACCTCTCGGCTGGAGTTAGAGATATGTGTCGCTATCGTTGTAGACAGGTTCTCGTACAGTTGAAAGCTGAACACCAAAGACCCCCAAGTGCCGATAATCCAACCAATGATGGTTCCCTGTAACACTGAATCCATATCAGATCAACTTGAGAATCCAGAGCTGGTCAGTTCGAAGATCGTTCAGAGATCCGTGCGATCCAACGATACGAGTACTTGGAAGATACCTTCGTCAGCCAACCTTTCTACTTGTTCGAACGAAGGACTACTCACCCGTACTGAGCGCTGCCGCCTTGGAGGGTAACAAAGGTTCCAGCCGGGATGTTCTCAATCCTATAACTTTCGTTAGTACATCAAGACTCTCTTGTTAGGCTGACATACTTCACGATAGTCCCATGAGCAGGGAAGTATCCAACCGGCCGAATGCACCAAAGCTGATGCCCGCCGAAACCGCTGTACTGCCAACCAACAATCTGAGTACCGTCAGAAGTACCTCCATTGTACAGATCCATGGCACCTATTAAAGATTCAGTATCACATCCTCCCAGAAGGTCAGTAGAGGTACTTACGCCCAGAAGCCCTGATGTTCTGAAGTCTAAACTGGGGCTGATCATCCGGACCGTGTTGGTACTTGACGCACTTCCACTGCTGGTTCTCGTTCAAATGGGCTTGCCATCCGATGCAGGGAGTGCCGTCGGGCGGGTTGGTGAAGCCTAGTCTCGTATTAGAGGGAGAATCATAGTGTGATGAAGGGCGTACCATCTTTGAGATCGATAGCGGTGCCGGTTGCGAAGTTGACGAAGGCGACGGTCTTGCCTTCGAGGTCATGAGCGTTGATCATAGACATGTTGATGGTTCTTTTGGTGATTGATGGAAGTAGTGTATTGTTGGTGTGATGAGTTGCGTTCGCTAGTACACAGGAGAGGCGCAACAGACGGCATTTATACTATTACCCAGTGGTTTCAGATGATATAGGAGCATCTTCATGATTCAGCTGAACAACGTTGATCATTCCTTCCCTAGTACTTCAGCTATCCATTTGCAAAACTGGTGAAAACTCGGTGAAGCTTGAGCGCTATAGCCCTGTCGAATGAGAGACTTGATCCGCTGGTTGCAACAAAACTGAGGCCTTCCAATATCTGCAACTAGGAACAGTACGTCGGCAATGCAAGTGCCACTCTCATAGAATTGGTCAACAGAATATGCTCAGCTCACAGCTGTGCAGCCCTATTCCTAAAGCACACTCATGGTAGTATCAACGCTCGGACACTGACGAAATCTCACTGCATGACGGCACGGCTCAGCTAGCCACAATTACATAGACCCCGCTCAACATCACTTGCACGATCCAACAGTTACGGTACATTCTATTACGTATAGAAATGCCAGCAGCTCCATATTGCTTTTCGTAGCATATCGCTCTAAGTCACATTCCCCAGTCTCAGCTTACGCAACAACGCCACGTCGAACAATAATACTGATGAGATAATCGTAACTCTCCCTTGAACACATCCCCTATCTTCGATGACTAGTCTACCCCTCCCAAAGAAACTCCTGCTTGATACCCGGTATTAAAGGCCTCAGCGCCATACCATAATCCCCTCCATTCGGTGTCCTCATGAGCGTATGAATGTGAAACTTGGCAGGTTCCTCATTATTCAAGAAAACACCCGAATGGTGATCAAACTCAAATATCACAACTGGACTCTGGATCCGATAGTAAAACGGATCATTGTCACCATACCCTCCGATCCAGCACCAGTATGTCTCATGGAACCACTTCTTCAACAATTCCACACGCAGCTTTCTGGCTTTGTCGGGTAAGTAAAGGAAGAATTCATTTGCGATGCCGAGGATGTAATCCTGCTGCTCAGTTGACATGTCCGAAACAAGAATTCCTTCGTATGGAACGATTCGGTTATCGCGGTAAGCACCGCAGAGATGGCGTTGATCATCATGGTTCCATCGTCCATGAGGCATAGCAGGATCTTTCATAAGTTTATACACTTGCGATGCCTTTTGCTTCTCTGGTGAAAGACTCTGCATGAGACGCAATCCAAGACTCTCCTCTCTGTCCAAGATCCGTGTACCCTTGTAAGGGCCATCGTCGATGAGATTAGGCTCCGCGCCCGTGAACCACGGCGACACCACAATCTGAGTCTTGTACAAAAAGATATTCAGACACAGATGATGTCCGTAGAATGAATACCCCCAAGGCCGAGTTGTCGATGGTTCACCGAAAAGAACAAAATTGTAGGAGAACTCGTTCATGATGGCGGGTGTCTCAACAAGTTCGCCTAGGAAATGGTTGACGCGCATGGCACCGAGGGCTTTTTGGTAACCTTCTGGCGAGAGCGTGAGTGCCAGAACTTTAAGTGTTTTTGACCTTAGGTCGTTTGAGAGTTCATCGAGACGGATGCCTTTGTCGCTGAGGAGAAACTCGGGGTTTGACCATGAGCGCCATTCAGGACTGTCGATGTGATAGCATGTTTTGAGCTTCTGGTCCTGGCTGAGGTTGGCGCAGAGGTTATTCGCGGCCTCGACGATGGTGTCGATGGGTATACCGTCATCTTGCAGCTCAAACAGGCCGTTCCTCACGACGCCTACATTTCGTTAGTCGATATCCATGACAATTCCATCAGCTCAGGAAATACTGTACCATCATTTGTGATGCCCTTGTAAGGCTCTTGAAACAAGTCACGCCAGTGCAAGTACAGTCCATGAAGCCAAGGCGGTTGACCCTCTCTCGTAAAAATCTCAGCATACTCATAGGAATCCTGCTTCTTCATATTCTGAAAGCGCGGCTGGTTTAGGTCGGGAAGATACTGGCGAAAAGCCCCATCAGAGCCCGATTGAGAAGTCATGATTGATGGTTGCTCACGTATCTCACTGTGTACAAAGCTGGAGGATGAATGTCTAGGTCAATTTGTAACAACGCGATTCCCTTAAAATCCAACGGATGTATCATACGTTTCTGGCTTTTGATATCCGTCTTTCTTACGACGACTAGTGGTTGTTGATTGGTGTGCGGCTTTTCCGTTGCATCACCAAATGCGGGGTTGGAGTGGGTGAGCGGGATATCCGGGGTCCGATACAGGAGGGGAGTTCGGCAGATAATAGCGGAGTTGGTCAGCGGCTTCGTTCGTCAGAGTAAATAATATTGCGAGTACAAAGTGATACCAAAAAGTGCACATCGAGTTGAGGATCAAGAGATAGTAGAGTATTCACGATGGCCTCTTCTGCATTCAAGCGTAAGTGGATCCTCACCAACTGCCAGGGCGGGCAGTTCTGTGCTAACGATGCCACAGGCCTTGTGCGCTTCGTTCCTAAATCAGCGCCCTCAAGCATCTTGATCGGAGAGCCTGTGCAAGCTTCTCTTGATGTGGGCTTGGCATCTCGCGAAGGTAAAGATATTGCTGTCAATGTCTTTTCAGGACGGTCTGTCTTGTCGCCTGGTTCTCGAACAGACCGCACGGAATCTGTTGAACGACTCTTGTCGCCCTTGGCGCAGGAGGAGGTTGGCACTATCCGATGTATCGGATTGAACGTAAGTACATTCATTCAATGTTGTGAGTGAGAGTGGTGACTGATTGTCTGTAGTACGTTCAGCATGCGAAGGAGGTCAAGATGGACATCCCTACAATTCCTACGCTGTTCCTGTAAGTCTGTCACCAGCTCATCACATCCACTATACTGATCTATCTTGCAGTAAGCCCAACACATCACTTGGCGATCCCTGGCCAGCTCCCACTCTCCTCCCCAGAATCACTCAAAACGACGGAAGTGGTGACTTCGAGTCTGAACTGGCTGTCGTGATTGGCAAAGCAGCCAAGAATGTGTCTGAGGAGGATGCCATGGACTACGTACTTGGCTTCACGGCAGCCAATGATGTCTCAAGCCGAGTCTCTCAACTAAACCAGTCGCAGTGGTGTTTCTCCAAGGGCTTTGATGGAGCTTGCCCTATCGGTAATGCCTGGTGCCTGGACGTGGCGATAAAAGGCTAATCAGCGATAGGGCCAACTTTGGTGTCGACCTCGGAGATTCCAGATCCTTCCAAGCTTCACATCCGGGGTCTGAAGAACGGCAAGGTCATGCAAGATTGCTCACTGGAGTATGTTCCACCATTTCCACCTCTTCCAAGAGCTTATTACCTAACATTAGCCAGCGATCTTATCTTCAGTGTTCCCAAACTGGTCAGCTTCCTATCACAAGGAACAACCCTTCCTGCAGGCACCGTCATCATCACTGGTACACCAGCTGGCGTAGGCATGGGTAGAAACCCCAAGGAGACTCTTTCCCATGGCGATGAGTTCAGAGTTGAGATCCTGCCACATATCGGGACATTGGTCAACACCTTTGAGAACGAGTAGCTAGACAATGTATGATAGATACTTATAAAAATACAAATCTTATATGTTATCCAAAATTTGCAAAAAAAGATGAGTGGTGTAGTAGGCTTTTTTGTTGTTTTTTGTGTCTTGTGGTTTCGCGCTTTCTCGTTCTCTCTCGCCCCCTTTCCTTTCCCATTTTCCTTTTTTTCTCTTTTTTTCTTTTTTTCTTTCTTTTGATACTGTTATCACTGTTCTTTCTGATTACTGTTATCTCTATTCATTCTATAGTGAATGTATCGTTGTATTGCGGGAAAGATATCACAGTTATCCTGTTCTTTCCCGCAGTGGTCGTCTGTCGTGGTCGGGAATTGTAGCGATGGACTCTCGCTTTTTGAGTTCGGGAACTCGAGGCTCGTGGTTTGTTGCTCGTGCCTACTACACCACTCGTGATTTGATTGTACTGGTAATACAGAGTTTTTGGTACATAAGGGTCTGTTTCGTGCTCGGTGTTAGGCATCTGTGAGGTGGACACGTGCCTGGGGATATTGCCAAAGTTTGTTTGAGATGGATGAGTCAGTTCAGCTACTCGAGGGCACGCGACCAGCCAGCTCTGTCGGCGAGCCCTTAGGCTACAGAGCGGCTCTGCTACGAAGGTCAAAAATGGGACACAATGTTCATAGAGACACCAGCACACAACGGGTGTCAGAGGATCCATCGCCATTCCTTGGACCATTTCTGCATTGCATTAGCGTGGCAAAATGTCCAAGGTGTGAGCTGAATACATTAATCTCAGTTGAGGTATATGGCTGATTGCCCATGTAAGCACGCAGAACTTGGTATTACATTTGTCTGAGCACTTCATCTTGGAGTTATAGCAATCCGGCAGGCCCCTGGCAGCTGAGACTGATATGCATCGAGCTTTGGTTGCTCACCTCAAGAACGAGCAGGGAACTATAGATCATGAACAGTATGAGGCAAAAAGATATATGTGTTATTATATTTAAATAGCAAAAAGTGAAGAGTGGTGTAGTAGGTTGACTGGGAAGTTTTTCCCATGCTAGTGTCTCAATTGCCGTTATCTCTGCTCTTTTTATAGGGAGAGACGCTGTTATCACTGCTCTTTCAGAGGGGGATAGGGCATTAGACTGCTGTTTGTCTCTGCTCTTCCACCGGAGGGCTGCTGTTGTCTCTGCTCTTTTTGTGATTAGAGGGAGGGAGTTGAACAGGTGGACGCCAGGATTTTGGGTACGGATCTCGCAATCCGGTGGAGGGCAGTACCTACTACACCACTCTGGTTTTGATTGTGCTACTGATACAGAGCTTTTAGAATATAGCACTTCACACTGAGCGGTTTAGAGTTAGTCATCTGTGAGGGAGAAGCGTGGAGGGACGTGTCCGAGTTAATGGGGAATGGTAGGCAGCCACATTCGTGTGTGAGGCGCGTGATGTGAGCCATCAGCCAGGTAGCCACATTCACGCTGATATGCAATGTAGATTCAGTACACAAGATAATACGTCGAACACACACAACCAAATATGTCTGGTAACCAATGTATTTAACTATATCTGCTTGACCTTCTGATCTAGCTATCCAGCAGAGGAGGGACCTTCTCAACGAGGTACTCAACAATAGCATCCGGTCCTCTCTCAACCTGCAGCCCCGTCGGAATAGCATGAAGTTTAATATCCGGCACAATAGACTTTGCCAACGAGTGAATCTGCTCGGCCTCTTCCGCCGACCACATAGAAGCCGAGAACTGCGAAACAAAGTTAGACTCATCACATAAGCTTTGAGGAATTCTTCACGCACCAATACATTCGGCTTGTGCTCTGTTACTTTCGGAAAAACCTCATCGATGCCTAAATGAATTAATGATTTGCTCATATTGCCTCGTTAAGAAACTTACTCGAACAGTTGTCCACGTGGATAATCTCGTAGTCATCTTGCAGCTCGGTGATCAAGCGTCCGATGAGGCGTTTTGCGCGCTCTGGTGCAGTGTTGACTGTGACCAGTCTGAATGGACCTTTTCTTGTCGACATTTTGATGATATTTTACTTGGAGAATTATTTGGTTAAGTGTTGTTTGAGGTGAGGTTAGTTATACACATTTAACGGCAGCTCGGATATACCTCGCCCGCTACCCCGCGGGTCTTCCGAGAGCATGTGGGGACGGTAGATTTGGGAGGCCGGTCACGGAGACTGGATCAATCCGGACTGCGCCGACGTGGGCAGTCGGAATAGTATAGCACATTTCGTATCGCGGCAAATAAGCGCAAAAAATGTACAAAAAGCTGGCTACGTCCGGTTTTAGTGTTGTCGCCAGGTTTCGCTTACCATGCTTAACAATTGGCTCCCGTCAACCTGGGCAACAAGCAGGGTTCGGTCTTATTGCAAGAGACTGCTGGGAAGACATTTATTGGCTAAGCGCTTGGTTTTTGTATGGAGTTCTCCAGCTCGGCTAATCGAATTATTTGTTATCACGGTTCTGATCAATCGCACCATTAGAGCATCCCCCTGTACTCGCATCAGCCACCAATTTCCTGGATGGACTTGCAAGCAAAAGCAAATATGCCTCTGCTTTAAGATGGCTGTGTCCAAGTCTATTCCTGGTGTTGAGGGAAATATGCATCATATCACCAGTCCCCCATAAGTATCTGTATAGTTACATCTGGTTTTCTTTTCTCACATTCTTCACAAGTATCCAGGCCTGACAGAAATAGCTTGCTCTGAAGTTGAGATCAGCCTTGATCAGCCATACCTGTAGTTAGCGTGTGTAAATAAGCACCAATTTTGAGTTTTAGGCTAGACTATTGATTGTGGCGCTTTACCAAGCCAAAATATTGAATCAAGTATTGGCAGCTGAGAGTTGGCAAGCGAGTCAAGCTAACCGACTTTGGGTCGATGACTACACAGACCTCCAACGTTAGGCAGGCCCTGACATCGAGCTGTAAAAGGGGACTGCACATTTAAAAAATAAATGATCTCGCCATTAGTTTCTGTTTCTGGTTTTTTACATACCGTCACTCCTTCATTTCAGTCTCTCGTTATTATGGTGTCTGCTAAATTGATTGGCGCCCTCGCGCTCTTTTCACTGGGGGCTGTTGAAGCAAGCGTATGCAAACCGCACCCTTCGTCGGTCGCCTCGTCGGGCACTGGAACCGCTTCTAGCGTCCAATCTTCGGCCACCGAATCCTCCTTCATCGAAACAACTTCGACCGCTGAGCCTTCTTTGTCGTCTTCCGATGTCTCGACCTCTTCAGACGATGTGACATCTACGCTTGGCTCATCTACTACATTCGCTACCCTCATTTCAACTTCGGCGACTGTTGACGATGTTTCTTCTACCACTCAAGTTGATGTAATTTCAACATCCGGCGAGGTCATCGAGTCTACAACGACTGCAGAGGCTACAACAACCACTGCGGAGCCAGATACAACTACTGCAACCGTTGAGGCCACGACATCCTCCGCTGCGACAACTACCGCCGCTCCTGCACCCGAACCAACCTTTCGACTCTTCACCTACGACAGCCAAGACCCAAGTCTCAACGGAGGCATCGGCTACTGCAAGCTCGAGCCGGTCCTAAACTTCTACTATATGAGATTCACTCCGAGCTCCGCACTCGCCCCAACCTTCAAGATCGATCCAGCAACAGGCGCAGTCACGGTTGTCAGCGGACCCTCTGATTCCCCCGGCGAATCCATGATCTCCACTACCTTAAAGGGTGCTTTTTCTTCCTCTTACCTACAGATCATTCCCGAGGCGCTTATCGACACCGACGCACAAGAGGTGGTTGTCTGCAGCATCGCCGAGGACCAGTTAAATAAGTTGGTTTGCTACTGGCCAGGTGGTGGGATTGCGGATTTCTGGACATGTAGTGGAAGTTGGGTATTGGTGCAGCCAGGTTATACTCTTTCTGGTGATTTTTGTTCCGATCCTGTATATAAGATCAGTGTCCATGCGCAATTTGTTTAGTCCAGCTATGCCATAACATAAGAATCTTTTTCTTTCCAGTAGATATTCAGTTTATTTAATTATTTGATCCTAGATTAGAAAACATATCAGACCAGCCCTAACGTTATTCTCATGAATATATGCCATATACCCTACCATCACTCCCTGTTTGCTATCCATGTTAGCAAGTGGTTGGGCAACCTCTCTTGTACTTTTTCAGAATCATAAGCCTATCAAAAGCGGAATATTGTTGCCTGTGCACAATGAACATATGTAAATCTTGGGGATCAGCAATAATAGCATATGCAACAAAAGGACATGCAACAAAAGGACATGCAACAAAAGGACATGCAACAAAAGGACTCCCAGTTTCTAGACCGCGGTCAATATAAGAGTTTCAAAAGCCCTGTGGTGTTTTGGTAGTCATGGTATGCTCGAGCCGAAACTCCCCTTCTTGCAGGCTCGTCTAGCTAGGTTTAATGGAAGGATTATTGACCATGTATGCCATAAAATCTGTGGGAGTACCGCCAGCGGGGACGATGTCTATACTGGATGTGGATGAGCACTCTTGGTCGACAAACTAATTCTGGGAAGTGAGGCGGATGCGGTTGCCTACTTTTATACGTGTGCCAAGTGCGATGATCTGCGATCAATGGCTGGATCTGAACGATGCCTTTGGTCAACGGACTAATATACTGAGCGTGAGAGCCTGGTCTTTCGGCAACCCTGGTATATACGATAGAATGTGTTGATTATTTCATGCAGTGGTCTTTGCTCTGTGAATACTACAGTCGTGAAGCTTTCCCAGATGCTTTTTAACTGTCGGGGTTAGAACTGAATCGCGACGCTGACCCCACAATCAATGCTTGCGTACCTCAACGTAAGACTTTGTAATGCTGACATATTGACATAAATATTACAAATCGCCGTCGATGAACCAATGACATCCGAGCTTTGATCCCAAGCTGCTAGAGATCTTGCACCATCTTCTGAAGTTCTTATCTCTTCGCTACAAGTCAGTGACTTATGTTAATAGGCTAAGTGCTCTAGGATGCTCCTTTACTTGTCTCTTTCCTTAGGACTCTATTCTCTGTTAAATTTTCTTATTAGTCCTAACCTTAAGATTCCTCTACTAATTAGTATTACCGTATCTAGCTTGTTTAACTCAATGATGTTGTTCTTGCTTCTCAGACCACGCTACCGCTCATCTATTCTGAAAACAGTCAAAACAGTACAAGAACGGTAAGTGACTAGCCTGGGCTAAGCATTCATCATACTTCCGAGGTACATCATTCCAGGATGAGAGATTCTGACAGAGTTTAAAGTCGCTTTCACTATAGCACGCAGTACTATGGACAAGCCACTGCCACTAGAAAGAATACACACCCTTTGACCGTATGGGACTCCGAGCCGGTACGTAAATTTATGAGACCGTGCAAACTTGTTCGAGAGTGGGTTCTAAATGTCTGCTAGCTTTACCGGAGCATGACGCCGATCCTTGGATGGGCGCTCAGGGGAGATGTTAATGTCGAACGGATGAGCAACACACTCAAATTGTCAGTTCTTCGCAAAGCTCCGTGGCTGACCGGGCGACTGGCATGGAGAGACAAACGCGTAAGAATTCTTCTCCAGTCTTGATATCTATTTCATGTTTATATGTGCACTTTTCTCAGGCGCTGATACTTTCCGGCTAAAGTTCAAAATCGATATTCCCGAAACGTCGCAGAAACAGTCTGAACCCTTTAGGGTCACTACGTTCAAGGCACCAGATCGAGCTCTGCATGAGATTCTCCCCAACTACGTTCCTCCTGGATCGGCGTCTCCTTCTGTTAAACGGTTTGATCCTCGCAAAGTCTCCTGCTTGCAGCCGCTAGCAGCCTTCACGAAAACAGCGCACCAGTGTGTAGCCCAGAATGAGCGGTTGATGCATCTTCATTTTGTGATTGCCAAAGACCTAACTTTGATGTGCGTCGCATGGCAACATGTCGTACTCGATGCACCCGCCCTGAAACTGATAGTTGCTGAGTGGGAAGGCCTTCTTCTCACGAGGGATGCTCACCTGCGCACGCACGACACGAATGACCATAGTCCGGAAGTCGAGGGACTAAAGGACAGGCCGAACTTGGATGAATTGATCAGTACCCTTAAGATAAATTCTCCCTCATCCTTTCCGGGGTGGGCCGCCGTCACCCTTTGGGGTGGATTGAAGTTGAAGCTGGTCTCTAAAATCTACAGTCTACTTTATCCGCGCACATTTGGAACGGCCTACTTGCCCCCAAAGCTTGTTGCGGGACTGGTTGCGCGGGTAAGGTCAAACGCTGGGCCAGGAGTAGTACTCTCGAGAAACGACATTATCGCTAGCTGGTTTTACAAGGTAGGATAATTATCTGCGAGATCTCACTGCTCCACGAAGTGAACAGGCTGACAGAATGATAGGCAACGTGCGAAATTTATCAGCCAGGAACATCTACGACCTTATCTCGAGCTGTGAATCTGCGTGGAAAGCATCATCTCATCTCGCCCCGTGTATCGGGCAACGTTCTAGGTCTGGCCGTCATGCCGAGTGTTCAATCTGGTGCACTTCAGAAAGCGCGACTTGAAGATCTAGCGTTGACAACTCGCTCTTCTGTAGAGAAGTTCAAAGATCCAGACTACGTCTCTACATTCATGGGTTTCAGGATGAATTGCGGTAACGCAGGCCGCATTGCCATCCCGAAAGTGAAGCTCGGCAATCAGCGATGCCTCATCACATCTTTCGTGAATCTCGGACTCTCGAATCCAAATTTCGGAGAGGGAGTGTTAGTTGAGAGACCAGTGCAGTTGACCATGGAGCCGATTGTGATAAGAGTCATTGATGATGCTAGAGGTGGCTGGAGTATCCATGGAAACTTACCGCATGCAGCTTGGGATGCTTTGGAGAGAAACATGGAACGAGAAATGGAAGGCATGGATACAAAGTCTTAGCGGGAAGCAATCGAAACCTGTGTCATAGAGGCCTAGGAGAGCGTCTACAGTAACGAAATCTGTCTGAGCAATGGGCGTCTTTTACGTTTATTGACCTATTGAGAGCCCGAGCACTTCCTTTCCTATGATTTTCAGTGTATGCGCTTGCCCGCGTCTATTTCCTTTAGCCTATAAGAAGCCAAAGAGTCCTTGGAACACTCGAACCCAGTCGTGAGCACGTCTGCACTTAAGGGTTGTGAGACGCAATCTCAAAAGTAGCTCCCTCCCCACAATCCCCCCAGTCGCAAATCCACCACCACAAACATCCTGAACCGAAACCGAAATCCCCGTAAAATTCTCATCAGAGTCAACCTTTCCCGGAAACTTTTCATCTCCAGCCTTGACTTCACAGCCATTGATTCTTCCAAAGGCACTCGCGGCACAGTTGAAGGAGAACTCTCCCTCCCAGCAGGACGACTTGATCTTGAGCTCCATGTTGGGGTTGGCGCAGGGCGATGCGTTGCCGGGGTAGGACTCGCTGTAGAGCTCCTTTCCCGTGTTGTCGGTGATGGTCAGGCCGCTGTCGTGGCCGGTTTGAGTGCCGCCTGGGCCGCCGGTTGCAAAGTCGCCGCGGGAGTAGATGAAGTTGAGGTTATTGGCGGCGAGGGCGGAGCTGGCCATTACAGCAGTGAGAAGGAGGGCTTTGAAAGACATGGTGGATTGATTATGGTTGTTTGAAGACTTGATGGTGGAAGCTGTGTGTGAATGGCTGTCGACGTGAAGCCAGAAGAGGGCGAGCTCAGCCCGCCTTATAGTTTTTCTTCCAAGAGAGTAACCCCCCTTCAAGGTTGTATCAGAGCTTCTGATATACCAAATTAAGCATACCGAGACCTGAGTTCCTTGGAAGTCATCACGATATCTGGGGTTCAAATCCAACTTACATACTATGTAGTACACCGCTCGAAAGCGATACTATAGCAAGTAATCGACCCGCTTCCTTTCATGCTGATCACAGAACCGCCTGAAAGATCAGCACACTGCCCCATCATCCTTCCAGGCTGTCAGAATCGGTATGCGTATATTTCTATTAATCTGGACTGATCGTCATTAAATCCCCATCCTTGTTACATCGGTACTGGATACTACCCCATGCGGAGAATAATTGAGTCAATGTCGGGGTTACACAATGTTTTTGCATAACTTGTTCCTTTCTGAATGTGACTGAAGATTCTTCGGGCATTTAGCGACTTAATCGACGATATCCTGAACACGTGGTAAGTTTGGTATTGAGCGTTGAGTCGAAAGGACACGCACGTTTCTTTTGAGTCAAGCTGGAATTCTTTGTCTAAGTTAAGCAAAGCAAGCGCTCCGGACTATTGAAGCTTGCAGCAATAGCTTACACTATCCTGCAAGAAAGTGGCCAAATGACCGAGTTGTGGCTTCGAGATGCATCACTAGTAGATCTTAGTGCTATAGTGGGTTTTTGAGGTCATGCTCAATAATTACAAAGAGGGTCAAGAACTGATCAGATAAACTCGAATTCCTAAAAATTGTCGAAATGCAACGTATCTATTTTATACGAATTCATGCCGTGTATTATTGAAATTAAAGATCCCTTTGATTTGATATATTCTTGGACGCTAGTTCTTGTGGGGACACTATTTGGGAACAGATTAATCTAGACTCTTGCCTATATCTAAAGTGGCTGGCTGGCCTGCGATCTAGGCCTTTCCTTTAAGACAAGCGGCCATATTTGGACGCTCCTTAGTTTGGATATTGAGAAGGGAGTTATCCTTATCTCGATGTATATAATGGATCTTATTTCCATCTGATTTCATGGTTTTGTTTTCGCAAACCTTGACTAAAGAAGCTCGACTTGAATTCTGTCTACTTTCCAATCGTAACTTTCCCCCCTCCCACTAGTCAAGTCCACCTCAATCATGTCGACTTCCTTAGTCTGGAACAACCAAAATGGGACCCTGGCCATCGATCGCAACAATTTGCGAGACTTTTACGCCCAAAGCCTGCAGAACTACCTCCCCAGCGTTTGTTTCCTGGTAGAAGCCCACTGCGAGGTCAATGAGATTATGAACTGCACCATGAGTGCCTCCATTAGACCTGGTGGTCATCCCAGTTTGACGGAGACAGCGGGCGATACCGTATTATCCTACAGCTATAGCAACCAAAGCCATGACGGGGCGGGCTTCAATGATCAGATTGGCTCACTCACGATTAGCACAAACTACAACATGGATATCCAATTCACTAACGCCAATAACGATGCAACTGTTCTCATTACCCAGCATCTAGTCCTCAACTACGACTCTGAAATGCTCTCGGCCGAGGGTAGCGGGAACATTATTGACAAAACGATCGTTGAAACTTATACACTCACTGTTGATGAGAGTGGTATTCTGGGTACAACTGTTGACCCTGTGATTACGGATAATTCAACTCCGTTTGAGAATAGTGACTGGAACCCCTTTACTGGTTCCGATGGGTTTATCCAAGAACTTCGAAGTCAGGGAGACAGTCTTCAGCAAACTAGTATGCTGAATATTCCTCTGTCCGATAAGGCGACATATAGCTTCCCAGGGGGTCAGAACTCTACTTTCAAGAGCGTCCAATTCTCAGACGATCAGGACCTTGTTGCTTCTGTGGCCTAGTTTCTATGGCCACTCTGTCGGTGTTGGTCTCCCAGGTATGGCAGGTATTCTTTAACATAGCTCGGACAAAGGAACATAGAGAAACGATAATGCAATACTGAAACTCTTCTATTTATGCTATCCCAGTTAGACTTTCCTTGCCAGCTATCACTATAGCTGTACTGACCAAAGTACCTGGTAGACCCAATTAGAATACATATTTCTACGACGGCCCATATATGCTGCCTCCCCCCGTTGTCAAGACATCCACTACCTTCCACTATATGATCATTGTCTTTTGAAGTCACTGGATGACGTCATTCAAGAGTCACACTAGATTGCTTACTGAGAATGTCAAGATCAAGCTGAACTTCAATTTCAAGTCACTGAACCTCCTGCAGCTTCTAGTTGCGGTATAAAAGAACACCCTGCTCTCGCAGCTGTTCAATTGTTTCCTTAGTCCATTCCTGACATCGCCGCAGAGGCTTCGCGGGGTCGATCTTTTTGAGGCCATCATACTGTTTTCCAGGCGGAGGATTTGCTTCGCAGATTGATTTAACGCGAGGCAGATCATCAATCCCAAGGACTCCTATCTCTGCCCATGACACGAAAGTTGCTTCCAACCTGGGACTTTGAGAGGTCACTCTTATTTCTAGCACAAACCCATTCATTGCATTCCCCGTGACGTTAAAGATTGTTCCCTCCTCTTTGTCGCCGATCTTGATGAAGATTGCATGGTGGTTTCGTGGCATGCCTATGGATTCGACAAGGTAGACTGAACAATGCGACATTCTCAACGAGGAAAACTGTTCGAAGACTAACGAGGTCAGTAAAGAGGAATAGCCCTTAAGGATTTACCAAATCACTGATATTATAGGTAATTTCTAGGCAGGGCGAAATTCATACCTTAGAAAGAAAGGTTACGCGTAGGTGTGTTAATGCAATCAGCATTTATTGAGTTGCTTTGATGAACCAAGCGTAGGAAGAAGTGTGGGATGTTAACCCGGAAAAGTCTTACGTTCTAGGCAGCAAGGTCGGATTTCGGAGAGCCTGACTAGCACCCAGGGTATATAAAATACATTAATTGTAGAAGATACATACGGTCGTGACCGCAGTTTTTAGATATGAAATTGTGCGAATATATGCAGTACGATATAATAGACTGTCACCGAGCGCTCTTCGCCTCGTTAAGGGCAGTTCAGGGTAAGTCAGGTAGTGGTCACCTAAGCCAAGTACAAAACACTTGTCAAGCTACCCATGAATCCACAAAATGGCATTTTCTGTTTGCCAATACACAGACAGACAGACCTTCAGTATGCCAGTCCTGTTCATACATCTTGGCAATAATAAAGACGATGCCGTTGTTTCCGTGACTGTCACAGGCAGTGAGCCAAGAGTTACGCTTCAAAAACATTATAACCAACTCAACATCCACAAGGCTAGAATCCTTGTGATTTCGGATGCGTTGTGGCCAATCACGGTCGATCCCTCTAGGCGAGGGCACATACTCCATATCGTCAGTCAGTTTGTTTTGCGCAGTTGGCTGTTAGTACGTCAGTATCTCGCCAAAGACGGTGTGGACATCCACTCATACCCCTGTCTCGGGGATTTCCATCTGGGGAATGACTTCTCCTTGGCGAAAATCCCCTTTATGCATGAAGACACTCGATTGACATTTTCCAGCCCTGATGTCTCTTGACGATATTAAACCACTATACGTAGTATGATCAGATGAAAGCGCTATCAGATTGACAAGCAGTATTACAGCATCCCGGGCCCGTAAAGACAAGCTCAACGGCTTTGAGCCTCCTTTACCGATCGTGCCATTCATCACGCCAAGATCTCACGGAAGGCAGCCGGGCGATTTATGGATGCTGCCGCCTAAACCCGGAAATTACAGCTGACAGCGCTAGTCACTTCGAGATTTATCCGGTGAAGGATCACATTTTAAAATCTCACGATAACCCATCATCTCGCATTTCCCTTTGCTTCTGCGGACTTCCATTCACGTCACTCGTTTCACAACATCGTCATTCGTTTACTCCACCATGCATTTCTCAACCCTCGCCGCCCTCATCGCCATCTCCGGCTTCACCTCCGCAGAACCCAACGGCTGGTCCAAGACCAAAGAAGCAGACGACAGCCCCTCCAAACTCGACGACTGCGGCTGCTGGCCTATTTATCAGGCTATACTCAAGTGTCAAAAGCTGAAATGGCCTAAGGAGGAAACACGGGATTGTGTGTGCATACCCAACCCGGATGGATGGTACGGCTCTATGGATGGCTGCCGTACTTGTCTGAGCTCCAACTCTGAGCATGAATTCTTCGATAATACTGCCAAGCTCGTCACTCAGCTGTTCGTTTCGTGTACCAACGCTGGCGGCGGCGTTACCAGCGATGGCAACAGTATCTGCGCTAGCAACGCGTATCGCGAGGCCTGTGTATCTTTGGGAACAAATGGAAAGCCTAGCTGGGCTAGCTTTGAGCAGGAAGGCGTCAGTGGAAATGGGACTTATGTCTTGGATATCAAGGAATTTGGCGCCGGTGATGATGAATCCACATCTACGACAAGTGCAAAGACAACTACCAAGACGACCGCTACTGAACCCGAGTCCAGCGGTAGCACTGAGGCTACCACCGTGGTGGTGGCTGCTACTGCTGGCATCACCGAGGCATCGTCAGGTAGCGCTACTTCGGATGCGACATCAGGAACTGAGACTCCCGTCGTGTCGGCCACGACGGCACCAAACTCTGGCATGAGACTTGCTGGTCACGGAGTTGTTGGCACGGGCCTGGTCGCTGTTATCGGTGCTATCTTGCTTTAGCTTAGGCTGTGATTACGAACTCCTATTATCACTTGATCACAATAGAGACATTAATGCCCAACTAACCGTGAGTATACACCAAACCTCCACTTAGGATTAAACACATAGCGATGACATTGTTTCCGTGGAGGCAGGCCACCAATAAACTCACACCGACACACTGTTGTAGCCTCCTTGGTGAGCTTCCAGGGCAGTCTGAGTGGCCGTCTGTGTCTTGTGGAACCTCCAGGGCTTGACCTTGCTTTCAAACAGCTCATCCAATTCCGCCGCAGAACGTCTAAATTCTTAGCTGGGGCTTGACAAAAAATAGAAGAAGTAACAATACTTACCCTTTAGTTTCGGGAATCAACAGCCACATACCAACCACGAACGGCAAGCCTGCAGAGTAACGTGTCAACCTTGATCGTGACAGTTGCTGATTTGTTCGCAAAAATAGTACCACTGTGACTTACCAATTCCAGCGTAGAACCAAGCTGTCTTGAGCTCCCAGTTCCATTCATTTGCGTTGACCATGTATGGGGTCAAAACATTCATGATGACGCCTGCGACGCAGGTAGACGCCGCGCCGAACCCGGCTGTATATGATCGCAAACGTTGCGACGATATTTCTCCAATAAAACCCCATCCTGTTGCTCCGTTGGCTGTTATGCCGACATCTGTAAAGAGTGAATGTTAGACAAGGAATTCCGATTTCAAGAAGCGCCAATGTCGGTATGTCGGGCTGGAATCTACTCACTCCACAGACAGGCAAAGAAGAGGAATAGGTAATCCGTGGCCTTGACGCGAGGTGCAACACCAAGGATGCCAATAGCCACGCATGATAGCCAAGACAATGTCGAGCCACCACATGAGTAGTTGCGACGACCCAGGCGATCAACGGTAAGGATCATAGTTATATTGGCGAGGATGTTGATCGCTGACGTGATGCAAGTAGCCTGAAACGGGTCTTTAATGCCAGCTTGCTGGAAGAAGTAGGAAGCGAAAGTTGAGAATAGAGTGAGACCAATAAATTGCTGTGTCATGAGCGTCCACAGTGCTGTGAGAGTGCGTCGGCCGTCGGTACCCCTGAAGATATTGTACCATTTCTCTTTTTTGGCCTCCCTGGCGACCTCCATCTCATGATTGACGGCCATGACAAGAAGCTCGTATTGGTGATCAATGTCATAATCACTGATTTCCCAGTGCAGGCGACGGAGCGACTTCTTGGCACGGTCAGTATAGCCACGGGTTGCGCACCAGGCTGGGGTTTCCGGAACAATAAGATAAATGATTAGCATGAGGCGATCTGAGACCATTGTGTGTAGATAGGTGTACGCCAATCATCCGGATCAACCTTGGAAAGCACCTGAAGGGCCACTGGCGCAAAGAAGGCGCCCAGTGCGAACCAGAAGCTATATGCAATGAGGAGACCTCCTCGAATGCGCACAGGAGCTGTCTCGGCGATATAAGTTGGGACTGTAGACTGGAGGCATCCAACTCCAATGCCAGCAAGCAGCTTAGCAATAAGCCAGACCGGCCAGGTCCGGGCAAGGGACTCAGCAAGCACACTCATGCATAGGATAAGCCAGTAGCTATACATAGCCGTCTTGCGACCAAAGCGATCAGAAATAAAAGGCAGAGTGGACATTCCGATAATCTGTCCAACCGACATGATGGCACTCCAGGCACTGAGGATAGGCGAGGCGAACGTGGGGTCGCCGTCGGCGTTGACTTTGGTGGCAAACTGTCGAACGAAGCCAGGATTGGCGATGATATTTCCGTTTATTCTGATCAAACTATATTAGCCATTTACTACCATATATTGCAACTAGGTGGCTAGATGACCGCCAACGGGAGATGAAACGTACCCAATTTGATAGCCATCAGTAGCGGCACTGAAAGCTACCAGGAAACAATAAGCGGTGCAAACTTTGAAAGCCTTACAAGTCTCCCAGAGAGACAATGTCTCGTAGCCCGAGAGTCCTTGGCCCTTGGATGCAGCCACCATGAAGGCTTCTTTGACTGGTGACTCATGACCAGCGGTTTCATGTTTCTCAATGGTGATATCAGCGTGCTCGGCCACAGCGCCTGGAATCTTTTCTTCCGCGCTAGCCATCGTGAATGCCGCTCCGGGGTTTGGGAAGAATTGCTGGATTATGTTCTGTTTGATGAAACTGTGAAGGCGAGTTGAAGGTTGAGCACCGTGACATGCGAAGACTAAGTATCGAAGATATCTGATGTTGCAGAGAACAACCGTTACTTTATAGATACCCCGCGGCCTCAGCTTCCATCGAGGCCCCCTAAATTAAGTTAAACATAGAATCTAGACCACCACCATTCGCCACAACTTAGACCGAAGAACCGAGTGCAGCCTGTCCCCCTGCCTGACGCCTCGTCGAGATCTGGTGATGCATACCCCAGAATATTTGTTCAGGGCAACCTGGGGTAAAACCTGGAGACGGAAATGAGAAGCTGCGTATAGTTCCGTACAACTTCAACCCACCCCGCTATCCAATGGTTCATGAGCTAAATAGGCGAGAGATGCCTCGTCGTTGAATCGGTACCTATTTGGCCCTTCCCCGAGTGCGAAGTGGGGTTTCTTTAAGACCCTACAATATCAGCAGGTCATCAACGTTATGGGGGCCTGATAGTAGACTAGTAGGACTATGGGAATTTGAACAGGCTCTAGCAGCATGGCTTGAGGCAACTGACCAATGAGAAGTCTTTACCTAGACAATGACCTATTTGTTGCCCTCTCGGCGCGAACCTTCGCAGGCAGGGAAAAAGTGGCAGTCAATCACACATGCTAATCCGATAGTCATCCGATTGGCCAGGCCAGGCCCTTGAATGGCTTGTCTTTCGGCATTCCCTTATTCCGAAATCCTCGGGGCAAGGCCGACCTGCATTCCTGAGCCAGAGGACCAACTTGGTATCGGGGTGAGGCCGACGCCTTTTCGATTTGTCATAGTACACCAAGACATCAAAGCATATTGAACCCAAGTGAGCCATGTCGCGCACTGCCATTGCCTGCCGTGCTTGCAGGAACCGCAAGACGCGTTGCAGCGGAGATCTACCATCGTGTCTGTACTGCTCTAAAGCCGGCATCGTATGCGAATACGCTCCTGGCTTGGTCGTGGCCCAGCCGATTCCTTCACCGTAGGTTCACAAACACCTGTCGATCGTTTCCATTCCTTCATTGTAGGAAGAAGTGCTTTCTAACATATCAACCCTGCGAAAAGTAGACTGTCAACATCGCTCGACGAATGGGGAAATAGAATTGTGCAGGCAGTCGACAACCTAGCGCAGTCTCTACATCGTAGCAACACTCGCTCTTCATCCATACCCCAACACATAAATCTAGAGCGCTATCGAGGTAGCGATGCAGCCAGCATTGTCGAAAGACTGCACGAGACGGATCACAACTTCGAAGAGGGAGAAATAGCTACTGACCCAAGTGTCTGTCATCGCAACAAAAGGCGGCGGATATCGGACCCTCCTACAGAGAGTCGCAACAATGGCAGCGTCAAGGTTCCTCTCCCGGGTCCAACTCCCATCACCGGCAGTCTTTCTATTCTTTCATCATGGCCAATCTTCTCCAGATCGCAAGGCCCCATCACTCACATTCAACAGATAAAGTGTGCACGTGCAGCTTTATCTCGTCGTCACAACTCAGATACCCACGCCCTGACGAGCGCTAGCTGCCAAACTTCGGATCTTGTCAGACTTTCCTCATGTTTTGCAAAGTGGATTCTACCCATGATGCCTGTGGTTGAAATGGAGCAAGTGCGTCGCATAATGAGTTGTATGGACGAATACGGTGTACCATGGAATGGGGAAGCGTGCTTGGTCTTTTTGATTGCTGCTTTGGGATGCATCTATCAGTCTGACACTGAAGACAGCCGTTCTCAACCCCGTAGTACTTCGCATATATCGTCTGCAGCTTCTAGTCGATCAAGAACTACTGGAGCGTCTACGGAGATTACACCTGCATCCTTGAGATACTGGAACATGGCCAGGAAAAGACTGTCTTGGGCCATTAATACTGCTGGTCGCCTCTCTGCACAATGTCAGCTCCTTGCCGGGTACGTATACACCTATCTCCGGCGACATCCTTGATCGGGGACATTCTACCATACTGACCTGCCATTTTATCTATAGGGTATACCTCGTTTACAACTCAGAGCCTGTTGCTGCATGGAAGATGATAAGTGGCGCTTTGCTCTCACTTGGTGAACAGGCAGCGAGTGGCGTCCCTGCTGAGGAAACGAATACGAAGATAGACAACGTGCTGGATCAGCGGATCCGAATAGCAGCTATCATGTTTCTGTCGTAAGCAACTACTGTTCTTTCTACGCCGAACCCCAATCGAAGGGCAGTTTTTGCTGACTCTATCGCGTTATATCCACACAGTCGATTACGATGTGAAATTGACATACCATTCGCTCCCGTCTCCTTCGAACTACCCATCGCCACCACTCTCACCGATCAGATGCCTCTCGAAGATGGCTTATCGCATGTTGCTACTCAAAATGGCACGGATATCTTGTGCATCCAAGGCCACGCTTGCGCCCAATTCCAGTTGCTCCGACCGGAAGCTTCCGTTGCAGACTTACATGGCTTCCAGAGAAGCATATCATCAATGCTGACAGCTCTCGAGGAGTGGAGGTTTCGTTCAAGACTTGGCGTGGACCAGGACTCAGACACAAGCCCAGGACAGAGAGACTCAGATATCGAAAGTCATCAGGGAGAGGTGCAGCAACAGATGCAAACTCTATACTACGAGACGAAAGAGCTGATTCTCAGGCCATCACTTTATCTTGTCCTACACTCGAGACATATTGAAGAGGCATGGGCGACGGCATCAACAGAAGGAGAAGAGCCCAGGAGCTTTGAGAAGCTACTCACCTCGCATGTGACAAGTCAATTGCAAGCCATGGTATCGCAGCACCGTGCGTTGCTTCTGAGGCGTATACACCTGTGTTTAGGGAATGTTTTGAATAGGCCATCGCCCAAGCTCCCTGACGTCGGTTGGTTGAAACATCAAACTTGCCTTACCTTGGCTTTGCTCTTGGTTGCTTCGAATCGTGTGCAGCATGGTGTTGGCGATGACCATGACATCGATCTCGTGGTCGAACGGGCCGTGAACTTCCTGGCGCACGATGGGCTGCGTAGTGAAGAATCAGGGATAGCAGCGGATATTCTGCGGAATTACCAGGCGCAGAGGAATGAACCAAGCTAGAACTCATTGCAGGGGCTCGTCCATCATGTCATGGAGACTGTATAAGAGGCGGCTATTCCTAAGGACCACAGCTTATTGCCATGTAGTGATATATTTGTTCGAAATCGAAACCCATCCTCATTGGTCTCTAAAGTCGGAATGCAAGTTCCGAAGCATGTCCAGATTGCTCAAGCAGTCTCTGGACTCCGATGCCCAGTGCTTCAGCCCTCTGACCAGGGCCTGGGCTGCCCTTAGACATGACTCATCATCCGGAACCTGAAGTCCCATAAGCTCCCGCCGAGCCTGCGCCTTGAGCCTCCGTGCCGCGATGAGTATAAGGCCAGCTCTGACGCCTTTGCGCAGAGCCAGCCAAGTATTGGCAGCTCGATGAGTGGAGCCGGCAGCCCAGAGGAGCGCTATATCCAGCCTAAGCATAGTGTTGGCGTGCGTAATGAGCCCGTCCACAAGCTTACTGGACCAGTGAGAAACGTCATAGTTAAGCAAGGCGTAGAAAGAGGGCTCGCATATATCGTGTCGGACGTCATGTACCCGCCACTTAAGGTAATGGCAGAGCTCATCGGCGCATGGGGTTGTATCGTCGAGGGAGAATCGCAGACTCGGTGGCAGTGACTCGTAATAGCGGATGAGCTGGTAATCAAACTCAAAATTTGCCTCATATAGGCCGCGAAAGAAATCTTCCGGTGGCTCGCCAGCTCGACGGTATGCCTCTCGTCGCTTAGCCTGGGTATAGGTGTCGATGCGTACTTCCACTTTCCGGAGCATAATGTGTGTTAGGAAAAAGTACCAGGATCTTTCATCTTGAATGGTGGGAGCAGTGTCTTGAGATGCCTCTCCAGCTTGCCCTGTGGTGTATACCTGACCACTAGGTGGTGACGGGAGAGATGTCAAGTAGGCGATCACGTTGAGGCCACTCGTCTCCATGCCAAATTCACATGCTACCTCCCTGATGGCCCAACCGTCCTGTCAGTTCTTAAACATTTCTTGATCAGGGTGAGTCGTCAACCCTATTGGTATAGTTGGACATACCTTTCGGCCATAAAGGAGCTCCAATAAAGTCGCGACTCCATACTTCGGGAACTGTTATGCTGTTGTCGCATGTCCTTCCTTCCTACATTCCTTGAGATATACGCTCTACACGCAACGGAGGCAGCATTGAAGAGCCGCCAGCCAGGCAACGGCTGTAGCACATACATGTAGTACATGCCTGCCATAAACAGGCAACGCGCTGCTTCCAGAGACGAAGAGGCGTATAGGGGGCCTAAACGCTTCTGCGCTGCCAAGAAATATTCTTGCGCAACCGCAAACCGTTCCGCCGACGGCTCTCTGGTGGTGTAGTCATAGATAGTATCGCTGTCCCAGGGAGATGATATCGCACCAAGGGCACAAGCAAGGAGCTTTCGTAGGCGTTATCAATGGTCTTCTTACTGACAAGATAGGATAAGAAGTCGCGTGACAGTAGACTTACAACTTTGCATGATGCTGTATCCCAGCCAATCCCGTTCTCAATGGCATTGGCTGCTTGGGTCCGTAGCTGAGTAGCTTCAAGAAAAAGGTATTTGACGTGGACGTTCTTGAGAAAGCTATCAATCAACTCTGGAATCACATTGCCATCATCCAGACCTCGAAACTCGCCTCTGGTGGGATTTTGGACGCTGCCGATTGAAGCATATGTTCCCACGCGTCTGTTGTTGCTTGCCATGAAGTCCTGACTAGCCATTTCGTCACCATCATCGTCACCATCAGCAGCAGCATCCTCGCTGTCGGAATCATCTCCTCCCGGAGCGCCAAGCATAACGACATCTAGACTGAGGTTCACGTTTCCCTTGAAATTGAGGATCGGCAAGAGCAATGTCTCTTCAACGGTGTAAGTCCACCACAGTCCAAACGGCGGGTTCCCAGGGTTACGGAGGTCGCGGCGTAGGGAGAGGGACTCCATCACATCATGTTCGGTTTCATAGCAGTCACCAAAGACAGCAGTGTCCCCCGAGTCCACTTCTATTTCACTGGCCAAGCTGTCAAAGAGTCGGAATCTCCCTTGCGCAGCAGGGACGAGCAGGGTTCGTGTAGTGGCGGCATGGGCTGGCGATAAGGTAGACACGCTCGATCTCGGAGGCGTGGAATTCTGGGAAATGTCCAAGCGTCGCTATATCTCACTAAGCCTCATCATTATAGATGCTATTTGGTCATCGATAGAGGGTCTGGCTGAGGGCCCAGTCGTGATCGGGGAGTCTTGGTTCCCGTGGCCAGCTGTATAGGGGGACATGATTACGTATTTCATCGACGAGTATGGAAGTGGACAGCTGATATCGATTTAAGACGTTTTGATCGGACCCAAATGGATTGCGGGCTCCTCCCTGACTGCAGGACACTGGCAGCGCCTTGAGTCGTGCTGTGCTCTGATGATGGTGCGGGGGACATGAACCATCGGGCCGAGAGCCGATGTTGGGCGGGGTTGATGGTTACTCGGAGTATTTTGCTCGTATGTGTTTAGCGTTTAGTATTGGTGTCCTTTACCTTTGTGCCCGCTGACTGCTCCACTGAGACCTGATCTCTTGTGGTGCATTCCCCTCGGAATCATCTCCACCCTCAATCACTCTCGATCGAAGGCCTTGAGATTAGTGAGGCTCGAGGATTGGTGCGGCCGCCGTCTAGCAAACCGACGCCACGAGATTCCTCTCCCTCCGGAGGGCTCCATGCAGCAACGCCATGACCCTGCACGCACTCCAGTACCGATGCAACAGCTCTGTGACTAGTCGCAAGGGGTCAAGGCTTATTTGCACTGTCTCATCACAAACATCCGGATGGCGAAGTGGGTTACACACAGTCTGCACTGTAACGGATGCCCATGTACTCGCAGGTACTCATCTATTCGGAAAAACTTGATTTTCGGCCCCAAAAACGTACGTACTATTGCAATCCACCAACTTCTTTTTCTCAATGATTGGGCCCCGTGTTTGTTTGACTCGATGTATGTTACCTGTACAAGTCCCAATACCTTGTCCTCTCAAGACATCATAATTCCGTCTGCAACTGGGACAATGAGACTTTCATCTCTCTTGAAATGATGCCCAATTGCAACGGGTGGCCATTCATCGCTTATATACTCGCAATTGAACTCATGCAACCCTGATCCGACAGTTCGTGTAGGCTCGCCCTGCAGACTGTAGTCCCGGATAAGTTCCGATGGCAGTGTCACGACTGCCTGACAATTAGGTGGTACCATAACCTTCATCTGGAAGTTTGTGCCGTCAACGACCCATTGGCATTCTACATGGCCATAGGGCCCATCAAATGAGGCTCTCGCGCTTTTAAGGTTTCCCCCTGGGACAGGACGAACTCTGATTACCTTCCATCCTGGTTCCTTAGGAGAAATGCCACCTACAGAGCTGTGTAACCAGTCTGCAACAGCGCCTAAAGCATAGTGATTAAAGCTTGTCATCTCGCCAGGATTGATATTCCCGTCTTGAAGCATGCTATCCCATCTCTCCCAGATAGTTGTTGCATCATGCTTAATCACAGGGTAAAGCCACCCGGGACATTCAGTCTGGAGTAGCATGCCATATGAAAGCTGAGGACGACCAATTCGTGTTAAGGCATGCGTAATGGCCGGGGTGCCGGCGAATCCAGTGGCGATCCGGTAGTTTGCTTTGCGGACAAGTCGCTCGAGAGTATCGGCTGCCACATGCCTTTGAGGGTCATCATTTCTAAGGAGGTCGAAGATAATGGCGAGGCTGATACCTGTTTGCGACAATGATACAAGATTTCCGTGAGGTGTAATGTACCGATCTTGAAAGAGCTGCCGTAGCCTTACCCCTTGTTGCGTGTACTTTGCCGCTAGGGCGTCTTTACCGAGCCTCGCGCACAGATCGGCAAACACCAGAGTGACATGCACGAGATAGGCGTTGGCAACCAGCAAGCTGTCAGTAGACGCCTGTGCTGGATTGTCTGGAGGCGCGTTAGGGTCTAGCCAGTCCGCGAGATGGGACAGATTCGGATCCCACAGGTCGTCTGCTCCCCTTATGATCCCCCTATCGATCCAGGCCTGCATGCTCTCCAACTGGCGACTGAGTAGATCTCTATCCATACTGTAATCAAAGAGATCTTTGGGGGCCAGAATCGAGACATCACCCCAGATAGCCTGAGAGTTAGCTTCCCTAGACCAGTCCGTGGGCATAGCTTCTGGTACTACCAGAGGCACAACTCCGCCATGCTCAGGCTCCAGCTGTTCAGCAGAGACATCTTCCAACCAGCTTGCAAGTACCCCTAGCGTATCATAAAGATAGGTTGCGGTCTTGCAAAAGACCTGCAGGTCTCCGGTCCATCCAAGCCTCTCATCACGTTGAGGACAATCTGTCGGAATGGATAGAAAGTTGCCACGCATCGACCAAACTACATTACTATGTAGCTGATTTACAGCGCGGTTTGAACATTCAAAGAATCCACGTCGCTTCATGTCACTGTGGATAACCAAAGCATAGAGGGCTTCTGGCGATGGTTCCCTGGATGGCCAGCCGTCAACTTGCACATATCGAAAGCCATGATAGGTGAAGCTTGGGGTCCAGTCCGTAAGCTTTTTACCAGCTGCCCCAATGATAGTGTCCATAGATTTGGCATCTCGAAGAGGTCTGGTCCCAAGTTCACCATGTTCTAGGACTTCTGCATGGCGTAGAGTGACCGTCTCCCCATCGAGGAGCTCCAGACTCGGTATCAGCACCTTGCCAACAAGGTTTTGTCCAAAGTCCAAGATGACCTTTCCCGTTTTACTTTTGAGTACTTGTTTGCAAGCTACGCGCTGCGTGGTCCGGATGGGGGGCGCATCTGGCGCGACCAATTTGCCGCATTGGGGGTTAGTGAGAACCCTAGTCGTCATAGCCTTGTCCGCTGGCCATTCAGTTGATGGCTCAGTCCAAGCTTCCACCTCATCAGAGCAGTCAAGAACCTCACCGTCATAGATACTGCTAGATGTAATAGCGCTGGGCATTGCTGACCAGGTGTCGTCAGAGAGGACCTTGAAGGACTCCGATGAGGAATTTGTCCAGGTATTGGTTCGAACTTCTAGTTGAGCGAAGAGCGCCAGGTCATCTCCGTAACGGAAACGACTCCCGCCATCGAAGCCCAGTCTGCCAGCGTACCAGCCTTCCGCTACCTCAGCACAAAAAACATTCATCTCGCCAGTTCTTATCAGCTTTGAGACGTCGTGTATGCGATAAACTAGTCTGTGCTTGTAGCTGGTCCAGCCAGGGGCCATGAACTCATCACTAGCGACTTGCCCGTTGATCCAGACTTTGAAGATCCCCAGAGCGGTAATATACAACCGAGCACTGAGTGAGTCACAGCTCAGGAACTTATCAGGCACAGTGAAAGTCTTCCGGAAGCGAATAGGTCGAAGAGTGCCGAGCGATTCAATGCGCTCAGCAGAAGTGATGAAGTTTGCATAGAAGTCAGCATGATCAAGTAGCGCCGTTTCTACCGATGAGGGCGGTGACCACGCCGACGGCTCTGGCGACGAAGCCGACGAAACACAATTTTGAACTTGGCCTTGGGCCTTTCCGTAGACGCGCACACGAACATGGGCTGACTCCCTAGAGGCTAAGGGCCTGGTTGGCCACGGCACGAGTACAGACTGTGTCGATTCGACATGGTATATTCCCACCATATCCCAGCTTGAAGAGAACCGGATTTCAACATCGTATGCTGTTTGAATCCAACCTTCCGCAGTGTCCGGTGAAGAGTAGAACTGCCATGATAGGCGAGGCCTGGCGGCACTCACACCTAGGCCGTTGTGATGGTGCTCGAATACTGGAGCTCTGACGGGTGTCGAAGACATGACTAGAAACAAGGTGTTGAATGATTTAGAAAGAAAGATGACTCTCAAAGAGATGCGGACTAATTCTTACACATAAATAAACGTTCTGGCATCATTCTTGGATTCTGGTTAGGCCTTTCTCGGGAGATTGACGACCGAGAACATGCAACTAACCAATTGTTACAATGTGGACATGTGGGGCGCCCCGAGGGGGTCTGCGAGTCTATATCGGGCTTTCCCCGACATAAGAAAATGTTAGCAGAGTGGGCTTATGCTCCCGAGCACGCTGTGTTGATTGGTACTTAAAGCTTAGACTATGACGTCTCAGCGAGACAGATCAAGCCAACACACTGAAAAATCCTATTTAACTATAGCTTTTGGAAGGCACGCTGTGTCTAAGTTTAAAAATAAATATATAAAAAAAAGTTATTAGAAGACTATCTATATATAAGCTTCATATTGAGGACAAGTAAATACGAAAATAAAAAGCGGATTATAGTAGCTTTAATAACTCTAGTATGAAGATTATGTATTTCCCTGGGGAATTGACAACTAGATGAAGCACAGTTCTCCTATGCGCAGCGATGCCCATGAAGACAATCTGGATTACTGCACATCACCTCAGTCGGACAGGGAGACAGTCGAGCGATAGCCTGCAAAGCCGCCTTTTGTGCCTGGCTGAGTATCTTTTCGTGATCATACTGGAAATTTCTATGAATCTCTTGATAGGGATCTGTCCTGAGTAGATGGAAATAGTTGCAGAAATTTTGACTGTTCAGATCGTTGAAATGTTGACCCGAATAAGCGAGTTGTGAGTCTACCCGTTGACCCTGGCTGTTTCGTAAGATCCCTACAGATACAACCCCCTGGGTAATACTGAGACTTGGTGTGCTAGAGGGACTGGTTATGCCTTCGAACAGGATATACTGACGAGTTGAGTACAGGAGGGTGATCGATCTTTCTCTTCTGCACTCTAATCGTCGAACTCGGCTATCCTGTCTATAATTTGCCCGGAAAATTGAAGCTCGGCCCACGAAACACCCCAGACTGCTTTTGGAAGACCTCCTCGCTATGTCGTGTTAAGATCATAGCCATCTCTGATAGTCCCACCAGTTTGATATTGCCTAAGAACTCCTTTAGGCCATCGAGAGGACATCAAAAGATTAAGGCGGCATGACCATCTCAGTGGCTTCTCGTAGGCGAGGTCAATCTCGTTTTGCCATCTAATGCACGCAGTTTGCGACCCGACGGCAGTCACCACATTGTGGCTTGGGTACGTCGAGGCTTACTAGGAACGAATCTCGCTGGAAAATCTTCTATAATCTACCGGGGGAAATTCCCGGGGGATTTGAACCAAGAGCCTCGATTAGATAGGACAGTACGATTAGGGCTGATTTGCCGTCCTGGGTTTTGGCCATTTCGCTTGTTATGCATCGATTGACAATTAGTGACTGAATAGCAAATGATGGCCGTTATCAACGGGCTGAAGTGGCTTGTCGACAGCTGACTTTAGCGGGATAGACGAACAGCCCAGCGTAACGGTCGGTTAGTTATGAAACATAGACGGCCATCCCGTGATTGATCACGAGTGAAAAATCGAGCTTTGATCAATTCAACACCGTTACTAAAATTAAAAAAATTCTTCAGCATCTCCCTGAGTCATCCCCCCGCACTCTGATCGACAGGGCTAAATCGGGGCTCAACATCGCGGTTCCATCTCAGCCCAACGCGAGCCAACGGACGCGATGGCTGCACTTGCAATCCCCCACAAACACAGACCTTAATTGAAAGCTGATAAGTACTCAATAATACTGACCCAATTTGTTTCAACGATCCTTATTTCCCGTCCTTCGTATCTCAAAAACCAAGGAAAAATAAAATATGACCTTCATGGATCCCCAACCCAGGTCAACCACCCAAACCAATTGGATCCGTCCCGCCCGACCCCGGAAAAACATAAAACAGCCATCGTCCGATACTAACAGGTCTCCCCGGAGCTTCCAGCCAATCTAGACTCGTTAGTGTTTAAGGCTGACATGTGCCGCTGCTCCATGCTTGTTCCATGGAAAACTTAAACGCCATATTTGTAACCCAACCCAGCGGGCATGCGTGTACCCAGCGCAATTCGAAGTCTGGGGAGGGGAGGAGTTGGTTACATTATGGCTTTGCCGTGACTGTTGGTCCCCGTCTGCCGTCGTAATGATATATCACTGCCGCCTGTGCCGTGTCTCAGAACTCGTGTCAATAATTGAACGGCATATTTCCCCCAGGCCACTCACTGCAAGCCATAATGTAACCAACTCCTCTCTCTTTTCCCCAGACTCAGCGCAAGTCTCAGCTATAATACCCCAAACCTTATCGCGGGATTCTTGTTTTTTTCATCCCAATGTAACAATTTCCCGAGTCACTAACTCAAAAGATCCTCGTGGCGTCAGACGGATAGCGTCTAGCCCGGGCCTTTTAGCATTGAAATCTGCGACTTTTGGGTCGCAAGATCGACTGCTTCACTGCTCAATGCGCTATGATCGCGGCCGGCGCTGTGGCTTTGGGGTTGTGATCTTCATGCATTAAATTGAACCGTTAGTGGGTGTCGGGCACTGACTCGTAATTCGAGATCGAAGCTAGCGGTAGTCTCGAAGAACCCGCGGCCCCTAACCCCCCTCCTTGGTTTTGCATATCATGGATACAATGCCCAAAACAGGGGAAGAACTTCTGCCAATTTTCGTATTGAACCGTCTTTACAAGTTATTATATTTTGGTCTCGCTCTTGGCTTCACTCTTATTGTTTCTTGTGACACCCGATATATCGAAATTTAGTACTCCTTCTATACTACACTCCAGCCATGGCGGGCTTTTTGATTCCCCCGTGGTACAAGTCCGAGACTCCAAAGGATCTGGAGATGAACATTGTTAGTCTCATCTTTGGGTTCAGCATGGGCGCGTCAATGTTCACTGCTGGCATGGCCATCAAGCAGACGATGCAGGCGTACCAGAGACAAAGGCTCTTCAGTGCATACATCATCATGTGCTGGCTTGATTGGATTGGATGTAATTGCATGGGAATTATCACTTACTGCTGGCTCCGAGGCTTCGCCCCCCCAAGGTAAGTCCCCTCCTCTGTCGTCTCTCGCAGCATACTGACTTGACACCGCTCTTCAGCTTCTGGGTCTTCTTCTTTATCAGTACGTCACCCTCTCCTCAGCCTCCGACTTATACTTACCTCTTCTGTAGTTGTCTTTTGGAGCATGCAGATCCAATTCACCCTTCAGATCATCATCAACCGAATATCCCTCCTCCTCGGTAACAAAACGAACATCAACAGAGTCAAGTGGGGAGTCGCAGTGATTGCGAGCTTGATCAACATCAGCGGTTTCTGCATCTGGGTGCCAGCTCGTCTACAGATCTCTCACCTGTACGAAGAAATTAACATCGTCTGGGACCGAACCGAAAAGGCTGTCTTCTTGATCGTCGATCTAGCGCTCAACCTCTACTTTATATATCTGGTTCGGTCACGACTCATCGCCTGCGGATTGACAAAGTATACCGAACTGTTCCACTTCAACGTCGTCATGGTTATTATATCAGTGTCGCTAGATTGTGTGCTGATGGGAGCTACATTCCTCCCCAGTCCTGTCGTGTCAGTATACCCTACACCTACGTTTCTTCACGTCTAACAGCTATTAGTTATGTCCAGTTCCATCAACTCGTCTACCTCCTCAAACTATACATCGAGATGAATGTCGCCTCTCTTCTCGGCCACATAGTCAAGAGCTCAAGGGAGCAGGACGCGCGACCGAGTGATGGAGGAGGTAGAAGGGGAGTTCGCGATGAGTTGGTCAGCGGTCGGATGACTACATTTGTCACGGCGAGTCGAACAGGGCATGTCCGACTGGATGATATGTCACGGGACGACAACTACCGAAGAAGATCCGACTGGGAGAATGGGATTATGAAGAAGGTTGAGACCAAGGTTGTTTTTACGGAAACCCAGGACCAGGCGTCCACTTCAGATCAAGAGCGAATGGTATGAGTTTCTTATGTCGAAGTATACAAACATTTCATGATTACCTAGCGCCTATATTCCCTACTATGTAACAATAATTTAATGAGTAATGTAAAACATTCGTCCTACATGACAAATGACTGGTCCCCGACCATACCCTTAATGAAACGATCACTCGCCTTAAATCAACGGTAGCACCACAGTAATTCTCGTCCTGGGCAAATCATCAATGTAATTCTGCAAAAGCCTGCCAAAATTCTACGGTTATGTGAGCCCAACGACTGTTGCAAGATAAGCCAAGACTATAGCGCTTACTGTTCCGCATCACAAACTTATCTAGACCAACTGTGCCGTACCGGATTGTCAATCACAACACATCAATTGATCTGACGTCAGATGTGTGAGAGCATCTCTCATATTAGCCTGATTCCGTTCCTTATCTGCCAATCCGTGTTCTCCACCGGAACGATAAGCTTATTCAGAATCCTTCAGGAAACGTGATATATAACCGGTCAGTGTCGGGACATTCCCTTCTTTCCAACGACCTTCTTCAATCATTTTTGAGTCCTAAATCATCATGAGCAAATCTGCGCGTCCAAGTAGCTTTCCAGGCTTCAGTGCCTTATCGCACAGAGTATTCGTTCGTCCCGGTGAGGCGCAGACAGGCACTGATCCAAACCCTGAACATCCCCGCACTGTCGTCATCTACGGCTGGGGCGACGCACCCCCGAGACACATCTCAAAGTTCCTCGATGGTTATCGGCAGCTATACCCCCATGCAAAACAAGTCGTCGTTCTGTCACCCATCTACAAAGGCTTCACCGACCATGTGGATCAGCGCACAAAGGCCATGCTTCCAGTCATAAACGAGGTTTTCCCCAACGATGCATCAGACGGTTCGGTCTTGCTCCACACTATGTCTAATTCTGGAACTCTCAACTATTCAGCTACTTTGAATGCCTACAAGGAGACCTACAACCGACCGATGCCCCATACACTGACGGTGTATGACTCTACGCCTGGAACTCCGCATCTCACGTGGGATAACCTCAAGCGATTTTCTCACGCCATGGCTATCGGAATAGCAGCAAAGCTTCACTTACCATTCATAGTGGCACAAGTGCTATGCGCCTGGTTCTTCGTTCTGATCCATGTATTCGACTATCTTGCAGGGAGAGAATCTGCGCCCAAGTTCAGCCACAGGATCTTCACTGATGAGCAATGGGAGAGTAAGAAGAGCACAAGGCTATTCTTGTACGGAAAGGGAGACTTTCTGATCCCGTGGCAGCATATCGAAATGTATATGGCCGTCTCACGTGAAGCTGGATACCCTAGTGAGGGGCAGGTCTTTGAGAGTGGACATGTTGGGCATATGAAGAAGGATCCGGAGAGATATTGGGGGGCCATTCAAGAGTCTTGGGGGAGGGCTATAGGCAGACTATAAGAGGCACTAATGATAAGGCAAAGACTACACTGTTAGGCTACTAAACCAATTGTTCTTGATCTTTCACTAACTTCACTGATCTAGCAATCGACTTCTCCCGTTGCCCCCTTTTCCATTTGCCTCACTTCAATGAGTTAAAACCTTGCTTTATATATCTTATTGTGAAATAGTACTGCCCGTCGACCAGCCGCTAGATTCGGGATCCAGGATACTCAATCTAAGTACAGGATTGTCCTTTCGCTTCGTCCCCAGTAAGACTCCCAGATCCTGGTCACAAACGCAAGGGTCTAGGCAGTCGACATTTGACCACCATCACGCTGACCAACATATGTCTCTCGCTCAGAGTCTGATCATGATTAGTATCGTTCTAAAGGATAGGTAACTTGCTCTCACCATCATAGTGATAACTGGGACAAGACCCATTCTGCTGCTGGTCGCCAGGAACAGCATTGCCTGCGCCAACCTCATGACCGGAGATCCAGTCTCCGTGTTCACGACAGAAGTAGCCGCGACCACATTTGCATCGCAGGGATGTCCATTTATCGGACTCCTCAAGCCAATGTTTATGATCCTCGGAACTGCCTTCAGCTGGCTCGGGGCGAGGCAAGGCCTTCAGAGCGGGGAACATCTGATTGATCCAGAATGGGACACGCAGCCCCCAGGGTTTCTCATGACCCGGAAGACTTCCCCGCCACTCAGAAAAGCCCAGGATAGTCACCGAGGCAATGCTGGCATATGATGTAGAGAAAGGTAAGATAATTAGAGTCTAATTATACTATCACCGTAATTCCAAGGTATAAATAAATCACATTACCTTGAGCTATCTGCTGACAAAAGAGCACAGATGTTATCTTCGGTTACGTCATTCATCGATGACAAGTGAGCTGATGCTTACATGTCTATACAGGAGCTTGTGGATCAAATGACCTTCTCGGGAGTGAGAAATTGCGTTGGGCTTGTGAGGAGACTTTATGGATGTGGTCAGGGATGCTGGCAGCTGATACAGGATGTATCTGCCAAAAGGCTTGTGTGATGACAATATGTGACTGATATACGACCAGTGATTAGGACGTTCTTTCCTCACTTTTACTCATAGGATGATACTGTTTCCATCTCCATTGAATACTACATTGGCCCAGGACTGCCCTGTTAGAATAACATAGGGTCATATCATAAGTTGCTTTAGCTTATGGAAAGTATTCTTTGGTTATTTTCCCTTAGACTGAGAAAAGAAATGTTACCTAACTGGTTAGTTACTAAAATTGCCTGAAGCAAGATTTTACTTACAGGATAAGAATGACAACGATTGGCAACGGGAACATGCGACGGCACGGCTTGCTCGCTAGTCAACGACTCTGGGAAGTGCCGTAAGATTTCATATCGTCCAACAGAATTCCCAACGATGGATCCCACCTAAAGAACTTCTCGACCAAAGCCATAGTCTTGACTGGAGCTGCAAAATCGCACCAAAACCCTTCACTTGTTCGACACATGATCGCAACCCGATCTATCAACAAGTCAGTAACTTCCAACCCATATGGCAGTGTACTTACATCTCAGCGGTGCTTTTAGCGTCTTACTCTGTCCAAGAACAACCATCTCTTTCCTATGGTTTGACAAGTCATAGGACTTTGGCGCTGCTTTCGTAAAGTCAATACCCTGCCAAGAACCACTCCAATTTGAAGAGCTATAGAGTTTATGATGCGGTTCGCAGATGAGCATGACTTGGTTTGCCTTAGCAAGCTCTCGGAGGGTCTTGACACCCGCTTTGATATCCGATTCCTCTAGGGCTTTGTTGACGGCTATTCGGTTCTGGAGAGCAATCTCGTCTATCTCTGTTGACGGCTTGATTGTGAAGTTGCTTGTGGCGTAATGTACCGCATTGTGAACATACCCTTCGCCCCTCTCACCATGAAGCTCGGGGATGCGATCTCGCACTAATTCGTTAGATGATGTCTTTCGAGGTTAGGTGGACTTACAGTTGATGGTTGAGGAAAGTGAAATATCGTACTTAGTCTCGGTATCGATCCTGGCTAGCTATGTGACGTGTTTAGCATGGCTGAATGGCGTTAGAGCCGTTGGTAGCCTACCTTGGTGAAGATTGCAGTAATAATATCACCGTTGCTGATCTCACTCGCTAGAATGTGCTTACCATCCAAACGCTCTCTAGCCTTATCTCTCAAATTCTGCACCACTTGTATTGGTAGAAAAACAAGTCTAGACTCCTCTTTTTTGTCTTTCAATAAGTCAAGAGCAATTCTTCCAATCACCAAGGCCTGGTCTTTCTTACTGCGGATACGCATCCGTCCGATCCGATCATTCTGATTGACCTCAACGTTGGAGAGCTTTTCACCTCCAAGCACATCATACTTATACCCTGTCATCTTTGGCGGTACCTTCCCCTCAATGACGGTAAGCCATGCCTTGACGATATTGGCCAAGCCGCCTTGATCAGCAAAGACATGCGGAAGACTTGTCGCAAGAACCGCTCCATCCGAAAACTTGGTCAAGTGGACATATAACAGCGGTGAATTAGGCGGCTCGTCTTTCCGTTCATACGGCCAATCCTGTGGTCTCAACCGCGCATCTATGGTCTCCATATTTGGCAAGAAGGCTATACCATCGCCTGGGTGCAGAATCTTGGATAGTTCATAAGTCTCACCGTATGAATACCCGGCGCTGACGGATGACCATTTGAAGAGCTCATAGTCATCTGGGAAAACATGCGGTAAATGGTACTCCAGGCGTGTATCCCCACGCGATGGGAAAATACGCGCGCCTAGCTTTCTCCAGTGATTTCTGATCAGTTTATCTAGACCGCTTTTGAGGATTTGCTCATCGAGGGGATGGTCTGTTATGAAGAACGTTCGGGTGCGGAGGTTGGGGATTGGGTTTGGCTGGTCGCTCCATGAAACGGGTATAATCTCCATCTTCGGCGACAACGTCACATAGAATATTCGATTTCGGTAGTGAATATTAGAGAGAGAAATTATCTGACATGAAGACGAATTGCGACAAGAAATTACTCGGTCTGTGCTGGAGGAGCATACGGATTTCCGTGTCATGTCAGCTCTAGTCCGTATCAAGCTAATCTCCTCGTCTCACTGCCACTGAGAATGTCACTTCTCGTCCCCTGAGCCCTGTCATAATACTACGAAGTTTACATCGTCATTGGTGTAGGAGTACCACGTTGTTGTAAATAGATATTCGAAAATCCTTTGGTCTGACACTAGACACCAACTCAATAGATGTCAGACATCGCTAGCCTTCACTGCAAAGACCAAACTTGACCAACTAAACAAGTCCATCGACTGTGATAGTAGCCGTCTTTGAGATCATGTATTCGCTCACAGCCACGTCCTTCCCAGCTTCCTTCCCATAACCTGACATCTTGATCCCTCCGAATGGTGACTCGGCTGCAGATGAATTGCCTAGTATCTCGTCAGCGCATGTAATCAGCTTGCAAGACCTTCACTCACCTGTGTTTAGAGCTATCATTCCAGCCTCGAGATTCTCAAGCATCCGCCAAATCCGATCCGCATTCTTGGTAAACGCATAGCTAGCAAGACCCATCGGCGTATCATTAGCTGCCTGAACAGCCTCCTCCTCCGTCTCAAACTTATAAAAAGCAGCGATCGGCGCAAAACACTCTTCGCATGAGATAAGTGTATCATGCGACATGTCAGCTAGAATCGTCGGCTCAAAGAAATATCCTCCTTCGCCTCCCTTGGGAGAAACACGATTACCTCCAGTGACGATCCTCGCACCTTTCGAAACAGCATCTTTAATAAGTCTCTCAGCTCGATCCAAACTTTCTGGTTTCGTAACAGGTCCGAGGGTAGTTCCCTCTGTAGCGCCATGGCCGATGTCATACTTGGCAGTCTCTTCGACGAAGCGCTGGAGGAATTTGTCGTATACCCCAGACTGCACGAGGAAGCGATTGACTGTGACGCAAGCTTGACCTGCGTGACGCCATTTGAGCCCGACGAGTTCTCGCAGAGCAGCTTCGATGTCTGCATCGTCAAAGATAAGGCAAGGGCAATTGCCGCCCAGCTCTAGAACTACTTTCTTAAGGCCCGAACTGCAGTGGTTCGCGACCAGAGTCCCAACGCGCGTTGATCCTGTAAAAGTGACCTTCTTGACTAGCTCATGCTTGCAAAGGGCTTCACTAAGAGACGGGGTATTTTCCAAGCTCGTCGGCAAGACATTCAGAACGCCATCCGGGAATCCAGCCTCGGTAGCCAACTTGGCCAAAGCCATAGCAGTGACTGGCGTTTCGGGCGAAGGCTTAACTACCATTGTACAACCAGCTGCCAACGCAGCAGCAGCTTTTCTCAGAACCATAGCAACGGGGAAATTCCACGGTACCAATGCGACTGCGACGCCGAGTGGCTGCTTGATGGTGACTACTCGTCTGTCCGGCGCAGACGGGGCAAAGCACGTTCCTTGAATCCGCTCTGCCTCACCCGCAAACCATGACACAAACGTCAAAGAGTAGTCCATCTCCCCGATTGCCTCGACATATGGTTTCCCCGTCTCATACACCAAGAGCGTGGCTAGATCAGCCTTGTGCTCTCGGATGAGGGCGTCCCATTTTAGGAGCCATTGGGCACGTGCTCGAGGGGACGTTTTCTTGAAGGATTGGAACGCTTTGTGTGCGACATGAACGGTTGTATCGACGTCATCGGCTGAGTTGTTGGTGACTTTCGTCCATGGCTTATTGGTCCCGGGATCTAGATGCTGTGTCAGACCGGTGAGATGTCGTGGGAAGGAGGGGGCTTACCGAGTACATCGAAGGTTGAGCCGGACGAGGCGGACTTGGTCTGGCCTTGAATGTAAGAATCGGTGATGAGTAGGTCTGGACGATTGAGCTTCAGATAGTCAGTTGAGTTCGTTTATCTCATTATCAGATGCTTACTTTAAACGGTAATGGGTAAGCCATCTTGCTTTACTCTTTGTAGGTGATCTTCGGCAATAGGGTCTGGAGTTATGAGATAGATGTGAGTCAAACGGTCTGAGTAACCGATCCTTTTGTCTTCACAAAAGTCAAAGGAGGCTTTACTGAAATGGTTCAAGTTTGATGAAAGCTGTTGGTTACCCTCAGCATATGCTTTGCCTTCAGGGTATGCACGTAAGAACTCGGTTAGTAATGGTTATAGCAAGATTCCCCGCTTCTCGACCACCAACACAATCAGCGAGTCGGCCCATCGCTGCAGATGTACAGAGTTCAAGCCACCTACCGTACACGGTTAAGATCTGCACTTCTTTTTGGTTACCCATCGTGGAAGGGAATCAATTCTCGTGAACGACGAACGTGAGGGGCAAGTATATGTATCATGTCGCTTCAGTCATCTCTCAGTATCAAGACAGGTTCCAAGTACTGAAAATTAATCATGGGTCGCTTAGATGGGAAAGTCGCTATCGTGACAGGTATGTACCCCTCATTGCATTATCGATCACTGCTGAGACAGAAACAGGCGCCGCGTCTGGCTTTGGCCAAGGCATCGCCGAGCACTTTGCCGAAGAGGGCGCCAAAGTCCTCATCTGCGATATCAACGAAGAAGCAGGCCAAAAAGTAGCTGCGACATCTGAATCCTTCGAGTTTCAGACCATGAACGTCACCAAAGCAGCGGACTGGCAGAGCGCAGTTGAGAAAGCCGTTCAGCTTTGGGGTCATCTTGATATTCTGGTCAATAACGCCGGTACCAGCTACGAGAACAAGGTACGCAATTGAGGCTCAATTGGCTGTGGCGAAATTGACAGCAGCAGAGCACCAATCTGGTCACCGAGGAAGAATTCGACAAGGTCATGAGCGTCAACGTCAAGAGCGTCTTCCTCGGCAGCAACGCCTTCACAGCCCAGGTCAAAAAGCAAGGCACAAAAGGTTCCATGATCAACATCGCCTCCGTAGGCGCTCATAGACCTCGTCCCGGTCTAGTATGGTACAACGCATCCAAAGGAGCAATCACAAACGTAAGTCATCGACCAATCCATATCATGCAAAGCTAACGCCAAGGTACAGGCGACTATGGGTCTTGCAGCGGAATATGGCCCGGATGGAATACGCGTTAATTCTATTTGTCCCTTGGCGACTATGACAGGTCTACTTCCTACGTTTATTGGGAAGGAGATCACGCCGGAGGTTCAGAAGGCGTTGGGGAATGTTCCGCTTGGGAGGATGGGGGAGATTAGGGATGTGACCAAGGCAGCGGTGTTTTTGGCGAGTGAGGAGGCTTCGTTTATTACGGGTGTTAACCTTGATGTTGATGGGGGGAGGGCAATCTAGAGCCACTCACTGACTGAGAGAACAATGCAGTGAAACACAGAGAGCATCCCGCGCTGGATGAGACTAGAGACAAGAGACACTTAAGACCCCCGGAGCCCCCCATGCACATTGTCGATCAATAAACCAGGGTCTGATTCCTTTGGACGTTGGTGAACATGTGAATGCTCGGCATTAGTGCTGTAACCCTAGCGCTCGTCACATTTGCCGCGTCTGGCTCCTAAAATTAAAATTGAGCGGGGGCAGCGTGAACTGATTGACGTGCTTGTGAAAGCGGCCAGATTAAGCACTGACTTTCTCAAGTTAACGATGCGGCCCCGAATCCCAGGGGAGAGGAAAGGGTTGCGGAATCGTGTCTTGGCATGAGAGCCTCATCTAAGTTTGACGTTATGCCTGACTCTTCTGAGCTTTGATCGCGTTTCGAACTATGCATGTGCTCAATTGCAGTCATGAGAACGCTTTGCATAATTCTTAGAGCATGTGCTGAACGACCTACTAGCCCTTCATTGCTATCTAAATGGTATCCATTTCTCATAATATCTCAGATCCCCATAGTATGTGACAGACATCCGCCAGCCTACTGCTTGGTCGCGATGTACTGGCTACTATTACTAGAGGGTATCTCGTTGGCAGCATTACCAGGCGCCTTGCTATCACCATGAATCTCGCCCATCAACTGCCTGTCAATCGCCGCGCGCTCTTCATCTGTCGCATCGGTGATATGCACAGCGACTTCATCACCAAACTGCTTACCAATCTCCTCCAGAGAGAGTCTAGCAGTCTCGGGCCAGAAGAAGTAAATGGCGGGGATGAAAAGAATACTCCAGCAGATGACGAGGAGAAAATATTTCCAGCCGACAGCATTGAACCCGATGGGCGCTGTCTGAAGCAGGATGATGGTAGCTAGACGTGTCAGCATGCTCTTTGTGCAATGTGATGAGGGGTCATACCAGCGAATTGCCCAAACAGCGACCATCCAATGCCAATTGATCGAATCTCAGTTGGGAAGATCTCCGAGACGTAGAGATACATGGTTGTGTTACAGAAGGTGCCTTGGAAGGCGAGATACAGAAACATGAACAGCACACCCATGGCATTGCCTGCTTTGTTGTCTGTACCAGCGTACAGCGAGATCATGGCGCAGTAGATGGAAGTGGTGATGACGATGCCAATGAAGCCAGTCATATACATCTTGCGACGAGAGTTGACCTTGTCATGTAGCCAAGCACCGCCAGGGTTGTAGATCAGTCCAGCTGTAGTCAACCAGAGAGCCGAGAGTAGAAGCGGCATGTATCCGGTCTGTCCTAGACTGGTATACAGGATGACTGCGTAGTTGTTCTTGACCACGTTAGCCCTGACCTCGACTGAAGAGATTGGCACTTACAATGATGAGAGGGCCACCAAACTCTGCTCCCCATTGAGTCATGAACCCAATAAGCATACGCTTGCGATAGCTCTTTTTCTGGACCACAGCCCTCCATGGATTTCCCCCATAAGCCTCAAGCTTCTTCGCATCAAGCTCAAGCTGCTTCTCAATCTGGTAGTACTCCTCTTTGGCAACCAGATCCTCAGGGTCATTGACCGACCTGCGAAGACGAACGAGGACAGACCATGCTTCTTCACGATGACCCTTTGACATGAGCCATCTTGGTGAACGAGGGATCCAAGGTGAACCAAGAAGCAAGACGAGTGGAGGAAAGACTTGGAAGGCTAATGGGAAGCGCCAGCCGAACTCGAGATTCTTGGAGAAGTAGACTGCGAAGCCAATCCAAGAGGATAGCATGTAGCCGAAGACGAGAAAGATGGCATGATGGCCGACGAGCCAGCCACGTGCAAGAGGACTTGACATCTCGGAGAGATACATCGGTGTAACGGTAGCCATCAGACCAACGCACATTCCCATGATCCACCGTCCGGCCTGGAACATACTATAACACCATTAGTCTTGCTTAGCGACAACATTCAATAGGGCGATACTCACGCAAGGTTCTGCGCAGCGCACTGAAGAACACCACCAAGAATCCCCAAAGCGCAGCCAAACTGAATACTTCTCAACCTCCCATAATAATCACAAGCCCACATCAGCACCAAACACGCAAAGGCGCCACCAGCAGAAAATAGTCCATTGGCCGTCGCGATCGCCGGTGTCGTTATAGTATCGTAGCCCGGCTCGCCATCAGCGGGAAGATTAAAGAACTGGTACCAGCCCGGCTGGCCGATTGTGCTTCCGATGATGGACGCTGCATATCCGTACGTCTGTGTGTCAATGTAAGCATGTCGCACTGACTACTGAGATTGAAGTGTAATTAAACGTGGATACGAGGGGCCAAACTTACAGTCCCGCCAATTGCGACAAAAGTAATGACGAGCTTGTTGTACAAGCTCGTCTGGTTCCCGGTCTGTGGCATTCTTCGCGACGTGTACCAATCGCAAATTGGATGAGATACGGGAGGGGAAAAAAGAAATGAAAAAGAAGAAAAGAGAAAGTCAATTAAGCTGAGGGCAGAGGGAAGAACTGCGATCGGCGTGGTCTTTTGACAGTCACATTCCCAGTGTAACCCCAGCCCATGCAGATCGCCGGGAGATGGAAGAGACGTGCCGGTTTCGACGGGCTTGTTATGTGCAGGGATTGACAGCGAGTTTTACCTGTTGTGACAGGTCTGCATATTATTACCCACTCGGATGTAACTGAGAAACATGTAATTGCAACACCAAGCAATCCGTTAACCGATCCTTGTCTCAAAACCCTCGCATCACGGCAACATGCAGCTCTTGAGCATGAGGGGTACACCATCACAACGCTATAAACAAGCTTCTTTACTGCAAACCTCCCGCATCAATCACTCTCCATCTCTTCAAAATGGACCCCTCAATCATGGAAAAGCAATGGGACGAACTCCCCGACCCCAAACGCGTCTGGGTAGGCCAACCAGGCAGTCGAGAAGAAGGTCTCGGCCGCCTCGTCCTACTGACGCCAGAGCGGGTGGCTTCAGCCGCACAGACACAGATCAAGACTGGGATCCGCGTCAATCTCGGTTGGGATCTGAATAAGCTTGAGTTTGCGTGCTTTAACCGGCAGCCGTGCGAGCTTAAGATGGTGCCGCTTCTTGGTGGTGTTGCTTTTGATGATATTTACGTTATGAATCCTCGTGGGTACTGTGTTGAATATGTTTTGGGGATTGTGTTGACTTGATGGTAGAGCAGAGTAGTCAGTGGGATGGGTTGAGACATTTTTCTATGCCGAGGGAGGAAGGGAGTGAGGAGAGGGTGTTTTATGGGGGGACGACGAAAGAGGAGATTTTGGATAGGCAGAATGATCGTATTGGTATTCATCATTGGGCTCAGGAAGGGATAACAGGTCAGTAAGAGTCTCCAAAGTTCGTTTCATGTCTAACATGTATCACAGGTCGCGGAGTTCTTATCGACTACGCTTCATGGGCTGAGAAAAAGGGCATCACCTACTCAACCTTCTCTCTACACACCATCAAGCTCAGCGACATCCACCAGATTGCCAAAGAATGCAACATCACCTTCCAGCGCGGCGACATTCTTCTTGTACGCATCGGCGTGATCAAAGAATGGGAACATGTCATGGATGTAGATGCCAAGAAGGCATACGCTGCTTCGACAAGTCCTCAACATGCAGGTGTCGAAGGAACAATGGATGTTCTCAAGTGGATATGGAACACGGGCTTTGCAGCTGTGGCGGGCGATGCTATTAGCTGGGAGGTATGTTTTTTATGAGCATTTTTATGTCAGGGACTGATGGGTGCAGGTGTATCCGCCAAGTGAGGGGGGTGTTTTGATGCATGAGTATATGTTGGCTGGATGGGGGACGCCGATTGGTGAGTTACTTCTGCGTAAATCTTTAATTGCTAACAAGTGCAGGTGAATTGTTCGATCTGGAGAGATTGGCCGAGACATGCAAGAAATTGAACCGCTGGACGTTCTTCATGTCATCTTCGCCGTTCAACATGAAGGGCGGTATTTCCTCGCCACCAAATGCACAAGCAATCTTCTAGGCAACCTGTAGGCTACGTTCACATGTCGCTAGATGATACATCAAACAGAGGAATTACATCGTATCACTATCGTTGCTTTTTATGCCCTGCCTCGACAGCTTCTTTACGCAACAGCCAGTCAATCAATAATTACATGTGAATGCAAGGGTTTCTTACCAAATTTCCTCGTAAAAGAAGACGGCCCGGGGAATTCAACCGGCAACGGTGATCGACAATAAATGGGCCGAGTACGGAAGCGATGTAACGACGTGACGACCAACATGCATATGACATGGCGATCTTTTCTATGTTGAGTGCCGAGGTGGTGTAATTTCGGAAGGTTTTCTGGAATACTTTCACAACTTTATGCAGGATATGCTGATTTATGAGATGTGATGTTGACTCTTCTCTCTGAAGGATTGGCAGTTGAAATGCAACATCGCTTGCCAAGGGGACCTTGTCTCACATTGAAACCCCCACCGAGTGCTGAAGATTAATATTCGATGTTATGATGGTGGCAAACCAATCGTATCCTTCCGGCAGGCCTTCAAATCTGATATCCTTGTCTCTCGGAGGAAATCTGGCCCTATTAGTTAACTCAGACGGGTATTGATCTCGGTAGCAGGCGAGGAACTTTCTTCCATGACCTCACAGTATACATGCGACAGAAACAATGGGCCATTCTCAGGGGTTCTGCTCATACCGGTCCATAACTCGTCCGAGTCCATGTGAAATCGATAACTGATCATATTATCTGTGACTATAACATTCATTGCCTCAAGATCCGAGGCCTGAGAAATTTTACTGGTCCCACTGTCAGCTGTGGATGATCACTGAGCGGAGGATTCTTCGCCATGTCAAAGCTCCTATTACCTGCATCTAGTGGGTACATATGGCACTGACATGCTGTATCTACCATCGGTTGTTTTTGAGTTTCTCTCTTGGTCCTGCAACTGGACGCACTGAAGCATCGGAATCTTTGCAGCCAACATGACCAAACCAGCGATGGAACCGCCTCCGGGGAAGGAGTCCAACTTTGACAATCCGGATCGAGAGTTGTACTACATCTGCATTGCCTCGAATACAATTGCGATGTCTGTATGTACCATCTTCGTTTTTCTGCGGCTGTGGGCCCGGTACAGGTTGGCGATGAGGCTTCGGCTAGATGATAGTATGTCCGCATTCACTACAACATCGAGTCCCTTACTAACGTTAATATCTAGTTGCTTGCGTAATTGGATACGTATGTTCTGTGCTCGACGCACCCTTGTATTGTATCACGTACTAATCTTTGTTCAGATTGGCTTCATGGGATACTGCACCATGTGTCTCCTCAGTAAGCTTGCCGCCCGTGCCCAAACACTTTAAGCTAACGACTATAGTGCTGAGATACGGTGGTGGCCTTCACCAATGGGATGTCCCAGAGCATCTCATAACGCAGTATAACCAGGTACGTCTCTTCTTTATACCCAACCCGACCGTGATCTGAGCTTGTGGTAGACCGTCTACGCGACAATGGTCAACTACGGCCCAACTGTCTTTGCCATCAAAGCAGCCATTCTTCTTTTCCTCGCCAGTATTTTCGCCCCTTACAAGACCTACGTCAAATGGATATACGGCTTCCTCGGAGTCATGGGTGTCTACTACGTTGCCATGTTATTCCTCAAGATGTTCATCTGTCGTCCGATCTCGATGTTCTGGGGCGCTACAACTGATGGCGAATGCTTCAATCAGCGAGTTCTCATTCTTGTCGATAACATCATTAGTCTTCTTAGTGATATCGTTGTCCTTCTTCTACCCTGTCCGCTTACCAAGAAACTCCAAGTGGGACTTGTCGCGAAGCTCAAGATCGTCGCTATCTTTGGAGTTGGAGGAATCGCCTGCATTTTTAGCCTTGTGCGGCTAGTCTTTATCATCCATAATGGGGAAAGCCCGGATCAGACATATGTCTTTCTGCAAATCAACCTGACTGGGTGAGTCACTCCAGATCATGCTTTTGAACACCGCTAACTAGAATTAGAATCGCTGAGTGTGGTATTGGTGTCGTCTGTGCGTGCTTCCCATTCATGCCAATGTTATGGAAATCCATTCTTCACAAGGACAAGCCAGGCTATTCCTCCAATTATTCGAGGTCACAGTTTGAGATGATGAGTTCGTCCAAAGAGCGATCGCGAAACACGGGGCATACACCAGAGAGCGGGCACTATAACGAGGATACGGGAAGTGATGAGAATATTCTTATACCGAATGGCAAGTCGTATGTTACCACTAACGTTCGTGCGGGCGATGGTACTGCTGAGGGAAGCACTGGTAGCATCGGTGATGGGAATGGGGGACATGGAGCAAGCCTGGATGACTCGCACATTCTTCGAACGGTTGAGGTGCGGCAGTATGAAGAGCGTTAATTGTATGTAGCATAGTTCACTTGTTCAAACCCGCATTACCAATGCTTACAAAGTCAATGCGAATTATGAACACCATGAAATCATCTTGGCAACCAGTATAAAATGAAGCGCTAACATATTCATTACTCGTAACGATGGATCACAAGGATAAACAACAACTCATGCTTCTTTCCAAATCGCTTCTCAGTCCAGACACCAGTCCATCACTCCAGTCCATAATTGCTAATGCCTTTGTATCACACTTAGTACTTGTATCGCCAGCCACGCTCGACACCAGAGTTAGGAGTCCATCCCTCCTGCTCATCAAGCTTCTTGTTAAGCTTCTGAGCCCTCCATCGAACCAGGAAAGCCGAGAGGACTGTCAAAGCACAGCCGAGAAGGAGAAGACCACCAGCCATACGGTAGAAAGGCTCCTGGCTTCGAGGATAGAAATAAGGGCTGAACCAATGGCTGACCTGGCTGATGCAGTTGGCGATGGCGATAAGAGCAGCCTTCTTGGCACGAGGAGCGGGAACGACGGTGGTTTCCCAGGACAGCTGCAAGTTTAGACCGTTGTAGGTACCGCAGACGAGGAGGATGATACCGACGTATCGAGCGGCGACGTTGATGGTGCCGATGAGGATACCGCAGCCGGCTGCTGAGAGGATGATGGGGATGACGACGTGGTATGTTGATTCCATGAAGTGGCCGCAAGACCAAGCGATGATACAGGCGGAGATGTAAGCGAGGGCGTAGGGAGGAGCCTGGATGAGGTAGGTGGTCATCTTGTTGAAGCCAAAGGTGTTCATGATCTAAAGATGTTAGTAGGGAACGGAAATGGTGGGCTGTGTGTACTTACGGAAGGGAGGAAATCCTTGAAGCTCTGAGCAGTGACGAGAGCAAAGTGCATGAGGCAGAAGTACCAGGTGAAGGGATCCTTGACAGCATCACGAACACCATCCCAAGTACCACCGACCTTCTCATCGATACCGCCGTTGGAAACCAGGATTCGGTACTGAGCCATCTCACGTTCCTGCTCATCAAGGAACTTGGTGTCATTGGGCCAAGAGGGGAGAACGAAGAAAGAGACGACAGCAACGATGATGGAGACGATACCCTCAATGAGGAAGAACCATTGCCAAGCGTGCATGCCAGCGATTCCGTCCATGTGCTCCAGAATACCAGCAGCCAAGAAACCAGAGATGATATTTGAGATGGTGTTACCAGCGTGCCAGATAGCCATGCGGAAAGGTGATTCCTCTTTAGTATACCAAGATGAAGTCATGAGTGTCAGACCAGGGAAGAAAGGAGCCTCCATCAAACCAATGAAGAAGCGAACTACACAGAATCCAACACCATTGGTCATGGCGGGCATGCAGATTGTACCCGCACTCCACATGAGCATGATGGTAGGCAGGAAGAACTTGGGGTTTGTCTTGGCCATGAGGAGATTGCCGGGCAATTGACCAATGAGGTAGCCGACGTAGAAAGTCGAGATACCCGCGTTCCAAACGGTATCAGTCATGCCAAGATCTTCCTGCAGACCAGCGAGTCGAGCGTTGGAGACGTTGATGCGATCGAGGTAGCTAAGCTCACCGTTAGTCTTGGCCGTCTTGGTCGAGGTAGGGATTGACTTACTTCATCAAGAACATGAGGGTGACACACGGCATCATATGCCAATCAACCTTGCTGCGAACTTTCTTGTTCAACGCATCCATCTGCGTCTGCGAGAGATCCCGCAGGAGCGGAAAACGAGCCTGGATCTCAATGGGGGGGATATGTCCGACAGGCGAAGAGATGGCGTTCTCAACAGCCGCGACCTCTGCCTTCTCATCGAAGCGGTCCTCATTGTGGGAGGCGGTCTCGTTATTCTGCGAAACAGTCATGCTGGGCAAAACTCTTGGTTTCCAAGACTTGAGTGGATAGCTGGGTGGAACTGGACTGGAGAACCAAGAAGTGATGATGAGTCTGGGCAGAAACAAGAAATCTGGGGTAGGATCTCCCAAGACTTTTATACACAGCTTGGCAGGCTTCTCGTCATGTTTGTTTGCTCAATCTGAGAGAGCAGAATTGGGTGAAATGGCGAGTCAGGTCAGCCGCAGCGCGGAACTGGGAAAATTCATCGGCGCCCCCCTCGTAGCGTTATCCCCGTTAAGGTTACGCATAACCTTAACTTAGTCTTGGCAAGACGCGGAGAACCCCAGTAACTACGGTCTCGAATCTGCTTTGCGGGGGGACAGCAGAGAATGCCATTTGTTCCCGCGGGAATCTGTTTTGCCAAGGCCTTCCCGGTGACTCTTCTCCCCCACGGGGGAATGGAGAGAGGTAATTGTCGGTTAATGATCGCGGATGATGTCCGGGGTTTGGGCTGAAGTTGGGGAAGGCCGATGGACCCTGGGCGTTGCGTTGCAGGTCAAGTGACTCCAGTTCTCCCACGGACCAAGTTTTCGGTTAGGTGAAAGGGTGAGGGGAAGTCCGAAGGTTGGTCTGGGGTAGATACGGTCTGGCATGACATGTTGCTGACGATCGCCGTTGAGGACCCGGATATGCCTCGGTGATCGGCATGAGTTTACGGTTATGTTTAAGCTTGTACGATGGATCTGATAAACAGAGACTACGGCTATACGATAATATACGGAGAGAATCAATTGCAGAGCGAAGTCGTGTCAGTAAAGGTCATCTGTGCGTTTATCGACACCGTCTAGTTATAAGAAGCATTCACTGAAAAAGTGCAGAAGTTGTGGTTCGAAATGGACATAGAATATTTGAGAAATCGTCTATGAATGATACATAAAATCGTTTCAATGCCATAAGCTAATACTCCGACCCAAACTTCCCGTAAATGAGCTCCAAAAGACAAAACACTCCCAAGCACTCTCCTTCTTCATCCCCATCAACAAGCCCGCAATATTCTCATACGCCGTGAAAACAATACCACCGCTAAGAATCAACCGTCCCAAGCGCATAGTACTTCCACTCCAAAACGCTCTCACGCCTCCATCACGCAGAACCTGCTGCACAGCCTCGCCCATACCAATACCCTTGGCAGACTGCGATCTCGTCTTGATGGTATCAAACGGCTGTGTAGCGTAAACAGTGATGACACCGGCGATGGCGCCGATGCCGAATGTCACGAAGGGGTTCTTGCCGTCGGACTTGAATGTGTCTTTTAGGATGTTGTAGGAGCCCATGCGGACTCCGGATGTGGCTGATTGCTTGAGGGTGGTGGACATGAGACCGCGGTAGATTTCGCGGACGCCGCGCTCGACTGCTATTGTGCGTAGAGCGTGAAAGCCGCCGTTGAGACGCTTGTTCCCTGAGCGAGCATCGTCAATGCTGTTATTTGTCAGTACACAACTCTTCATTCAGCAGAAGACGGGCTACTTACAGAGCAGTCTTGATTCGTTCTGTAGGTGTAACGACAGTCACACTCTCGACGGCACCGGCAATCATGCCAGCGAGGATATTTGATCCCGCTGAGTGCTTGCCATTGGCATCTGCTAATTGAGCCTTTACAGTATCAAAAGAGAGGAAGCGAACACCAGCTTTGGCAGCAGTTCCCTGATATTATTAGATCAAATCTGTTAACTGGTTTAAAAAGGGATACTCACAACAATCAATGAAGAACATCCGGTGTAAATTGCGCGGATGCCATCTGAACGAACTGTCTGGCCGATGACGGCAAATGGAGATTTGGAGACTTTTACTCCAGCAGGTGCTTGGCGGGCACTCAGCTGGGCTACTGTCTTTGCCCACTCAAAAGGGTACTAAACGAGTTAACACTCAATCCTCTACTCCCAGGTTGCAAAAGAAACTCACTGTGATTGTGGCCTCAACACCACCTGCAACAGCACCAGCAGCAAGTGAAATACCAGGAGTGATCTTCTTCTTCTGCGCAGGCGCAGTCTGTGCTACAACCTGCTTGGGCAGCGCAGGCTTAGCGATAGGTTGTGTCGTAGCGATGGCGTCCATTTTTGGGGTAACTCGGTGAATCCAGGTGAGAAGAAACGGTCAAGACTTGGCACTGATGACAAACGGAGAGAAACAAATAAATGAATAAACCAACAAATAAAACAGCGTCTACTAACATTTAAAAGGATAGTCGCAGTTTAATAATAGCAGACTTGCAGCCACGGGTAAACGAAACTGAAAAGTGAAGGGGAAGAAAACGGAGATAATTCAACGCTTTGCCCTTTGGGGACTACGACCCGCGGATCAACAGTGGATCCGGGTGGAATTGATCAGCTCAGCTTTCTTCCCGTCTCTTCCCGTGCCTCACAATTCTTCCCTTTTTTCTTCCCTTCCCACGCAGAAGCACAGAGCGTAAACGATGCCCGCAGAGTCCACGCCTACCCGCGTCCGCAGGCGTGCCACAGAAGCTTGCACATTCTGCCGCAAAAGAAAAGTGAGACCTACCTTACCCCTCATACCCCCCTCCCTTACCCCAGTTGTCGTAAAGCAGGCGAGTGAAAGTTCCCGCGGGACTAACACTACAACCCTAGATCAAGTGTAACGGCCAGAAGCCAAAGTGTATCAACTGCCAGACATACGAGAAAGACTGCGTCTACGAGCCGGTCCCCGATGTCACCAAGGCAGCAGGCCGCCAGCGCCATCAGCGCACAAAGACCCGTAGCGTCAAAGCACGCACGGAATCACCCGCCCGCCAGACAAGCGCCCCCGCAGCCTCGTCAAACGGCGACAGTGAAGCAGCGAGTAGTCAGCAGGCAGTAACGACAACAACAGCACGCGATGGAGCACAACCTCGCCATCAATCCTGGGATCCTTCACCGCGGCCCATGGATTCAGGCGTCGCGAGAGTCGTTGTCCTCGCGAACGGTGAATCGACGTATCATGGACGCACGAGCGCCCTTTTTGAGGATAATGCGCAGGAGAGACCTGTTGAGCAGGAGGTGCAGCCGCGGATGCCGGATCATTGGGTAGAGCGCGGTCTTATCGCTGAGGCAGCTAAGCAACGTGGGTACATCACCTTTACTTTATACTTGTAGTTTTTTTTTCGTAAAGCGGTGTATGAAACTAATGTGTTTTGTGTGAGATAGGGCAACTGGAGGAGATCCATTTCGCTAAGGGGCAGCTTGACTTTGACGGCGTCGATCCCGACCTGGGGATGCATCTCCTCTCACTGCACTGGAACCGCCAACACCACTCGTTCCTCATCACGTACCGTCCCGCCTTCATGCGGGACATGGCATGCGGCGGGCCATACTTCTCCAAGCTTCTCCTCAACGCTATATACTTTGGTTCATCAAAGTTTAGTCCAAGGCTTGAAGTACGCAAGGACGTTAATGATGTTCGGACTGCGGGATGGCGGTATCGTGAGAGGGTTAGGGAGTTGGTGGGAGGGTCGTTGGACAGGAGCGATATCACGACGATTCAGGCGCTGCTTGTCATGACGAATTCGTTGTTTGCGCTGGGTGATGAGAGGAGTGCGGCGTGGTTGTACGCTGGGCTGGCGTTTCGGATGCTCATTGACTTGGGGCTGCATGTTGACTTGACGAATTCGCATCAGTTCTCTGATGAGGATCTTGAGATACGACGGCGTGTGTTTTGGGGAGCTTTTGGTAGGTACCTCCAAGATGATCATCTTCAAATACTAACATAAACAGTGGTCGATAAGATTCAGAGTCTGTATCAAGGCCGTCCCGTTACCCTCAAAGAAAACGACGCCATGGTTCCGATTAAGTTCATCGATACATACTCTGAGCTCGAATTCTGGCAGCCTTTTGCGTACTCGACGTCAAAGAACAACTACGCCGGTTCACCTGCTTACAGTATCTCAACCTTTACTGCGCTCTGCAAGTTGTCCATCGTCATGAGCGATGTCATGAGCACCATATACACAGTCCGGACCACAGACCAAAGTCCAGCTGAGTTGTCAAAAGTGTTGGATAAGCTGCAGAAGAAGTTACGAGATTGGCATACCGCTTTGCCAGATCATCTCAAGCCTGAAGTTGCGAATGCACCTGATGCTACAGTTCCTCCACCTCACGTTCTCAGTCTTCAGTGAGTCTCATTAACACTCATGTTTCGTTCAACGCTAACATCTCAGCGCCATGTATCACGTCCTCGTTATCCTCCTCCACCGCCCCTTCGTCGCAGACGGTCATCTCTACAACACATTCCGCTCCATCTCCGTCGACTCCGTAATCAAATGCTCAGCCGCCGCCTCCAGCATCTGCAGTCTTCTACGCGCCTACCACCGCGCATTCTCCGTCCGTCGCGCCCCCTACCTAATCTCCTACGCAACATACGTCGCCGCGACAATCCACTGCCGCATCGCCGCCAAAAACGGCAAAGGCTCCGCTGCCTACGTCAACCTAATGACATGTCTCGCCGTGTTCAAAGAAAACCAAGAGACTAACTCCGCAGTGCAGAAGGCCGCCGTTATTATTCACAGGCTCATGAGCAAATACGGCGTTGTCGTTGATGATATTCCTGATGACGCGCTTGAAGCTGAACCGGCGACTAAGTCGCGTGATCAACAGCCTCAGCAGCAGCAGCAGCGGGTACAAGCGCAGATTGGGTATGAAGGACTAGAGAACACGGGCAGCGCACAGACGGAAACGTCGCCGAAACAGGAAATGCAACCAGTTGAATTGAGCGGTAGCGCGGTGCCGTCACCGGGTTCAGACTGGATCAACATCGATGGCATCATACAGAGCTTCCTGCGCGAGGGCGACTTCAACGGCAGCAGCAGCGAGCCAACCATGTACGGGCAGTACCCCCAGAAAATACCTCAGGTCGACGGGGAGCACTATCTCCACACATCGACGGCGGGTCAACAGCCTGTTTACTTTCCCCAGGGGTTTCCCGCGGGAGGTTTGAACAGTTTTGCTCCCGTGCCCACTGGGGCTGGGGACATTGAGGGTGGGAATTCATGGCAGCAGACGAGTTTCTGGCCGGCGAATCAGGATGCTGCCTTTTTGGAGGATCCGATTTTCGGGTTTAATGGGTCGAGTACGGGTGAGTTTCAGTTCATGGGGAGATGAAGACTTTGCCACTGCTTCCCGTTCCCGCGGGACACTTTTTGGTGAAACGGGATGTTTATATGGGCCAGACGGGAGGCCAAGAACTCGTCTCCCACGGCATCTCCAGTTTTTCTTCCCTGCTAGAATCACTCGGAGTGTTATTCCCCGGCATCGCCAATGCCGAGCTCAATTACATTACGAGCAAAAAAATGGCAATTCCATGGCCAAACCACGAGTTATTTAACTCTAGCCATTTCGTTACCCTCCCAGTCTCTACCACGTAATTTGCAATCAATCCTCAATTCACAATGGCTATCGAAATCGAAACTCCCCAGGAACACTACCCTACCCGCCACGCCCTGTCCTGCGTGCTAATGCGCGCCGGGACGTCAAAGGGCCTCTTCATCCACCGGAAAGACCTCCCCGAGAAGGAATCCGAATGGGGTCCACATCTCATCTCAGCATTGGGTTCGCGAAACAACGACGCAAAGCAGGTTGACGGCGTCGGCGGTGGTTCATCTACCACGTCAAAGGTTGCTGTGATTTCACTGTCGAACCGTGAAGATGCCGACGTTGACTTCACTTTTGTTCAAGTCGCTGTTGGTAAAGAATCAGTGGATTTTTCAGGAAACTGTGGAAATATGAGTTCGGGTGTTGGACCTTTTGCTGTTCAGGAGAGGCTTGTCACACCGAAGCCGGGACAGACGGAGATTGATGTTAGGATCTTCAACACCAACACGAGCAGAATCATCGTCGAGACTGTTGAGTTGGACCGCAACGGTGACTTCAAGGAGGATGGCGACTTTATCATTCCTGGTGTTAAGTCACCCGGCAGTGAAGTAAAGTGCTCTTTCGTCGATCCCGCCGGTAGCATGGCGGGAAGCTTGTTCCCCTCTGGACAGAAGCAGCAGTGGCTTAACGTCGACCCTTCATCATTATTACCTGAGATGGCACCTTTTCAGATCCGCGCTACTCTCATCGACGCTGCGAACCCGTTCGTCATGATCAGCGCAGCAGACTTCACAACCATCCTCGGCGCCAATGCTGCACCAGAGACACAGCACGCTTTAGTCGAAGCAATTCGATGCCAAGGCGCTGTAGACATGGGTTTGGCAACAAGCACAAAAGTCGCTGGCCTCACCCGCGGTACACCCAAGATCGCACTTCTCTCTTCACCTACACACCGCGCCAACAAGACTCCCGATATCTACGTGCAGTCGTACTCTATGGGTCTTCCCCATCCAACACTCCAACTCACTGGCGCAGTTTGCTTAGGATCGGCGGTTAGTATCCAGGGTACTATTGCCGCAGACCTATCAGCTACGCCTATTACCGATGGACCTCCTACGCCTGAGCGTACACCATCACCTGATATGCAGGGAGAGAGGAAGGATACTGCGAATACAAGACAGATTATTATTGAACATAGCAAGGGTACCATTCCTGTTCTTGTAAAGAAGAATGGGGAGGATGGAATTGAGAGCTGTGCTGTTTCACGAACGGCGAGAAGACTTTTTGAGGGACGGGTTTGTTATTACTTGTAAGGTATAAATAGTCACGGCGTTTGTTTAGAGCATGTATGATATCACGTCAATTGAGTTACGACTTGAACGATGAATTGTTCATGTTGAGTCTATACGATCTGTGACTTCCATCCTCCTGATGCCTCGAAGAGCTTTCCTACGGCTGCACTCACTGCTAGAAGCTTTCTGTCGTGATACCGGGGCGCAACGAGGGACAGTCCAATTGGCATTCCGTTTTCACCAGCGAATCCGGGGATGTTGATGACGGGATTATGCAATGCCTAGAAGAGAAAAGTCAGTTGGGTTTCTCACTTCTCAGCGATATCCATAGCTATCGGTCACTTACTGTCCAGATCAAATTGAACGCAGCACTTCCAGTTGCCTCAATACCCTTTGGTGCCTCATCCGGGACACTCGGCACCAACACAGCATCATACTTGCCCAACATCTCATCGACGATAGGTCTCGCTGCTGCGATTTCATCAAAAGCCTTGATCTGCGCAGCTCTAGAAATCTTGAGACGGTTCTCAACGTGTCCAACCAACTGATCTGCAATCTGGCTCTTATCAACTCTATACTCTGGCAAAAAGGCTGTTCTCCCATCGGTGTTGAAGACGATGGAGTGCCATTTCGGTAGATCTTGCAGATGTTCGGGAAACTCAATCTCGTCAACTGTAGCGCCGGTCGATCGGAGGAGTTCAACGGCTCTATCCATTGCCTTGACTAGACCGGGGCCAGCTTGGGGCCAAACCATTGTTTTGCAAACAGCGAATTTTCCATTTTTGACGGAGTACTGTTGAGTAGGACGCTCGTCGTCTTCCAACGCGAATACATCAGCGAGCAAGTTCAGATCTTCTACTGTGCGTGCATAAATCCCCAATGTATCAAGCATCAACGAGAAAACTTTCTGCCCTTCCCTCGAAATTGAGTTCCACGTTGGTTTGAAACCGTAGATACCGTTGAAAGAGGCCGGACGGATGGTACTTCCTCCGGTCTGTGTGCCGAGACTGATGGGAGCTTGGAAGTCTGCTACTACTGCTCCAGATCCTGATGATGAACCTCCAGGTGTACGAGAACTGTCGTGTGGGTTTGTGGTTTGCGGTCCTTGGGTAGTGGCTGCGAATTCAGTAGTGGTCGTCTTGCCTAGGATGAGAGCGCCGGCTTTGCGGAGGATGATGATGCTGGCTGCGTCGACTTGGGGTGCATCGTCTTTGTATATGGGCGAGTTGAACTGCGTTGGCATGTCTGAGATATCAGCGTTAGCTAACTAATATTTTGCCTGGTTTCCTCTGGTGGGCTTACCCTTCGTGTAGATGACATCCTTGACCGCAATCGCTACACCATGCAAAGGTCCCCGTTCTTCCTTGGGCACAGCATCTAATTTACGAGCTTGTTCAATCACTTGATCGGGGTTTATGTAAGCCCACGCTTTCACAATAGGATCTCGCTCTTTGATGCGTCCCAAGAGCGACTGCGCATACTCCTCAACCGTAAGCTGGCCATCTCGGATCTTGGCGGCCACGTCAGTTGCTGAGAGTTGATAGGGTTGGACAAGCATGATGAAGAACGACAAACTGCTCTTGTTGAAAGTAATTTAGACGATTGAAGAGTATCTCACGAAGTTACTGTTCTTATGGAGGATGACATAATGCCTCAAAGACCTGACGGGTAATTATTCCCGGCACCGGTCTCCGATCGGCTTACTGGTCTTATCAGCTTATCAGCGGTCGGTATGTTTGCATCCGATGCGGAGAGGTGGGTCCGGTGAATGAACTTGGCCGACGGAGATAAGCTGACGGGACGGGAACTCCTCTTAGCGCTTATGATGATGTTAAACGAGAACACTTGATGAAGCTTCGTTCATGACATAGACGGAGGCCTGGTTGGAATACAGAGCAAGTTCCAAACATCCTTCTCTTGGTCGGAGCTCAGACATGGTTCACAAGGTCAACTCAGCATCGGGAACAAGCTCAGTTGCCGAAAAAAGAGTGTGAGAACCATTATTAATACTAACTATGGGGTACTGTCAACGAAGCCATGTAATTATATCCGGTATTACAATCTATGTCCATTCCATTCCTTACAGCGACGAATCGTCTGCCTTTGCATTCACCTCTCCGACAGTCTTATCCGCAGAAGGTGATTCCTGAGCATAGATGACCTGTCCCTCCCTCTCATCCTCATAGAAGCCCTCTCTACCATCCTTAGCCAGCCACTCCCAAGTCTTGGCCGTAGCGCGACCAGCAGGGAAGACACGGATGTTGACGAACTGAACGCCGATAGTGTAGACGACTCCAGCAGTGACGAACGTAAGAAGCCAGCCCATCATGTACATGTACCGCGACGCATCGGAGAGAAGATGAGGCTGATACTGTCCAACTAGACCAGGCAGGCCCATGGTAGTTCCTCCGATCCAGGCAAAGCAGCCAACCCAGTTGACGCCGGACCAGAAGTGGTAGAGACCATGCTTGCTTCCGTCGTAGCATGATGGGACGTGGATGTTGCCTCTCCGGACGTAGAAGTAGTCGACGATGATGACAGCGCACAGAGGTGCCATGAAGATGTTGTAACTACCAAGGAACGACAAGAAAGCCTGCGCATTAGCCATAAGCTTCCAAGGCACAACACAAATTCCCAGGATAGCACAGACAATCTGCCCTCTTCGAATAGTGAGCCATCTCGGGAAGAGACCCGTCATATCGGACCCGAAAGGAATCGAGTTGGCGCCAAAGTTGGTCGCAAAGACACCCAGCAGGAAAGCCAGCGCCAAGAAGAAGACTCCCGCACGAGCGCCCGCATTCCAATGATGATCGAGAATAGAGTCCAGTAAATCCCAGATATTCCAGTACGCCTCTCCATAAACAGTCTGCATGGAGGCCGTCGACGCAAGACCGAGGAAAAACACGATAACAGAAGACACAAAGACACTAACGCCCTGAAGAGGACCTGCATCGCGTGTCTTTTGGCAATATCGCGCTAGATCAGGCTGATTAACCAACATGGGTGATAGTCCACCCATGATGACGTTGATACCAGACATGATACTCCAGCCAAGAGGAGTCGTAGACGCAGCGGCCTCGGCTTCTTTGGACGCCATGTTCATGCCGTTCAAACCACCACCGTTGGCCATGCACCATCCGAAGATGGCGAATGCGGCGATGGGCATGGTGAAGCCTTTTACTGTGAAGACGTAGTGAATATTCCTTGGATGAACCCACATCTGCAAACATTAGCAATGGTCATTAATGAAGGGTTTGTGGGGTGCGTACGAAGGGGAACTGCATTAGCCAAACGAGGAAGAAAGCCAGAAGGACCTTTGAAGAGATGTCGGCGTTTTCGCTGAGGGTGTTGGTGAAGTTTTGCCAGGAGCTACCGAATATGCAACGGAGCATTACGGAGAGGATCGATCCGCCGTAGAAAGTCTGGATTCTGTGTTGCAGTTAGTATTGATGATGGTGTATTGGGGGAGGGGGGATACGTACCCGTACCAAACGATGCATACGATGGCTCGGATGAAGATGAAGAAGTATGCGCCGTACATCCCCATGCTAGATCGAGCGAGGACGGGACTAGGTGTTAAGGTTAGTATAGGTGCAGGGGATGGAAGGATGTAGGTTACTGACAAACCAATATGGTACTGGACACCGGGCCTGGCCATGCAGATCACAACCAGCGATGCGAGCAACGCACCCAAGACGCATGAGACGAATGATTGCTGCCAGGTCTATTCCCAAGTCAGTTTCGTCATAGCTGCAGAGTCAATCAGAGAATAGTGTACTTACCAGTCCAACAGCAATAAGCGATGAACCAGTGTTCCATCCCGTAAGACTAAACTGGTTGGAGAACCAGTACAGCGGTAAATTGTACCTGTATCAATCAGCACCCCACACAATACTCTCTTCGGCGGACAATTCACTTACCATGTCCAGTTCCGATGCTCTGGGGGCGTAGGTTCAAGATCTTTATTAGACCATCGCTCATTACCAACTCTCATCTGACCATCCGCCGTGTCAGATGTCTTGACAAAGTTGACAAACGCTTCTTTCGATCGAAACGGAGCTGTGAGCTCACTCCTAGATGGGATGTTAACCATGATTGAGATGCCTTGCGTGATGCGTCAGTCTCTTGAACAATGTCACTTCAATGATGTACAAAGTTGGGATCTTGTTCATTCATATCTAATATCCAGCCTTACATCATGGTCTCCAATCTCCTCCCAAGCCTGAGCTGCTCTAGAGTCACAGCGTCTATCAGTACTCCATCGGGTACTTTTCTCCCGACGATTACTCACGTCCCAGTCCCAGTGGCGTCGTCCCTGAGTCGCACCGGATGTAAAGGCGGGGTTGGACCGTCCGATTGGAGAGTCTGATAAGGATCGAAGCCAGATAACATGGCTCTATCAATGGTGGTGTTCGCTATGTAACGCTACAGGGGGCTAGTTTGGTTTGGGCATAGATAAGGTTGCCCGAAGATAACGGTTCCACTGCGAACAACGTGTGCTGATTCTGGGGTCTGGGGAAATATTCTCTTTTTCTTGGGTCTTATCTGAATTTGTGATTGTTCATTTGTGATCGGCTTCGTTGAACCGAAATTTTGGATGAGAGCAGTGTGTTTTGCATGTGAGTCAATGTCATGGTTTTGCGGCGATCAAGAACATCGCAGGCTACCGAGTGGCTGGTTTACGAGTAGTAGTTCCTGGAGCTGGTCACAATCATCCTGTTTTGCAATATGTCATTTGAGAAACCAATAATCTTTTGGGGAGGCTGAAATGGGCATTGACGTATCATGATACAGAACAAACAACATGAGAACCATGGACGACAACGTGACAGCCACTGAAGACCGGTTCCCAATACGTCTCGATGGTCTTGTAAGTAACCCTCAATGACATCCAGACCAGTGTCACTGATACTTTCAGGGTTCCATTGGAAGGCAATCCGACACTGCAGGCCGCAAGGGCCGCGTAGCATTGGCCTGCAAACGATGCAAGAGACGTAAACAGCGGGTAAGTCAGCCTTACACCCCTGGGCAGTTACACTTACATGAGATCCTAGTGTGATGGCTCGCATCCAACGTGTAAGTCCTGCGAAAGAGTCGGTACTCCATGTATCTACGAGAGAACAATCCGACCGCAATACCCAGGCGGCAAGACACTATACATCAATGCTCTTGAAGAGCGTATCGCGTTCCTTGAGGCAAGATTGCCAGATCATGCGCAAGATCATTTTGAGACCCTCGCGCCTTCTTCTGTTGTTGATGGTCAAGATCATGACGCTGTCAATGTTCAGACTTATCCTGAGTCTTCGTCATCGCACCGTGGTTCTGTATCTGAAGATCTGGATGGCTATGAACGCAATTCTATCATTGATGGCGTCGCATACCTCTCACTCTGCGCCTCCGGTACCGCAGAAGCAACACCCGATCCATCATATCTGGGCTCAAGTTCTGGCGCTGCCATTGCTCAAATGATACAGCGATCAATATTCCATAACTCCAGAAATGGCATCACTCGTCCGAGCAATTTCCCAAGACAACCCAATCCCTCTGTCGACCCATATCTCGAAAGCTTAGCACCTGCACTACATCTTCACCCTGATGAACCATCCCACGGCTTTCCCTTCCCAGATGAAGCTCGTCATCTCTTCGACATATTCTTCGATCGAATGCATACCCGATGGCCAATCCTAGACAGGAAGAAATACACTGAGCTTTTCGAACTCCAGTATCAGCAGGGCGCTTTATCCATAACCCAAAGAAGTATCATGCATCTCATCTACGCTATCACCGCGCGGTTTGAACAGCTTACTCGCAAGCCATCACAAGTCGATCCCGAAAAACATTTACTAGCAGCGATTGAACCAATGGATCACATCCTAGAACAGCATAATCTTGCTACTGTTCAGTTCCTCTTGTTGCTAGCTGTTCATGGACAGAGATCACCTTATGGGGCTGGTGCTTGGAGTCAAGTTCGCTATGCGGTTTCTCTCTGCATTGAGCTTGGTTTGCACCGTGAGCGGCAAGGACCACCGCCTAGTGCAGATATAGCGAGAGACTTGGAGATTCGTCGACGAGCGTTTTGGTCGTGTTATTGTCTTGACCGGGGGACAAGCGTGGTGCTTGGTAGGGCGTTTGCGATATCTGATAGAGACATCAATGTTTCGGTAAGTCACCCTCGCCCGCACTTGGAGTAACCCTTTGACTCGAGGTAGATGTCAAACCCTGGACGAGAATATTGGGACTTGACGCATGCATTATCTCCGTGTGACGATCATGCAGTGGAGTGGTGCAACATCGAACCTTTCATTCATATCATCAAGCTCGAGAAGATCCAGTCCCGCATTCACCGCACTGTTTTTAGGGTCGATAAGGATATCTTCTCTGGTCCAGTTGAAGAACGCGTCAAGCTGGATCAAAAGATGGCTTCTATACGAGCAGACCTCGATAGATGGATTCAGACGACGCCTCAGTCGCCCAAAGATAATGGCAAGATCACTTGGCTATACGATCCCGAGAGTACGAACCAGGATGCTGGTGACTTTTACAGTCTGTAAGTACCCTCCTTTCAAGTCATCTTTGTGAATAAGTCTAATGGCAGTAGCCAATATCATAAGGCAGTCTTGGCTCTCTTCACAGTCTTACTTCCATCTCTAGCCACAACCGACCCTCGATTCATCACAACAGCGCGATCAGCTGCTTGTGTTTGTATCGCATACAAACGACTCAACCAACAAAGAACTCTGACATACACCATGATCTCACTACATAGCTGTTTCGTCGCTGGGCTCACTCTGATGTACTGTATCTGGAAGGACAAGAGCCTATTCAGCTATCACGTTGTCGAGGCTACGCAAGCATGCTCTCAGAGTCTCACTGTCTTTGGCGAAAAGTGGGCTGGCGCCGTCAAGTACCGCGATATCTTTGACGCATTATCTGGTAGTCTTCTAAAGACGCTAATGAGCCCTGGTGGATTGTCTGGTGATACGGGAATGGGTGCACATCAGACTCCCCCTCTGCAGGCCAAGTTCGAGCGGCCGGGTTACAGCGCCAGCCCAGGGTTATCGTCTCATCAGTCCGGCGCCACTTTGCAAACTAGCAATGAGGCAGACGATGTCACAATGCGTGATCTTGTTTCGGACGCCGTTAAAGAGGCCTTTATGGAGGTTGATGAGGAAGCACCTGGTGGTTGGCATGGCTGGCACATGTGGAACGAGATGCTAGGTGAAGATCCTAGTGCTTCAGAACTGTCCACCTCAAACGTGTTCTCTGGAGCGGCGAAGGGCTGCAAAGATGTTTGGAACTTGTCGCAGGGAGACTTGGACCTGAGCAGAGGTTGGGACTTCAGCGGACAGTGAACGTCTTGCATTAGCTATCATCAAATAACTACAAAAGATGTGTTACTTATACCATTTTTATTACCTTCATCGAAGCTATTGACGCCCTTCGGCCTCAGGGTAGAACAGATCAAGGGCATGCGACTAATCATGAGTCATCTCTTTAACTACTCTATCAAGCCAACTCACCCTTCTTATAAGGAAACTGCTCCCTAAAAACCTCAGCAATCTCCGTCCTCGTCGCAACCCAAACACCCTCCTTCTGCGCAATATACTCCACAAAATCCTTCAACGCCTTAAACCGTCCCGGTCTTCCAATAATACGACAATGTAAACCAATAGTCATCATCTTGGGCTCACCCGCCTCTCCCTCTTCATACAGCACATCAAAAGCGTTCTTGAGGTGAGTGTAGAAACTGGTAGAGTCGCGAAAGCCAGTGACGACGTGGAACTTGAAATCATTGCAGTCGTAGCTGTACGGAACCATCAGACAGCCCTTTGGGTTAGGCTTTTCTCGCTCGGTGGGGAGATCGATCCAGTATGGGACGTCGTCTGCGTATGTGTCGCTTGCCCACAGGAGCTCTTCACCCATTTCTTCGTAGACTTGGGGGATTAGAGTGCGGCTGTGCGGTGAAGGACGACCGTAGTACCATCCCTTAGGAGCATATCCCGTCAGGCTCTTCAGACTGGTTATTCCCTTCTTGATGTACTCCTTCTCCTTTTCAACAGACCAGTCATGATGATCTACCCAGCGGTAAGCGTGAGAAGCTACATCGTGACCCTCTTCAACACAGCGAGTAGCTACTTCAGGCTGCTGTTCAACCGCTTGTGCCACAGCGTAGAGAGTAAACTTCATTTTATGCTGGTTGAAGAGCTTGAATAAGCGCCAGAAGCCAACGCGAGAACCATATTCGTACTCTGATTCGCCGTTGAGGTCGCGCTCGTTCATGCGTGGTGTCGTAGGGTGCTCCCGGAGGTTTGTCTCTGAGACGCCATCACCACTTTGAACACAGCGCTCACCGCCCTAATGCCCCGAGTATTAGCAGTGAAGATACAATTATCGGGCTATTTTTATGCAGTTGACTTACCTCTTCGTAATTGATGACGAATGATACAGCGATCTTGGCGTTGTTGGGCCACTTCAACCCAACTAAACCCTTCTCTCCATATCCCTTAAAATCACGGTCATAGCCGTAATCGGGGTGCGAGGCAAAAGTAGTAGGCATGATAGGCAATAACACTAGACTCTGAGAATGAAACTTTTGGATCAACACAGTTAGACAGTGGACTGATGGCTGGGCTATAAGCAAGCTGTACTCAATGCCTTATCTCGATGCCGGCCAACTTATTGCGAACCCATCGGCGAATTTTGGGCCGACCCTCTCCTTCGACCTTCCTATATCCGACCGGGTCAGGAAAACGCCCCTAGCGCGGGGTCATGAGTCGTGTCTACGATAAGGAACGCGGGGAAGATAACGGACGTTACATTATGGCTTGGGACGATAAGCTTGTGGTTGGTCCAGTTTATTCCCGCTTATCACACAAGGCTCGACGATAAGACTATACCGAATGGGGATAGAAAGATTCTCTGTCAGGATGTGTAGGGTAAGAGCAACAGAATGCTGAATGAATGGGATAAATAGTAAATTACAGTCGCAATGCAGAGTAACCTGGCAATTTAGCTTTTATATTAATTCTTAAATATTTCTACTAGTATATGTTATAATAGGTTTCTTACTTATGCAAGAGAAATGCAGATGTTTTGGTCATTATGACTATCTGTTGTGGGAACCTCAAGCCGAACACATGTTAAGCTGGGTGAAGGTGCGCCAAACTGACCTCAGAAGAAAGGTACTTTGTTTTGGTGACGATAACACCAGCACCCAAGTACCCCGTATAGCGGGGATCTTACAATTGCTGCACTAACAAAACGACATCTAGTCAGACGTATCGTGCATGTCACTTGAAGTACTGTCAATAGTCTCTTATCAATATTCTGCCGTATTCCCACCAAGTTTCGCGTCGTCTCATTGATGACACGCCGCCTTCAATCAACGAGTTTTCCCTCCACCACCAACAATTTCTCGTGGCCAAGAGTTATGAATAACCGACAAAAACTTTTATTGCCTGTAATAACTTAAGAAGCTCTGTGTCTATCGCTGTGCCTTTTCGAGATCGACCTGCCCAGGTCTCTCATCCTCCGTCATCTCTCGATCTGTCGAACCCGACGCGTCCTCACTTTTCGCTGGCGATTTGAGGCTCGTGTTTCCAACCCAAAACGTCAGAACCAGACTTAATCCAGTGCATACCGTAAAGAAGAGGAATGTGTAGTACAGACCCTTCATGTACGCATCTAGAATAATATCCTGATCCTGTTGCGACAAGCCCATGCTGCTCAACGAGTATGTTGATGACGTCAATTGAGCGATCGTGTCGTTGGACACGATACCTCTACCACCAAGCTCTTTGTTCAGCGTGTTTGATAGGATGACGCCCGAGATGACTACTCCAAACGCGCCGCCAATTGTGCGGATAAAGTTTCGCAGACCAGTTGTTACTGCTCTGTCTTCGCTGCGACCATTCGCGTACATTCCCACGAGTGTAGGCTGCAGAGTGAACCCAATGCCGGCGCCCTCAACGATGAGAATGCCGATGAGGGGCCCTAACTTCGTTTCACGATCGAAAATAAGCGTGAGGCCATTTCCAAGCGTCCATAGAGCGAAACCAGCTAGGATGCAGTGCATGTAACTCCCCACGCGACTCATGTACTGCCCCGAAAGGATAGACGTGAGTGATGTTGGAATGACCACTGCTAAGATTAGAGCACCGGCAACTAACGCATCATATCCGAGAACCGATTGGAAGTACAGCGGTAGATAGAAGAAGTTGCCAAAGTATGCCAAACCCGTCAAGAAAGACTGCAGGTAAAGCGCCCAGCAATGAGGCGCGCGGTAGAGTCGAAGAGGCATGATCGGTAGCCTTGCCAATTTCCATTCGAACAGAACGAAGAGGATGGCTAGAAAGATACTGATGATGACGGTGGCGATGAAGAAAGCTGATGTCCAGGCATATGTGACGCCTCCTCCAGATATAGGGATCAGAAGTAGTAGCGTTGACGCGATGTTGAGAACGATGCCTCCGTAGTCGATCTTTTTTATCTTCGCCATGTATTCTCCGGATCGATGCTTGAGAGGGAGGTAGAACCAGATAATTGCTGTAGTAGGTAGAGTGATGATGGGTATCATCCAGAAAACCCATCGCCAAGTCGCAGATTGAACGATCGCACCGCCTAAGAAGGGTCCCACGCCGTTTGCAAGGGCAATGATGGCTCCTAACATACCTAGTTCCTGTTAACCAAAGCTCGATAAGCATGTTTATGACAACTCACCTTGATAGTACCCTCGATTCTGTAGTGAAGTGATATCACTCACAATAATCATGACCAAGCTATTAATCCCCCCACCACCAACACCAGCAATCGACCTGAAAACATACAACTGCACCGGCGTCTTTGCAAAACCACAAGCCAAATCCCCAACACCCATAAGAAACAAACAAAGCAACAGCATATTCTTCCTCCCAAAGATATCCGAAAGTCGGCCGTTGATAAGCTGAAATGCCGTTGACGCTATCAAAAACGAAGTTCCGATCCATGACGTCGAAGTTCCTGTTTTGAGCTCGCCCGCTACAGAGGGTGTAGCTGTTGACACGCTCGTTTGGTCGAGGAACGATACGAAGAGACATACTGAGAGGGCGGTTATGGAGATTAGGAGGCGTTTGCGGGGGAGATCGCTGTTGCGTTGGCCGCCTATGCTTTCGGCGTCGCTTTGGTCTGTGCTGGTTTGGTCTGGTATTTGTGTGCTGGAGCTGCTATCGACGTTTGACATTTGGAGTTTGTCATTGTTGGCAACCTGAGATGGTATTTGCCTGGTGTCCTCCCAAGCGGTGATTCTGTCGGTCGATGTATCTCCGTCGTTGGTGTCGTTATTCATGGTGACGATATCTTTGAAAACAATCCCGAGTGGTAAGGTAGAGAGTACACAAATGAGAGGAGGGAGATAATCACTTCCTCCGAAGCCCTTGTATTTTTGACACGCAACAACCTCCACCCAGTGAAGAAACGATGATCAATTTTGCAATGTCATCATCAAATTCCCCAGCTCACTCATTTCCCGCCAGGAACCATTATTCCCGAATCCCCCGCCTTGTGTTCATTCGACGAGACATGAGCATCTGCAAAGGTCCCCGTCGGCCAAGAATGTCCCTGTCGGGAATAAATCGGCTGGCGTTGGACTGGTTCTCTATCGGCATCTTCTGTTCCGACGTCTGGATAAGTTTTCCGGATGATTGCGATAAGGGTGGATATACCCACCGAGGAGTTTGTTGGTGGGGATGAATGAATGAAAGGGTTATATTTATTGCAGGGGGTTTGATACCATCATCACACTATTTTCGATAGACACTGTGATCATTGCGATACTTGGTTCGAAAACTAATCGCATCGACAAGAGATTCTTTGTGAACAGAAACATCATGTCGCGACTCTTTGAGCCACTGGCCGTTGGGTCAACTCCGCTGGAGCACCGAGTCGTTATGGCGCCTCTGACCAGATACCGCTGCGACGATGATCATTGCCCAACTTCCATGACAAAAGGTCAGTAGTAACAAAGCAAGCCACGAAACTATATTAAACCATCAAAGCTAACTGGAGGAATAGAATACTATGAACAACGCGCATCAACACCTGGCACTCTCATCATCAGCGAAGCAACCTTCATATCCGAAAGCACAGCCGGTTCCGACAACGCACCTGGAATATGGTCCGATGCACAAGTCACAGCGTGGCGGAGTATAACCGATGCAATTCACGCAAAGGGCTGTAAAGTCTTTTGTCAGCTCTGGCATCAAGGGCGAGCTGGCAACCCTGATGTTCTCCAGAAAAAGGGCTATCCACTTCTTTCCAGTAGTGCTGTCCCGGCTGATCCATCGATGCCAACTCCCCAAGAAATGACAGAGGATGATGTCCAGACTACCATAGAAAACTATGTCTCTGCTGCGAGAAATGCCATTCAAGCGGGTTTCGATGGCGTTGAGATCCACGGTGCGAATGGGTATCTACCTGACCAATTCTTACAAGACACTTGCAACAAACGCACAGATCGTTGGGGAGGAAGTATTGAGAACCGCGCTAGATTTCACATCGAAGTCTCAAAAGCCATCATCGCAGCCATCGGAGCCGATAAGATTGGAATGCGTCTCAGTCCCTACAGTGACTTTCTAGGCATGCTCATGGACGACCCAGATCCTCAGTTCCACTATCTCGTCGAGCAGCTCAAACCACTTGGTCTAGCGTACCTTCATCTCATAGAAGCTCGTATTCGCGGAAACGATGATGCTGATTGCGGTGGTCAACGGACAGTTAAGTGGATTGTTGAGCTGTGGAACAACACAAGTCCTGTGATCTTGTCGGGTGGCTTCAAGAGTGATTCAGCTAGAACTGCTGTTGATGAGATGTACAAGGGGTATGATGTGTTGATTGCGTTTGGGAGATATTTTGTCGCGAATCCGGATCTTGTGTTTCGTTTGAAGGCGGGTGTTGGGTTGGAGGGCTATGATAGGACGTATTTTTATACTCCCAAGATAGCGAGGGGGTATACTGACTACGCATTTAGTCAGGAGTTCCTGAGTAGGGATACAGCGAAGGTGTAACGTATATAAATAAAGATTTGAAAGTTTTATCAGCATCATTACCAGGCCGGTGAATCGATCTTGATCTGTTTGATATATCCTGTGAAGTGATGCTCAAGACGTTAGGTTGGCAGCTCATAAATCTGAGCCAGAGACCTATTCAAACTGGAAAATTAGAGAGCTCAGCAGCCGGAAGTAGCTGGTGTGACAGTTTGAGAAGCGATGACTCATCTGTCACGAAGATGGATGAGTTACTCGTGATATGATGAATATCGGCGCCGGGGTTGCACAATGCAGCCATGCTCTGAAGATGCACAGAGTATCAGTATCACCCCGTTCCAATGTGAATCTATGTCTGAGACACTATCGCGTGGCTGTTCGTGACTCCAACAACTGAAGCTGTCCTACACAGACGTCTTGCGCAGCAGATGCGCTTACGAAATCGCCGTGACATGTTCGTAAAGTCAGGGCGATTATAACGCAATAGAAAAAGACTCAAGAAGCTTCATATTATGTCCCGTTCCACGAAAGGCACGGGAGGTTGGATGCTGGATCACTAACATCCAAAAAGTATAAATAACGATCCTCTCCCAGTATACAACTCTGACCTCAAAACAATTCGATAACTCTAATATCAAGAAAAAACACTTTTCAGCTATCAGATTATTTATCTTAAACATATCAAGATGTGTCAAATGGAAACCGCCGAAGTCCAGCCCGCAGCTGGCGCAGGCCGAGTCCTCGTCACCTGTTGCGAATGGAGAACCTTTAGGAGAAAGGATGAGAGCACGTATCGCAAGATAGTTCAGGATTGTGGCTCTTGTAACTGCATCTATTCTAGCAACTACATTCCGCAGAAATAAGCTTGAATAGGGCTGGAAGGACTGTGTATTGGGAAATGGCATCCAGTCGAGATGGCTGTGTATGATGAAAAGGAGGCTAAGAATTAGTATTTGAGAAGAGGCCGGGGGTCTGGCTATTGGGATAAGAGGGTTCATCGAAGAGATAACTAGTTTTAAAACATGTTAAGACCTGACTTTATA